TTTGGAGAGGGGAAAAAATAATTCCACATAAATTTGTACAGATCGAATTAAACATTTACAAGTAACATAAGGATATTTTAACATTACAACATGACTCATTACTTATTCATTAATGCACAAAAAAATAATTAAATTATTGGTTTCATTCATGACACTATCATTTCACGACAGCTCGTTAGGTATTATCACGATATTATGGTGTAAACAATGAATGTATTTTACATTTCTTTCATAATATGAAAACTCGTCCTGGTTATTTATGAAAAAATAATTGTATTAGTCAGTTTTTTGTTTTCTCTGTGAATGAATTATTTAGATATTATTAATTTTAATTATATTTATAAAAAATATTATATATATTCTGAATAAAGGACAGGGGTGGTTTGAAATCCTGCCTCCGCCACTGTATGAGTCACCCGAACGATCCACATCCCATTTCCACATGAAAAAGTGTTATTTCTCGTCAATATCATTGAGTAATTTTAATATTTTCTAACCACACAACACATAAACAACCACTTCTAAAAGCGAAAAAAGATATAGAATATTATTTCAAAGTTGATTATCATTGTTGAATAAGAAAAAAAAACACAATCACATGGTTGTAGCTTCTACTCTATATGAACCAACAATATTTAGTATTTATTGTAATTAATATTTGTGTGTTAAGTATCTTGTAACTCTGTGCATGTAATTAGCTCCCCGATTATTTGTTCCCATGATCAATAGCTAGGTTGATCCTGTGACCAAATATTGTCATCCAACCCCCCAATAAAACTAATTCATGATCATTTTGACTTTTCCTTTTTGCAAAATTTTCTTTTCTTTGGTAAGATTTGAATTGATTGGTTGACGCTTTGAAAGATTTGGCATAAAGAATTCCAGTGGATCGAAAGATATGGGTTACCTAATTATTTAAAAAAAAGCACCTTCCAATTAGGAAATTTCCACCGGCTCCTCCTGAATTACTACTATTCGTAATCAAATCGATCTTTTTCCTGGTCTGGAACTCTATGTGAGATAATATTCAAATTGCTCTCAATTTGTTTTTTTACTGTTCAACGACTTAGTTAACTTTGTCTTCTTTCCTTTTAGTTGGCTGGCATTCGTTCTAGCCTTCTTCTAAGGAAAAAAAAATGATTGGCCAACATTTTATTTATATATAAGGGTGATATAAATTTGATTTTTAATTAGATGGTTTAAGTGATCCGAACTTTGAACCTCTAGATTTGATGGTACGCAATTTTTTATATACCTTGATAGTCTAAGTAGCACCACCGAGGCCATCAATTAAGAGATTAAAACATTGAGTTCTCTTTATTACATGCGTTAAGTTAGGCACTGAAATGTCTCGTTGATCTTGTTTTTCAAGAATTATGAGAGTAATTACTCATTACAAAGCAATTGATGGACGGCGCTACTCGTAAGAAAAATGAGATCACTAACTAGTGAACCAAAAGTTAGTATGTGTTTCCCAACATCCATTATCAAGCTACAACACAATTAAAAGTTAAAAATTGTTCGTCTATGGTGTACGATCAATAATTAAACATCTCCCAACAACTTGAGTTATTGGAAACTACTGGTTCTAGATTTGACATCAAAGCCATCTGTGATCGAAAAGGTATTTTGTTTGAACCCCGATGATCCATATTTGTTCAGTTAACCACATAGTATCTGAACTTGTACAAACTTCAAACTCGTATACATACCAGCTTTCCGTTTAAGTGATGTGTTTTTTTTTATTAATATAATTGTTTTGAGTGATGTTTTACAGTGTTAGTCAATGAGAAACGGGTTCTTGATTAAAACAACATTAGTTAGACATGGGAAACGAAATGTATTTTGATTGCTTATTATAGGAAGTGGTTGATCCAACATGCATTCGATGCATGGAGAAAAAAGAAATGACACGTATACCTACACTAATTATTAATATTAATGAACTAATCTCGATGGGTTTGAAAAATGCTGGATGTTGTCTAAAAATCAATCATCGTGTTTTAGAAGCAACCCATTAATACTATCCCTTTTCCCCCTGTTTTTGGCTTCAATATTCTTGCATTAGTCGGTCGAGATGTACCTTAATTAACCCAACAATATATAAGTTTAAGGTATGGAAATTAAAGGAAAACTATTCAACCAACAAAAAAAATCAACTGTCTGGCCCATATATATCTAAGCTCAGAAGTAAAACCTCTTGGTGGTACGTCAGTGTCCTATTAGATTTTGATGGTTAGAGATATATAATTAATTTAATTGATTAATCTCAGTTTCTTCAGAACAGACTCGGTCACCACATTTACCTACATTAATTATAGCAGTTAATATATTATTTTCAATTAACAATATGTAGTATTAAAGTATATAACATTAATTTCCTTTTGCACCATTACAGGTGGCAACCTAATAATGTATTATCTATCCTCTTGCACCATGACAGGTGGCAACCAAATAATGTATTATAATCCTCGTTGATCACTTTGCCCCCTTGATTCTTCACGAGAGCAGAATATAGTTTACTTTACATATATATCACATGTAGGGGTGGCAGTCGGTCGGTTTTGGTTTAACCGAAAATCAAAATTTTGGTTTTCGGCTAAATCGAGACACGACCAGTTGCTGTCGTCGACCGACCGTTCTCCAGCCTAGGTTAGCTGCAAATCGACCAGCCAGTTTTCGGTTACGGCGTGGTTTAACTGGGGAAACCGAAATTTGGGGGGAAAACGTGGTGGCGGTTGTGACGGCGGGAGGGCTTATGTTGACGCAAGACTGGCGGTGATGGGAGGACTGGAGGAGGGTTGCCAGTTGTGACGGTGGGCGGCTCGACGGGTGATGGCGGGCGGCGAGGCGGAGTTGCGGGGAGACGATCTCAGGGGAGGGAGCAGGAGGATTGGAGGGAGGCGGAGTCGACGACGATTGTGCACCAAAGGTCGCCGACGGGTTGGCCACTTGGCCGAGATGGAGCGATTGGAGGGCTGGAGGCGGCGGGGCGATTGGAGGGCTGGAGGCGGCTGAGAAGAAGGTTGGGCATCGGTGATGCAGAGGGCTGGAGGCGGCTGGGGATTTGGGGGATGGGACGAAGGGCTGCTAGGGTTGGGAATTTGGGGGATGGGGTGTTTTATTTAGGCAAAAACGGCGTCGTTTAGGCTTGCCGATTAGCGTCGGTTAGCTGGTTTAACCGGCGTCGATTTTTCGGCTAACCGCCTAACCACAGAGCGCCTCCGACAACCGACCGTGCCCAGTTTTTTCTGTTTCCGGTTAGCCGCTAACCGGCGGTTAACTGTTAGATTGGCCGGTTAACCGCTAACCGACAACCGAAATGACAGCCCTAATCACATGTTTAAAGATCATATACTTATACCGATAAGATTCTCTTTTTACTATATATAGTTTGGATAAAAAAACACTATAATCATTTTATTGTTCTTTTTATAAATGAGATTCATGAAATCGTGTGAAAATTGGTACAAATAAGATGAATCAAAGAAAATATAAACGAAGAGAAAACAAACAATCACACAACAAGAATAATCCGAAGTATGGGAAGTGTGCTTACATTACATAGGTAATATATATATACTGTATATCATCGGACTTGACTCCATCGGAAATTAGGTACTAAAAATATGTAATGCCTTCATTTTAATTTATTCGTGTAAATTCCAACTTGCACCATATATGACCAATAAAGGTATATATACCACACAGTCACACACCATACATTATGTTCCACCGGACTTAGTGTTAGTAAATGGTAAATGTTTCACCATTGAACCTTTTGACTTATTGAGATTAATTGGTTATTGACATGGTATCAGAGCCTTTTGTGACCGAGAGGTATTCTATACGATTCCCGATGGCTCATATGTGTGTCTGGACCAATGCAAACTTCAAACCCATATGTGGTGGTTGTCGTTTGAGGGGTGTATGTTAGTAAACGATATATAATTCACAATTGAATCTCTCCCAACAACTCGAATTATTGAGATCAACTAATTCTCGACAATCAGAGCTTACCACTAAATCCACTTTATCGACATGAATCTAGGCAACTAACTTTTAACCAACAGCTTTGATTAGATCAAAAGTTCATCGGCTAAAAGGTAATTAAAGCTTCTGGAAACAATGGGGGGGGAAACTAGGATTCATATATATATAGTCACTTTGGTGGGCTCTTAATTAATACGGTCTTTGGGGTCGGCACGTTTATATAAGAAAACTGATACCCTATTACCTCGATCGTGATCTCTGTTTCTTGACCTTGTTATGGCCTCAATTTCTACAAGTTATTAGTTACCACTGTAATCAAAAAATTTAATCCAAGTCAAACCGTTTCTTCTCCTTGGTGGAGAACTAGCTAATTAAGGGAGACTTCTCAGTTAGTTCTCATTAATTAATTTCTTTCTTTAATTAATGGAACTTTTTAATTACAAAGCAAGGAAAAGAGAGAAGAGAAGTGGAAGAAGGCAAAGCTTTGGTTGACTAATGTGATGTGAACTCTCATATCAATATGCATGGCGGGGATCCACTAAGTCAATATCAGAAACGCGCTAAGAAAAAAAAAGTAGATAAATAAGTAATAAATACGCTTTTACGTCTAATGACGAGATTACGTGCGGTAACACTTTTATTTAAGGGTTGTTATCATGTTTACCCACTTGGGTTAATTAATTAGGAGGAAACACATATTTGGTTTAGTTATTTACGTAAAATCTACGGTAGCTAGGTAGCTCCCGGATATTTCAATCATGTGTGTGAATTCATCTCATGATTACACTTTTAATTTACTCCTTGATTTATAATAACGTTTTAAAAAGCCTTGTGTTTTCCGTAAAATGGAAAAGATGCCTCACGTTGTAATGTTCCAACGTAGATGATCTTTGGTTATGATGTCATAATATGCGCATCTATATTCGGGTGAACAAATTATAGAAAGTGGTTAGACATTAGCTATAATATTGTATATAGTCCTCCCTTCTCCAAGGTTCAACTAATTCGAGTTATGTGAAGCTACTGCGAGTTCTTATTTTAGCCGCTCATCAGTCATCAATACTCGAATTTCGAATTTCACTGCTAACAAGTAGGAGAGGCTTACTCACTTGAGGAAGATCCACCAAAGTTTGTATTTGCGCATAGTGTTATGCACTCGCCACTACCTCAAACTAAGACATTCTTTCTGTGCCCTTGGAATGGTAACGAAAATGTTGACTCATAGTTGAAGAAGATCCAGGAACTGTGGTGAGTAAATGGGGTTGGTCAGAGGAAGGTCATTGTTATTTTTTGGTTCTTGACAATCTCTCCCTTGGCGCGGAGTTAACAACTCGAGTCTTATATAAACTCGTTACCTGTTAGATTCGATATACAAGTGAATGATTTACCCGCTTTAAAGATCGTGTGCCCATTATTTATAAGGTTAAAATTTGCCTTAGATTTTTGAACTAGGAACCATCCATAATGAAAACAAATGTATATTAAGACAATGTACTAGTCACAAAATAATTACTTCAAAATACACCATATTATTAACACGATGACTCTCGTATCTTTTTCATTTTTTTTTTCTTAAAATGATTTATAGTTCAAAGCTCAGACTTTCGTACATAAAACTTCTTGTTGAGGTAAAGAAAATTCTTAATTTCTTTTCGAGGCATACTTTAGTTTGTATAGTTAAATAAGAAACTACAATCTTAGAAAAATTTGAGATTTATCCATCATCCATGTATAGTGAGAAAGCAAAGGTGGGTTCGGCTTGGCTACTGCAGGCGGTTTAATCACGAACTGGCTTGGCAAGTGCTTGGATGCGTTCTCATGCAATCTGAGAGCGTGCTCCATTACAAGTACAAAGCTTAAAGGAGTTGTTGTTCATCTCGAGAGAGGTTTGTGTCAAGGGTTATGGAGAGTTGAGTCAAACCTTGATTCAAGTACGACAATTAGCATCATCGAGGATTGGAAAGAAAATGATCACTCCCATGGTTTGCTTGCCACGAAAATCGGGAACCTTATTGAGTGGGATCGGGAGGTTGTAGTGAACCATGTTTATAGAGAAAAGAACAAACACATCATATTTTATGGCTTCTAGAGGTCATGTTCCTCCTTTTGACATAAATAAACTCAAAATGTGCGGCCCTAACTTGGAACAATGGCTGTACGATGTTATGTGAATCTCCATGACAAAATCTATTATCATTACGAACTAGGCCATTTTTCGTCCGGCTTTCTAAAAAAAAAAGCAAAGATCACGTGTTTATCTCTTTCGTCTTAAACTTTAAAGTTTCAATAATACACAACAACCAAGTAACCAAAGTCTTAGTTTCTAATTGCACAAACTCATGGTTGTTTACCTTTATACTATTATCTCTATTATAAATATTACCAAAATTAATTTTTTTGAAATCACGACCTTATATTGGACCATTGGCTAGACTTGCAATCAAGAAAGTTCAACTAAATCCAGAAAAAGGAAGGAAAAAAGGAAACACTCAAACTATGTCAAAGTTCCAGGAAACGAATCCAACATTAATTATTTCTTGTATGACTTCCCTTCCCAAAGATAAAAACAGAAACAACTAAAACAAAAGTCACAGTAAACATTTACCCAAACGTAACTGAAAGCCAAACAAAAGTCACCCATCTTTGAAATAAATGGCACCCTAGGCCACAAAAAAAGTTACAACAAAGACTTAGAGAGCAAGCATTCCATTAGGTTAATTATACTCTAGGTATTCATTAATGTCAATACCCCCTATTTTTAAAATGCTGGGGATTAGGACTATTACCATAACTGGGGCCTCCCTCTTGTTGGCTGGACTAGTGGTTGCAACCAAGTTTAACAAACTTTAATTAAGTTGATGAACTACAACTTTAGTTATTGACTTGTGTCCTCTTCTCCTCTCTTCTCTTGCATGCTGTAGGGCACATGACCCACAGGGCTTGAAATCTTCTTCATCATCACCACCAAGTAAACTGTAACCTAATCTCCCACCACCAAACCACCCTCTCTCTCTCTCTCTCTCTCTCTCTCTCTTTCAACTCTTTCACACACAACAGAAGAGCCCTAAGACCTTCTCTCTATCAGCTGTTTCTTTCCCTATAAATACTGAACCCCATTTCCCAATCCTCTCCCACATTCCTCAAGCTCCAATACCCTTCTCTCTTCACATACTGATCTGAAGAGCTCACAGCTTGTGAACTCAAGAGACAACAACAACAACAATGGAGTTTCTGAAACAACCTCAATATCATTCCTTGTTCGTTTTCTTGTTTGGCCTTGTTCTGTTGTTCCCTGCTGCATTGTCGTGGAAAGATGCTGTGACTCACGTCCATCAGTTTGTTGTATGTTCATCTCATTTTCCTCTCTCTCTCTCAGAATTGTCTGTTTTTTAACTTTCATGATTAGTAATTATGCACTATGGTTTGATTATTTGTTAAACCCATTTGATCGTGTGATTTGGGTCATGTTTATAGATTCAAGAAGCGTCAGTGAAGAGGCTGTGCAAGACCCAACATGTGATGACAGTGAATGGGATGTACCCCGGGCCAACCTTGGAGATCAAGAATGGTGACACCCTCTCGGTCAAAGTCATTAACAAGGGAAAATACAACATCACCATCCATTGGTATTATTAATTAGATAATTTGATTTTAAAATGTTTGGATTCGCATTGTTGATTATACAAATTAAAGTGTCAATACTATGAGTATAAAAAAAATGATGGTGGTTGACGACCATGATTGTGATTTCTTTGGGCAGGCATGGAGTGAGGCAAATGAGGACCGGGTGGGCCGATGGGCCAGAATTCGTGACCCAGTGTCCGATCCGACCAGGAGGCAGCTACACGTACCGGTTCACGGTTCGTGGTCAGGAAGGAACCCTTTGGTGGCACGCCCACAGCACCTGGCTCCGCGCCACCGTCTACGGTGCTCTTCTCATCCAGCCTAGAGAGGGCACCAATTTCCCCTTCGCTAAACCAAACCGTCAATCCACTCTCCTTCTCGGTAACGCAACGACTAAATCTTAATTATTGCTTTTTTTAACTCGTCTTTTTTCGACACGAAATTTAATCGACTAGGGTGGTAAATATGATGATCGTAGGGGAATGGTGGAATGCAAACCCGGTCGATGTGGTTAGGGAAGCGACCCGAACCGGTGCGGCCCCAAATATTTCGGACGCTTACACCATTAATGGCCAGCCGGGAGATCTCTACAACTGCTCTAAGCAAGGTTTATTTTCTTTAATTAAAATTTTTAATTACTGCTACCTTGGATTAGCATTTCTAAGTAGTAAGTACATATCCTTGCGTGCGTTGACAATAATCATACCATCAATATTCCTTTCATATTTTCACGTTTTGTCATGTCTTAATGCACTGATCAGTAACTTTTGCAAAAAGGTCAAATAATGATAGCGGTTAGGACATCAAATCATAGCCCCTTCTTTTACCCGGAAGGAAAATCCAAAAATTGATGATGATCCCGCATGGGCCCAATCCATGGCCCAGTGGGCCTATCCAGGCCCATAATTGACTTTTTCCCTTTCTCCGGGTATCTCCCCCTTGCAGACACCGTCGTGGTCCCAATCAGCTCCGGCGAGACCAACCTCCTCCGAGTGGTCAACTCCGCCATGAACCAGCCGCTCTTCTTCACCATCGCCAACCACAAATTCACCGTCGTCGGAGCAGACGCATCCTACGTCAAACCCTTCACCACTTCCGTCCTAATGCTGGGCCCGGGCCAAACCACCGACGTCCTCATCTCCGGCGACCAGACCCCCGGCCGCTACTACATGGCCGCACGTGCCTACCAGAGCGCACAAAACGCACCGTTCGACAACACCACCACCACCGCCATCCTCGAGTACAGCAAGTCCTCCTCCGCCGCCAAACCGATCATGCCACGTCTCCCGGCCTTCAACGACACCCCGACGGTGACCGCCTTCAGCACCAGCTTCCGGAGCCGCGAGAAGGCCCTGGTCCCGGCCCAGGTCGATGAAAACTTGTTCTTCACAGTGGGCCTGGGCCTGAACAGCTGCCCGCCCAACTTCAACAAGACCCAACAATGCCAAGGGCCCAACGGAACCAGATTCACCGCCAGCATGAACAACGTCTCGTTCTCTCTCCCGTCCAACTTCTCCCTCCTCCAGGCCCATAAGCAGGGGATCCGCGGCGTCTTCACCACCGACTTCCCCGCCGCGCCGCCGCGGGTGTTCGATTACACCGGAAACGTCAGCCGATCGCTCTTCCAGCCGGCGACGGGGACCAAGCTGTACAGGTTGAAGTACGGGTCGAGGGTTCAAGTTGTGCTTCAGGGTACCAGCATCGTGACACCGGAGAATCACCCGATTCATCTCCATGGATACGATTTCTACATCATCGCTGAAGGGTTTGGGAATTTCAACCCCAAGACCGATTCTTCGAAGTTCAATCTCGTGGATCCGCCTCTGAGGAACACTGCTGCTGTGCCTGTTGGTGGGTGGGCGGTTATCCGATTCGTCGCGGATAATCCAGGTACGAAAAATTGGAGCAGAGGATGGGATTTTTTTTCTTCTTCCTGCTGTGTCGTGATTTTGGGGATTTTGGGTTTGATTTGAGTGAGTTGATTTTTGCAGGTGTGTGGCTGATGCACTGTCATTTGGATGTTCATATCACATGGGGGCTGGCCATGGCGTTTTTGGTGGAGGATGGAGTTGGGAAATTGGAAGCCATAGAGCCGCCTCCAGAGGATCTTCCAATCTGTTCATGAATGAGTAATTGAGGAAGAAGAAGAAGAAGAAGGGATGAACTGTTTTTACACATCCATGGGAGTAGTGTGTATTTGGCCCTGCATTTGGGGAAATTATGTATTTGGGTATTTCCTTATAGTTTTCCAGTCAGTCGGGTTTTGGTACAATCAATTGATTATCTCAGAGTAAGTTTTCTTTGTTGTTGTTGTTGAAGTGAAATGAAATGGATCAAGTAATTCTGTAGTTCGACATCAGTCTTGCAATGGACAAAGAGTGAATGATTACCAAATAGACGATCATGAGCAACACTACTCATGCAACCGACCATTTGAGGATTTTTTGTTCTTCTTCTTTAACCTTTTCTGCCGTTCCCGACATAGTTGAAGCACTCAAAACAATGAGATGATGACTAGTTGGACAAAGAATCCAAATCCTGCCATTAGCTAGCTACGAATCATTGCCCCCTGTTTTTGCCAAATCCAGATTTATCTCAAATCCTCCATCAATTAAATAGGATGGAAAACGACAAGCAGGCAAAATAATAGAGAATAGAGAATTAGGATTATAGTTATACAAAAATTTCTCTGATCATTGTTGTTTGTTTTCCTATAAATTTCCCTTAATCAAATTTGATCAACCTTGTCGGAAAAACAGCTACTAGCCTACCTCTATTACATACAATTTGTATAAATTATCTATTGGTTTAACCACTCAATTTAGTGCAAGACTTTGAGTTATGAGAGTTACCACTTAGATTAATTGTGTGGTATTTCAGTGTGGTTTGCAATTTTATTGGCATTGCATAACTAATAAGTCATTTTACAAGACCATAAATTGTGGTTTTACAAGACACTGGTTCTTCGATTTTCTCCTAAACCGTAGAATATCTTCTCGAGTGTTTTTCATTTATGTTGATAGTTCTACTTACTCCACAAATTTTGTATTGTGAATATTATTTTGTGACTTTAGTGGATTTACTAGCTTGTCCATCCTGTGGTTTTTCTACCTCCGCTTTGAAGAGTTTTTTCACGTAAAATTGGTATCTTTTCTTTGTTCCTTCTCTTATCTATTTTTCTTGTTCAATTTCATATTGAGTTTGTTTCTGCTAGAGTTGTTTTATCAAGGTTCAAAAGTCATGGGGTGAAAACAAAACTCAATTCTTCAAAAAGCTTGTGCAACTTCTATAGGTTGATCCTAATACCCTACTAAACATATCCTTACACAAGTTTTTGTATAATATTCACAACTCACCTTGAGCCTCTATAAAAATTAGAAACAACGTGCATAACAAATTCCACAAATTGTATATACAAATTTTAGGTGTAATCAATTTTTTCGGCGAGTATTATCAATTTTGGCCCGATCGGAAGTCAACTACGTACACTTTCTTTGAAAAAAAAAATTATACAAACAATTGGGCAACACAATATTGTCCATTAACATCACGGTTGAAATCATTAACAAACTAAGACGTGCTTAAATATCTTGATTTCCTTCCTTGTGTTATTTGGATTCATTGTCGTTTTCACCATAATTCACTTAACCATATCTCACACGACAATCATGTTTCCACACACTAACATGACCTGTTATAAACGCGCTGCTACGGATCGGGAAATCGCCGGAATCGATAAAGCAAGAATACGAAAGCGAGAATCGAAAAACACAGACACACGATTTACGTGGTTCACTAACACGATGTGTTTTAGCTACGTCCACGGGCGAGAGAGAGCCAATTTCACTATATCGAGAGAGCCAATTTCACAACAACGAGACCCCCGATTACCAGTCGTAGCGGCTGATAGTCCAATTCAAGTCACATCAACATGACCTTTTATCTTGTTTCCTCCCTTTAGGCGAATCTGTTGCCTTTTCCCATCAATCTCACATCCCCTGCTTCACAAATCACAATAGCTATGAGGAAAAGGTTAAACTCATAATAATGGCCCAACTTTTTTGCAACTTTTTTGCAACTTCATCCTGGAATTGAAAAGGACATATCACCAATGGGTATTATTATTGAAGTGTTTTCTCTTGGATTCCACCGATTGCGAACATTAGTCGGAATGATGATTGATTTTCCCGACTCTCTGTTTTTGGCTGGACTGGACCATAATTATCACCGCAATCCTTAGCTATAATAATTATTATCAGGAGGACCACTGGCTGGCTGCTGTTCATATTAAAGCACTGCACTATCAGGCAGATGCAAGCATTTACGTGTCGCTCTGCAGGTGCAAGCTAGAAGAAAGCTGGATTTGATCATATAGGAAGGAAGGCAAAGATGCACCATTCTATGAAATATCTGAATGGGATACTAGTAAGTAAATCAAATTACAAAGGCCGAAGTGTTGGATTAGGCATAAATTTGCGTATAGAGATGAACCAATTTGGTTGGCGTCTTTAGTCGTTAGAGGGGTTTCTGTAATAACGTTATTACATTGTTAAAAATGACGCATTTCATAATTTGTAATGATTAAATGAACTTGATTTTGTTGACTTAACTTGATCACAATCCATAGGGCCATTGCGCTAAACATCGGCTGCAATCTTTTATATTGGGCCTTAGCCCCCTACTTCGGCCTGACATGTATTGTCCTTTATTCGGCCCACTTCATGGACTTCGAATGGGCCAGATATGGAGCGAGGTAAAAGGGAATGGTGGCAGCCTGGGCCCCGGCCGGGGTTACAACTAGGGGTGGCTATACGGTCCGGTCCGGTTAAATTAGCCCAAATTGATCCGGTCTAGTCCGGTCTTTTTGAAAATATAAGGACCGAAGATTGGATTGGATACAGTCCGGTCTTGATCCGGTCCGGTTTTGATCCGGTCCGGTCCCAATTCGGTCTTGATTTTACATTGAGATTGTGGGATTTGAGTGGCCTAAGGCCTTAAAGGGTGAGGAGTTGGTTAAGTTTTGTACTAAGTGCAAAGATTTGTGATCGTTTATGCAAATTACCCTTAAGTTTTGGGTGTTGAGCTCTCTTATCCGGTTTTTTACCTCAAATCTAAGCCCAAAGATTGGATTGGATTGTTTACTATCCGGTCTCGGTCCGGGTTATACGGTCCGGTTTCCGGTTTTTAATCCGGTCCCGGTCCAAATAGCCACCCCTAGTTACAACGTCCGTGGGAGTTTTGATGTTAAAGCTAGCTCGGTGGTCAGCATGAGCGGAGTCGAGACTTGATTTGTTCGAATCAACTCATGAATTCAAATTTTGACAGATCATCAAGATCATGAGTTTGACTCGATCTCCACTAATTTATTCTAAATAGTTCAACTTTTAACGTGACCGGTCATTTCAAAACCGGGAGCAACCGTGGATCAGTGACGATTCATTCCGTTAAGTGACTGAATTTTGGAATTGAGGACTGCTTGCAGCATCTTTGTGGTACGGCAAAACATGGTTATGTACAAGGTTACTTTTAGATAACTTAGTTGTGTCATGTGATCAAATAATTAAGTTCTCCCACATGTGGAAGAAAAGATACGGCAGACATGCGCAGTGGTTTCATGAGATGGAATTCTAGCACACAATACCGGTCCATAAAGAGAGCTTTATCATACTAGAACTCATAAGTTTGACTGGCCAAAACAGTCACAAGGTTGGACGCCTATATCACCTTCTCAATTTGTTTTTTTTTTTTTCAAGTCAGAATACATAATATAGGGTAAAAAGGTTCCAAAAGAATGGTTTTGACTGTTTTGCACATGGTCCTTTTTCCTTTCTGTCTCTAGAGACTGCTCTCTTTGTCTACATCCTATTCAAATGAATACAAACATCTTCTATTTTAGCTCTTTACTGAAAAGTAAACATCTACACGACCATACTCTTAGCTATGTTTGATACGATCGTATCAATTCTCACAATTCTATCATTTTGAGACAAATTCATGACAATCACTAGGAATAAAGGTTAAACTTAGTTCTATCATAGACCACCCGATCATTCATATATGAGAGTAGGGATAAGCTCGAAGGTTTTTGTTGTGATCCTGTCAAGTATCAGTTGTTTCTAATAACTCGAGTTGATACCAGGTCCCTAATCAACTGATCTCAATAACTCGAGTTTTTGGGACCAATTGATTCTTGACATGTTATCAGATCATTCTGTAATCGAGATGTCTTATGTTAGAATCCCGACTACCTACATTTGTTAAGCAAATGGTATTTGACATGTGCAAACTTCAAACTCATACGAGTCTCTTCCGATAACTCAAATTAGTGGGACCAACTAAGGAAAGTGTGTGAAAGACCGGAGAGTGCACAAATAACCAAGAAAGGAACACGATGGCGATGCTGGAAATGATGGTAGGCCAGGTAGCTAGAATGAGCCATTGATTTCTTGAGCAAGATATCAACAACCCAGACAAAGTCAATTATATATAAAAAAAAAATTGAAAACGCCAGAAACATTCATTCTGAAGAAACCCACCTGATGTAACACTCTGCGTACAGAACTTGATTTTTTGCCAGTGGGTGCAACCAATTACTCCCTTTACAAGTTTGCTGCTAGCTGCATGCAAAATATGACCAATTATTTTCCCCACTCTTCCCACACAGAAATCAAAACCTAATCCGCCAACCCTGACGCCCTTTCTTCTTCCACTCTTGCTATATAAATGGAATCTCCCTCAAAACTCAACACAGCCAAAAACCCACGTACGAAATCATCAGTAGGATCATCACCATGGCGGATGCGATCCTAGTTGCTGGACATGGCCGCGGTTTGCTTCTCTCATCGACATCCAGTCTTGTGCTGATGCTGATGCTTGTTGCTGCTTCATCCATTTCGCTAGCGAGTGCAAAGACTCACTATCATGATTTTGTGGTACGTGGATAGATTTGATTCCTTTTCATATTATATACCTACCATTTGTTTACGTATATGGGAGGTTTTCACACCATTGTTTTGTTGATGATGTAGATTCAACCAACAAGAGTGAAGAGGCTGTGCAAGACCCACAACGCAATCACGGTTAATGGGATGTTTCCTGGACCGACGTTGGAAGTGAACAATGGCGACACCCTCGTTGTTAACGTTGTCAACCAAATCAAATACAACATTACCATCCATTGGTACTTACTTAATCAACCGTTTTTGTACAGATTCATCTTATATGGTGAATATGTCAATTTGGACTTTTTGATTCCATATAGTTAAACCTATACTGATTTCTATGCAGGCATGGAGTTAGACAAATGAGGACAGCATGGGCAGATGGTCCAGAATTCGTAACGCAATGCCCCGTTAAACCTGGAAGCAGCTACACGTATAAATTCACCATTGAGGGCCAAGAAGGGACCTTGTGGTGGCATGCTCACAGTACATGGCTTAGGGCAACTGTCTATGGTGCCATACTCATATACCCTAAGGAAGGGTCTTCCTACCCTTTCCCTAAACCAAGGAGGGAGACACCAATTCTTCTTGGTAATTAATCAGCAAATTATGGATGGGTTAGGATTACTATACTTGATTAGTTTTACTTGATCACTTATCCAACAGTTCTATCGTGTGATAATCTATAGGGGAATGGTGGGATGCGAATCCTATTGACGTGTTGAGGGAGGCAATTAGAACCGGTGGAGCTCCAAATATTTCGGATGCGTATACCATTAATGGTCAACCTGGTGATCTCTATAATTGCTCCAGTAAAGGTAATTCGCTTTCTTACTTTCAAACTATACTACAATAACTTGGTAATGTTTGGTCAAAAGAGTTAAGTTCAATTTTGACATAAGTTTCTGTCCATGTTAAAACCGGTAGACCAAATCCTCGTTCCGTAAAAAAAAATTTGAAACTAAAACAAAAATAGAAGTATTAATCTACTTACAATGTGGTCAAAAGCCTAGAAGCTGGTCAGACAAGCCCAAATAGCACAAATTCCCGGCAGTTGTAACAGAAATGTGAACGGAAGTACGGAACCTTTTTCTTTTTTGGCGCCAAAATTCAAGGGAAGTTGGCCTTCCACTCTACCTAACCCTCTCCCATTTTTCTCTGCCAGAAACTGCAATCATCACAATTGACGCCGGCGAGACGAACCTCCTCCGCGTAATCAACGCCGCGCTCAACCAACCGCTCTTCTTCACAATCGCCAACCACCCTTTCACGGTGGTCGGAGCAGACGCTTCCTACGTCAAGCCGTTCACCACCACCGTCATCATGCTCGGCCCGGGCCAAACCACCGACGTCCTGATCGCCGGCAACCAAATCCCGTCCCGGTACTACATCGCCGCCACCGCCTACCAGAGCGCCCAAAACGCCGCCTTCGATAACACCACCGCCACCGCCATCCTCGAATACAAAACCGCCCCCTGCCCGGCAAAGAAACAGAGCAACCCGATCATGCCAATCTTGCCGGCGTTCAACGACACCGCCGCTGTCACCGCCTTCTCCGCCAGCTTCCGGAGCCTGAAGGAGGTCAACATACCGAAGGAAATCGACGAGGACCTGTTCGTCACCGTCGGATTGGGCCTCGACGACTGTCCCCCTGAATTCGGGTCGGATCGGTGTCAGGGCCCGAACGGGACCCGATTCACTTCGAGCATGAACAACGTGTCGTTCGTCCTCCCACAAACGACTTCGTTGCTGCAAGCTTACCAGACCGACACTCCGGGGGTTTTCACGACCGATTTTCCGGACCGACCGCCGGTCCGGTTCGATTACACGGGGAATGTGGACCGGTCGCTCTGGCAGCCGATTCAGGGGACGAAAGTTTATAGATTGGAGTATGGGTCTAGAGTACAAGTTGTGTTGCAGGATACAAGCATTGTGACGGCGGAGAATCACCCGATTCATCTCCATGGGTACGATTTCTACATTTTGGCTGAAGGGTTTGGGAATTTTGATCCGGATGTTGATACCGGGAAGTTCAATTTGGTTGATCCGCCGTTGAGGAACACCGCCGCCGTGCCGGCCGGCGGGTGGGCGGTGATCCGATTTGTGGCGGATAATCCTGGGATGTGGATAATGCATTGTCATTTGGATGTTCATATTTCGTGGGGATTGGCGATGGCGTTCTTGGTGGAGGATGGGAACGAGGTGATGCAGACACTTGAGGCGCCTCCACTTGATCTCCCAGTATGTTGAGAACTAAGACTTTCAATGAAGTAATTAAATGGGTGATGGATCCCTGAACTTGGCTATTAATTAACTAGTAATGCTATTTTCATTATTTTTTGTTCGTACATGTGGTTAATCGTTCTTTTGATAACGATGATGGTTGGTTCTCAAGTTTGGAGAATGAGTGAGGAATTATCAAAACGTTTATATTTGTTGTTTAAAACGAGCAGGTGTATAAAGAACGAGAGAGAAGTATTAGTGTTTGTTTATACATAATAGTTACCAAGCCGATTGAGAATTGAGTATCAACATGTGTTGGTATCGTTCTCAATGAAACGATCTTGATATACAAACATTAATGATATTATTCACAAAAATGTTTAGAGATTATCCGGTGATGAATTTTTTTGCATTGACATAAGCATATACCACAAACTATGGTGGAGGTACTCCAAGAAAAGGTTATTAATCTTGACATCTTAAAGCCCGATATTATCTTTCATAATCTAAAAGAGGAGCTATCTAACACACAGTCAATGGAGAGAAGAAGAAGCACAAATAAGAGTTTAGTGGATGTTAAAATCTACTCCTTCAGCTAGCTAGCAGATAACACAATCCAATACGTTACGAAGAAGAAGAAGAAGAAGCAATGAAGTAAGAAAGCAAGTAATAGCTAGCTAGTCAGTGGAGGTACAACTATCTCTCTAGTGATTAAACTTGGAAGACTGGAACAATGATGCACGAAGCTCAAAAAGTGGTGTTACAGATAAATTTGTTCATCCACCTAAAGCTTGTTGTAGCAAGAGGAGCAAAAGTATCAGTATAACCCTGCCTAGCTTGATTATTTTGATCATGCAACCACTCGCAGATGGACTCCTTTGGAGTTCACTATTGGTGAATATATAACAATCACATTCTTCTGACGATCTTCCAACTCCTCAAAAAGTTGGATGTTTTTAACTAATTAGTTTCAATTTTATTACAACAGATACGTTAGTTTGTAGCATTCAAATTTAAGAATTCTGCAATACGAGTTTTATTAGTCTTTTGTTTTAAACTTATCAAGTTACCGTCTTGTAATAAATATGTAATAAGTGGTTCTATTTCTACACATTCACTTTTATTCGTAGACTGTATTGCGTTGGGGATGGGATTAGGTGCTAACTCTTATAGGGGTTAGCACCGTGATAACTAGCAAAAAACGCTACTAAAAATAACGAAATCACTACGGATTATTATAAAATAAATACAACATCTAAGCTAAATCACTATTAATTCAAACCAGTAATAGTTTTCCCCTTGATTAGGACGGTGCTAACTATTGTACAATTAGCACCGTAGTCGTTTCCATTGCATTGCGTTGCTGCTTCCACGGGATGCACAAGAGAGGGGGCAGTTACTTGGGATTGGAGCTATTGGTGTAACGGATCAATACTTGGGTCTCCCTTCTCTGGTGGGGAGGTCGAAGTATGATACGTTCCGATATATAGAGGAAAGGGTCATCCAAAAACTCCAGGGATGGAAGCAGCAGTGTCTTTCTTGGGCCGCTAAAGAAGTTCTTCTGAAGGCAGTTGCTAATGCTTTACCCATTTTATGGGATGTCTTGTTTCCTGTTCCCTCTGACTCTATGTCGTTCTCTAGATAGACATTTGGCTCGGTTTTGGTGGGGGGTTAAACAAGGGGAAAGGCGGATCCATTGGGTTTCTTGGAAAGCGATGTGCCTCGGTAAGCAGGAGGGTGGGTTGGGTTTCCGTAGATTTGAAGAGTTTAATCAAGCTCTTCTGGCTAAGGTGGCCTGGCGAATCTGGAAGGATCCCAATTCCTTGTTGGCTCGAGTGTATAAAGGGAAATACTTTCCCAATTCAAGTATCTTGAGTGCAAGGACTGGGTCTCTCACATCTTGGGGATGGCGTGGAATTCTTCGAGGGCGTGATCTGCTTCTCCAAGGGCTTCGATGGCAAATTGGGTCAGGGGATTCAGTAGAAGTGCTCACTGATAATTGGGTGCCAGCTCTACATCCGTTTCCCCCCAAACCGCGACAGGGTATTATTGGAGTGGAAGGCAAAGTGGCGTCTTTGATCTGTCCTAATCAGGGTGTCTGGAGGGTAGATTGCCTTCGTCAGATCTTTGAAGAAGACACGGTTAAAGCTATCTTGGCTATTCCTCTCCCCATTAAGGTTGTGCCAGATCGCCTGGTCTGGGATGGAGAAATCTCTGGATGTTATACTGTCAAATCAGGGTATCACAGGCGGTCGAGTTAAGACGGCAGAAGGAGCTGCAGGTGAAGGCAGTCGCTCTATCCTGGGACCGTAGCCTGTGGAAACGAATTTGGGCCACTCCGATACCGCCTAAACTGCGGTATTTTATTTGGCAGCTTGTCCGGGGTGTCTTGCCAACTGGTGAGGCACTGAGTACTCGCGGGATGGAGGGGCTGGAGCCATGTCCAGTCTGCGGGGAGGAGGTGGAGTCTCTTGAGCATCTCTTCTTCCGATGTCGTGTAGCGCTGCAGCTCTGGGAGGGGGCCGAGCTTCACCTGCTGAGAGATCGGTTCCCACTTAACAATATAAGCATCTTTTGGCGCAGGGTTCTCGAGGAAGGCAATTTGGACCGGAGCACGCTGATGCGGGTGGTGGCTCTTTTTTGGCGTGTTTGGCGTGCGCGAAATTGGGTTGTGTTTGATTTCACTCAGTTCATTGTCCCTGTTTTGCTTTCTCAGTTTCGTTCGCAGGTCACAGAGTGGGATTCCGTTCCTGATAATCAACTAAGGCCGCCTTTTCCAGGTCCTGAGGGTCCTCGCCTAGCGGTTAGAGAGTCAGTCCCGCCTGGGGAGTTAGTGTTGTTTGTTGATGGGGTCACGCTGCGTGGTTCCCACGGGACTGGAGGTTGGGTTTTGCAGGATCCATCGGGCGTGGTGGTGGCGGCTTCAGCGGCCTTGTATGTGGGGATTTTTGATCCCTCCTTGGTGGAGCTGTTAGCTTTTCGGGATGCGATTCGTTGGTGTTTGGCACGAGGTCTTCATTCTATCGTCTTTGCTGGGGATGCACAGGTGGTGATTAGAAGGATTCGAGAAGGTCAGGTTGATGATGTTCAGGGTGGCACGGTTTTGGAAGAAATTCGATGCTTGACGGGCTCGTTTTCGGTGTTTGATATTCGGTTTGTTGGTAGGGATTGTAACAGGGTTGCCCATTTGGTGGCAAGAAAAGCCCTTTCGTTGTTCCCTCACTTAGGAGGGTTCGATTTTGTTTCTTGGCTGTTTTCAGCTGTGTGACTTGTTATATCTGGCTTTCTCGGTAATACGAGTGATCTTTTGGAAAAAAAAAAAAAAAAACTCTATAGATTGAATTCAATGCTTTAGATATTCAGATTGTAAATAGAGAGCCTCTCGATGTGTCCGATCATAAAAACTTCCAGACTTTCCTTTCTATATATGGTTTTTAAACTTCCAACGTTTCCCTTATCTGTAGCTGACGAGAACAGGATCGTGGGTTGGAACGTGACAAAAACCCGAAATTGAAAAGTTCGTACGTAAGCCACTACCTCAGCTAACCGCCGTGTACCAACCGTTTCGGCCGGTCGGTTGTCCGACGTGGTAATTCTCGAGATCACTACCCGATAACCATAAAAGAAGCAGGAGCTGTCAGACCGCGACTGCCACGGCCGCAGCCGGCAGCCCCAATTATTTACGAATGACGACACCAAATTCGGTTTATCGGCGGCGTGGATCAGTGGTCACCGATGACGACAGCCTCCCAAACGTTGCAGTCTCAGAAGAGGGCCAGATGGTGCCACGTGGCTCACATGCACGCCTCCATCATCCCGGCTGTCGCCTCCTGCATCGGGACTGGGTGGTCGGACACGTGGCGGGTCGTCGGGAGCCCACGTGGTGGTTGCTTGTTGGCTACTGTAAAATAAAGAAAACCCGCTCTGAGTAGCCGTGGCAAAATGGTAATTTGAGAGCAACAGAGAGGGCTAATGGCATAACGAGTAACGATGGCGCGGGCTCGTCTTGGGTTCGGGAAGGTTCGGGCCACTGAGGCTTGTGTTGATTTTTTGAACGGTTCGGATAAGGATGGGTTCGGTTGCCGAGAGGTGCCGCTGGGCTGGGTAATGGCCACCTCATCCGTTTGTTGGATAATCAATATCAATATCGGCCCAGAAGACGGTCAACGGTCAAGACGTTATCCTATCCTCTCGACGAAATACCTTATGTTTTGTTGTTTCCGATTACTAGTACCTTAAGTTCCCTATGCTCTAAATGAGGTCCCTGCTAATGTAAGAGACGTTAAACCCAGTTACTTTATGTCAAACATTGGGCTTTTGAGGCAAAAATTGTGGCGTTAGATCGTAATTCACAAGGCCATTCGATAATAATATTAGCGATATGAAAAAAACATCAAGGATTTATCTGATGTGGTTCATTGTATTGTTTGAAGAAATTATGGCGCGATCAGGACAAATATAGGGTTATGTGGTGGACAGGTTAGACGCAAGACACCAAACATTAAGTGGGTGATCGTCATGGTATTATATTGTGAAAGAAGACGGCTTCAACAGTCGCTTATGTAAATGAAGGGGTGATACAAATCTTCTTTTGGAAATGCTTATGAATATGTATCGTGAATAGTTAGTGAGAAAGAAATAGATATTACTCAAAGTTACAGATTTATAATGTTTGTTATTCAGTTAACAAAATGTTGAAAAATAAAATACAGTTAGAAAAAAATGACAAGCTGTTATAAAAATAATCTTCTACAGGAAAAACTTTACATGTAAAGGGGAGATTTGTCGAGTCATATTTTGGAACTCAATAGATTAAATTAAATTAAATGGGTTAGATATTCAGAGATTATTAAGTTCTAATCCGTTAACAAATCCGTACTTAAGATGATAATAAATAAGTTCCGGAACCAAAGTGTTATAAAAGTTTTAATTTATGTATCAAAACAATATTTGTCCATGGAACGGGGATAATATCAGAAATATCTAGAGAAGCCTATAAATATCTCTCTCTCTATCCTTTCACAAAGATTCGATCGTTTTCCTTTCCTCTCTCTTCGAAAAGTAAATAACTCTCCTTCTCTTAATCTCTCTCCAAAACCCCAAAAAATCGATCCAAAACCCCAAAAAATCGAAAGATCAATTTAGAACAACAAAATTAGGCGCACCAGAGAATTTGATCTGAAGACAAAGCCAGACTGGTTTCCGCGTCGAGCTCGGCTTCTTTTCCTGCTCGCTTGCTTGATTGCATGTTCACTGTAGGCTTTCACAGGTTAGTTTATCGATAACCTCCTTCCCGCTTCGTTGATTTTCCCCCTTTTCCTCTGTTTTATGGTTTAAGATCTCCGACTCTCTCCTCGATTAGTAGCTTGAATTGCATTGGTAGGCTCCTCGCTCCGCTAGACGATTTGGGGATTTAGGGTTTCAAAATTTGTCCCTCCCGTCAATTGCTTTGGGAGTCATTTGTTCCCCTGCCTGTTTGGTCTCGGAGAACAGGCGTCCGATCTTGTAGGCTATCCGGATTTATGAGTTGCTTGTTGCCGAAGATTCGTGAGCATTGATAGTTCTTAGCTGGTTTTTGGACTGTTCACCCAGCTTGGGGCTGAAGGAACAGAAAAAGGCTTTTATTAGTAATTAACCGATATACTCGCTGCAAAAAGGGTAGATGAGAAAATAAAAATGGAATTAAAAGGAAAATAGCAACTGGGCTCCGATGCTTCGGCTCCAAGTAATCAGAGTGTGTACACGCGTTTAATTCAACATACTTAAAGACGCTTTTCATTATATTTACCCCTTTCTCGTAGTGATATACTGAACCGCGATTCCCCTTGCTTTCTGCAGATCTCCTGCTGTTGACAACACCTCTGACATGGGTGGCTTCAACCAAGCCTCTACCGCAGCTTGCTCGGATTCTACAAGGAAGAGGAGACGAAGAACTGGAACTGAATCTGTGGTGGAGACTCTTAAAAAGTGGAAGCAGTACAACGAGTATCTCGACACCTGCCTGGATGGAGGAGCCACTGGCAAGAAGTCTGGCCGGAAAGTTCCGGCCAAGGGCTCGAAGAAGGGATGTATGAAGGGTAAAGGCGGACCCGAGAATTCGCAGTGCAAGTACAGAGGGGTCAGGCAGAGGACGTGGGGGAAATGGGTTGCAGAGATTAGAGAGCCCAACAAAGGTCCCAGATTGTGGCTCGGTACTTTTCCTACCGCGTATGAAGCTGCTCTAGCATATGATGACGCTGCTAGAGCCATGTATGGTCCTTATGCCAGGCTCAACCATCCTGATATTTCAAGGGCGGCCACCACCAGTTCGTCGAACGGTTATTATTCTGCCACGACGCCTGGTGGGTATTCTTCCATCAGTACTACTACATCATCGGATCACTCGGAGGTTTGTGAGAATGATGATGATGCCAAGGACTGGGTGGTTCCTGATGGGGAAGGTGAATCGAAGGCCAGGACTCACTTGGTGGTTGAGGTTTCACCATCTTCTGCTATCAAGGTAGAGTGTCAAATATTGGACAACAAGAACGAGGTTTCTGGCCATGATGAGGCGAGCTTGAAATCGGAAGTGAATGAGGCACCCTTGGATGTGAAAGATTACGAGTGGCAGAATTTCACGATGGATGAGATGTTTAGTATTGAGGATCTGTTGAGTGCGTTGGAGAATCAGCCACTCGAAGGGGGTCCGAACAACGGTGGTGGCGGCGGCGGCTGCTTGTTTTCTGGCAACAACCAGATACAGGAGCAAGATGCTAGATTCATTGGTGGATCGCAGCACAAGGAGCCAGTACCATTGTTCCCTGCTGCTGCTGATGATTTCAACTTCGACTTCTTGGAGCCCGGGAGGCAGGAGGATAATACTGTTCCTGTGGATGATCAGGGTTACTTCAGCCTGGGCTTGTCCGACTTGGGGTTTGAGGACCTGTGATGGACAAAGAAGTGTTTATTCTGGTCTTCTCACGGTTGCATCGTTGTTCTTTCGATGCGTTTTTTTCTTCTTTTTCTGGAGGGAGCTGATTCTCTTTCTACGAGTTTTTTAGTGACTAGAGAAATCGGCTGCCGAGTTTGCCTTGGTTTTTCTCTTTTAACTTTTGTTGCTTCTGTACATCGTGTTTCTGCAGTGGTCAGAGACTTTGAAAACGTTTACTGTAGATTCTATCCGAGAAGTTTTTCTGAGAGTAGTGAGTGAGGGTGTATATGATCTGATATATGGGTTCTGGAATAAAATAAAAGATGATGATGCCTGCTAAATCCTTTCGTGTGTAGTGCTTCCTGGCTCCAGGGTCATGGATGGAGCAATCGTGGTGCTGTGATAAGGCTAAGGTACGCACTTGGTCGTCGTTCACTGTTAATCGAACTTGTGACAATCGTGTATTTTGATCTTATGAAATCTGAAATAAGAGATTACTGATTGCATATAATAGGAGAAAAGACGTTCACAATCATGTTCTTAAAGAGGAGCCATTTGGAGAAATGGTGGTTATAAGTTCTAACCATGAAGAAAACATTAAGAATGACACAAATCCTCTCATTGAGATGGAATTTTGAGGTCAAGATTCACATGGGAGCAACATGATTAATGATGATGGCGGAAAACTCATGATGGAGTGAAAACCGAGATATGGTTTTATCGATAGGGTTTAGAATAAGAGAAGTAAAAGTTAAGAATGAGTTATGGCTTTATCAATAGGGTTAGGTAAGAGAAGTAAAGGTAATAACAATTTTATTTCATTTAAAGAATATATTTTATGGATTATTTATATTAAGCGGGTTAATGGTACAATCTCAATTTATTTTTCACTCTTTTAGTCATTATAGGGTCAAGATCAGGTGACTAAGGGAGTCCCTTAGTCACATGACTAAGTCCATCTCAGCCATTAAGGTTCATTAAAATCTAATAGTTGTAATTGATCTCATTTAATGAAGGGTATTATAGTAATTGCAAATTTATTTAATTCATTAATTAAAACAAATTATCCCCTTCCCCTCCTCTGCGCCGGCTTCCTGGGTTCCCGTCCCTTTCTGCCGGCGTCCCTTTGCTTTCGCCGGCAAGGAAATTGTTGCCCCCAAGAGAAATGAGAATACGAGAGAGATGGGGAATTTAAAGGCCCAGGGGAGTGTGAGGGAGAGATGAGGAATTTAATGCCCGAGAGAGAGATTTTGTACTGTTAGTATGCTTTGTATTGTTTGTTGATTTATTTTGTAATGTTTGTATGCTTTGTTATTTTGTAATGTTTGTCGGTTTTTTTTGTAATGTTTGTAAACTTTGTTATTTTTGTGTACCGTGTTTATCAATTTTGTCAACCATGTTTGTAATGTTTTTTATGTATAAAAAACACCCGGGTTGACTTTGGGAAGGAGCCCCTCTATATAGGGATGGAGCCTCCAAAGTCAACCCGGGTGTTTTTTCAGTTCGTATGGATTGTCGGTATAGTTTGTCATTTTTGTCCACCATGTTCGTACTGTTTGTATGTCTAAAAAACACCCGGGTTGACTTTGGGAAGGGCCCCCTCTATATAGGGATGGAGCCTCCAAAGTCAACCCGGGTGTTTTTTCAGTTCGTATGGATTGTCGGTATAGTTTGTCATTTTTGTCCACCATGTTCGTACTGTTTGTATGTCTAAAAAACACCCGGGTTGACTTTGGGAAGGAGCCCCTCTATATAGGGATGGAGCCTCCAAAGTCAACCCGGTTGTTTTTTCTTTTTGTATGGTTTGTCTTGTTTGTCGGTCTAGTTTGTATGGTTTGTATTGTTTGTCGGTCTAGTTTGTATTGTTTGTACAGTTCATACGTTTGTAATGTTTGTAAATCTGTTTGTATGTTTTGTCGCTCTAGTTTGTATTGTTCGTATGTTTGTATGGTTTGTACTAATTGTAAGTTCGGTTTGTATACTTCGTAATTTTTCATAATACCCAAACTACCTCTGTCATTAATTAAATAGCCCTTCCCACTTTTTAACCATCAGATTGAATTGTCCAGATCTAATGGCTAGGAGGGGCTTAGTCAAGTGACTAAGCACCCCAGTGTGCTTAGTCACTTGACTAAGCCCCTCCTAATCCTTAGATCTGGACACATCAATCTGATGGTTAAAAAGTGGGAAGAGCTATTTAATTAATGACAGGGGTAGTTTGGATATTATGGAAAATTACGAAGTATAGAAACCGAACTTACAATCAGTACAAACCATACAAACATACGAACAGTACAAACTAGAGCGACAAAACATACAAACAGATTTACAAACATTACAAACATATGAACTGTACAAAAAATACAAACAATACAAACCATACAAAAAGAAAAAACAACCAGGTTGACTTTGGAGGCTCCATCCCTATATAGAGGGGCTCCTTCCCAAAGTCAACCCGGGTGTTTTTTAGACATACAAACAGTACGAACATGGTGGACAAAAATGACAAACTAGACCGACAATCCATACGAACTGAAAAAACACCCGGGTTGACTTCGGAGGCTCCATCCCTATATAGAGAAATTTCATCCAAAAGTCAACCAGGTTGTTTTTTAGACATAAAAAACATTACAAACATGGTTGACAAAAATGATAAACATGGTGCACAAAAATAACAAAGTTTACAAACATTACAAAATAACAAAGCATTCAAACATTACAAAATATGTCAACAAACATCACAAAGCACTGTCGCCGGAAAATTCTTCTCTGTCGACGATGGTCGTCGGAAAAAAAATTTCCGATCATAAAATATCTCTCTCTCTCTGCATTTGGGGGAAACAGGCAAAGGAATAAAATCCCCGGCAAAGGAATAAAAATTCTCTCTCCCTTTCTTTCTCTCTCTCGTAGTTAATTGCAAGATTGCAATTCAAAGCGCGCTCTCTCGTATTTAAAGTGGGGTGAAGTTGCGCCGGAAAAAATCCCCCTCCGCCGCCAGCGGAAAATTCCACAGCCACGAACCCGCAACGGGAGGATGAAGGGACCGGCTGTAATTTTTATTTATTTTAATTGTTAAATAATTAAATAATGTAATTACCACTTTATCCCTCATTAAACTAAATAAATCTGAACCATTAGATTTTAATGAAGTTCAATGGCTAAGATTGACTTAGTCACCTGATCTTAGCCCATATGAAAATGAAAGAAAAAAAAAATATGCCTTGAAAGTTGAAAGGAGTAATCTAGCAATACAGGAAAGTGAGTAAAAAGTAAAAACCAAGATAATTTCACCTTGTATATGGTATATGGAGGAGCAAGAATGGTGAGCAATTTACTTGTTGATTCGTTTACAACAATTTTGCTGAAATAATCAATTTCTGCTATTAGGAAAGTAATATCATCCTAATTAATGTGGCCTAATCTTTTGCACAAAAAGAGGTGGCAATATATACAAGAGTTGAGAGAAAACATTCCAATTTGAGAAAATTCGTGTAATTAATTCCCATTCCCCAAACCAATGTACTCACCAAACCGAAGTGTTAACCATAGATATGATGTCAGTTAGCAAAGAAAATTGAGAGTTTTGGGTGGTTTGGTTTGGCAAATTCTCCTCCCCAATTTATTTAACTGTTACTACTTCAAACCTTTTTAAAAGTTACTGTATAAAAATAAAGGTTACCCAGTGGGTAGTTGAATGAATCATAAATTGTAAGGATCCTTCACATAAAACATAAATCATCATCAGTGGGTGAGTGATTTAGGTGGATCATTGACCCTCAAATCATCTACTTGCACTAATTCATATGCTGTAGAGGGGCAGTTGGTGGGTTAAGGGTCATCCTACCAAGAAACACTCCACTTATTTCAAAAATGATTTTATGATGTCCTATAAAATTTGATCTTATTTTTGGGATTGATTTCGATAAACTTATATAGACATATGCACAAAATCAAATGGCCAATACTAAAGTGTCGTTGTAATAAGTGAGGTATAAGTGGCACTGTGTTTAATTGGTCTACGAGATAGTCCATGTGGCTTGGTTGTCTTACTCAAAAGTTAAAATCCACATTCCCCTCACTTTGCCAGAAAGGGAGAAATAGATACATAGAAAGAGAGATAGAGAGAGCATGTAACGTCTTGTTAACATTATTGGTGTCAAAGACCTTGAGCACATTACCAAGAAACTTGCAGTCTCTACTTGGCGATGATGAAAAAGTATCGAGGAAGGTGGGAGAGGTGTTCAGAATCTCGTCAACTGAGTCTACAATGATGAAGTTCCTCCATTCCTTTGTGGACAAATCCCACGCAGCGAGTCAGTCCGAAGAAGGTGTCATCCTGACATCCAAGATCTACGAGGACCAATTAAATGCAGCGGCACTGCTGACACACGTTTAAAAGTGACGCCATGGTATTGGCCAAATCAACACATTTAAACCGCGGGATCTACCCAACTGTCTCTTAACCCACTCAACCTCGTTCGCTCATTTACGTCAATAAAACGATCGATCATCTCAAAATAACCATTTTATCTTAGTAAAATAATTTATGTAACGACAACCAGATAAAGCCTTCTTCTTATCATTCTATTCACAACAGATTTTTGTAATTTCTTGAATCAAAACCTGGGTTTGCCCAATCCCCACCTACCCAACTCGAGTTGCTCGAGCAAAGTAACCAACCACCACAGCCAGCCCAGTCAATCCACCAAGAACCTCACCTGATATACTTCCCTAAAACAGGGGGTATTCTTGTTTATTTTGTTGATTAATTTGACTTGTGTAGTTGTGTTTCCCTTTATTCTCAGTATTGCATTTATTAATCTTCCTTTCTGTTCTCTCCGGCTGCATTAAACTCACTACTAAAACTCTTCCACCACAAAACCAAAAGGAAAAAGAAAGTCACTTTACCATACAACCTCACTCTCTACCCTACTCTGTCTCCATCAATCACCATCTCCATTTGTTTCAGCAGCTCTTATCATTCATTCACCCATTCAATCACAGCCCTCTGATCAAACCCTTTTTCTCTCCTCCTCTTAAACAAACAAACAAACAAACAAAAATTAGGGGCAATTGGTTCCAAATCCTTAGTTATCCACTTGTAAAACATTTCATGTGGAACCTGAACTGAATTGCCTGGCTTCATCTTTTAGTTCCTCATTTTCCCCGTTCCATGCAATTGAAGTGACACGAGTCCCTAGATTCTCAGACAGACCCCACCTCAGTAACCTTCGTCATGAAACTGCCCGCCTAGGGCTTACCTGCCTCCTTCCCTTCTTTCTTTCTTTCTTTCTGCTGCCTGCTCTGCTCTATTGTATCTTTTGAGCTTTTGGGTCTCTGTGTCACAACTACTCAGCAGTACTCACTCAAATTGAGAGAGGACCGACTTTACTCACTCAATCGAGTTAACTGAGTGAGTGAATGAGTCATCTCGCATCTCCAGCTGCACCCACCATTTCCATTTCCATTTCATTGGTCCTGATACCCTTTTGCTCAAAAGTGGTGATTCCCTCCTGATCATCACTTCGTGGGTTGCTGCAGAACTCCTTTCAGGTAGAAACGTTTCTTTTCCCTTTGTTTTGTCTGTTCTTCAATGTGGGTTTGTTGTGATGATGAAGGCTTTAATGCATAAAGATTCAATCTTTTCTTATTGTTTTCTGTTTCTGAAGAGGAAGTGATGAGGAGGGTTTATGCTGTACTGTACTATCCCTTCCCCTTTTGAAGGTGGGAAATGGATTCTGTTTCTATCCGGGCATTTGTGGTTGTTTTTTCTTTTGGCTGATTTGTGTGTGGCTTTTGGTAGATGCTTGTGTTGGGACCTGCATTTTTTTGCCATTTGAAGCCAAGTCTGTCTGACTGTCTGGTTTTTGGGTAGTGAATGCTGCATTTCTTCTTGATGATTATGAGATGATGACTCTGTTTATGTCACCCATGTTCTGATTGCTTATTTTGGAAAACAGATTGTAGGTTCTTTTGGAGTAAAATCTGAAGGTTGAATCAGTCATATCTGTTAACTTTTACAGAAACAGCAAAGGGGAGACAGTGGGGGAAAGAAAGGTAAAAAAGAGGGGTTTGAGATGTTTTTCTCTCTTGGGAGTAATGAAAGCTGCTCTTCCCGTTTTTAGTTTTTTCTCCATTTTTAACTGTTCCATGGATTCCATTTTTATCTGATGTTGATGTGTTTACTCTTTTCTTCATATATAGATATAGGGTTTGGATTATCTGGCATGGTTGTTTCTGAAATGAAAAGGTTGATTGGTTTGGGTCTGTGTTTTTCCAGCTCGCTTGTGTGACATTCTCTTATGTCAGACAATCTATATTGTTGTTAGCTGTGTTGTTTCAGAAACTTGAATGAGTCAATGCTTCCATTGAAACAGGGTGGTCTGACATTGGGTGACCTAATCAGGCTGATTTGGAAGCATTTACAGCTGTAATTGGCTTCTTCTATATCAAGACAGCTATAACGGATCGAATTGGTAATCCTAGTCGCAGGCTATGAAGAAAAGGCGCGTGCACGAATCAAGGCATGTGTTCCATGAAACGCGTAAGCATTCGCAGTTCCTTCAACTTTTTCTTACCTCATTACCATGGAAATGTTTTATGTAGTAAATCATTGAAACCCACTTCTGCTTGCTTAATGGAGAGCTCAAAGTGACTGATTTAGCGCGTCGAGAACTGCTTCACGTTGTAATGTCAACAGCATCTTGGGGAATGAGATGACAGTTTGCACATGTAATTTTTAGTAGATATATTGTTATGTTAATACAAGTAATTATTTACTTTATCAGCATTTGAGGCCTTCTGCTGTGGCTCGTGGAGAGGTGTGAGGCAGATTGAGATTAGGGATGGGGCTATGATCACACATTATGGAGATCACCACCCGGGAGTTGAGGAGAAGGGTCCGTTGTCAAACCTTCGAATAAGATCTAGGCCAGCAACTGCATCTGATTGCATTTGCTTCCTAAGGGCAGGTATTGATGTCTGTGTGCTTTCATCTGCTCTACAAGAAGAAAGTCCAGCTGGAGAAACTAGAAATCCGGTATGTCTTCATAATCTGTCATTGTATCTCGAGCTTCATTTGGTATGTCATGTTAGAGTTAAGCCGTATGCATTTCTTAACACAAACAAACTTATCTTTACTGCATATGGTTCAGCAGTTTACTTGCAAGATCTGTCATTTGAAGTCTGTTTTTTACTTTCCTTTTTCTTACCGGCAGGTGTTGGTAGATGCTAAAATAAAATCTATAGAGAGGAAGCCACATCACGAGTCTCATTGTTCATGCAAGTTCTCTGTCAAGCTCTATGCAAACCAAGGTGTTCTTGGTCTGGAGAAAGCAAAACTTAGCAAAGAAACCGATGAAGTAGGAATTGACAAGATCCATGTCCTTCAAAAGCTCGATAAAAGCCCTTGTGAGGGTCAATTCTATCGTTGGGATTACTCGGAAGACTGTGTTGTAGCACAGAGAACTAAACTTTTTTTGGGGAAGTTCTCACATGAGCTCACATGGCTACTTGCAGCATCTGTTCTCAAACAAATTGCCTTCATTGTGAGGTCAGTGCAAAGCAAATTAGCTTACCAAACTTGGGCTGATGATGAGGATAGCAAGACTTTGAAACCCGATATCCAACTGAATTTCATAAATTTCAAGATGGAGGACGACATTTTGACACCCGTCGTTGTACAACACTGTCCTAATTTTAGAGATGAAGAAGCTGCTTCTTGTTCTTCATTAGTATTGGTGGTTCCTACTCCAGTTACTGATGAAGCAAACTTGAAACTACGTCGATCTGGCCGTAGAAGGTTTCAACCGGAGCGGTTCCTTGGTGGTGATGTTGCTCCGGGAGAAGACCCGGGGTGGGTTAGACAGATGCCATACAAGACAGATAAATGGAAGGATGATGGTGATGATGATAGTGATTTGGATGTGCCTCTATCAGACCTTTTTGGTGCCCGTGGTGGAAATGGTGGTAGAAAGCTGGCTAAAGGAGAAGTTCCTCAGCTTGAACTCTTGGAGGATGATAACATGAAAATAAAAAAGTTCAAGGTTGGTAAGTCAAAGAAAAGAGGCCGAAAGCCTCAACTTGCCATCGTCCCGGTTCCCATGCCTGCTCAAAATGATACAGTTACACCAGAAGATGTTGATGATCATGAACAACATGATTCTCCTCCTCCAAATTCTCCTGAAATTCTACCCAGAGAGCCCAAGGATGAGGTCTCCTTCGGGTATTATGGTAAGAGAGGTACCTCAGGCTCCCAGAGGAATAGTTTTGTTTCCTTCAGTTCGAGAAAGGCGAACTTCGAGCCTGAGGACATGGTTTTCCAAAGTGGATGGGGGCCAAAATTTGCTGCTGCTAGTAAGAAAGCTTCTTCAAATGGGAGATCATTCAGATCTTTCAAGTCCAGGAGAGATAAGTTTGGTGAGCGAAAGCCGTTCAAGAAGACTGCTTTAAGTGCTGGTGCATACAACAAGCTTATAAATTCATACATGAAGAACATTGATTCTACTATTTCATCCAAAAGTGAGACCCATATCATCGATCAATGGGAGCGATTTAAAGCCAAAGGTGACCAGGGCCATGCTAAGAACATGGATCAGTTTGAAGTAGAGGATGATGGTGAACTGTCAGAAACCGAGATGCTGTGGAGAGAAATGGAACTATGCCTGGCATCAGCTTATCTTCTTGATGAAGATCAGGTATCAAAGTGGAGATCATATATCGTCTTTTTAACACACATCTACGGCTTTTGTCATCTATTACTAATTGCATCGATTCACAGGATCAAGTTCCTAAAAAGAACGTCGAGAAGGAAGGTGACAGTAATTGCCTCCATGCATACAAACTTGACGAGGAGATTGGGATCATATGCACTATATGTGGCTTTGTCAAGACCGAAATGAAATACGTTACACCTCCATTTGTAAGTCAACATTAATGCAAGTTGGTTTCTTTTTTCACATTCATTTTACTGCCATGCTTGCAGATATATTGCAAAGAAAAGTTACATTATTCCATCCCAAAATAAGGCTTCTAGGTCTTACATGCTCTGCCCTATATTGTGAACATAAATGGAAGAAACTTAAGCATTCATTTCCTCTCATTTCTCTTAGGCGGAAAATGCTAGCTCGACTGCAGAAAGGAAACCAAATGATGGCAATGACTCGGATCCTAAGCCAGAAGGGGAAGAAGAGATCAAACTGTTCACCACTGATCACGATACCTACAAGGAAGACGCGTCATCATCTGCACAGAAAGAGAACGTTTGGGCATTAATCCCTCACATAAAAAACAAGCTGCATTTGCACCAGAAGAGGGCATTTGAATTTCTGTGGAGAAACACTGCAGGCTCGACCATCCCAGCCAAAATGGTGAAAGCATCAAAGAAAGTTGCTGGTTGTGTTGTGTCCCATACACCAGGAGCTGGCAAGACATTCCTCATCATAGCATTCCTCTCAAGCTACCTTAAGTTGTTCCCAAACAAGAGACCGTTGGTCCTTGCTCCAAAGACAACTCTCTACACCTGGTACAAAGAGTTCATCAAGTGGGAGATCCCTATCCCGGTACACCTCATCCACGGGCGAAAGACTTACAGGCTGTCGCAGCAAGGTGCAGTTAAATACACTGGAGGGCCAAAGCCGAGTCAGGACGTTATGCATATCTTGGACTGCTTAGAGAAGATTCAGAAGTGGCACGCACAGCCGAGTGTCCTTGTCATGGGCTACACTTCATTTCTCACTTTGATGAGGGAAGATTCCAAGTTTGCTCACAGGCAGTACATGGCCAAAGTGTTGAGGGAAAGTCCAGGGCTACTCATACTCGACGAAGGGCATAATCCTAGGAGCACCAAATCCAGATTGAGGAAGGTTTTGATGAAGGTGCAAACCGATCTTCGAATACTTCTCTCTGGGACTCTATTCCAGAACAATTTCGTCGAGTACTTCAACACACTTTGCCTTGCTAGACCAAAGTTCATTAGAGAAGTGTTGAGGAAGCTAGATCCCAAGTACAAGGCAAAGAAAGGGCCTAAGAAAGCTCGACACCTACTGGAAGCTCGAGCGAGGAAGCTTTTCATAGACAACATTGCTAGCAAGATTGATTCAGGTGTGCCAGAAGAAAGAATGGAAGGTCTGAATGTGCTGAGAAAAATGACGAATCGTTTCATTGATGTTTATGAAGGTGGGGCTTCTGATGGCCTTCCTGGCTTGCAGATTTATACTATACTGATGAACTCCACAGATATACAGAATGAGATTCTGAACAAGCTGCATGACATTATGGCTACCTACAATGGTTACCCATTGGAGCTAGAGCTCATGATCACGCTTGCTTCAATCCACCCTTGGTTAGTTAAAACATCGAACTGTGTCCACAAGTTCTTCGACATGCCTGAACAGATGGAGCTCGAGAAGCTGAAGTTCGACTTCAAGAAAGGGTCGAAGATCATGTTCGTTCTGAATCTCGTCTACAGGATAGTGAAGAAGGAGAAAGCCTTGATCTTTTGCCACAACATTGCACCCATTAATCTACTCACCGAGCTGTTCGAGAACATCTTTGGCTGGCAGAGAGGCAGAGAGATCATGATTCTCACAGGAGATCTTGAGCTGTTCGAGAGAGGCAGAATCATCGACAAGTTTGAGGAGCCAGGTGGACATTCCAAGATTCTGCTTGCCTCCATCACAGCTTGTGCTGAAGGAATCAGCCTGACAGCGGCTTCGAGAGTGATACTGATGGACTCCGAGTGGAATCCTAGCAAGACGAAGCAGGCCATTGCTCGTGCTTTTCGTCCAGGTCAGCAGAAGGTGGTCTACGTGTATCAGTTGCTCGCGACTGGGACTCTTGAAGAGGATAAGTACAGGAGGACAACGTGGAAGGAGTGGGTTTCGTGCATGATATTCAGCGAGGCATTTGTCGAAGACCCCTCGCAGTGGCAGGCAGAGAAGATCGAAGATGATGTGCTGAGGGAAATGGTGGAGGAAGATCGTGTGAAATCGTTCCACATGATCATGAAGAACGAAAAGGCTTCAACGGGTTAAGATTAAAAAACAGTCTAAGCTAGCTTCACCTCAACTAACTGGTGAGTTGAAGTAACTTACTCCCATGCCTTTCCATTAGTTAGTTTCTTGTGTTGCAGGATATGGGGACTAACTATATGCTTTTGTATCATGTTCAACTTTAGAATGGTGCAAAATGGGGCAAAAGCAAATAGCATTGTGACATGAGGCACCATAACCCTGCAAGTAAATCAAAAGTGCAGCTGTATACCCATAATGTTCACATGTTCATTCAATGAATATCTTGAAGGAGGAAAGAGGAAGCTATAGTTACAAGGACAAGTCAGGAGACGGATACCCGCAAAAGAAGAACAATGACCTTTCGTGTTCCAACTGTCTGCAAAAATTTCTCTTCTTTGATTCATTCTTGGACATTCCTAATGTGTTCATAATGGAGCAGTTTTCAGTTTATGAACCGTGATAGTTCCCCAGGTAGACAACTTGGCTCTGCCTTTGAGATTCTATGAAAATAATGGCCTGGCATTTGCTTTTCTCTTTACTTCTGTCATCTGGTTTTCGGCCTTTCGTCACTTTAAAAGGTGTGAAATAATGGGGATGGAACAAGTGGTGGTATCAACATGCACATGTTGGGCAGAGTTTCAGATATGCGATGCGACGGTGTCAGTCTAATCCGATCTTTGTACTGTTGGCGGAGACCTTCACTTTTTCTATTCCCGTCTCTCTCACCTGCAGCTTCTGCAAGCAAGCTACGATATCTGTCTGGGTTTTTTTTAAAGGAATAGTTTGGGATGATAAAAGATGGAAGTTTTTATCTAAACAATCACCCAAGCAAACGGCCTGGGTTCCTGTGCTTAAGCCCAAAAGCTTAAGCATATGCTTAAACTAATCCTATTGGTTGTTAGTAGATTGAGTGGTTAATTAGTAGTTATTAGTTGATAATTGGTTAAGGGTATTGAGGTAAATTGTGTATTTTATTTATTTAAAATTTAACATATTTTCATAATTAAATAAAAACTAAACGTAAACCCTAAAACCAACCATAGAGCTGCTGGTTAGGTTTTTATTTTTTAAATTCGTCTTCTTCCCAGCCGTGTTCGATGAGACCACTTCCGGCCACGGCCAGCGCAGCCAGCCACCGTCGTCTCCTTCCTTATTGCCACTGGCGTTCCTCTTTCCCCCAACACAAACGATAGGTAATCCTTGTCGGGGAAAAAGCTGCAAACCCTTTGGTTGTCGTCTTACTTACGATTGCACGTTTCTCGTTTATTATAATCGCCGGGAAAAAGATGTCGGAGTTGACGTTGTGGTTTCAGGTACCCGCCGCACGGAAAGATGGCATGGCGACCTTTTTACTTTGAACTTGGTCGTTTGTCATCGTTGAACCTTGTCTTCGCTGGTCTTCATTGTCCTTTTTTCTTCTTACGCAGCCAGGAACCGTCATCGCCGGCGTGAAGGTATGTTACTGTTTTGTTTTTTTGGTTTCAATGGGTTTTTTTTACGATGCCAGCAACGGTCATCACCGGCCCACGGGTAGGTATGTTCTTGTGCTATTAATAAATCCCCATTTAATTGTTAACGATTTTGATATGTACGTCTTACAATAGTTTCAACGTCATCAAACTAGTAATAGTTTTCTGTCCATCCTCGTGATTACGATATTTGAGTTATTAATAAATCCCCATTTAATTGTTAACGATTTTGATTGGAGCTATCAATTTTGTTATGGTCGAATGGTAAGCCGCTTATGCATGTATGTGTGATTAAGTCGTGTTATTTATTTCCGACCACTATATAATCATTATCAATGTATTTATTTGCCTTTTTTGCAATTATTGACAGTTTTATTATCAATCTCGTTCATTATTAACAATTTTAAATCATGTTTGACTAAATCAGACATTAGTAACAATTTTATCTATGTTTATTAGCTAATTTTCAAGGGTGTATTAAAGTTCTAGAATATATAAACTGAAGCCAATCACTATTAATTATCAACTGGATACAACCTCGTTATCAATTTTTTTTGTGTTTATTGACAATTAATGGGGAATCCAATCAAGTATTAGTAACAAGTATTCTTACATCATCAATGAAACACATATAAGATATTAAGGATTTAAAATAGCATTATTAACGGTTTGCTATCGCTAAAGAAATTAAGCAAATCCTTTTTAATGTTTATTTATTTTTGTTTGAACGGAAACCAACAGTTTTTTAAAGAAATTGATGGTACTTGACACTTAATATTGCATCGATTCATCATTCATGCTAGTGGTTTGACTATTATCAATTTTCAATTTCGTAAGCAATAATTTTTTGTTACGTTATTAACGGTTTGTTGCATCTCTATCAACTTACGAGCATAGTTTATTACATGGTTATTGTTACATAAAATCTAGTTGATCGATTATGTAATTTTCACAAATTTGTTGTGCATCTTTCTTTGTGTAGTTTGACGGCATGACATGAACACGTCACGTAAGACTGTTCTACCTGGAAACAAGCCCAAGATCAAGCAGCCATAACTTGAGGGCAATAATTGCAATAGGTCAAATCACATATCCATTATGTAGCAAATGTCAAAGTCGCAGATGGTGAAGAATATCAGTCCCCGTCAATATGCAAAATCAATATTTTTTATATGAATGTAATTGCTAATGATAGAGAAAAAAAATGTTAATGTTTTCCAATTTGCATGTGAGGTTTATAAACTGGTTGATATAGTGTATTATATGTTTTTATTATTGTTATCAATTAAAGGTAATGTTACCAACTTTTCTGCTTGAATTATCAATGTTATACAAAAGCATTATCATCTTCTCATAAATAATTTTGTTGTTGTTTGTAAATGATTTTATACTCATTGTTAACGATATAATGTAATGTTATCAACCTTGATGTAATGTAATTGTTATTAGCATTAACAATAATGAAAATTTTAAATATTAACATTTTTAGGCTCAACGTTAACAATCTGATACAATATTATCAATGCTAATGAGATGTATCATTAACAAAATACAAAATCATTATTAATGCTACATTAATAATTGTTTACTTATGAAAACATTGTTAATGATATATCGTCGTGTTTTTTTTCCGTAAATCATATAAATTTAACATTTACCAATAATTCAAAGATTAAGAGTTCATTGCTAACAATCTTATGTTCTCTTATCAATGTTTCTGGGATACATCATTAACATTTAACAAAACAAATTATTAGTATTAATGTCAAACTATTATTTACAATATTAGCAACATCAAAAATCATTGAAAAATGTTAATAATCACCTGTTATTAACTTTTCTTAATACACTCGTCAACAAAATACTATGAGTTATTATCAATATCATGCACTATAATTATCAATACTTTAGCGACGTATCAGTAACGCTATGCATAACCATTGTTATAATACGTAAATAATAAATGCTGAACGTTCGCAGGACGTGGGCTCCGTCAGGATAGCGGCGGGATGTCGGCGTGAAGGGCGACACTCTGTGTTGTTGGGATGCTGGTGTCGATTTGTTTCAGGAGGTGATGAATTACTCGCTGTCGGCGGCGGCTGGGGCCGGGTTCGACGAGGGGACAATGGTGTCGTTCGATGATGCATTTGGTGGAGGAAAGGGGTCTCCGCGGCGGCAGGGATGGCGGAGGAGGTGGAGGATGGAATAATGGAGGGATGGCAACGGAGTGATCTGGTCACTTTTGGCGGACGGCTGGATATGGAAAAATATGTTAGGTTTTTATTTTCTCTTTCTATTAATTATTATTTTTCCCCTTAATACCTAGTTTACCCTTACTAACTACCTAACTAATAACCTACCATAAACAAACTAAAATTATTTTAGCCAATAGGAAAGCTTTAAGCATATGCTTAAGTTTTTAGGCTTAAGCACCGGATCTGACCCGCAAGCAAACTTAGAAATGTGTTTTTGTCGTTAGTAGAGAAATGCAAATGGGCCACTATGGATGATAAGCCCACAAGATGAGTTAAATTCATTTTTGAAAGAGCCCAAGCAAAGACGAGTTTTAAAGTGAAGTAGGCTTACTTTTACTTTGATTAAAAAGGCAGCAACCAATAAACACCAATTTAGTTCTCTTTACTAGTTTTCCGATCAAAACAAGCTATATGCACAACTTCGGACGAAGAAGAACAGAGCATGAGCACAAAAACAGAGTATGCAGAACTGAAATGCAGAAATAAAAGAACACAAGCAATTTTTACATGGTTTCCAGTGTTGAGAGAAATAGAATCTCAACACTGACTAGTCCACGATTTGAGATTCACGACTTTGTGATCTTCGATGAGCTACTAAGGATATGTCTTTGACTCTCTTCGTTTACAAATGAACAACCCAGTATTTCCCAGTACCGTCACCTCGATTAACTCCCCGTCAATCGAAACCCGTGTATCTCAACACGTAACCCAAGCTATCTAACTTATGCTTGAACCAAGCAACTCCCCGTATGCTTGAATCCCTTTCCTACCAAAACACTCTTAGCAAATCCCGCTTTCTAGTATTTTGATCTCCCGGAAAGGTGCCCAACCTATCTACCCAGAAGCCCTTTTATACTCTTACAGAATCTGACCGTTGCATATTGAACATTCTTTCCATGTTGAGTTGATTCCAAATCTTCCCCATAAATGGTAAGCATCTTCATATTTGAATCCACCAGCTACGGGAAGTTCCTTCTTTTAGTTTACTTGCCATTTGCTTGCTTTCCTAAATCACCAAAACGATGCACCCGGAAAGCCCTGCATAACAGGTAAGTTTCTCTTCCATACACAACATAAGACCTTGTTGCTAATAACACGTTTCTCCCAACATGTACTTCTAAAGAAGAGAAAATGAAAACTAATGAACTCTTTAATAAAAAAATGACGAATTTTGGAGTTAAACTTTAGTTTTTAAGTCCATCAAAAGATGTTTTGATCTAGAAGGGTTAGGGTTAAAATTTGGCTTTGGTAACAAATTTAGTTTAATGTAGATTTCATCATTTTGTTTAGATAATTCATTGTTTATTATTTTATACAGTAATAATTAAATAAAAAGGACATTAGGATATACTTTTTAATATTTTGACATAATATTGTTTTCATTACAAAATATGACATCTTAATGACAAAAACACAACAATTGATTCAAATGGTCATAAATTCATCACATGTTTGACGAAATGAGTTGTATCATCAACTATGGTGGTATTTATAAGAGAAGTATGAAAACAATAGGTACCCAAAGAGACGTTGGAGTGAAAATGAGGCTGTGATGTTTACAAATTTTTTGTTAACTCAACCGCCACACCTCTGTTCGAGACTTTGTTGATGAATTTGGATTTTATAGGTACTAAAATCAGAACTCGCGATGTTTCAAAATTCGCATGTCGTTTTACAAATTCTATCTGGTACTTATATTAGTCAAATAAAATATGGAATAACTCATAGAAACATAGAGATGAAGCATGAATTAAACTTTGCTGTTTTGGTTTAAACTAAGTAAACTTTATTTGGAGTATGTTGAGTAGATCTTTGTTGTTGATCAACTAAAATGGTCAAACTCAAGTTATACGCAAAGAAAAAAAGGTTAATTTATACACTAAATCGATCAACCTGACAACTACTAGGTCGATGGTCTATGCTCTGACGGACCTTTACCTGCTATGTTAAATACATCGACGAAATTCTATTGGTGTAGTCATGTTCCTTTGGAATGATCTACTTGGAATGGAAAGCACACGATTGTCATAAACTATACAAACATACCACATATTATTTTTATTTTTATGAATTACAACATTTTTTTTATCATCAGACCTGTATTTTACTGCTGCCTCCTGGGCTCAGAGTCTAGAAAGGTAACAAAGACATAGGTGGTCGGGCCTCCCAATGTTCTTGGGCATCCCAGTTACAAGATGTATGGGCTAATAGGTGGGCCACCCCATTGCACTCCCTTCTTGCAAAATTCCACTGGATTGAGTCCAGTCTCTTTGCTGCTATTTGTAGATCTACAATCAGAGCTCCAGCTTCCAATCTCGACACCTCCGTCTGTTTCAGAGCGAGAAATGCGCTCTGGCAGTCTGTCTCAACAATGGCTGTTGGAAACCCATACCTCTCCAACTGTTTCAAGCCAAAATCGATCGCCTTTATCTCGGCCAGCTTTGGGGACCATTGGACGCGCTCCCTGCAAACCGCCGCCATCACGAAATGGCCATTCTCATCGCGAGCCACCACCCCGAATCTCGTTCCTTCATCTTTGAAGACAGCGGCGTCCACATTCACCTTTACCCACCCCGGCGGCGGCGATTCCCGGGTAGGTCTTTCCCTATCTCTGGGCTCTAGCTCTTTGACATGAAGATCCCTGAATTCTTCCCAATAGTTTAGGGCTTTCCCGACGATTTCCCCTTCCTGAGCTTTTCGATTGTTGAACATGTGATTGTTCCGCTCGTTTCAAATACAACATATTATTACTATAACGATTAAACGCAAAAATATGCAAATATAGCTTTCATATTTAGTCCGAAAATTGGATGTAGAATAATATCCATTTAAGCAGATTGCTTCATATCAAAACCAGTGGAAGGTACAAGGTCTAATCTCTTAATTGAATCTAGACACATGCAGCTCACAACTTGGCCAAAAATTACGTACGATCACATTGTTTTTTCCCGTGGATATACAAAAAAGAAAAAGATGTTGATAAACCCTATATATCATCATGTTAATTAAAAACAACTTGAATTTAATTAATCTATAATTTTCTTATCATAATTAATTATTGAATTCAATGCAATTTTTGAGAAACCCTATTGTATCAGCCGATCAGACCGAGAATACCGAATCCAAAAAGGTAGGTGATTTTGACAGTAAAAAATGGTTGAATTACAATCGAACCACGATTTTAGTACAAAATGTCTTATCACTAACCGTTATAACATCCGGTATGAATTCACGATCTTTGATTGATTCAATGCTCACACAAAATTGAATAAATGCAAACACTAAAAATGAAATATTAATTTGTCACTTGCCCACGAGCAGATTAATTCATTTCATTAATTCCTTGGACAATGATGATGATCCTCCAGCTAGGCATTGCCCATTGGGACCAATTAGTGAGGGGCCAAAAAGGGTTCTTAAGTAATAAACTAGTATCAAAACAGTCAACTTGTATAATATAGTATTCATCAACTTAAATTATTCGTTTGACTCCTAATTAAAATTCCAACTAAAACTTGTCTTTATTTATTTATAATCCCACCCTCTCAAATTAATTAGCTAGCTAGGTTGTGATGACTTAATACAAGAGTTTTGGTGTTTTTTTTGTGGTGCTACATTCAATGTACGTACGGTGTGCTTGACTAGCTAGTTGTAGCGGTTATGTATATAATACATTGTTGATTGATCAGAAAGATGAACATGTACAGATACTTTAAATGAATCCTCATATAATTAATTAAAATCGAACTTTGGGCTGAGGTGATCGAGCAACTATATCCATATTGTGTTTCGAATTGTATGAAGGGGGTGAGCAAACCCTAGGCCTATTGGGTGATACAATAGGAGGTTGACAATGTTGAGATTAGGAATGGAAATGGTGAAGGTCGTTGCGAGCATCTCAATATTTATACTCGGTCCATTATACGTTGGGTAATTTCTCATGAAGAGTGGGGTGAGATAGGACCCATATCAGTACTTAATTTAAAGGGAAGGTCGTGGCAGGCATCTCGATATTTATAACCGGTCTATTACATGTCAGGTAATTTATCATGAAGAGTGGGGTGGGACAAGTCCATTCATATCGGTACTTAATGTAAAGGAAAAATATTATAATATTGCATTTTCATTATAAGAATAAAGAAAGAAACTCTAACATGATAAATTTAGCTAAACTATTTGACAAATTGATTAACTCACTTGTTTACAACTTTATTAAGGTAAAATATGAGGTAAAAAATGTACAATTCAAAGTAATTTGCGCAATTTCATGAAAGTTAGATAAAAAGGGGTCGAGAATGGGGTGGACTATAGGTCGAGGAGAGAGTATTCATGTTCTACCCCACCTACAAGGTGCGCACCGCCCGTTTCAAAACATGTCAAACAAATCGAGTAAAACGAGTCATGTCAAAATTGTCATCCTACCTAGTTGATATATCTTGGTATACTTATTCGGCTTACAAATTACAATCAGTAATACAATGAGAAATTAGAGATAAAATAAACTATCGTACCCATGAATCACATAAATTCGTGTATTATTTATTTTTCTACTTTATTTGTCATTTGCCCACTCAGATATAGCAGCATCAATTAATCCACTCAAATGAATTTTTGTGAATTGTGTTAATAAAAGCTTCTACAGAACCGATCATGAAATTAGAGATCGAGTTCGTTATAGAGAAAAAATGCATTAATAAAAGATTAAATGGGCGTTCTAGGTAGGGGAAAATATTCATGTGGGTCGTTAGAAAAAGCAGCAAGTTGGCTGGATTTGGTGCAGGATTTATCATCTTTCGAAGAAGGAGAAAAGGAAAATGATTAATGAATAACTAATAACAAACACACCCCCATTGGCCACTAGCCTTTCTTTTTCTCGTGGAAGCTTCCTAGCTCGAGATGTAATTAATGGACATGAAATAATCAATTAAATGGAGACAAATTGAAGTTAAAACAATATGCAAGTTGTTGTTTTTTTCTTCTTAAACATATTTTTGATTCCTTTCAAGAGATGATTATGAAAGGGTAATAGAGTTCGGCTAAATTCCGGTGGAAGGAACCTAAAACAGAGAATTACGATAAGGATACATGATAGGATAAAAAGGCAGGAAGCTTAAGATTCCAATATACAATACGAAACTCATTATCAAACCCAATGGTTAGACCTAAACGCAACTCCAAAACTCTAATTTACATTTATTACTCATCATCATTCGTCTATCAGTAGTGGAGCTACGTGTAGTTACCTTTGTGATTTGTAATCCCCTCTCAATATTTGATTTTAAGTTATGAAGTATGGACCACATGATAATACCGTACTGAAAAGTGGTAAGTGAATAGACTATCGATATCTCCTCGTACAAAACCTATTTGGAGTTTGATGTCAATATAAGTTGTTGTGAACTTTTAATTATGTTCCTCCCTCGCTCTTAATCCCGAGTTTGCCACTGTATACAATCATAAATGTTTGCTCCTTGCTGAAGTCATTGCTAAATGTTTTGGACAATGCGCGTTCGCAAAAGCATTTTCTTGTTCAACCACGTAGCAAAATTCATTACATTCGCCCCCTTTTCTGACATAGTCAACAGAACACTTCGAGACTTCATCTCTAGTTTCATAAGCATGGGGTACTTGGTTGTCAAAGAAGGGTTGAACTCGAGCATACATTGAATCGCTACAATCTCATGATTTTTGATACACACATGTCTACTAACATTAATGTCTCGTACGGGGTCAATACATTTTTGATTTCGTGAGTTTGCCAAAGCAAATAGCCACTTTCTGCAAGATCTCATCTCTAAATTCTAGTTTTGCCATGAAATACAATCATATACCTTCTCGCACTTGGCTTCTTATTTATCAAGCATGTTATTTGGAATCAATTACCACATATCATAATACACGTTATTCACTATGTGGTATTTGTACGAGATATTATAGTTAGATTACTCATGAGTAGTAGTATTTGCACTCAAATGTATTATCTTGCCAATTTGTTCTTCTTAACCCCATATTTTTCATGCCTTTTCACCAAGAGAGATTTCTTTTAATCTTCAATCTCGAGTTAAATATTAGAATAACTCATGTGTTTTAATGAGAGCCAGTAATTGTCAGTGAGCAAGTTAAGATTTAAATTTCATTTTAATATTTAATTTTTTTTTGCAATAATTTTGTATACAAAATCACAATGCTTGGAAATTTTGAGAATACTCGTCTCTCTCCTGATATTTGTCAAATAAAACGTCGGCAGTCTTTTGAAAATACCACTTACCAATAACCGGGGAAAAAATACAACGTACCAAATAACACATCTTTTATTTCTCTCCAATCAAACAAGTAATTTCACATCAAATAACACCAAACGAAACATTATATTTTTCCCCAAAAAAATAGGACCCATAAATTTCTCCCATTTTAACATTCAACATTAACACAATCTTCTTTTACCCAAAATGTCAAATTTCAGAGATGGAGACCAAATGAAAATGTTGATTTCATGTCACACGTAATGTTGAATATACAAATTTCCAAAAACGACGAGTCCAAACACCTAAAAACACTTATTATTATTAGGACGATCGACGTCCAAACAAATATATTGCAACTTGCACCTTTCTTTCTCCTCCCCACTTGCTCTCTCCCTGGCTGGCATGGCTGGCGTCTGCTCTGCTTTCCGCCTTCACAAACCAAGAAGAAGAAATATATAAAAACTATTTCCCTATCGCCTCCCTCCATATATATCACCGAAACAAGTTTCAATTTTTTTTTTAAATCCTCTCCCCAAAAATATTTAATCCCAACTTGCTCTCCCTTTTTTTTTCCAATCCCCTTCTCATATATATAAATCTTCCACAAATCCCTCCTTCCTAATCACTCACCCACCAAAACAAAATCCCTCGTCGGAAACTCACCGGCGCTAACAATATTCATCCAGCCATGCCGGCCTCCCTCCAGCTCCAACGAACCCCATCTCCCGCCGCCGCAGCCGCGGGGTGCCAGTACAAGCAGCAGCAGCCGGCTGAGTGCCGGCACGTGCCGCTCCTCCTTCAGACACGTGATCAGGACGACGATGCAAACAACAACGAAGAAGAGGACTGCGGCGCCATGGTGCCGGAGTACGTGGCGCGTCACCACGCGCGGGCGCTGGGCCCCAACCAGTGCTGCTCCGCGGTGGTGCGGCGCATCGACGCGCCCGTCTCCACCGTGTGGTCGGTGGTGCGGCGGTTCGACAACCCGCAGGCGTACAAGCACTTCCTCAAGAGCTGCCAACTCATCCGCGGCGACGGCGACGTGGGCACGCTCCGCGAGGTGCGCGTGGTGTCGGGCCTCCCCGCGGGGAAGAGCACCGAGCGCCTCGAGATCCTCGACGACGAGCGCCACGTCATCAGCTTCAGCGTCGTGGGCGGGGACCACCGCCTCCACAACTACCGCTCCGTCACCACCCTCCACCCCGCGGGATCGGCGGCGGGAACGGTGGTGGTGGAGTCGTACGTCGTCGACATACCGCCGGGGAACACCAAGGAGGACACGTGTAGCTTCGTCGACACCATCGTGCGGTGCAACTTGCAGTCGTTGGCTCAGATCGCCGAGAACATGGTGGCGGCGGCCACGGCCGGGGAAAACCATGTTATTAATAACCCTCCTCCAGCTTCCTCGTAATTACTTGCTTTCATCCTCGTACTAATCTTTCATTAATTGGGGCTTCACACGTCATTAGGTGTGTTTTTTTAGTTTAGTAGGTATATGAACATGTCATCGATCTATGTACGAACATCGAAGGTAAGTGTTCGGTTCGATTTTTCGATCCTTCGGACGAAAGGGTTTGAGATACCGGCAAAATCAAAGGAAGCATACAGGAAAGGAGTTTGAATCTCATTGATCGCTGAGTCGAGAATGAGTGAGGAGATCGAAAGTATATTGAGATCGAAGGTGATATGATGATCGACAATGTTATTGTATCATCTTTGTTTTTACTTTTGATGGGTTTTTTTTTTCTTTTCTCTCGTGGTTCTTCAATGTAGTAAGTTAGTTGTAATTGTCTCCTTTCTCTGGGTAATTTCTTAGGGTTTGGTGTCAAATATGTTGGTTAAGAAGGAATGGATCATTGTGAATAATAGTGCATCTTTGTCTTGACATTATTTTTTTCTGAAGCAATGTCTGCAACAACTTATCGCTCGTATCGATTTCCAAAATTTACTAAATTCCAAAATGTTTTAGTTTGCCGACGATAGTTTGATGTACGAGTTATGTCTCAAAACTCCGAAACAGCTAGTTAGGCGTTGTGTTTTCGCCAAAGAGATAATCGAGATTGAATTTCGAAGGATTATACATATAGGGTATTGTCAGTCATGATATCGCTACGCGCTAGAAACTCCTCCTCATACAAAATTGAGGTGATCTTTTTCCGAAATCGATATTTCTACCGGTTTCATATACATGCGGAATTAAACCCAACTAAACCTGATTAACATGTTGATTAAGTAAAAAGATACGAATAATCTATTGATAAAAAAATTATGTTTAGTACTAATGGATGGGCTGTTTCTGGGGTAGGGTGGCTGCAGGCAGGCAGGCGGTGGCATGGTTTCTTGGCCGCATCAATTCATGAATGGCTATACTAACAATTTATGCTCGGCAAGTTGCCAACTTGGAGGACCTTAAATATTACAAACTCTCAACTTGTGTGTTATTAATTCATAGTTGGCAACTTGGTTGCCATATTTTTCTTTTGAATTATTTAAATTATATTCATAACTTCTTTTGGTCCTTTTGAATTGTGTGTGTCTGGTTGTACCATATGGTCTGCAAGGGGGATGCTGCTGAAAAGGGCTTTCCTCCTGCTGCCTGCAAGTTGATACGCAAGTTGAGCAACAAAAGAAAGAAAAAGGGATTTTTATTTTTCTTCCATCTTTGTTTCATTATTTGTTTTGGGTAAGACCAACTCCAACGCACGGGTCATATTTGGGTACATGGAAGATGGAAAGAATTTTTTTTTCCAACCCAACAAAAAATTCTCTCGAATTTACAAATTTGAGAGATAAAGAGGAAGATTTATGCATAAATGATTAAATGGAAGGAAGGGAGTTGTCATATTTGGCTGGGAAGGGGGAGGGGAAGCCTAGACGCGCACTTTGGCCCTCCTGTTTTTTTTTTTAAGAATATGTAACATTTTAGGCGAATCCCACATCGACAAAGTACGGGATAGATTCATAGTTCATAAGTAAGAAATTGACTTTAACTGCTAAAAGGTGTTTTGGGGTGAAATGAAGGAGTTATTGTGAGAACTCCGAAGTTAAATGTGCTCAGTATGAAGTACAACAAGGATGAGTGACCTTATTGGAAGTCACCGTGAATTGCACCCCAAGTCGAAAAACCGTGAGGGTCGAGGCCCAAAGTGGACAATATCTTGCTCGGGAAAAAGTTCGGGATGTTACAGAATACGTGCTGATTTTATAGTATTTTAAGGATAGGATGCAGGCAAAACAAATATCACTTTCTAACTGGTATAAAAAAAGCTAACATTTTAATGACCATAAAGATATTACATTTTAACAATCATAAATTTTTTTTATATATTAATTGTTCTCTGTTATATGCATTCATAAAATTCTCTCAATATTATTTCTCGCATTTCTCAAAATCTCTCACAAACAAAAATGTCAAGCAAGAGGGAGACAATTGGCAAGATGAAGAAGATGAGTACTTACATTTTAACAATCATAAATTTTTTTTATATATTAATTGTTCTCTGTTATATGCATTCATAAAATTCTCTCAATATTATTTCTCGCATTTCTCAAAATCTCTCACAAACAAAAATGTCAAGCAAGAGGGAGACAATTGGCAAGATGAAGAAGATGAGTACTTGTGCAAAACTTGGGTATCGATATTACGTCATCATTTTTGACTTGTTATTTCATCTTTTATCATTTGTGTGTTGTTTTTAAAAAGAAAAGTAGACTTATGTAATAACCGTATTGAAAACTCGACGCGGATTAACGATTATTTTTCAAAGATTTTTTTTTTCTCTTGGAATGAAATCCCCCCCCCCCCCCACACACACCAACCAAAGAAAGGCGATCTAACAAAAAAAACCTCCCCCAAATAAATGATGACGAATTATACAAAATTAAAGTGAAAAGAATATAATTAGAAGGTACATAAATATCGTTTATGTGATAAATATAAATATTAAAAGGAAAAAGTGAAGTTAAATTTAAGAGGGATAGGATTGGAGTAAAAACAATAAAATGAGAAGCTATATTGGAATATTTGAAAAGATTGAATTAAATTTGAATAGATGATGAGTTCGAGTTAGTCTTGGTATTTATGCTTCCCTCTTTCTTGGCATTTACCAAATAGTTGAAGAGCTGGTATAAGAAAGTAAGAAGGAAGTTTAAACTTGTCGGCATGCCATAGGCCATAGCACAAAAGGTCGATGATTTTATTTGACTTGACCATCCGAGGGGCGAGCAACAGCATATATATGTATCAAATCTTGATCGATTGCCCAACATGACATGATGATAACGCTTATTAACTCTTTCATTTTGTTCAGCCAACTTGCCATTTTCATCGAACCCATATACATATATATTTATTTTCTCGAGGAACTAAGGGAAATGAGAGTGAGTGAGTTAGAAAAATGAACTTATTAACAAACACATGGGTTTTTGCCTTTTGGCGAATGCAAAAGACAAAAGAGGGTAAGGGTGTTTGTTATCCAAGGAAATGATGGGGTTCGGTTCATTTGTTTTCAAGAAAATCAAAAGGGTAAAGGTGTTTGTGTATCAATAACTTGAGTGGTTTTAGAGATGTTTAATTATGTATTTTATACTAATTATTAGTGTATTTTTAAAAAAATTTATGTCACTTATATGATTTGAAGTTTTCACATGTTCAAATATCATATGTTTAAAAAATGAGAGTCATCGGGATCCGAACGGAATGTATCTCAATCACAGAAATTCTTCTATTTAATTCTGTTTAAATTAACAACTTAGGTCATCGATATAAAAAAAATTAATTGGTCTTCGTAACTCGAGTTATCGGGACTAACTTGTTTTATTAAAATTAATAAATAATGTCATAATTATAAATAAAATAAAATAAAAACTAATTGAGTTCAATAACTCAAATTATAAAGACTAATTAGTTTTTGATATGATATGTTTTCTTCTATACCTTTAGGTGCCAAATTCTCTCAAATGATGCCATATACCAACCACAACCAATAGGCAGCGCCCATCGGTATCATGGATTGGCTTGTGGGCTTAATGATTGGCATTATATAAGGCCTAAAACAAACATAGCGCTACATACAAAATAACTCTTAGTCCAAGGCTCAGGGCTTTAAGCCCATTCTACAATTTCTTAAAGCTCCCTTCCTTCTTTGCACAGTTGCACCCTCAACCTTTTTTTTAAACAAGTAATCCTCTTATTCCAATCTCAAGAAGGGAAGCCAGTAACATTACAAGAGTGGAGCAATAATATCACAAATTACAATCCAGTCCACTGATAATGTATTCAGTCGAGCTTGGCCAGCAACCCAATCCGCGAGTGAATTCAGACGCCGAGGAACAAACTCGACCTTGATCCATGGAGCAGAATGGATGACCGACACCATGCGAGCAATCGTCGCACGAAATCGCCAAGGCCACAGAGAAGGGTCTTGACGAAGAGCAAGAGTAAGAACCGGACAGTCTGTTCGGATGCAGGTAGGTTTTTTGTGTCTTGCGCTGCAATCAAGATGGCATTGAGTAGACCAAAGGCTTCAGCTTGAATAGGACGGGAACAGAGGAAAGAATCAGCCTTGCCGTCGTACACTTGACCATGGGCATTGCAATAGTAATCCCATATGCCGCCAATGATGAATCTGAGATAAAGGAACCGTCACAATACATCAACCGTGAAAACGGGAGGGGTGGTGGTAAAGGGTACGAACGGGGACCCCTAGGCTGGGAGTGAGATTGTGTCGTACGAGAGAAAGGAGAGCTCGACGGAGTCTTCCTAGCTTCCTCTATTAGCAAGAAATCACGACCCGACACAATCACAGAAGAGGCCGGGTAAGGAGCCTTTTCTTCAAACACGAAAGTGTTGCGAGCAACCCAAATACTCCATAAACAACACACAATCCTGCGGACCTGAGTGTTGGAATATGTGTTTTGGAGATTAAAGAACCACTCACCAAAGGATGAGTTCTCCGAGGGGAGGCTATGGAGTGAATCAAAGAGCTCCCAAGTAGCAGAAGCATGGTGGCAAAAGAAGAGGCAATGCATCACAAAGAGGGCACATGGGGTTAGGAGCACATGATCTGGAGAATAACCTCTTCCAAGTGGCGATAGCCTTCTTAGCACACTTCTAGATGAAGAATCGCATCTTAGGTGACAGAGAAAGGGACCATAACCATTTCCAGTAAAAAATCTCTGAATCAGCAACCGGATGATCACGTCGCGCCCTAAGGACATGATATGCTGACTTAGTAGAATAGTTGCCATTCTTATTGTGTTTCCAAACCCAGCCATCATGAGCTTCAGCATGTCCCACTGGAATCCGCATAATAGCTTCTGTAGTACTCTCATCAAGGACTACTCGAATGGCCTCAACATCCCAAGAACGATCATCTTGTGTGCAAATGAAGATATGAATCATTTTTTTTTTGGTAGAAAACAGGACAAAATCGTCAGGTATGAATCACTAATATACACAAATTGTAAAAAAAAATCATCTCAATAAAGCAAAAAGGATCTGGCCACATATCATGCCTCCAGCCTCCAACCCTCCAGCCTCCAACCCTAATTAATGAACTAGTGTCCAAATTTTCAATACCATTTTCTATTTCTAGATACTATTAATCGAAAAATTATATACGTTTGTCTCAAATGAGTCCAACACTTTAACCACTTGCACCGTTTACAAAATTCTCATATTTAATCCGATTCAACGAATTGTATTCATGAATCCAATTAATGACCTAGATATTTCTAAGCAAGTCCCAAATGACCAAATCCCCAACTACCCCTTACTAAATTCAATCAAATTCTATTTCTCGCCTTTTCCCCCCCGCCCTTTCACTAAAAACTTGTGCAATTGTACATCACCCTCGCTTTCAACCCAGGTAATAACAACCGAAAAGAAATTGTTAAAGAAAATACAAAAAAAAAAAAAAGAGAAGCAATTAATTAACTAATTACATTTGTGATCAATCAATCAAATCAAGGATAGAAAAGCTTGGCAAAAAGGAGCTGGTTCCAGGTATCTTGAAGCCCGGGGAGGCACCAGTGGGTGCAGTCGGCGTAGCTGACCGGGTTGGCCAGCTGCTCCGCCGTGAGTGGGCTCCACTGCTTCTTGTAGATGGAAGTGTGTGCGTCTTTCCGGTAGTTGGACAGCTGGGTTATGTTGAGGAACGTCACCGGATACTTGGACTTCCCGAACTCCTCTCCGATCACCTGCATTATGCTCCTCCGGCTGTCGGACCCCCAGTACGTCGCGTTGTTGATCGGTGTCGTCTCGTTGTAGCAGTTCTTCCCTGGCTCGCCTCCCCAATCCTCGCTCCTGTTCAATGAAACATCATGTCACAAAAACATATAATAGTACAAACAATCAAATAATCTATTACGTGCACTTTTCGGAGAATAGAATTTAGGGTGAAGGATCGGGATATGAAGAATAAGAATGGAGGAAAGATTGATAGAATGGTAGAAGAGAAGTGTTCTCCTTAATGGCGAGAATGGAACCCCTAAACTTTTTCGAGGAAAATCAACCTCCCAAATTAATTAACACGTAAGTGTGTAAAATTCTTTTCTTATTATACTTGATTCCCCTCATCTATCCATCTACTACTTTAAATAGAGAATGGAACTCTAATAATCCTACAAATAATGAACTTAACGGGTAAACACTAATCCACTAATCACCCCAACTAATTTACGTCTAACAATTCATAATATTTAATCCTAATTCTAATTAACAATTGATAAAAACCAATTAAATAAAAACTAATTAAAGCACATGACATAATCCAATCCATTTTGATACAAATCCAACTAGATTGGTGGATTTGCGGGTAGGTGGCAAATCACAGTTTAGTACCTACAATTTTTTACATTCTAATATTTGGTACCTAAAATTTATTTTTTGTACAAAAAAACGTCATTGAAAAATCATGTTATGGTACCTAAAATTTTATGTCATCACATTTTAGTACCTGAACTTTTCAAAATTAACATACCGATCCAATGTCTGGGCTCTAATGCAACCAAGAATTCTTTTGTTCGAATTCTTGTAACCCCATTTGTTAAGCGCATATGGTATCCTGACGCTTGTGCAAACTTCTAACTCCTTCCGAGATTGCTTTCTTTTTAAGAGAGTGTGCTAATAAATAAATAATATATAATCTATAACTAAACCTCCTCTAATAACTCAAGTACTTACTTGCACCAAATCGGTTCTTTCACATGTCTCACCCAAATCATTTTGAGTTGAGATGATTGATAGAACTTACTTGGCGTGGGTAGGCGACATGCTGGTGAAGAAAACCCTAGTCCTCCTCGGATCCATATTCTTCCTCGCCCACCGCATCATGCTCCGCATCGCCATCCTATACGCATCCTCCGTCGAAACCTCAACAATCTCCTTCACCTCGTCGTCAAACGAGCCTTGCAATATCTTCATCTTCAAGCCCGTCATCCACCATAGATACGTGTTGAACACCACGACGTCGGCGCCCTTCCAGTGGCGGCCGTGCTTGTTGATGGAGCCCCGGCGGACGATGCGGTCGGAGACCCGGTGGATGACTGCGTCGTCGGAATTGGACTCGAGGAGGAAGGGCGCCCAGTAGAACTCGATGGTGGCGTTGTAGTCGGCGGCGGTGAAGACGGTGAGGGAGCCGGTGGTTTCCATGGACTTGGCGGACTCGTTGGGGATCAGGCGGTGGACGAGGCACACCATGGACACGTACTGGCCGCGGTTGAGGGAGTCGCCGACGTACATCATGCGCTTGCCACGTAGGCTCTCCAGCATCAGCGTCGCGTTAAAACTGCATATATGTTGACATCATCAACAAGCTAGAGTGAGTTTTTTTTTGTTTTTTTTTTTGTAATTTCATCGATTAATCAAATAATTTTACATAATCACATCATAAATCAGCAACAACGTAATTTTATAAGCACTAAATTGTTTGAATTTCTCCAAATATGCAGCAGGTTACAAGTAATGAATAGAAGAAAAACAATTATAACCACTACTACTTATTTTTTGCAATTAGTGTGTTTTCTTGTCATATATAGTAACTATATTTGGAATGGCAGAGGGTGGACATTTCAATCCAACCTACTAATCCATTTTATCAATTAAAAAAATCAATCAATCCAACCCAGTCAAATCAATTTCATTTAAGTTCAATTCGACTGGTAGATTCATGGATATTAATAAAATTTAAATTTAGTATCTATATTTTTTATATTTTACATTTTGATACCTAAATTTTAATTTTTTAGTACAATTTGGTGCCTGATTTTTTTTCATAATGACTTTTTAGTACTTAAAATTTTCAAAGTTTACAAATTGGTCTAATGTTTGGATGTCACTTGATCCATGAATCCAATCCACCAAATCCATTTAATTCCATCTACAAATCCAATATATTTGTCACCTCTATATATACTCATGGAAGATAGTAAGTCAAAAAGAAAACTTGGATGGCAAAAAATTGTTGAGATTGTTGGATTTTGTGGGATCTAATAGAATTTAATCATATTTAAATACCCAAATTCACAATAATTGAATCTATCCCCTTGAAATTACGATAACGTCATTGTACTATTTTACTAAGCACATTAATACATTAAACTAAGTGAATGTTATGTATAAAAAGTTTTAGTAGAAATATATATGTCAAATAAATCTTTTTTTTTTTGTTTGTGAACAAATAAAGCATATAATCTGTCCCTGGAAACAAGAAGAGAATAAGCTAATATACATGAAAATGCACGACCTGAAAAACCAGAGGGATCGTGAAAATCAAAGGACTTTCTTTGCCATTATTCCCGGCGCGGTGCACGTTGTCAGAAACATGCAAGAATACTCAAAACAGCATAGAACCCCCCCTTTTGTTTTATTTACTGAGAGAACACCCATTAATTTTTTTTGTTATGGCTAGAACACCAATTATTGTTCCTTATGAAAGAACAATAATTCTTGAATCTGCATATCTATATTCTTTCTCCATATGAAAAAAAAAAAAGAATTATGATTGATGAGGTCGACCATGATCTCGCATTTTAACTTTGCTTATCTTTGTTTACAGTGCGACATCTATAATTCTTTTCGTCATCGATACCTTCAATGGAATAACATAGAGTTTAGGCTAAAGCCGGCACCGGCCACAGCGGCCGGCCGGCCCGTTACACCCAAACTCATTTCACATCGTTTGGGCTGACCGCCGATTGCATATATCTTCCTTCAACAAAAATCCATCAGTAAACAGACTAATTACTAATTAGCTAGCCTTCCTTCGGCAAATCCAATGCCAGCTCACTCATGATCAGTCATGCCGATCGACCAAAGTTTATACACACACTAACCACTATGTTAATCATAATTATAAATTATGATTACAAGCTAATGACGGGAACATATACATTAATTGTACTGACCAAAATATATACCAGCCATGGAAAATTCGAGTAATTTGTGAGGATCAATATCATCATCATCATTAATATTATTATATATTAAGTAAGACACAAGACAAGACAGGTGGGAGTGGGGGCGTGTTAAGTACATAGTAGTTCAACCAACTGATAAATTAATTACTATGTATAATTAACAATTATCCTATCTAATTAGTTTGCACTTGAAAAAAAAAAGCCAATTAAGAAGGAAAAAAGAAAAACGGAAATGAATTTAATTTACCTGGGGAGATCACAGCCGTGAGGTTGCCACCTCCAGAACTGGTAATCCCTATCTGGACGGCCGTGTGCCTGACACGTCAGCTGCGGCTGGATGTACGGACACTCCGATTCCTCGTACAGCGGCCCGGCCGTCTCGTCCCAAACCCACCTCCCGCTGAAGTAGTCGCACCCCGCCGGCTTCTTCCCCACCGCAAACGCCGGCTCCACCTCCCACTTCCGACGGGGAGAAGGGTTGCCGGCGACGACGTCGTCTTGAGAGGAGTAGGGGTCGAGCTGGCCGAGGAGGCACATGAAGTCCTCGCCGTAGAGGGTGACGACGAAGACGATGAAGGCGAGGAGGGTGAAGAGGAAAGGCGACAGGCCGCGGGCTTTTCTCAGAGGGAAAGCGGAGGAAGAAGAAGAAGATGAAGAAGGAGGAGAAGGGGATCTTGGGGTCTTCATTTTGCTGTTTTCCCCCCTCGATCCCGTCGACTGATGAGAGTCTTTAGTTTTGAGAGCGAAGTTGTATATAGCTAGGTTGAACGAAAGCTATGATGATTATACGTAGTGATTGTGATTAATGGCGTTTTTTGGTTTAAGGATAAAACTTGTTAATAAGTAGGATCGTTCGTGCCCGGTCGAGAGATTATTATAATATAATAACTATATATAAGTGGATTTGTTACTTGTTTTGTAAGTGAGATTTGTGGCCTTTCTTTGTATGGCCAGAGAGTGGAAATGTGCGTTGACTTATTTATAGGGAGGGAATATGTATCATTATTTAATGGGCCTCTATCATGTTTTTTTTTTTACATTGGTTTAATTTGTTTGGGGTCTTAAGTTATTTTTCATTATAATTTAGCTTTTACTTGTATTTCACTTTAATAGGAGCATGATTATCATTAAGAATGAAGATGAAAATAATGATGGGTGACAATGGTGGAAACTGCATGATCTATTGTGTGAGGGGCAAATGGGTGGAGGGTTATAATGTCACTTGGCTTGGAAGTAAAGTCATGTATCGAAAGCTCCTACATCATTGTCTCACTTTGTGGGCCAGTGGATTGGTTATTTTTTACTTTTTTAGGGTTTTTCTTTGACCAATAGTTAAGGAACGAACAAGGGAGTGGAGGATGCTAAGCCATATAGTTTCTGTATCTTCTGTTGTAAAATTGAAGAGATGTGTTTTAGGTGAGGATTTGGTAGAATTTCAGCGTCAAAGTAGTTGGGGAAATGTTTGTTTTCTTTGGATCCAACCTTTTGAGTACCCTTAACAAACATGGATGAATCAATTATTAGTTGCAGAAATAATTCAGCTGAAACACCTAGCTTTGTTGCTCAATTGTATGAAAATTAACTCTCATGGATTTCATCGTGTAACAGTATGAAGAGGTTGATGCTCAACTCTCACGGATTTCATCATGTAACGGTATGAAGAGGTTGATGTTCATTGCACTCTAAATTAATATCGATTATGTGATATAATTAATATGAAGATCAAAATGAAGTTTGTATTTTGGGGTTGAATCATTGTTTTTTTGTAACTATCTACGCCTCTGATTTTGAATCTAACATGCAGTATATTTTTATCATTCTCACTTGATGATCATGACTATGCCTTACTCATGCTCTTGCATCTTGCGTACTATTAAAAAAAGACTTGTATCTTGTTATTTTCTTTTCCGATAAATCTTTTTTATTTTTCTAGAAAGGATAGACTTAATTGACTTCAGATATTATAAATCAGAGTAGCATAGAAATCTCGTTTATTTAAAGATTTTTTTTTGGGTTATAGGTATAATATGCCCCTCTATTATGACATTTTATCAAACATGCCCCTCTATTATTTTTTATATCAAACATGCCCCTATAATTTGGAAAAACTATCAAACATGCCTTTAGTTGAGATTTCCATTGAAAAAACTGTCAGTCATGGTTGAACCGAGATTTAGACGACATGACATCGACAAATGGGAGGGGAAATGTCAGTTTTTACCCTTATTTTATTTCTCTGAGTCTCGTCAAAGTGAAATTATTAGAATTATTTGGCTATACAAAAGAACAAAAAAACTCTAAAGTGAAATTATCAGGGATATTTTAGACATTTGGGTCGCCCAAACCAAAGTTCGGTCTCGGTTAACGGTTTTTGGATGAAAAAATTAACAAAAGGGCATGTTTGGTAATTTTTCCAAACTACAGGGGCATGTTTGATGTAAAAAATAGTAAAGAGACATGTTTGATAAAACATTAGAAGGGCATATTATACCTATAACCCGATTTTATTCAAACCATTTTTGAATAATTTTAATGCTTCACTGAGTGGAGCAAAGCAAGATCATTTGGTGGGTGTACGTTCTAACTAACACATGCTATAGGCTATAGCTAACTAACCATGTCTTAGAGTTGAATTTCATACTTCAATTTCAAGGGGGGGAATGATAGAGCCAGCTCAATTATAGCTTTAAACTTATCAATTTTCAGACACAAAAAAACCATTGAATATATTATAAGACATACCAATCGAGCACCTTGTGTGAATATAATTATTGACTCCTTGATACTGATAGGCTACGTACCCCATGGCTGTTGATTAACTGCAACTCTGCAATTCTTTGTTTCTAATGAAAGCTCTCTCATTTATCTGGAAACAAACTAAAAGATTGGGTTTGTGCGACTTGCAGATCTTCCATGAATATTGGGGAAAGTTACCACATGCCACAAGGAAAATGGTTTGATGCAAGTCTGGTGATCAGGATAAAATTGTCATTCGGATGCTCCTCGCCATAAGATCGAGCTAACTAGTATCAAGGGTAGGTCAGAGGGTATCAATGTTGGGTCAGGAGAATCTGTGAGAAATGAAGCATCAAAAGGAGTTTTCTGCAGCTATGGCATCAGTGATCATGCATCTTAACAATCAAGTCACATATAAAACAGTGGCAATTGAAAAGAAGAGACTAAGACTTCAATTCTACACGGTCTGTCTACACAAATTAAACTACCTTGATATGATGGGAATTGGGAAGGAGGATAGCAGAAGCAAGCGAATTCGGATTGAATGCTTATGACCGGTGTGTGTATCCTCTTGCTTACACCATCTGATCACTCATCCATGCGTTTTCTGCTGTTGGATAACGTAGTGACGTTTCTGTATATAACCCGCCTACGGGTTGATCTAACAGCTTCAAACACGCGGGTGGGCGACCGGACAGTGCAAGCAAGAGTATACACCCGGCCTTGTAAGCAGGATAGCCGTGTTGGGAATGAGCAATGAGCAAAAAGACATGGATATCCTGCTGTGCGTACGGTACATGGTATGTATTAGAACTTAGAAGTCGAAAAAATAGAGGGTTTCCATAGTCTACTTCAAGGAAACCATCTATCTACACCCTACCAGCTGCTTGCTTTCTAGTCAACGTAAACTACCTAAGATTGAGATTGGGTGGACATACTTGAAAAGTGCCGGTTAAAGCTGAATCCCAGATGGTGCTAAAAGTTGACAGGAGAATAGGAATCACGATAGCTCTCCGTGGGTCCTCTGAATCTTCGAACCAAAGAGGTGAAGAAGCCCTGGTGTATCAGAAAAGCAAGTGGTAATGACTACTCCAGAATTGGATTTAGATGAAACAAAGTACATCCGAACCTCTTGGGATAGAGAGAGAGATTATTTACCTGTGTCCTCTGAGGTAATGTGATCCAAAAGTCCAAGTTCGGCATCACCTGATGATAATTTCAGTCCAGAATGTAATGTTTGTGTGAAATGATAAATTTGATAAGATCCAAGTGAAAGAGAGAAAATCAACGGCGATAGCAACACTCAGAACTGGTTTGTAATAAACAACGTACATAAAATCCACGTATCCCGAGGAAGAAATGCCGATAAACTGCACCAGCTAACATATAAGCTCCAAAAACACACAAGACACTGAAACAATGAAGAAAGCAGTTAAAGCAAGATGATCGCACTAAAGGATGCAACAATTAACTACAATACTATGCCATTCCTGGAGAGGGGTTCTGCTAAGGAGAGAGAGAGAGAGAGAGAGAAAGAAGATGAATTGTGAAAATCAAAAGAGAGGAACCAACATTATTATCAAGGTAGCAAACCAGCCCAATCCTTTCCCATGAACAGATACAACTGTAGCACACCCGGATGGATGCTGTAATACTGCAGCCTGTCAAAGGACACGGATAAATAAGACCATTTCCATAGGTTTCGGAGAAGTCAAAATTCGTTAGTTTCCAAGCAACTCACATAGTCACAGGTCCCTGACTTCTGCAGTCCAAGGGGCCCCTGTTAAGATAGAAGGTTGTGTCATGTCTTAAGATACACATAATAAGGAGTTTCAAGCAAATATATATTTTGGGAAAATATACAATGGCGTTTTTGTTTCTAAGGAAAAAGTTTTCTTACTGTGAGTCCAGATGAATTACAGATGACAGAGACAGAGAGTGAACAGTTTTCCTTTGTATCAAGACTTGAGATCTTAACAATGACACCCTTCTGGGGATTTTGTTCATCTGCAACGTTCATGTGTATAGAGAGGAGTCCTTTCAGATGCGACTATGGGGATAAGTAAATAGCCAAAAGGCATGCTCTCATTAATGATCAGCAATAGCAACTTACCCATGATCTCAGCAGAAGTGCTAGAAACACTGCCAATAGTGCTGCACACATCATAGCCTGCATGTATGAGATGAATCTAGTTAAATGCCTTTACTGTTCTACTATGAACTGACAAGCACAAGGGACACATTAAGATCATGGTATTAGGTTAGTTCTTAGAGCCGGTTTGAGTTAAATATTCATATCCAAGGGGTTGGATAGAACTTCATAAAAAACTTGAAGAAAGAAAATGCAAGCAGTTGTTTCACATCTTTCCTGATTTACGATTTCCGAAGCAAGGATGAATTCACAATGATCATTCTAGGTATATGTTCATCCCTATGCTAAGGCAAAACCTTGTCCCGATCTTTAAATAACTGTTATTTCTTATTGGTAGTATCAAGAAGTTGCTTAAACAATAATCTTGTATAACATTCAGTGGTACAGTTACAGCTACATCATTCTTACACAGATAAGTAGATGCAGCAAGATGGTACTACTATCCATGCTCACCTAACAATGACCCCAACACAAATTGTGATGAAAGTTACAAGCAAAACGTGAAAGGACACATCGTGCACATTGGAATTAGAATTTCTATATCACGTGTATAAGTGTAGCATTACCACCGATATTATTGGCAACAAGTGCACTACAACCACTGCCACAGTGAGATGGCCCACCACAGTCCTGCATTACCGAAAATAATAGTAAAATGTGAAATCCCCATGGTGAGAAAAATTTCACTAATATGAACAGACTGGGTATCGAAACTAATTGAAATCTGGTTTTCCTAGTGGTAGTAGAAAATCTGTCTGATAGATGGAATCAAAATGAGTAAGAATCTACAACACTTTAATTTCAGACACTCCACAGGAAAGGTAGAAACACCAATAGGTACTTCAATTGCTCGGAACTGGGAAAAAGGTTTTCATGATCCACCCAAATATTTTTGTATCGGTCTGTCCAGAATTCTAATACTATAATCGCTTTAGAATAAACAATGAAGTTTGCACTTACTAGTGGCTAGCTAGGAGTTCTATTTTCATCAATCATGGTGGAGAAATTACTCCAAAACTTAAGATGTGTGTGGAATGGTAAATATACCAACAAAGAGTATTATCATCTCAATTGCTCACTGCCTAATCTACCAATGATGCCATGGTAGTAAGAATTCATCGATGAGAAGCGCTTACCTGACAGCCAACACATCTAGGTGGGTCGTGATTAAATATCATTCCATCACAGAGCTGCTCAAAACAACCAAGGAGAACAAATTAAATGTCAAATCATCTGAAATGATTCTCAAGCCAAACTGTTTTCACAAAAGAAAATATTATCTAGAAGCTTTGCAGTTCACATGCTTAACTTTGTGTTCCAAAGGCTTACTAATCATGAATTCAAATTCAGCTCAGGCTGTTGCCCTATTGTGTCAGGTAAAGGTAGACACTAGTTCAATCTCCTAAGTGCGGCACTGGTCTTTCATTGGCTCATATATAAGTAATCAGAAACAAAGTGTAACCTGATTGGTCCAACCTGAAACCAGAGCACACTCTCATTCTCCGCAACCTTATAGAACCTAAAAGCATCAAACAAAGGAAGAGTGTTTCTTAATCAGAACCCAATTAGCACTGAGAGAAACAGGTTTGTGGTTGAGTTTAAATTAAACATGTGTTCCTTTTTAACGAGATATCCGAATTATAGGGCAAACAATTTGTTTCCTATAGCAGAAAATGGCATGAAACCGCTTTATTAATATTCAGAATATTTAAGTTACATTTACCATTCCGTACGATGCACCAAGTGTGCATTAAATCCACAAACTTATACATCAACCATCTCTAGAAATGCCTTTCAATTGCCTACATCATCTTTTAACCCTACACTCAAAGCAACAGTTCTAGCAAAGGCCAAACAGTATTCATGTAGAGGTCCTACCAACTAGTTGCAGCTCAAACTGAAATGACCTAAGCCAATATCTTATACATCATCCTCATTAGTGCACTAGTCAATACTACAATAAGCTGATGCCATCCCAGAAACAAGCCGTGCGTAGGTTGGATGATACCCAGGGAAGCAATGTGTCGAACACAATGAGTGCAAAAACAGAGAAACCCGTACTGCCCACTGAAGCAAAAGAAAAGAGATTTCAGAAAGCACTGTACCCATCTTCGCTGAGGACGCCGTGGGGAAATCCCGCGATAGGAGCAGTCAGGCTGAAGTTGAAAATCTGGCGGCCGTTGAAATAACTGACTTCGCAGGGACCGGCCGAGGCGGAGTGGAATGACGACGCGAGAATGAGCAGAGGAATTGCGATTAGCGAACATCTCAAGGAATCGATGCGTATTCCCATAGTGCCCGGCCTTCTGGGTAGCGTAACGTTGTGGATTTTCAGCACATTGCTGCCCCGAGAAGGCGAGGAGCTCCGGAAGAAGGCGTCGGCGTCGGGCTTAGGAAAGTCAGCAACCGGATCTTCTTTCAGGTGTGGGGAACCAAGGAAAGGAATCTGAAACTGCGACTGCCGGCGCACCGTTTCTAGTCCGACGAATGCTCAATTTTCCAGGAAATTGCCAAGTGCCCCACCAGTTTTGTCTTAATTGTTAAGATAAGGACAAAAGAGGCCTTTTATGGCTGGCCTGTGGGCCTGTTGTGGCCCGCTTTTCAAATGGGCCGAGGGACAAGGCCCACTCTTCCTCTCCTCAAGAGTCAAGACTCAAGACGTTAATGGCGATTGGCGGGTGAAGGGGTTAAGGAAAGGAAGAGGAACCGAAGAAGAAAGGCGCCACTTTCCGCCGCTAACGAAAACGATGGAGTCGCCGAACCCAAACAGAGCGTTAACGAATACTCGCTTCTCCGACCTCAATCCGGCGCTTTCCGGCCCGGTGCTCGATGCCCTGAAAGAAGGCGGATTTGATTATTGCACGCCGGTGCAAGCTGCTACTATCCCCTTACTGTGCGGCTACAAGGATGTCGCCGTCGACGCCGCCACCGGCTCCGGCAAAACCCTGGCTTTCGTTGTCCCTCTTGTCGAGATTCTCCGCCGGGTCTCCCCTGCTCCCAAACCTCAACAGGTGAGCTTCTTCACGTTTCTTCTGTAGCTGCACCCAAGTGTTGAAGTAGGCTTCCTTATCTAATTGCAAGTCTGCATCTATAGTTAGGTTAGATAATAGTTCCGGTGACTGTTGATTTGTTGAACTTTCCCCACAACTTGTTCAAGCTGGGGTCCTTTGTTTGCTGACAGGTATTGGGAATTATCATCTCTCCAACGAGGGAGTTGTCATCACAAATATATCATGTTGCACAACCATTCATCGATACTTTATCAAACTTCAAGTCCATTCTCCTTGTTGGAGGAGTGGATGTGAAGGCTGATGTGAAGAAAATAGAAGAAGAAGGAGCTAATTTATTGATTGGGACGCCTGGTAGGTTGCACGATATAATGGAGCGGGTTGGTGACTTGGATTTTCGGAACCTTGAGGTAAGGAAATCTACTACCCTGATTTCGAACTGTATATTGACCTGGTTTCTGAATGATATTGTGGTACTGAGTAGTGGAAATGAGTCGGCTTTCTTGCGGATGTGAACTTCGTTTTGCTACTTGTTGGAGCAGGTGTTGATTCTAGATGAGGCTGATAGGCTCTTGGATATGGGATTTCAGAAGCAGTTAACTGCTATTATATCCCGTTTGCCAAAGCTTCGAAGAACTGGTCTGTTCTCGGCTACTCAAACCGAGGCAGTTCAAGAGCTGGCCAAAGCCGGTCTTAGGAATCCTGTAAGGGTTGAAGTTCGTGCTGAAACAAAGTCATTGGATGGTTCGGGGTCATCTCAACATCCAGGTTCTTCCAAGACTCCATCTGGGCTTCACCTTGAGGTATATTGCTGCTTCCCCTTCTGTTGAGCCCTACCCTTAACCTTGAGGTATAGTATTTTTGAAAATAACTGGTGTCTGTCTTTATGCAGTATTTGGAGTGTGAAGCAGATAAAAAACCATCAGAACTTGTTGATCTTCTTGTCAAAAACAAGTCTAGAAAGACTATAATGTGAGTTTTAGCCATATTTTGTAAAAGGGTGCCTGAACAGAAACATCAGTATCGAGGTTGACATGGGTTTCTTGCTAACAAAGTCTTTAACTCTGTAGATACTTTATGACATGCGCTTGTGTTGATTACTGGGGAGTTGTTCTTCCTCAATTGTCTGTTTTAAAGGGCCTATCTTTGATTGCTCTCCATGGGAAGATGAAGCAGGTAAAAAAATTTGCTGTAGATTCTACCCAATTCACTTTTGCTTTCATAAGCAAATATTGTGCCTCCTTGCCATAACACTATTTTTCCTTTACAGAATGCTAGAGAAAAAGCATTGGCAAAATTTACATCTCTTACAAGTGGTGTTCTTCTATGTACTGATGTTGCGGCACGTGGGCTCGACATCCCAGGTGTTGATTATATAGTGCAGGTAATATGAACTTCTGAATGTGGGCTGCTGTCTAAGTTGGGGAGAAATCCTTCTATCTAAGAATTCTCCCTTCATATTTGTTTCTGCAGTATGATCCGCCGCAAGATCCAAATGTATTCGTCCACAGAGTTGGCCGAACTGCTCGTCTGGGTAGGCAAGGTCATGGCATCGTTTTTCTATTACCTAAGGTGTGGTGCACAATTGTCTAGTTATAGTAAGATTAAGCCACCATTGATAATTAGCCCCACTTAACTCTTTTAGTCTTATGTTCCCTTCATTGAATGCTTTCATATATGATTAAGTTGCCTATTTCAGGAGGAAGCCTATGTAGAATTTCTGAGGATTAGAAGGGTTCCTCTTGAAGAGAGGGAAGGCACTGATGATGCCCCAGATGTTGTCGCTCAGGTAATCACTCCTGAACAAATTAAGTAAATAATGCCTTGAGTAGAACCTTGTGCTGACAAACCTAGTTTGTTTCCTGCTCTTCTGTATTTATTTCTTTTATTGTATCTTGCTTCAGATTCGATCTGTTGCCAGAAAGGACCGAGATGTCATGGAGAAAGGGCTGAGGGCGTTTGTCTCCTTCATCCGTGCATATAAAGAACATCATTGTTCTTATATTTTCAGGTTGGGAATGTGGTTTCATGTCTCAAACTGTGTCCATATGTGAACTTTCCTTCCAGGCGTCTGCTGGCTTTATGTTATAGAATTATATAAAGTAAATTATGAACTTTCTATTCCTTAGGTGGAAAGAACTCGAAGTTGGGAAGTTGGGCATGGGATTTGGGCTATTACAACTTCCTTCAATGCCTGAAGTGAAACATCACTCCCTCTCCATCGAAGGTTTCGTTCCAGTTGAAGACCTCAAATTGGGGGAAATAAAATTCAAGTTAGAAATCTTGTCCTCTCTGATCTTGCTTTTTATGGCCGTAATCTTGCTAATATTGGCTGGCTGATTATGTGTTTCCTTAATGGTAGAGGTGTTGATAATTGTTGATGATGTGTAGGGATAAATCTCGAGAGAAACAAAGGAAGAAGAATTTGCAAACTAAGAAAGAAGCAAAGCTGCATGAAGATAAATCCCAGAAGCCCAAAAGGAACCCTGATGCTGCTGCCCCAGCAATGAGGAAGAAAACAGCTAAGCAAAGGCGTGCTGTCCAGAATGTGGAAGATGAAGAGGAGCTAGCTCGTGAATACCGTTTACTTAAAAAGCTGAAGAAAGGGGCTATTGACGAAACTGAATTTGCAAAGTTAACAGGAACAGAAGAGTTAACTTGAAGTCTATGGTCATCCCTCACCTCAGCACTCTCCTGCTTGTGTTCAGAAAGAAACATAGGACATAGCAGGAGGGATCTAAAGGTATCCAAGATTTGAGGAAGGAGTATTGCACCCAGCAAATTAGCAAGTCAGCTGATAGAAGCTAGACACCAGCAATGGGAGAAGTTCGCCTTGCTTCAGGAGGTTATGCGTTCTGACAGATGAGAAATCTTGTAATCACTATATTCCAATTTTGTATAGTCCTCGATCATCATTCCTGATTTGTGGTCATTAGAACCTCCTCAAGGACTGTCAGATTTATAAAAGCATGTGTATGAGTTCCAACTGACATGTACCTTTCGGAACCATTTATTTGAGCAGATTTTTAGTAGGAAAAGAGAAGTTAGATTTTTCCAAGAGAAGCTGATGGGAAAGCATCCTTATGCAAGACAAAGATAAGTTTACTTGAAAGGCTCTTTATGATTGTCATCTCCTAGTTCCTTCAACCATTGCCTGGATGTCTCGAGTTCGTTGTTCAGGCCCTCTAGTTTGCTAAACAGTTTAGTAGTGTCAGGAAACCAACCCATGAACTTGAAGTTTACGTGGGCTCACCATACCTTGTGCTTTAATCAACTGCTGAATCTTATACCACTTTCTAACAAGCAGTTCTGTTTATACAAGTTATGCTTGGTTTTATGCCGTTTAATAGTTAGCACTATTCGACAAGCAATTCACTCATTGTACTGCTACTTTTTTTCATTGCATGTTTTACAAGGCCAAATCCAGGCTTCTCAGTATTCTACAATCCTCCAAAATTTCTACAAAAATAGGTAAGGGTAATAGGACTCACAATTGAGGTTGTCAAGAACCCGTTGCTTCCAATAATTCGAGTTGTTGGGAGAAGGTTCTGCTTGATCTTATACCATACTCTAACACGCCCCTTAAAACGAAAGTCAATCCATGAGCTTGAAGTTTGCACAGGCCCACCATACCTTGTGCTTTAATAAACTGTTAATATTGGGGATCGTGGAGATTCGAACACATGAACTTTCGGTTCTAGGCTCTGATACTATGTCAAAAATCAGTTGCTCCCAATAACTCGAGTTGTTGGGAGAAGGTTCGGCTATATCTTATTCCATACTCTGTAACTCCACCATAGAAGTGGATTTCCTTCTCGATCTCAACCCAACTCCGTCCAGCGTCCTTCTTCAGCTTTTTTCAGGTCACCAACTCATCATTTCTCTGAACTGCTGGCATTCTTCCCAGTACCCAGCATTGGCAGACATGTTCGACAGCATGACATAAGTCACTAGGCTTTCTCCATCCATCGATATCTCCATGAACTCGGAAAGCACTAAGCAAGCGTTTTCCAGGCTGCATTAATAAATCAAAACTTATGTGTTTCTGCCAGAATTGCAGAAACTCATTGACAAGGTATAGTAAGTCACCAATAGTCGTTGCAAGAACACAATCCATTCTCAAACCTGTGAAACCTATTAGCATCTCTTACCACGAACACCATTTGCAAAATCCTCGATAACCCTTTGATGAACTCATGGCAATCAACACAAACTCTCAAGTTCTTGAACACCCTAATCACCCTGGTCTTCTTCTCCCACCCTCCACGAACCAAAGCTAACCCAATTGCCAACTTCTCGCTATGAACCATAAGGTTGTCCTGCTTCGATTCTTCGTCAACATCGTATAATGCATGTTTAGCTTCGTTTACATACCCCAACTCTTGTTTCATTCTTTTTCCCATTTCCTCCAGTACCCCATGTATATGCTGTGCTTGAGGGTGTATGTCATCCCCACCATAGAAGAAGTGGATTTCTTTGTCGATCTCAACCCAACTCCGTCCAGCGTCTTTCTTCAACTTTTTTGAGGCCACCATTTCTCTGAGCTGCTGGCACTCTTCCCAGTACCCGGCATTGGCAAACATGTTTGACAGCATGACATAATTCACTGGGTTTTCTCCATCCATTTTAAGAACAACGTCGCCAACTTCTCTTCCCATGTCAATATCTCCATGAACCCTGCAAGCACTAAGCAAGGCTTGCCATATACCCACGTTGGGTTTTACTGGCATTGAAGAGATGAGATTCTTAGCCTCTACTAAACGTCCAGAGCGCCCAAGAAGATCAACTACACAAGCATAATGCTCAACCCTAGGTTTGATACTCTCATCACTGCACAACTTTGATAGGTATTCTTGACCTTCTTCCACTAATCCGGAATGGCTACAAGCTAAGAGAATGGCCAAGTAGGTTACATCATCAGGGTTAGTGTTGTGTGATTGCATTCGGTTGAAGAGATGAATGGCCTCTTTTCCAAGACCATACTTGCCATAGCCGGTGATCATTACAGTCCAGGAAACAACATCTCGTGCAGGCATCTTATCGAACAGTTTCTCTGCTTCTTCTGTCATCCCACATTTGAGGTACATGTCTAGAGCTGAATTGCATACCGAAATTCGCAAACCAGAGGGTATTTTAATGCTAAAGCCATGAATCTGTCTGCCTTGCTCTAGGAGGGCTAAATCTGCAAAGATGGCCATCATACTTGACATAGCATATTCATCTACTTGTATTGTACTTTCCCTCAGCAGCCTAAAAATGTCCATGACTTCTGCTAAGTTTCCTTCCTGAGCATAGCCAAGAATCAAAGCACTCCATGATATCGCATGTTTCTTGTCAATTTGATTAAATACTCTTCGAGCTTCAAACAGCTTCCCACATTTCGAGTAGGAATCTATTAAGGAACCTGCAACGCTGGCCTTGTCAGAATACTGGAATCCATTGGTGATCAATGAAGCGTGAATTTGGGTTGCTTCTCTGGCCGCACCAATCTTAGTACAAGCCTTCAGGACACTTGTAAGTGTAAACTCATCATGAACTTCGCCTTCTTCTTTCATTTTCCTAAACAAAATCAGAGCTTTTCTGCCATTTCCTGCAAGATTGTACCCTGATATCATCGCATTCCAGGTGATCAGATTTCTGCCTGGCATTGTTTCGAACATGCATGTAGCTTCAGCTATCCTTCCAGATTTAGAATACATATCAAGGATAGTGTTAGCAACCAAAATCTGCAAATCGTATCCAGTTTTCAGACAAACATCATGAATTTGCATACCAATCCGGGGAACACTGAGCATTCCACAAGCTTTAAGATTTGTGGATAGAGTGAAGTCATTTGGCTTCAACCCAGTAGAACCCAATTGGGAGAAAAGGGATAATGACTCCTCTGGACGTCCATTTTGTACGTAGACGCACATTAGAGACGTCCAAGAAACTAGGTTTCTTTCAGACATTCTGTCGAACACTTGGCGGGCTCGAACCACTTGGCCACATTTGCCGTACATGTCTATCAGGTCCTGGCTTAGCATCATATCAAACCCAAACCCGACCGTCAGTAGAGCGCCATGAACCTGAATTCCTAGCTCAAGTAGCTTATTCTTTGAGCAGCTCCTCAATATATCAGCATATATCTGCCTCTTTCGCAACGTTGCTAGTAACGGTTCCTTCAATTCGCTATGAAGAATTCCTCTACTCGCCATTGGTGATGACGTTTATAGTTGGCGATGTGAGTTAGAAGAGAAGACCTCGTCTTCCGTCCTCGTAATCATTCCGCCAGAATTACAGTAGAGGTGAAGAAAACTAACGCTCATATTCTGAAAACCTCACTCTCTCCGAGCAAATTCTGGCGGCAAAAAATAGAGACAGAAACAGTTGCAACAAAGCTCTCTGCTTTTCCAACTAATCTAAGCTAATAATTAATGGGTTTAAAGAAATGTGTACACCCACTCATAAGATCTCGTGGCAGGTAAAATCATGAATCATGAGCTCATGGCGGCAATTGATTTTTGCAAGAAGTACCGTGAAGCAATGATGGGTCGAAATAATAGAAAAAAGAAGTTCGGATCTTAAAGCAAGTCAAGGTCATCCCACGTTAAAGAACACATTTTTCCACAGGCTTACCACAGACCCATAAAGGCTGCTGTAAGCCTGTAACCAAATCGAATCAGAGCGGGTAGATGCTCATCCGTTTCCTTCGCCTCTTCCTAGGCCGGCAAACGCTGGTTGCTCTGTACAATCTCCTCCAATCCTTCCGCAAGAAATTCCGGTCACTTCTTCCCTCCATGGCCATACCGGAAGCCGATCAGGAGCAAGACCAGAAGGTCTCCGAACCGGTGTTTGACCCGTCGGTTCCATCGACTCCAATCTCGTACCCAATCAAAACTCTCGAAGAACTTCACTCTCGAGCTTACTTCGATTCCTTTCACTACCCGTTCAACAAATCATCTGTTCCTCTCCAGTTTCCATCCCCGCCTCTTCCTTTGCCTAACAGACCTCGGTTGCTGGTGTGCCATGATATGCAAGGAGGCTATGTGGACGATAAATGGGTTCAGGGAGGAAGCAACCCAGATGCTTATTCCATCTGGCATTGGTATTTGATGGATGTATTCGTCTACTTTTCACACTCTTTGGTCACTCTGCCTCCACCTTGCTGGACTAATGCAGCTCACAGGCATGGAGTCAAGGTAAAACTCGTTTCCCCTTTTGGTGGACTTTTTCTTTTTCTTTTTTGGGTTTGGTAGTTTGTTGGTTTGTAATTTCCTTCTCTTTATTTGGATTTCATGGAAACTTCTCTAAGGTGTTGGGGACTTTCATCACAGAATGGGATGAAGGTACAGTCATTAGCAGCAAGTTGCTTGAAACAGAGGACTCTGCTCGATTGTATGCTGAACGTTTGGCCGAACTTGCTGCTGCTTTAGGCTTTGATGGATGGCTGGTACTTCTAATCAAGTTATTTCCTTTCTGGCCTTTTAGAAGAAAATTACGTCATTCATGTCTGATCGCTAGTAACATCCACTTGCTGTCCTTCGTAGATTAATATGGAGGTGAAATTGGATGTGATGCTGATTCCTAATATGAAGGAATTTGTTGATCATCTAACTCGGACTATGCATTCCTTGGTGCCTGGATCACTGGTGATATGGTAAGTTGTTGGTGATAACTTTGTATAATATGATGAACAATTGTATAACTTCTCTTGTCATACTCAGGTATGACAGTGTGACAATAGATGGAGATCTTGACTGGCAAGATAAGTTGACTGAAAAGAACAAACCTTTCTTTGACATATCTGATGGTATATTCATCAACTACACATGGAAGGTACTTTGTTGTTGTTGTGCTGTTTTTTCCCCCTCTTTTTCTTATTAAAGCTGTTTTAAAGATAAGGGATGAGCCTGCTTAGTTGGCTTGCAGAAGGATTATCCAAAACTTTCAGCTGAAGTGGCTGGTGACAGAAAGTTCGATGTCTACATGGGAATAGATGTATTTGGAAGGAACACTTATGGTGGTGGACAATGGACTGTATGTATCTTTTTTGAAATCATGTCTTCGTTTTTCAATTCATCAACTTGTACTTGGTAGAACTTCCATTGGTTGTTGTTCAATCACCAAAATGTGCGGTAATGATGCATTTGGTATATCATGTCACCTTCAAACTTACATGGTTACCTGTTGGAAACTCAGACAAATGTTGCACTTGATGTGATAAAGAATGACAATGTGTCTGCTGCCATATTTGCACCTGGATGGGTGTACGAGACCAAGCAGCCACCGGATTTTCGGACTGCTCAAGATCGGTACTGCAGCAACCTATCTGCACATTTCCTTGTTCCTCCTTCAATTGCATTTTCTCTTAGAGCTAGAACATTACTTGGCAAATTTTTTTGTTGAACCTTATGATTACCAGAGTTCTGAGTAAATTCTGAAGGGCAATCCTCATTCTTCATTGACCACAGTCGAGCTCTTGTGTGGCAGTTTGTGGATACTTCGGGACGTAACTCATTGGTGCTGTTTTTCCCTATTGTAGGTGGTGGGATCTTGTTGAAAATTCATGGGGAGCAGTACAGAAGTATCCTAGAACACTACCATTCTACTCTAGTTTTGATCAGGTTTGTATGTGTTGATTATATGCCTTAAGGTATATTTGGAGCTCCATTGTTTTGATGTATTCAAACCTCAGTTCCCCCGGCATTGACTATCATATATATTCAGGGAGTTGGCTATCATATATCGGTTGATGGACAGCAAGTAACGGATGCTTCTTGGAATAACATATCTTGCCAGGGGTTTCAGGTCTTGCCCCACGACTAGATTCTACATCTTTTCATGTATGTTTTGACTTAGCTGTTTTTCTTACTTGTTACTCATTAACTGCTGCAGGCTTTACTTAAATATGTTGACGACCCAAAACCGGATGCTATTCAAGTACTTGTCGAGTGAGTTTCTATGCGTAACTTAACCACCCATCCTTCATATTCTATGTCTAATGATAGTTTCTGGTTTGGTTATTGCCAGCTTTAAGCAACCATCCTATAATGGGGGAGGAAACATCACTTTCAGAGGAACACTCCAAGACAATGCTTACTTTGAAACAAGGGTGTTCAAAGGAGAGCTTCTTCTGGGTGGTGAACCACTCCAAGTTATCTATTCTGTAAGGTTCCTTCGTTTTCAGAACTCGCTCACCCATGACAATGAGTCCTGCCAAAAGGAAAATATTAACTTTTGATCCATTGATAAAATGGGTATAGGTAAAATCAGAGGGTGATTCACTGATGGGCCTTTCGCTTCACTTCTTTTCTCCCTTGAATGATAAGAAAACAGTCATTGCTATCGCACCCTGGGAAACTGATGAACTTCCCAGAAAATTCAAAAAAGCAATCGTTCCAGGACGAGTTACAGACTCAGAAATTGAACCTGGATGGGTACAGTATGAGAGCAAGGTTGCAATGAATGGACAGATACTACGAGAAATCCGTGCAGTATGCCACAAGACAAAAGGTACCACTGCAATTATGAGATCAGAACAAAAAGCAGCAGCAGAAGGGTCAGAGTATTTTGCTGTGCTTGGCCAAATCCTGATGAATAATTCTGATCACAACTCATGTCTGCCCCCATCCACTTCATGGGAAGTTACAGCTGAGCTAGTACAGTGGACTGCATCATCAGCCGCAGCAGCTGCAGATTCCGAGGGCTCTCGGGCAGTTAGCTTGAAGATCAATTGGAAACTGAAAGATGGAAATACTGCTTTCGCGCATTCGAAGTACAACGTTTATGTGGCAAAACTTGGCAGTAGTAGTGTGCAGTATCTTGGAGTTGCAGCAGTTGAAGCCTTCTATGTTTCTAACTTGGTTGTTCCTTCTGGTGTTTCTAGTCTGAAGTTCATTGTTCAAGTTTGCAGCATTGACGGAAGTTCCCAGAAGCTGGATGAGTCTCCATATTTTGAACTGGATGTTGAGTACTAAGTTTTTACTATGTATCATACTACTGGTGTTGTTGTATCACAAATTGTGGACTTAATTAGGTGGACCTCCGTAATAAGATTTATTCCCCAGTCATTTCAATCTGGATCTTCCAGTTTATATAAATTGTGCTCTTTTTCTTTTCCTTGTTCTGACACATAAGAGAAAGTGTTTTGCTCATTGCATGATCTCTGATTCAATGAGTTTTGCACCAAAAATTTCCTAATATTTCAAAATTAATTGATTTTCTAAAAATATTGAAGGAAGAAGAGTTAGAGAACTAACATGAAATTAGATTTCAGAGATAAATAAAACTCTTAGAAGATATGAATGACCAAAGTGGTATGAACTGCATTTGTAGTATATATATTTATTTATATAGGGCTCGTTTGCTTGTTGGATTTGAAAATGAGGGTTTTGAATTTTCAAAACCTTTGGATTTATGATGGATTTGTTGCATTATGGATTTGGAAGAGTACATTATTTGTGTAGTTTATTTTTGTTATAGATTCATGATGGATTTGTTCACATTTTGCCTTCCATTATCAAATCCCAAATGAAATGTGGGATTTGCAAATCCGTGGGGTCCACGGATTTGGATCTAAAAAATGAGTCCAAATCCGTGGGCCCCACGGATTTGTGTCTCTTAGCAAACAATGGACTTGTACCAATTCCATTATGCTTGGAATTTGGGTACCAAATCCATCACCCAAATCCCACAAGCAAACGATACCATAATTTCGATGTGCATACCTAATGTACTAAATTCACACCAAAATCCTTACTTTTTGTTGTAATCGAGAAAAAAATCCACCTTCAAATCATGTCAAAACAGATTTTTCCAGATAAAATTGAATCAATTTCGATTGAATAGCAATGAAAATGGATTATTTTATATTCCCTAGATGGTTCCCTCCATGTTGCTTGATGTTGAGACTTATATCGAAGCATCCAAATAGGGTTGAAAATGAGAGGTTTCACGCCACGCACAAAAAAACAAAAAAACAAAAGAACATCTACAGACTACAGAAAGCGGCTTCTCGATGAATCTGTAGTGGAAAGAACCAAGAAGGAAGAGTTTCAATGCAGATCTATTAGAGGGAGAAAAGGTCAATTGAAAATCAGGAGAAACCAACAAAAATGGAGGGGGAAATGTTATAATAGTGATATCAAACAAGCAGAAGCGCAGTTAAGCCCAAAATCAACCAACCTCGAGGACTGCTAATTGAAGGAGACAAGATAAAATTGGGGGAGAATCCTTAAACCATCTTGTCTTTCCAGTGCTCGAGGACCTTCCGATTACAGGACAAGAAACATCACCATGCTAGTTAATTAGTTTTGCATATGATAGAAAACTAAAGACTGGTTTACTACAGCAAACATTTTGCGAATAAGACCTTGATATATATATACTTACATAACAATATAATTTGGAGATTACATATTCGAATTTCAAGACGATATTTTTCTCCTTATAAATTCCCTTCAATTATCACATATTGTAAATAAGTATTAAGATCAATTGTACATCTATATTCTCGTCAATAATCATTTCATCGTTGACTAAATAGAATTGTTTTCTTGCACTTTTCATCAAATCGTTTCATCTAAGCCACCCAATAAATATTGCATTATTCGCTTACCATTCATGTATAAATCTAGTATCTGTCTGTGTCTACAGAAGAAAAAAAATTACCAACTTACTGCTAAATTAGCACATTGGTTTTTGGTTCTCTAGGGGCGTCGTCCATAATGGAGAAAATGAAAGGCTACTTGCTTCACTGTTAGTAGAAGAAAAAATCCAAAGGCAATTGTATAATAATTCAGACAGTATATATTTTGATTGTTTTATGTGATTAGATTTTTTTCCTCAACTTATTGCAAGTTGCTAAATTTAGTCATTACCTCATATATACATCAAGTTGTAATTGATGTTTGGATTACGATGTTCGTGGTTTTGTAATTAGCGCATTGCTTTTAGGGGGGAAATGGAAATGACACTTATTGCAAGTTGCTAATTTTAGTTTAGGGAAAGTGAAGAAATTGCATTGTAATCTTAACTATGTCTCATCGTATATATCTCTTTAAAAATGGTTTAACAAGATAGCTTATATTTCGTTAGACTTTTTGAAGTCTTACAATATGAATGATGAGACTTGTGTTATGTATATTAAATTCCAATTGACATGATCAATTGGTACTTTATATAATTTCATGAACATGATATTGAATTATTGACGTTGTAATAAAAATAAAATCACTCTTGTGAATGCTAATAGTTTAGTCCCGAGTATTAGCTTCGTCGGGAAATAATAATGTAGTGCATTTTGTACGATTTCCTTGGAATAGATTTTTTTTTTTTTTGACAAAAGATAATCTTATATAGATTCGGAAACGACAGTTACACCCTGGAGATCAGCCAGGTCTGAAAGTCAAAGAAACGACTCATGGTAGGGTACAAAGAAAGGGCTTTCCTAGCCACCAAATGGGCTTCCCTATTATTACACCGACCTATGAATCGAATACTAAAACCTGGATGGATGTGAAAATATTGCACGAGCTCTTCCAGCACAGCACCCATCCGGCTATCACTATGGTCACCTCTATTGATCTTCTCGATGATAACTTTAGCGTCTCCTTCAAAGACCATGTCCGTGATCCCTAACCCTGAACACCAGATCACAGCTTCCCTGAGCGCAAGTAATTCCACCAACTGGGGGCTATGAATTCCCGAAAACTGAATTCCCCTGACCAAGCCTACCCCCCCAGTCGGGGAAAACAAAACAACACCTCCCGCCGCCTGAGATCCCCGCCTTGTTGCACCATCCCATCTACAGACCATCCGAGGAAGGCCATCTGGGATTAGTTGGCCCTGTTCAGGCTGGGGAGGTCGACAGACCCGTTCTTTAGGCAAACACACCCATTCCTCATACTGCTGGACAAATTGGCGCATCAGCACCGGAATATCGAACTGTTTCCCTTCAAACACAACCCAGTTTCGTGACCGCCAGATCCTCCAAAGGATGGCTACCACAGCCATGAACAGCGTTGGTTGATTTATCAGCGCCATAAGCTTCTTAAGAAATAGAGGAAAAGTCTGACGTGGCAGCCCCTCTCCCAGGTACTCCAATCCCGCGTGATCCCAGAGAGCCCGCGCGACCGGACAGTAAAGAAAGAGGTGTTCAAGCGTTTCTGACCTCGCCCAGCACACCGGGCAACGAGGGACGAACCTGAACCTTTCGCTCGATGAGAGCCTCCGTCGTAGGGAGGACACGAGAGAGGATCTGCCAGACAAATACCTTCAGCTTTGGAGGGATATCCGCCTCCCATAGACGTATCCAGCTTGCCTTATCCATCCAACTGACAGTAGACTACCACCCCCCCCCCCTCCTCTTGTCTATTAAGACAGCAAGGTGATAAGCTGATTTTACAGTGAAAACCCCATCCTCAGTCGCGTGCCAAATAAGCCTATCATCAATATCCCTCTGCGGAAGTGGAATAGCTGAGATGGCTTTACATGTAGGGGGATCAAACCAGCGACTAAGTTTAGTCTCACACCAGCGGCCCTCCCCAGGCACGATAAGTTCCGCTACCTTCACATCCCCATCCTCCGGCAACACCACTGGATTAATCTGGACGTGATCAAACTGATGTTGAGGTATCCAATTGGAATTGAGCATGGGGGCCGACCGACCATTCCCAATCTGCCACCGCAGTCCCTGCACAAGCAACTGGCGACCGAAGAGGATGCTCGTCCAGCCCCAAGAAGGACGGGAGCGAGCCGTTGCCGTAAGAAAAGACCCAGTCGGAAAGTATTTTCCCTTATAGACCTGAGCAAGCAGAGACTGTGGATCGCTCAAGATTTGCCACCCAATTTTGGCAAGCAGAGCCTGATTAAATTGCTCAAACCTACGAAATCCCATACCACCCTCATGTTTACTTCTGCACATCTTCCGCCAGGACACCCAACGGATTTTAAAGTGATCTTCTGTAACACCCCACCAAAATCTGGCCACATGTTTATCCAAAGTACGACACAGGGACACCGGGAGTTTGAAACGGGACATCACATGCAGAGGCAAAGCCATAGCAATGGATTTAATCAAGGTTTCCTTCGCTACCCAAGATAAGGTGCGTTGCTTCCAACCCTTTAGGCGTTCCAGAAGCTTTTCCTCCAAATAACGGAAGGTAGCCATCTTGGACCGGGCAATCAGGGTGGGCAATCCCAAATACTTATCATGGACCCCCACCGCCCCTACTCCCAAAATCGTAGCCAGGAAGTTTTGGTCTTGCAAAGTCACATTTTTGCTGAAGCAAACTGCTGACTTCTCCAAGTTGACACGTTGCCCACTTAGTTCCTCATACTCATTTAAGACCACAATTAGATTCTCACACTCTTGGAGGGTCCCCCGCAGAAAGAGGTAAGAATCATCAGCAAAAAATAAGTGAGAAATTCTGGGGGGGCCTAGGCGCCACCTTCACACCCTGCAACCTCTTTTCCTCAATCGCCTTACGAAGGAGAGCTGTGAACCCCTCCGTGCATATTACGAACAACAGAGGGGATAAAGGGTCTCCTTGGCGTAAACCCCGGGAGGGCAAAAAATACCCAGCTGGAGAGCCATTCATAAGTACCGAAAAAGAGGATGAGCGGAGACATTCATGGATCCATCCTTGCCAGACCGGATCAAATCCCATTTTACTCATAACAGCAAGCAAGAAGGGCCATTCGACTCTATCATAGGCCTTTTCCATATCAACCTTTAGAGCCATGTACCCTTTCTTCCCTCGAGATTTGATTTTCAAATAATGCATTATCTCGTGTCCCAGAAGGATATTCTCAATGATTTGTCGGTCCCGAATGAGGGCGTTTTGCCCCTCTGAAATGATAACCGGGAGGATCTTAGAGAGCCGTTCAGACATGATTTTGGTGATAATTTTATAGACAAACTGACAAAGACTGATTGGGCGTAACTGCCTCATATTTTCCACTTTATCAACTTTAGGGATAAGGGTGAGCCAAGTATGATTAAAGCTCTTGAGCATCCGACTCGTTATAAAGAAGGAGCAAACAGCCTCTGTCACCGAATCACCCACGATGTCCCAGAATGCCTTAAAGAACTTCCCTGTGAACCCGTCCGAACCCAGAGCTTGTTTGAACCCATTGAAAAAACCGTACTCCGAACTTCATGGGGTTGGACTTCAGCAACCAAATCAGCATTCATAGCTGGGGTGACACTGGTTGGAATAGGCAGGGCTGTCACCCTTTCAGCCATATTAGGGATTTGAGATTCAGATGTGAAGAGCCCCTGGTAAAAATTAATTGCAATATCTGCTTTCCCAGGTTCCTCAGTGACCCAGACACCATTGTCATTAAACAGGCCCTCCACGAAATTCCTTTTCCTACGAGTCCGGGTAACCGTGTGGAAATAGGCCGAGTTTTGATCGCCCTTCTTTAACCAACGGACTCTAGATTTTTGTTGCCAATAGATCTCCTCGGCCTCCCATTGGCGATTCAACTCAATCTCCAGCTCACGTATCCTGTCCCAATCAATAGGACTAAGGGTCCTAATTTGTTCAATTTCTGCCTGGAGGGCCCTGATATTCCGAAGGGAATTGGTAGTCCCTGCTCTACTCCAGTCATAAAGTAGATGTCGGAGTTTTTTGAGGCGTTCCCAAAGACGAAACATCGGGGTCCCCTGAATTTCCTCCTGCCAAGTATAAGTCACCATGGCTCTCACTTCCGGGTTATCTGCCCACCGGGCATCAAAACGGAAGAGGGGGCGAGTGTTTCGCACATAGACCTTGTCAGCAACCAGAATGGCCCGGTGGTCCGATCCCTGATCCGTGAAGTGTTTAACCAGCGTGTCAGGGAACCGCTCAATCCAACTTTGAGAGCATAGGGCACGGTCCAAGCGTTCCCGAATACAGGCACTACCCATCCGTCTATTTGACCAAGTAAATTGGTCCCCCTGGTAACCTGGATCATGGAGCCCAAGGTTTTGAATAAAGTCACGAAGACCAACAGCTTGGCTAGCACTCCAAGAAAGGCCACCATCCTTTTCCCCCGCACAAAGGGTAGAATTAAAGTCCCCCAAGACAACAAATGGGAGATGGAAGCCATCACAAACCTCTTGCAACTGGGCAAGTTGAGTAGCTCTCCTAGAAACATTGCAACTGATGTAAACACAAACCACAATATAGGAGAACTCGTTTTCATTAATTTGGATGCAAATACAATAATCAGAATGGAAAAACACCGAAGCACAAACTTCGGGGGACCAAGCGACAACTAAACCACCAGATGCCTCAATTGCATCAACAAAGAAACAATAAGAATTTTCAAAACCTAAACCCCGCATACGGCGAGTGACTACTCTCCGGTTCGATCGTGTCTCAGAAAAGAACACGAGATCCGGTTTATTCGACTTGACTAAGCCTACAGCAGTTTGGAATGTGAGGGACGGCCCAATTCCTCTCACATTCCAGGCGAGAAGCCTCATTTATCTGGGTGGGGCCATTCGCGGCTGGCTACCTCCACCGAATCCAGATCATCTTTGTCTTCCACAAACAGCTTCTTAGGAGAAGGGAGATCAGCAATGTCCCCTTCCACTTCATCAATTCGACGTTTCTTGCCGTCCTCACTAGGTCCTGAAAAATTGGACCCATACTCATTGAAATCACTAGCAGAGATCTCTACCTCATTTACTGTTTTTTCCCCATCAAGCGCAGGCTCCACAATAGGAGGGCAGTGGACAATTTGAGTTTTGGATGGCTCATTCAATGATAGGCCAGCCTCAAAGGCTCGCACAGCCTGACGTACGCGCGACACATTTGCCGCCTTCGTTTTGTGCTCCTGGGTCTTAGTATCCCTGCGGCGGATTACAAAATCCTGGTCATCAGCCTCCGAAGCAGACTCAATCGAGCCCAGACCCTCCTTGCTGCCTCCCATTGACTGTGGGCCTAGCAATACATCTGCCTCAGGCTGCGGGCCCAAGGGAGCAGTTTGGGCCGGCATATGGGTTGAGAGGGCCTCTTCCCCTTTCTCACTTGGACGGGCCCTAGTCCCCCCTTTTTTCTTCGTGTTGTTCTGATGAGCGGGGCGAAGCCGCATTTTGCGTGGCCGGAGAGGAGTTTCCCCAGTCGCCGCAGGTGAGTGCTCCATCCTCCGGCCTCCTCCCTGTTTCGCTTGCACCTGGGCAGAGCTCAAAGGGCTTTTATTTACGCCAGCAGGTACAGGCTTCTCCACAAGTTTAGCAGCTCGAATCGCGCTATTCAGTGGGCACCCTGTCGCCGATTTAGGGATTTTCTGCACTATGAATTCATCCTCTGATTCATTCTCGGGTATCAGCCGGCGCCTTCTCGTCAAAGACAATTCCTCCACCTCTCCCGGCGGCATCGGCCGAGAGCTATCATCGCAAGCTTTCTTGAGTTTGCCCCTGCGACTCAATCTCCCCATTTGAATCTTTGGGCTCTTCACGATCGGGAAACGAGACTTGGTCCTTCCCTGTTGCTGTCGCGCCTCAGTTGTCAAGAATGGCTGGGTTGAGGAGCCCATCCACAGAGGGCTTTCTTCCTTCATTGGTCTCCCCGTCTGTCCTGCCTCCCTCTTATACGGATTCACCGGAGGGTTCGGTTGTCGAGCTTCCCTCCTTTCCTGAGCAGAGGTGTTCACCCAGACAGACTTGTGATGACCAGGAAAGGCTTGACCGCCTTCCTCCTCCTCGAAGACTCTCCTTCCCAGTTTTTTGGTAGTCATATGGTGCCCAAATCGCTCTTGGCGAGTCGGCGGATCGAAGGAGCAGGTCTGCCTGGAGTGCCCAACACGGCCGCATTTATAGCAGAAAGTAGGCAGGTATTCGTACTTGAGTCGAATCCAGAACTCTCCCATCTCTTCGTTGGACGCCAAAAATTGGGAACGAAGAGGTTTTGAAAAGTCGAGTAATGCTTTGATCTTGATGAATCTTTGCCCCGATTCCGAGCAAGAGTACACCCCTGCTTCCAGAACCCGACCGAGCATGGCCGTCGCAACCTTCCGCCCGAATCTTTGGGTACAGCAATCCTCCGGGATTTCCCACAATTGTATCCTGAATGGAGCAACAGCAAGCTCGTCGAAGGTACGTTGTGTGATTGTGGGGAGCCAAGGCCGTAGGTGGATTATTTTATCCGCGATCACCCATGGCGACTGTTTAAGAACCCAATTCTTGGCCGTTTCACTCGGGAGCACAAATTCATAGAGGTTATGCGCCACCATTTTCACTTTGATCCGCCCTTGGCCTTGCCATGGTTTGTTGATGGCGTCTCGCAGCTCCACCGTTGTTAGTCCGCCTTCAGAGAACAGTCTGCCCAAGAGGGTCCTTGAGTTCCGTATTCTGGCCGACTGGACTTCATCAAGGGTGAAGCAGACAACTTGGTCATTGGAGAAACTAGTCATATTGCGTATCTGTGAACAAAGCAGAGAAACAGCATTATGATCCAATGACAGCGAGCCCCACTGATCAACCAAGGACCAGGGGAAGAGGGATCCAATGATCTGAATCCTATAAACAGGTTTCTGTTGTTGCCAAACCAAAAAGCAAAGTGCCGAGAGGGAATGAATCCATTTACCCGAATACTTGCAAGTCTTCCGGTGGTTAGGTTGCCAAAGAGTCTCTGCCTTGTGCCTTACTTGAAGATCAGAATAGCTGATTTCTGGTTGGCATGCCCAATATAAAGGGTCGGCAGCATCCCAAGACACCATCGGGTTTTTCTGTTTTAGTAGGACATGGACTCTTAGGGGATTACGGTTAGGAGTAGCCAGTTTCCCCATCTGTTGCAAGGCAGTTAGAGGAGAGAGAGGCACACAATCCTGGCGAATCCCGCGGGATTGGGCAAAGATCCCTGGAATCCGATTCAAGGGGGTATCCGTTGTTCTCGAATAGCGTTTCATCGGCGTTGGACAGCAGAATGTCGCCGGCCGGAGCACTGTAGGGAGTCCGGTCACCTGGGTTTCGCACAGATGAGCCGGGGACCTTGCCCCATCACGGGGTCTAAGGACTGCTTCAGTTGGGTTTGATTGCCCTGAGTTTTCCCCAGGCCGGGGATTTGGAATCTCCCTGTTCTCACATTCAATTTCAGAAGACCTTGCCCCATCACGGGGTCTAAGGACTGTTTCAATTAGGATCGACTGCCCTGGGCGATTTCCTTGGAATAGATAACATTTGTAAAAAGGTGGAGATGATTCCTGATTTACACTTTTATGTCCAAATAAGTAATGAATTGATTAGAGAGAACGCAACTGAAGGAATTGTAGCAACTTTTTAGAAAGAATACTAGATATAGATAATGATATCTTCCCTTCTCAACTGTCTAAAGAGTGGTTATATAAACAAATGTCTTGAGACTTTAATTTGGACTTCCAATATAGCTACACTTCAAAAGTTTGGATTTCAAGATATTCAACTAGTTGCATATAATAATATACGTTTTTCATTTTTTTGTATTTACATTCCAACTACACTAATAACTAAAACGTCCACATTCCAAAAAGTTAACATATGTGCCAAATGGTCAATAATCAAATTATATGAAGTAATTTGACAAAAGAAGGCCAACATAACTTAATGATATGTGTACTCCTCATGAACACTAACTTCACACATCTCAAACATACATTTTATATTTAATACATCATTTTACCAATGTGTTTCAACTTTTTATGTATCCTGCCGCCGGAATAAAAGTCTATATATGCATCCACATCAAATATTGAATGGGTCCAGTAGCTAGCACTAGAAGCATTACATATCTAAAAAGAGATATCAAATAAAGCAAAGCAAATAATCTAACCAACCTAATGTTTATATTTACTTATTAAGTAATCCACATATTATTATTCATTATTTGTTAGAGTTGCTCATAATTTATTTCTAGAATGTCAATCATTCAATCACCATATAACTAGTAGTAATGAAAACTCTTCGCTTTTAAAACTGAAACGAAATAAATGAAATTAGTTTAACTTATTTATCTAAAGAGTCGAATCATATTTGTTTTGTGTGATTATTAATGTTCTTAACAACTGGTTCACAACTTCGCTCTAGTTATCACCAATTATGTGAACGATTAATATAATGTTCAATCATTTGTCAGAAAAAACAGAACATCAATATAAGCAAAATGTACGTACATAGCTGGAACATAATGCCCTGCGATTTAGAGGCCACCGACCTCCCAATTCTTTTATCAACCGATCACACGAAGGAGTTAATTAATTATAGCCAAAACCTCATCTCTCAAGTGATTAACAATTTAACACGCATTCCCAACACATGCTACAGTTGACCTCCCACACAAACAAAAACAAAAAACTAATAAAACCCTTAAGTAGAAACCAATCAATTCCTTAATTTTATTTCTGATTAATTACTATAAACTAAAAAAACCTCATCGTACAACGTAACGATCAAATGATCAAGAAATTATGTCCCCGAAAAAGCTATTTGTCTTCATCGACATGTGATGATCATGGTGATTATGATGATGATGATGATCGAGGGCCAGCAGTCCATTCTGCAACAGAAACAGCGGCTTGCTATCCACCGCCGACACGACGTCGTCCAGGCAGTCCATGTGAGTCGTCGTCGGACCGTTGAGATGATCGAGCGGCTGGGAATCGAACGGCGGGGATTGCTGCCCCACCAACTGGCCGATGCACACGATCTCAGCCTGAGCCAGAGCGAGCTGCATTTGGAGTTGCGAAACCTGGTTCTGAAGGTAAGAGATGGCCCCCACGCAGCCGTACACCGGGTCCCGCAGCCGCGCGTTCGCCTCGTACACCAGGCTGTTCACCGCGTCGGCTCTTCTCTCCGCCGGCAGGTCCTGTTGACGATGGATCATCGGAGTGACGTCATTCACAAAAGGGAAACGACAAAGGGAAAAAAGAGGCGTTGATGACTAATTAATTTAGAAGTAATATATATATATGTACGTACGAGGAGCATTTTGGCGACGTTGCTGGCGCCGAAGACCTTGTGGACGATGGCGAACTTTTGGGGGTCGGCGGGAGGGAAGTAAGGCGCGAAGATGCAGTCCTTGGCGCACCGCCGCCGGAGCAGCTTGCAAGAAGCGCAAGGTGAAGTGCTAGTTCCCACCATGGTTTGAAGACTGGAGAGGGAAGAGATCGAGATGGTGGTGGGAAGGTTGAGTGAATTAGGAGAGAGATCTATTAGTGGCCACAAAAGGTTTTAAGGGATCAATGACTGTATTTATAATTGAGGAATTGTGACATCTATATAATTATAACTACAACTATTAGGCGGCAGATCAGAAGACAACTACTGTAGCTTGGGGGAGATGGAGTACATAAATTACTATTTTTCTTTTTGACCAAATGATTAAATTATTGACATCCACATTTATACAATCGATTACAGTTTGGTGAGAACAATCAATTGCATTTTGTCCTAGTTTGAAGATTTTTTTTCAAGAAAAAACAACAAAAAAATCTTTATAAAATATATAGAAGTGATGTAATCTGACTATCTGAGGAGTGACTCAAGTGGTTCGAATATGTTCAAGTGTTTAATTCTTCCGCTTTATTATTGGTGGAGTTATAAATCTGAACAAAGAATTAAATTTTTTTTTTTGAAGATTTTGAACCATTGTTTATAAAATTTTGAACCATTAGATACATATATATCGAACATTGTTTGTAAAATATTAATAATATAAGAATTCAACTGACTTATGAAATTACGAAGTAATACGGTTTGACAATGTCAATTCGTCTCGATACTCCCTCCACCGAGATAGTCCTACATATCCTCATCATATCGTACGTATATATATAGCTAGTTTACACCAAAATCGTTATGCGACATTGTTGTTGTCATCAGTAGCTAATAATTAGGGCAAACGGCCGCATAAACAATCTCAGCGGTTTGGCCCTACGAAACTGATTGTGTGCGGCGGCCGGTTGACTGTCGACTGTCGCCGGCGCGGTGCGCAAACCGTGTGCATGATATGTCGATCGATACCCTACGTGTAATTGCAAGGCTCGCACGTTGCTTTGTTGTTTGTTGACTTGGTCGGTCCTAACAAACACACGACAAAGAAGCAAATCATATATGGATTATATTGTGCATGGCTTCAACTTTAACCAGGTTTCCAATCAAACCCAAACACATGAAATGTGAAAAAAGGAAGGTTTTTTTTCTTTCAAACAAGGATGTAAGGAACAAATATTATCCACGAATACCCAAAAACTATTCATATGGTCCATATGAATATAGGATGGGTATTAATTTTAATATTTAAAAGTAGGAATGATAATAATTCAGGAAAATCCACCTGAAATTAGATCCATTGTTAGGGATGGCAAAAATATCCGTAACCGTCGATATCCGCCCGAATCCGACCTAATCGGGTAGGGTAAAACCCAAACTCGAAGAACTTTTAGTGGGTACGGGTAAAACCCGAACTCGAATATTGCGAGTAATGGGTGGGCATGGGTTTCTCACTATCCAACCCGAACCTGCCCGATTATACACATTCATATATATTTTGTCTAGAAATAATCATTATTTTTCTCTAACATATTTAATATTTAGCATATAAATATAGTATTTTCATGAAATTGTTTTGATTAATTTTCTTCATTCTAGTGAATTATTGTTGTATTTTTTCTCTTACATAATGTGATAATACGCGGGAATGTTAATATATTGGTCGGAGTTATGAAGAAAAATTATTATCCATGGATACCCAAAACCCGAACGGGTATGAGCATTGTTTTGATTTTCTACTTGTTTTTTATGTGGGTATGAGGTATGAGTAAAACCCGAACTACTTTGAATAGGGTAACAGATATGCACTATTCGCACCCAACCCGACCCATTGTCATCCCTATCCATTGTCACCGCTAATTTCAATCTCTAAAATTGTACATGAAAGTCATATCTTTATCTTTTCAATTAAGTTTGATTTTATTTTTCATCTCTTTCTCGTAATATTATGAGTAAAACTTTCTTTTTATAAAATATTATTTTGGAGTGACTTTTTACCAAATATGAATGAACCTTTTAGTAGGACTAGGACTCCTATGTTATTTTTTTAATTGAATTTTTTTAATTTATCCTATGCTTTGCTTTCCATTGATCATAACAAGGCTACAGGGTAAGTAGGAGACAAACATTCACGTGAAGGCACACCCATGAAATAACACACTCTCACATTAAATGCAATGGTTGACCCTTCTCACCTACATCTATAGGCATAGCCCTACAAGGGGAGAAAATCTATTAACAAATTGGTTCTTTTCCATCTTGTTATTTTAGTTAAATAAAAAAATATGTAGAATTCTCATTTGTCTTATTATTGCTATAATTATTTTGTAAATTGTAATCAACCCAACGGTCACAAGATTTTCAATGTGGGTCACTTTCTTTATAAAGTCTTATTAATGTATCCAATAACAATTAGGTATTACTAATTAGAATAGAATAATTTTGTAGATGCAATTTTAAATTTTAAGCCATCAATGATGAATAGTCACTGATTTATGGAATAAGAATTACTTCATTGTCAAGACTCAAGAGACATCATTATGAGTGTCTTTGATCCTAGGGGATTTAATTACTTGAGTTCTTTGATCCTGAACTTATAAAAAAAAAAGTTGATGATTTTAACAAGATATCAAGATAGTTGGGAAATTTTGGAATTTTTAAACTTATAACTATCTTGTAAATTTCATTAAACTTGAATTTGAGATGCACCTTTAATTTGTGTGATGAAGCTCATGGAAAAGTTACACTTACTCCCCATATTATAAATTAATAATGTTGGTAAGAATCTTCATGAGAGCACTTGTACTGTTTAACAATAAAGAAAAAACAACTTTCCATGTCTAGAAAATTTGTGGGGGAAAGTTCGATGTGATTGGAGATTCGGTTAATGGAAGGCGTTGGAAAAGTTTGTTTATTTAATTCGTGATAGGTGGATCAAAATTCAAAAGTCTTCTTAATTCAATCAATTTCCCACTAAAACATCACTCATCTCCCCTAGGGGTGGGCTTACGGTTCGGTTTTATCGAACCGAACCGAGTTCAAATCGACCGAAACTTAAATAATTTTAATTAGGTTCGGAATTCGGACGGAGATAGGCTGAATTTCGGGAGACAGGTGCTTTTTGACCAAACAGATAAACCGAAATACCGACCGAATTTCCGAATTAATAATGGGCCAAAACCTCAGCAGTCAGCCCACTCCCTACTTGGCCCAACTAAAGAAGTTAACCCACTCCCTACTTGACCCAACTAAAGCCCAAACCTGCAGCAGTCAGCCCACTCTCCTTCTCCTATCTGAGAAACTAAGGCTTGCTGTTGATGCTGAATGCTAAAGTCGAAACCCTCGCAGCCAGCAGTAGCCGTCGCCCGCCAGCCAGCAGAGACAAAGAGGCGAAACCGGAAACCCAAATATGCTCTGCTGCGTCCCCGTCGGCGTCGTCCGTCGCCATCTCGTCATCCCCCGAGGCCCGAGCCCAACGCGACGCCCCGACCCAACCCCGAGTCCCGACGGCCCCTGTTCCAATCTTGACTCTGCCTCCGTCCATCTCTCCCATCGCCAGTCCGCCAAGCCACTCGCCGGCCACCGCCTGCCGACGGCCTCTCCCTGCTCCCGCCGACACCCGACAGCCATCCAGCTCCCGCCGATAGCCCACCAGCTCCCATCGACAGCACCACTCACTCGTCTCCTTGAAAAGTATAAAAAAATGGCAGCAATGAGCAGCCAGCCCCATGCCAAATTTCCAGTTCCAGCGAAACAGACCAGAAGGCAGTAGGCAAAAACGGGCAGCAGCTGTGCATTTTGGTTCTGGGCATTTAAACCAAACCGAATCTAGCTATAATTCGGTTTGGTCGAACCGAACCGAATTATAGCTCGGTTTGAATTCGGTCGAGGTGCTGGTTACATCGGAAATTCGGCATGTCCTAGTTCGGTTTGATTCAAACCGAACCGACCGAACGCCCACCCCTAATCTCCACCACCTTATGGTGCAATGTCATGTAGCACAAGTAGACCTAACGATCTCAATCCTAGAAGTTCCATTACTATAGCTTATTGCAGGAATTTGGAGACATACGATTATTCTCGTATCATGGTTATGTATACAATATTACATTAGTGATCGGTCTTATTTGGTTGGTGACTACGGATATGTCGAGTAGTTAATTTCTAAATGCTTCATTTTAAATCATATGATTTTTTGCTAGTTAATTTCTAGTTAATTATCTAGTTAATTTCTAAATGCTTCATTTTAAATCATACGAGTTTTTGCTATTTATCACTAGTTTTACTTAGATTATTGATCACAAAAGGCAAAAATTATAGCTTTTTCTTTTCATGATATTATTATATGTGCATGAGTACACTAAGCGAAGGATTATCGAACTATACAGGAGATTAGAGTATTTTGTATTAAAATTATAATTAAATCATAGTTCAATTGTTTCCTAGCGTTAAAACCGCTTACACTTTCCAGTTCGGCATGCGATAGACTTTCTCAAACGTTGATAATAAGCCAAAATTAGAAGAATGCCGGATAATAGACTATCATCCTTTCCTTCAAAACCAGAGTTTAATCTTGAGATGCTAAATACTATTTTTATTTATTTGAGTCTCCCTCACTACTATGAATAATAACTTTGTCAGGTCAATGATATGGCCGTTTAGTCTACTTAGTGGTTCGTAGTTCGTACTTACCTTTTCATGAGATAATGATACTTTGATTGTAAAGGTCAATCAAATACATGGTCGGGGTGGATAGTGCATCGCCGTTACCCTACCCAAAATAGTTTGAGTTTTACCTATACCAATATTCACATAAGAATCGGGTAAAATATCAAAACCATGCTCATACCCGTTTGGGTTTCGGGTATTCACGGTTATCAATGAGTAATAATTTCAACCAATATGTTAACGTTCACAAGTATTCTCACATTATATAAGAGGAAAAGTTGAACATTAATTCACTAGAATGAAGAAAATTAATTAAAGTAACACAATTTCATGAAAATATTATATTTATATGCTAAATATACAATATGTTATAATGATTATATCTAGTCAAAATACATAGATATGTGTATAATCGGGCGGGTTCGGATTGGATAGTGAGAAAATTATGTCCACCCATTACCCACAATATTCGGATTCGATTTTTATCCATACCCACTAAAACTCCTTTAAAATTAGATTTTACCCTACCTAATTAGGTCGAATTCGGACATATATTCGTGTATTTTGTCATCACTACTTCCTTGATTCGGAGTTGAGAAAGGACTAAGTGGAGGATACCTTTGCTGGACAGGCACAATTAACTTTGTCAGCTTCTCAGGGCCGGAGCCCAAGCCCAATTAGATTGTGTGATTTGAAACAGTAAATATATGTTTGTGATTGGAGAACCCAAATCCATTATGTTTGTGATGACCCAAAAGGCCGAAACCCACACGGAAAGGTCCATCAACCTCAAGCAAGGGGGGAAAAGCTGCAACCAGTCACTTATCATCATACCTCCCTACCAAAACTAGCAAGATTATGCCATCATCTTGATCTATTCCAATCTCAAATTACAATTACTATTGAGCCTAATTAAAATCTTAAAAGAATTTATAGTGGTGCAATTTATTTAGCCTAGAGGGGTTGTTTTTTCGAAATGATTATGGGTCATATTTTAGACCAGCTCCATTAGTTTAGTTCAACAATCGTTTAAATGTAGTTTTTATGTGAGCATTTACCACTTCTTATGTTGTAGTGGTGCAGGAACACAATGAGAAAGTGCATTTTGACTACAGTGAGGAAGGAGCGACACTGGTGATCGACGGATCAGAGCTTTAGGCAATTGATTTTGCTCTAGAGATGGTGAAAATGAAGGGTCTACTTTCCGCAGTTGTTGTAAACCAAACTCAATGAGAAAGAACAACGCCGAATTAACGTGGTATCCTCAACGAGTATCGTTGAGACTAATCCACGGAGAGGACCAACCTCTCAGAGTCAATCGTATAACTTGTAGAATTGAGTTCTGAGTTCTCTGTACAAAAGAGGCGGCTGCCAACCTATATACCTAGCCGCCCTAATCTGACTAAGGCTCTAAATGTAATTAATTAAAAGATTTACTAATTACATTTAGCTACATAAACTTATAACTTCTAACATCCTCCCTCAAATTGATGGTGCTTACGCAACATCAATTTGTATGCTAGAAACCAGTGACGAGATGTAGCAACAGCCTTAGTCAGCAGATCAGCAGTCTGATCCTCAGAAGTTATGTATGATAACGCCAAACGCCCTTCCTCAACCAGCTGACGAATATAGTGAACATGAACTTCAATGTGCTTCGTACGATCATGGAGAACAGGATTTGTAGCAATCTTGATAGCACTAGTGTTATCTGCATAAAGTCGCATAGGAGCCGGACAAACTATCCCAAGCTCGGAGAGCAACCGATGAAGCCACACGAGCTCAGAGGTGACTTCAGACATCGATCGATACTCGGCCTCTGTCGACGATTTAGAAACACGCTCTTGCTTCTTACACCTCCACGAGATGAAAGAGGAACCAATTTTCACACACCATTCTGAAGTAGACCGACGAGTATCCAAGCAGCCAGCAAAATCAGCATCAGCATAAGCTTCAAGAACGGACTCACCCTCTGAAGGAAAGAACAACCCCACATCCTGCGTGCCCTTCAGATAACGCAGAATACGCATAACTTGAACTAGGTGAGAGGAACGTGGAGCAGACATAAATTGACTCACAACCTGTACAGCATATATGATATCAGGACGAGTATGATTCAAATAAATCAGACTTCCAACTATACTGCGATACAGGGAACCATCTGGCAATAGATCACCATCATCACGACAGAGCTTCAAATTTTGTTCCATAGGTGTAGAGCATGGCTGACAAGTATCCATCTGAGCTGTTTCCAGAAGATCCACAATGTATTTTTGCTGCGAGACAAACAAACCAGTGGGTGACCGATGAATCTCTAGCCCCAGAAAATATGACAGATCACCAAGTTCTTTAAGATTAAAAGCTGCACGAAGATCCTTGGTAAGAGTTTGAATGCCAAGAGTATCATCCCCACTAATGACCATGTCATCAACATAGATCAACAAAACTGTCAAACCGTGCGACGACCGTCGAAGAAACAAGGACGGATCACTATCACTCTGCTGCAAACCAGCCTGCAAGATTGTGCTATGAAATTTTTCAAACCAGGCACGGGGAGCTTGCTTTAACCCATAAAGTGATCGACGCAGAAGACAAACCTTGGACTTGTCACCATTATTATAGCCAGGAGGACACTCCATATAGATAGTCTCTTTTAAGTCACCATGTAAGAAGGCATTTTTAACATCCAACTGCTTCAACTCCCATCCCTTCATGGCGGCTACAGCAAGAAGAGTACGAACAGTCTGCATCTTCGCTACGGGGGCAAAGGTCTCACCATAATCAATACCAAACTCCTGGCGAAATCCTTGAGCCACAACCCGCGCCTTAAACCTCTCAACCGAACCATCAGGAAGCATTTTCAGAGCATAGACCCATTTTGAACCAATAACCGGATGATCCTTTGGCCGGGGCACCACATCCCAAGTATGATTCGCTTCGAGAGCTCGAGTTTCTACTGCCATTGCCTCGTCCCACTGGGCATGACCATGAGCTTGCTTGTAAGTAGCTGGAACAGGAATAGGAGAGGTGGAAAAAACCACAAAGTCTGACATACGAGGTGGAGGGCAACCCTTTGTGGCCCATAGGGAACGACGAAGAGGAGGAGGGTCTTCGTTCAGAACTGGGGAAACCACTTCATGCGAGGCTGAAGATGATGATGAACTCGATGAAGCTGAAGAGTCAAAGCTAGAGGAGCTCGACGAGAGCAAGGTGGAAGGAGTGCGTGGAGGTGACAAGAAAGAGGCCGATGAACTCAAAGAGGAGTGTGAGGATCCATTATCCATCGATGTCGACCCCTACCCAGAATCTAAATCAGATGGACCCTCATCACCAAAAGGAGATGGCGGATCCAAGAAGACGAGCGGAGGGCGAAGAAAATCAAGGTCTTGTCGAGTAGAAGAATCTGAAACCGGGTAGTATGAGAGATGCTCCAAGAATGCAACATGACATGAAATTCGAACCCTTCGATTAGCCACATCATAACACACATATCCTTTGTGTTTATCGCTGTATCCCACAAAGACACACCGAATAGCCTTAGGAGCTAGCTTATGCCGCTCACGACGAGGGAGCAGAACGTAGCAAACGCAGCCAAAAACACGAAGTGAGGAATAGTCAGGCTGACGCGAATAGAGAAGCTCATACGAACTGCGATGGGAGAGAACACGAGTAGGTTGACGATTAATCAAATACACAATCGTATGAACTGCCTCAACCCAGAATCCTGAAGGTATATGGGACTGAAAAAGAATTGCCCGAGTCAGCTCCAAGACATGCATATGTTTGCGTTCTACGAGGCCATTTTGCTGCGAAACTCCAGGACACGACTGCTGCGGAAGAATACCGTGAGCTTTAAAGACTGCCTGTAATGGACCAGAAGAGAATTCCCCTCCTGGATCAGAACGAAGAACCTTAATAACCTTCCCAAACTGGGTACGAATCATCTGAATAAACTCCTTGGCCACATCAAGCAAGTCTGATTTCTGACGGAGAAAATAGACCCAGGCAAAACGGGTCTTATGGTCGATAAATAAAGCAAAGTATCGAAACCCCATGCGAGATGTAGTAGGAGAAGGCCCCCATAAATCTGTGTGCACTAAATCAAATGGATCTGAATAAATTGTAGTGCTCGAACTAAAGGAATGTTGAGATAATTTTGCTTCCAAACAATAGGTGCAAGTACTATCCGAATCCGAAGTAAAAGTGCCAGATAACAACTTATTCTTAAACATCTCAATCAATCGAGCAGAATGGGGATGACCCAAACGACGATGCCACAAATCCCAATTCGACAACTTAACAGAATAACCAACTAAAGACCTATCTGTAGCTCGATCCACAACATCCAACTTCTTCTCCTCATCCGCACGCACACCAACGCCACCCTCCAGTCCATCATAGGCGTCTAGTGATATGATCCTAAATGGACAACTCTACACGTTTTTATTACTTGACAAAGAAGCTATCGAAGTTGGGAAGAAGAAGGGCAGAATTTGGCTAAGTCAAAATCCGTGTTCAGGGTACATACTTTGGAGGCATGGTTCTCTCAATTGGCTTAGTGGAAATTCAATGTTAAGGGTTTATATTGCAGATAAATTTTCCATCTTTCAAATGGTATGCTTTGTGGATCCAGATGATGTCATTAAGGTTGTTTTCCAAGGCCTCAAAGTTGCTACCTCAAAACTGGAAAACTGCCAGAATTTGGTTAAGGCAAAAACTGTGTTCAAGAAGCCTACTTTGGAGCTCCATTCCAGAAGCATGGATGAGATTCGAGTCCAGAGGCTTATACCACATGAGAGTAGGTATGTTCTACTACAAAGACATGGCATTGGATGATTGGAAGCTTACCTGGAAGGCTTTGATCGAGAGGCTCAAAGATGGCATCAAAGCTGTTTGGTTACTTGGAGCTAAAGGCAGATTTCTTTTTCTTGTTTAGTTAGGATTTCACTGTTTTGGTAGGTTTTTTAATTCCTTTTCGTGTTAGACTGTAATTAGGAGTTTATGGGACGTGTGTAACCCTAGCTAGGACTATTTAAGCTTTCTATTTCGTTGTAAAACTCAGACTTTGATTAATCGAAAAACAAACCTTTGGTTTTGTGCAAGTTGCGACTTGTTTGAGTTTGGTGGATTCCAAACTTGTGAGCTTTGTATCGATTGAATATCCTCTTCAATCGTGGTCGAGCAGCTACCCTTTTATACCATACGAGCTTTCCCCAGGTGTGGAATTGTCCGTTGGTTCCGTTTTATCCAAGTTCGTATTAAGAACGCGTTGTTCTTAATTCGAGCTCAATCGTTTCTTCGATTGAGTCGTTTGCTGCGTGACTTTGATAAACATACACCCCCCAGGGGCGTATTAAGTGGTATCAGAGCCCCGTTCTACACAAGGGCGAGGAAGAAGACGTGTGTTGTTTCGTACGAGTTCCGGACTCGTCGCAAAACAGAGAAGACCAGTTCTGTTTTGTTTTATTTTTATTCGTTGGCGTCCAATTCAAAGAGAAAATCATGGGAACTCAACAAATCAACGAAGAGGAATTGAAAAAGATGGTGATCGAAGCCATTAAAGCGACTTTCCAGCCTAAATTTGACAGAATTCAACGTCGAATTGATGAGCTGAAGTTGCGGACAAACAACATCGTGTCACCGCAACTCTCCGCGGTGCATAATTCGAATTCAGTGATGAACTGTGATAATTGCGTTCCAACGAGAACCAATAAGGCCCTGGACGTGAAAGATAGGAGCTTGGAGCTGATCTGGGTAGCGGAGAGAGGGCATTCGAGTGGGTCGAAGGTGGAGAAAGAAGCAGGAGCAAGCCGACTCTGTTCTTCTCCGATAAAACAGAGTGTGTATTATGTCGACGGCGTCGTGGCACTTGCAAGAGATTCGACGCAAGAAATTACTTCAGAAGTCTACCCAGAGGTGGAAGGAATGACTAAAAGTCAACAGGAAGTGCCTGAACAGACTGTAGGCGATCGCATTCCTCCATTGACAGGAACTCAGAAGCTCTGCCAGTTTTTGGCTGAACAGAGTTCCGAAATTGATGATATCGTCGTGCTGTATGGGGATGATTCAAAGCAAGAGGTCTTCATCAACACATTCAATGAAGACCCAGGAATGTTTAAGGTTGATAAAATCCATCCAGAACGAGCCCGAATGAAGAATCACGAGGTTGGTTGTTTGCCTCTGACGGTGCCGCAGTTTGACTCCAAAACTGGGTATCTCGTCGGAGAGTTGGAGAGAGATTCGATCCAATCCAATGATGCGGGGAAGTTCCTAGATGATCATCGAACGCGTACGGATGCTCAATTCATCTCAAAGATTTCTCAGTTCAGAATCCCCAATTTGGAATCGGATGAACTGGGTTCGGCACAATTTGAAAACGCCAACAGTTGGAAAATTGCAGTGGACGATTCGTCACTTCCCAGGGGTATTCGAAGCGCAAAGATGGATGGGAAGTTCGATTCTGTGATGGAGAAAGCTCCCGCGAGCCGTGAATTGAGGAATGGCAGCTTGGATTGTCCGAATTCATATTCTGGGCAAGGGTCGCTGTTCGCCGCAAAGTTGCGACATTCTGGGAAATTGCCAGATCACTTGGCGGAGCTGGTTCTTGTCAACAAAGGCCAGATATTCCTTTCTGATGACGAGGAGACAGTGTGGGTTGAGGAAAGCGCCATCGAATGGGGCATGATGTGTAGAGAAGCTGCCATAGCTATGCCGAAAATTGTGTTTGAGCAGCCCACTTTCGATCCAATTTGGGATCAATTCTGTGAAGCTTTTGACAAAAAGAATGATCAAGCTTTGAGGGCAAAGCTTTTTGAAGAGGGGGAGCCTGATATGATCCTAATTGGACAACTCTACACGTTTTTATTACTTGACAAAGAAGCTATCAAAGTTGGGAAGAAGAAGGGCAGAATTTGGCTAAGTCAAAATCCGTGTTCAGGGTACATACTTTGGAGGCATGGTTCTCTCAATTGGCTTAGTGTAAATTCAATGTTAAGGGTTTATATTGCAGATAAAGTTTCCATCTTTCAAATGGTATGCTTTGTGGATCCAGATGATGTCATTAAGGTTGTTTTCCAAGGCCTCAAAGTTGCTACCTCAAAACTGGAAAACTGCCAGAATTTGGTTAAGGCAAAAACTGTGTTCAAGAAGCCTACTTTGGAGCTCCATTCCAGAAGCATGGATGAGATTCGAGTCCAGAGGCTTATACCACATGAGAGTAGGTATGTTCTACTACAAAGACATGGCATTGGATGATTGGAAGCTTACCTGGAAGGCTTTGATCAAGAGGCTCAAAGATGGCATCAAAGCTGTTTGGTTACTTGGAGCTAAAGGCAGATTTCTTTTTCTTGTTTAGTTAGGATTTCACTGTTTTGGTAGGTTTTTTAATTCCTTTTCGTGTTAGACTGTAATTAGGAGTTTATGGGACGTGTGTAACCCTAGCTAGGACTATTTAAGCTTTCTATTTCGTTGTAAAACTCAGACTTTGATTAATCGAAAAACAAACCTTTGGTTTTGTGCAAGTTGCGACTTGTTTGAGTTTGGTGGATTCCAAACTTGTGAGCTTTGTATCGATTGAATATCCTCTTCAATCGTGGTCGAGCAGCTACCCTTTTATACCATACGAGCTTTCCCCAGGTGTGGAATTGTCCGTTGGTTCCGTTTTATCCAAGTTCGTATTAAGAACGCGTTGTTCTTAATTCGAGCTCAATCGTTTCTTCGATTGAGTCGTTTGCTGCGTGACTTTGATAAACATACACCCCCAGGGGCGTATTATCTAGAGTGTACACACGACCCCTCCTAGTCCCTTGGCCTATCTCCTTCCCCGTTCTCCGATCCTGCACAATGCAACCAGTAGCATCAAAGATGATACGACATCCATTCTCTGCCAACTGACCAACGGAGACAAGGTTAGGCACTAATCGAGGCACATAAAGTGTGTCCGGGAGAGATACACCCAGACCACTAGCTACCCCAATGCCTTGTGCCGGTAAACGAGTACCATCAGCAACCTGTAACTGTATAGAACTAGAAGGCCGCAGTTGACTAAAACAAGAACGAGAACTAGTCATATGGTTAAAAGCCGCAGAGTCTAGATGCCAAGTAGGAGAGGAACAAGATGGCGTACCAGCAGTAAAGACAGAACCTAATGCAGAAGGGAGAGCATCCCTGACAACCTCCTGAAGCATCTGGCGTATTGCATCCTGAGTAAAAGGAGGCGCTGGTGAAGGAGCAATGGAGGCAGCATAAGCAGAGCCAGTCGACGAGCCCCGTGAAGTAGACCCAGGAGAGGAACGAGCACGCCCCCGTCTAGCAAGAATGGGACAGGCGCCAATCTTATGGCCAGTCGCCTTGCAGTAATTGCAAGCGTTCCTCTTCGGACAATGAAGCTGAACATGGCCAGGTTCTTTGCAGTAGTAACAAATAACTACCCCACTAGCTGAACGCTGAAAACGAGGACGCTCCGAACCAACAGCAAAGGCAGAGGCCGGAAGAGAGGCCGAGGCACTAGAGACAAGAGTACCAGTCGCAAAGGCTAGAGCGGGATCCGTGGATTGAAAATCCAATTTGGCCTGACTGCGCAATCGAGATTCCTCTCGAATCAATTCACCCAGGCTCTGATACCATGTAAACCAAACTCAATGAGAAAGAACAACACCGAATTAACGTGGTATCCTCAACGAGTATTGTTGAGACTAATCCACGGAGAGGACCAACCTCTCAGAGTCAATCGTATAACTTGTAGAATTGAGTTCTGAGTTCTCTGTACAAAAGAGGCGGCTGCCAACCTATATACCTAGCCGCCCTAATCTGACTAAGGCTCTAAATGTAATTAATTAAAAGATTTACTAATTACATTTAGCTACATAAACTTATAACTTCTAACAGTTGTCGAGACAGACTCCATTGATGTGATTTTCAAACTCAACTGGTCCAACCAAGTCATCTATTACAGCAAACCGAAGCAATGACGAGAGTTGAGACTTGGCGAAATGGTAAAGCGAAATGAGCTTTTGCAAAGAGGGAATGCAATAGAGATGCCCACAGGATTTTGCTTACACAAATAGTATTGGGATTCTTATAAGTTTTGAATTGAAAGACTGTCTGTTTTTCTTTTTTTGTTGTTACATTCGAACTGTAATATTGTTATGGTTACTTTACTTAAGGAAAAACATCCTCATATTTATAAATAAAAAAATAGTATTTCAAAAAAGAAATTTCACAACTACTGATAAGTGATAACCCATGAGATCGTGTTCATCTTCTTCTGTCAAAATGAGTAAGAGTAAAAAAAAAAACTAATATAGGTAAATAAAAGCCAAAACAGGAAGAAGACAAAAAAGGTCACTAGGGCACGTGAAAGCCACAGTCCCAAAACCTGCCGTTTCGAGATATTTGCTGGCCACGAGCCTGCCACACGCTCCACCACCAGCACTCAATCCCTACCGTCCACATGGGCCAAGCATCCAACGGCCCAATCCCTTCCTCCTATATATCTTCGCTTTCTCCCGTCTTCTCTGCCACACAAGCACAACCAATCCTCTCCGCCTCTCCTCTCCTCTCCATCTTCGTCCCTTCCCAACCTTTTCCCCTCAACATTTTCTCACTGAAATACTGTCCGTCTTTCCTTCAAACCCACCCCCATATTCTCTCCGATTTCACGCTCTGTTTCAGAAGCTATGGCGCTCAAGATTTCGCCGGCCTTCTCTTCCATCCTGGCCTCCCGAGCGGGAGACAACAATCTGTTTCCCTCTGTTTCCTCCACCTCCCCTTCGGTTCTGCGTTTGAAGACTGGCTCCTCGTCTTCGGCGTTGGTGTGCAGGGCGGCCAACGACAAGCCTCTGACTGGGGTTGTGTTCCAGCCCTTCGAAGAGGTGAAGAAGGAGCTCGATCTGGTGCCTACAACTCCCAACGCTTCACTCGCTAGGCATAAGTTCGTTGATGACTGTGAAGCGGCCATCAACGAACAGATCAAGTATAACGCCTTCTTCCCTTTCCTTTAACAAGCCTCTTCTCATTTTCCCTTTCATTACTTATGCCTTTGAGGTGTTTGTGAGAAGTACCGACTTATTAAATACTGTTGCGAGTTTTTCTTTGTCACGATGGCTATTTTCGCGATATTACCACTATTCTGTTGATTGGTTGAATGGATGGTGTTGGTGATTAGACGAGATTTTCGTGTGCCCTTTGTAGTTATGTCGTCTTGCTTTTTAGCTTTCCTTTGTCGATTATTATCTGGCCTGTATATCTAATTGCCTGTGGAGGGGCTTTGATTCGTACACAGGCTGTTTAGGGTGCGATTCTGGAGATTGTACTGTGTTATCTTTTGTGGGTTGTGGTGATAGTACTCTGTTATTGCTGACTAATCATTTGGTTAATTGATGTCACTTTCGTATTGACAGCGTGGAGTACAATGTCTCCTATGTCTACCATGCCATGTACGCCTATTTTGACAGAGACAATGTTGCTCTCAAGGGTTTGGCCAAGTATAAATCTTTTCCGTTTTTTCCAATCTCCCCTGTCTCAATTAAGTTATCTTTCCAGTCACTTAGACTAGTCTTTAGCTAACTATGATTTGGTGACAGGTTCTTCAAGGAATCAAGCGTAGAGGAAAGGGAGCATGCTGAGAAATTGATGGAGTACCAGGTATACTCGATCCCCTGATTTCCATTGTCCTGATAAGGGACTGCTTGTTTTGCACACTTAAGCACACTTGGCTGTACGTTTCATTTTGGTATTTTGCTTTGTTTCGTAGAACAAACGTGGCGGGAAAGTGAAGCTGCAATCCATTTTGATGCCCCTATCTGAGTTTGACCATGCTGAGAAAGGCGATGCTCTCTATGGTATGTAGTTGGTTTCGACCTTTTGGGTCTGGGGTGACGCTTGTACATTTTCTGCTTGAATTCGATATAATTATAGAGGAAAGCTGTTTACTTTCAAATTTAACTTTTGTGAAATAAATGGAACTAAGTAACAATCTTTCTGTAATTCAGCAATGGAACTCGCCCTGTCCCTGGAGAAACTAGTAAATGAGAAGCTCCTGAATTTGCACAGCGTAAGACACTTCTATTCTTTTCCCCCCGTCCCTGTGTGCCCTTCAGCGTATTATTATCGAAAGGGTTTCGTTTAGTCTGAATGAAGGGTTACATCTTTGGATTCATCTCACCTATTTTTTATTGCTACAGGTAGCTGAGCGGGCTAACGATGTGCAATTGACTGATTTTGTTGAAGGCGAGTTCTTGGCTGAGCAGGTATGCCACTCTTCTAACACACTGGCACAAATGGTTTTCCTTGGCTTCCAGCATCAATGCCTGAACTTGAGGTACTCTTTGTAGGTTGAGGCGATCAAAATGATCTCTGAATATGTTGCCCAACTGAGGAGGATTGGGAAGGGACATGGTATGCTTCCTAACAAACATCTTCACCATTGTTGCTTTCTGCCATAGATATCTGTATTTAGAACTGACATTCTGGGTTTTTGTTGATCATCAGGTGTATGGCACTTCGACCAGACCCTTCTCAATTAGGGAGCAGGAGCTGCTGCATGATGAGCAAAGGCTAGGCTATCTGATATTTTGGCAAGAGGCAGTACTTCAGATCAATTGCGATTGGGGAATTTGTTTCGTTTCCTCCACCTTTGTTTTATTGTTTTGTCTTTTTTTGGAGCTTTTTTGCTAGTTGTAGAGACTGGAACGGGGTATGGTCGTTGAACTTGGAAGATAGGAGGTTTGTTTCTAGGTGGTGGATGAGTTATATGGAATGGTGTGCGATTGATCGTTTTGTGTTTGCATTTGGCTTTGCTTTTGCTTAAGAAAAGTTTAGTCTTGAAAAACAAAACTGATATATTTCAAGCCAGTCGAAGCGGATTTAAGTAAGATCAAAGCTTTAATCACGTTTGGTAAACAAAGATGAATCAGTTTTAGACTGAACATAACCAGTCACCAACTAGATTTGAGTTAACTTGTGATTCCGTTCACGGGCAGCCCGCAGCCTGTTTCATACCACAGTGGAGTGACTGCATGTGTCTGACTCTGATATGATTCGTACCTGCTGAGCTTCATAATAAGTTTCAGGTTCTGCAAAAGCACCAACAGAACAGCCATCATGGATCCTACTCAATTTCATTTCACTAAAATGAAATTCTACACTGTTTAAACTCTGCATTATTTATCAAACCTGTCAATCCAAATAACAAACTAGTACACTAAGTAAACAGATATTACATTATGATACTTACACTATACCACTACGTACATTGTGTGAGTCTGTGAGAGACATTATAAGCAGCAGGTTTCCTGATACCTTTCCCCTCTTTGTTATCACTCGCAAACAAATATAAATAATCACGTGCGTGTCCATTATCGAGACGGCCACCGGAGACGACAATACATAGGTGGCGAAATTGAGAATAAACCGCAGCGAGAAAGCACTAACGGATCCAGGCTCCATTAATGCATGATTAAACTAATCCATGCATGTTTCGTTTGTCCCACACTACCCGATCCATTGGTTTGTAGGTATTAGGACTAACTTACTCTCTAATTAGTAATTAGCAAACGCTTCTTCCTTAACGTACGGCTCTACTGATCATCAATTGTTTGTGTGTATATATAGGGCACCCTCCGAGCCCACCAATACAAACAACCCAGTTAAGAGATAGATAGCACTCAATCAATCATTCAAAACCATATATATCAATGGCAGCTTCTTCCATCGCCGTCCTCACTATCCTAATCGGAATCATGATAGCGACGACGCCGTTCGACGGCGCGAACGCCGAGGACGCCGCCCCTCCATTGTACGTGTGCAACGGCAATGTGGACGCCGGCATGACTCCATGCGTTAGCAAAATGGCAACCACTTTGATAACGAGGGATCCGAGGCGCGGCGGGAGGACGAATCAGTGCAGCGTCAACGCCACCACGACGCTCCATGCAGTGGCATACTGTTACGACATAGACTATCTCCCGCTCTGCCGCTTGTGCTTGCAACATGCTACGAAGAAGGTGATGAGCAGTTGTCCGGATCGGGTCGGGGCCAGAATCAACAACACTCTGTGTGCGTTTAGATACGAGGCTTATTCTTTCTTCTGAGTTTTGGCCCATGCAACAATTAATGGGTTTCGTCGACCGATCGACCGGCGACTTTATTCACAAGGATTGATGCCAAAAGCTTATAATTAGCTTGCATCGATCATAAAATTGATACTACCTATCTAGTTTCTGAAGTTTCTGTGTTTTGCTGTATTTTTTTCCTTTTGTTTCTGGGCACATGCATATGGATTTTGTATGTGTGGTGATAGAGCTTTTGCTTGATGCACTCATGTTTTTCTCGATATTGAGTAGTATCTATTTCATTTATCAGTTATCAGTATATGCTTGAATTTTTTTATTTTGATTCATGAATTAGGGGTGACCATTGGATAACATTTACGAATTCGTGATGAGTTGGATTTAATGACTTGAGATATTCATCCGTTGATTAGTTAAGTGCATTTGTTACTAACTTGAGAACGACACTTGCACTATAAAAGACATGTTGATCTTTGTTGCAAAGACTCATGACATGAATAAATGTGAAAAACCATGTTGAGTGAGATCCTAATAACTAGAAAAATACAAGATGTACAGCTGCATACATGTTTGATGATGCTCGTATAAATATTTAAAGAACACCTAAGACGGTGTAAGAAAGTTAGAATATACTAGCATTTACAGTCTGCAGGAGGCAGCTGATAAACATGATACTCGATTTAGTGGGGGGTACTTGGCAGGATTATTGATTGTCCTAGTATGAAGCATTGAAATGCTATTGAAAGGGGTTATGAGACACCTTAAGAGAACAGTAGACATTGATATAAGTTATCAACGGTTTCGTACAGTATTGGTAGGGTATATTGATGCGGACGAGAATACCCTATAGAAGACTCCAAGGCATCCAGTGGACATGTTTTAAACATCACTGGAAGTGTTGTGTCTTGGAATACTAAGAAGTAAATGACCCTCGCTCAATCAACTAAGAAATCAGAAATGATAGAGCTAGCAATGGCTAGTAAAGAGAAAAGTTGATTGAGAGGGTTATTACTACAGATTCCCTTATGGGAAAGACCGATCCCTCCGGTAGTTGATTCATTGTGATAGCACCGCAACTATTACTAAAGAAGGGAACCAGTTCTATAACGAAAAGAGACGACAAATTCATCGTAAGCACAGTACTGTAAGAGAACTTCTAACGATAGGAGCAATGAGGGTGGATCCTGTAAGGTCCTAATAGAATCTAGCTGATCCTTTGACGAAAGGATTATCTAGAGAGAAAGTCCAAAGTACCGCCAAGGGTATGAGACGTATGCCTACCGAACCACGGACTACAAGTGATGGTAACCCGACCCAATAGATTGGAGATCCCAAGAAATGGGTTCAATGGGTAATAACAAGTCATGAGTAGTATGCGAAAAGTTCATGCATAGTGAAGCATGAATCCCAAAGCCTTAGAGGTTGAGTTAAACTGTTACTGAGATGTATACTCTATGTGGAGTGAAGTACTTTACTTTGGGGGTACTTCTGATAGACTCACCTATGTGAATGTGGGAGTGGGGTCGCTCCCTATGAAACTTTGGAGGCACAAAGTTGCTAGAGCGTTCACTAAACCGGGATAACGTGCATGACCATAAACGCATGACCTATGAGAGAATATCACTCAATGAAAGGATCCGGTGTGCTACATTGTCTGAGATAGGGTTCAAGACTACGAGTCACCCTTATGAAATCGAAAGTGTAACCACTACGCTAAGGTTCAAATCTTCGTGATACCTTAGCTTATGCCCGATCTTATGGAACTGTTGATGCTCAGAGATAGTTTTAAAACTATTCAAGTGGGGGATTGTTGGGATGAATAGCCTTGAAAAGCTATAAATGAAATTTCTAATTAATTATCCAGTATTTTCCCATAATACTTAAATAAGATGGATAATTAATAAAAAGAATATTATGAAGATAATTAGGAATAATTATCTTAATAGATTATATTTTAATTATGGGAGTAATTATCTCCCTAATTAAAATATGACTTATTCCCAAAGAAAGAGGGAATATTCTGGGTTTTCTGCTCCTATAAATAGGAGACACCCCAGACCCTCTAAACACACCTAAAAAATGCAGAAACATGAGAGAGAGTGAATTCATAGAGCTCCGGTTTTTCGCACAAAACCGATGAGCAATAAAATTAGAATGAATGTTTTATCCTGGAGGCGACCGATTGATAGTCTGCTGTGCGCAATACGAGGTAGTTCCACGAACGTCTTAAAAAGAGCGATCTAGTCCGCAACTCAACCAGATCGATAACCTTAATTTTTCTGTTGGGTTTGTAACGCACTATACTACTACATTGTGTGAGAGACATTATAAGCAGCAGGTTTTCCTGACTCTTCTTCACCTTATTGTTATCACTCGCAAACAAATATAAATAATCACGTGCGTGTCCATTATCGAGACGGCCACCGGAGACGACAATACATAGGTGGCGAAATTGAGAATAAACCGCGGCGAGAAAGCACCAACTGATCCAGGCTCCATTAATGATTAAACTAATCCATGCATGTTTCGTTTGTCCCACACTACCCGATCCATTGGTTTGTTGGTATTAGGACTAACTTACTCTCTAATTAGTAATTAGCAAACGCTTCTTCCTTAACGTATGACTCTACTCATCAATTGTTTGCGTGTATATATATATATATAGGGCACCCTCCGAGCCCACCAATACAAACAACCCAGTTAAGAAATAGCACTCATCAATCAATCATTCAAAACCATATATATCAATGGCAGCTTCTTCCATCGCCGTCCTCACTATCCTAATCGGAATCATGATAGCGTTCGACGGTGCGAACGCGGAGGACGCCGCCCCTCCATTGTACGTGTGCAACGGCAATGTGGACGCCGGCATGACTCCATGCGTTAGCAAAATGGCAACCACTTTGATAACGAGGGATCCGAGGCGTGGCGGGAGGACGAATCAGTGCAGCGTCAACGCCACCACGACGCTCCATGCAGTGGCATACTGTTACGACATAGACTATCTCCCGCTCTGCCGCTTGTGCTTGCAACATGCTACGAAGAAGGTGATGAGTAGTTGTCCGGATCGGGTCGGGGCCCGAATCAACAACACTCTGTGTGCGTTTAGATATGAGGCTTATTCTTTCTTCTGAGTTTTGGCCCATGCAACAATATAATGGGTTTCGTCGACCGATCGACCGGCGACTTTATTCACAAGGATTGATGCCAAAAGCTTATAATTAGCTTGCATCGATCATAGAATTGATACTACCTATCTAGTTTCTGAAGTTTCATATGTTTTGCTGTATTTTTTCCTTTTGTTTCTGGGCACATGCATATGGATTTTGTATGTGTGGTGATAGAGCTTTTGCTTGATGCATGCACTCATGTTTTTCTCGATATTGAGTAGTATCTATCTCATTTATCAGTTATCAGTATATGCTTGAATTTTTTTATTTTGATTCATGAATTAGGGGTGACCATTGGATAACATTTACGAATTCGTGATGAGTTGGATTTAATGACTTGAGATATTCATCCGTTGATTAGTTAAGTGGAATCCCAAATTTGAGTGAAATAACAATTTACAACATTCCTTATTTCAATTTTAATGATTTATAATTTATTTAACACTTAACAACAAGAAAAATAGCTTGCAAGTTGATATCATCAGAGCTCAATAGCTCATAAAGTCCTTGAGCTATTGAAACTAATAATTTAGATGATAGAGTTACGTTTGTAAGTGATGTTGATTTCTCGGGTAGAGTACATCGATACCACTAACGTATGAGAATTGCGGGAGTTATACCACTTAAATAAGAATAGGGCATCGCGTATCACTGAACTCTATTATATGTGCACCCGGTACGAGTTAAGTTTAATGCTAAGTGCATTTCGTTAAAGTTAACAAAATATTCTTGAAATATTTTATTTTTTAAATTTCATAAGTGATTCTTCTACTTTTCTTATTGTAAAAAATCATTTAAACTTATGAAAATATTTTATTTTTTAGTTGGGATCCTCTTTTCAATACTTGATATCAAACCAATTTTTGAATAAAAAATTTAGAATTGATTATTATTAAGTATTTTCAATTATCATTAGTTCAATTTTCTAATATTATATTGTATATGTTCCATATTAGTTAAAATTACTAATTCTAATTTTCTTCATATAGTCTTTTTTCAATTATTGGAATATGTTTAATTCTTTTTGATTGTGTTCCATTTATCTTTGTTTGGTTTTGATGTATTGATGATCGATTAGGTTCTATTTTAACTGTTTCCAATGGTGCTTTTAATTGAATTAGGGGGGTTTAAATAGATAATATACTATTAATTTTAAATATTTACTATTGCATTCTAGTATATTTATTATTATTCTTGATATTCATTTATTATTTTTACTAATTTATCTATTTTATTGGAAAGTTTTGATTAGCCATTCTAGTAATAATATATTTAGAATGTTTTCTAATTTTTATATTAGATAAAACTTGTTGAAATAGTTTTGAATGTTTTTAAGAGTTTTGGGTACCAAAAAGTAATTAAAAGTTCGTGTTTGATAGAAAAGTAGATGGATGCACATTTTGGCGACTTTAATAGTACCCGACGCCATATTCAAACTTAAGTGATATGTCTACCTGATTTCAAACTTAAATAGTACCCGAAGTATTTTGCCTTTGATTTCCCTCTTGATATTTACAAGGTAACTCAATATAATTATGCCTAAGTGACATCTAGATGTCGTGTTACTCCACAACGTATTCTTCTTGATTTCTAAATTGCTGTAAAACTGCTAAATAAAACGTATTGGTGTCGCCTGATGTAGCTAATCATAAGTTTAAAGTTTAAACACAATCATTATAATATTCCAATATTTATAATCACCATTGCTCTAATTAAATCCCGCCAAGTATGACAAAAAAAAAACAAAAAAAAAATCCCGCCAAGCCCTTTGGCGGTTTGTCTAAACCCCACTTTGTACCCCAACCAAAAGTGCCCACAATCTCAGTTCCTCCCGGCAAAACCTTCAATCGCTCTCCCCACAGAAATGGAACACTGTGCTCTCTGCATCCCTTCCTTATTCTGTTTGATTCTCGTTGTTTCGAGCTTCTTCGCCGCCGCAGTGGAAATCCTTTCCAAATCCAAGGCCTAGCGGTGCGAGTAAGGCTCCGATTTCGAAGAGATCAACTGCACTCGTATCGTCCTCAACATGGCGGTTCCCAGCGGCGCCGTAAGTAAATTTCGGTTTTCATCCAATCGCGTTAACCGATTGCAGAATTTCATACGTTCAAGTCTCGTTTTCACTTGTTTGACCCTTTCCAGTCGATCGATGTTCTGAACTGTGGGAATTTTGACTGGTTTCGGTTTGTTAAGAGTGGGAGAGAGTCGGCGATCGTCGCTGAAATCGTAGAGGTGGAGGAGAATTCCACTGATTACATGCAAACGCTGTGAAGGCCGCCTGTGATAACGATCCACAAATCTCCTGCTTAGCTGATACATATATTCGGGTAATGTAGGGTTGTTAATTCACTAGTGAACAAGCAAGGTTGATTGGCTCTTATGGAGTCCTTTAGTTTGCGTTAATTGACATTTGGAGTTGTGTCTGTGGCATGAAAAATGGCCAGGATGTTGCTCATATACCTGTCGGAGTATTCTGTCAAGACGCGAAAATGCAAGCCAGATGCTAACGTGGATGCGTCGAAGGAATGTGTAAGGCATGTGATCCTATCTTGGTAATGGTTCAAAGTGTTATTGCTTCAATCTGTTTGGCTGCTTGTTTTCTAGCTGTTGTGTGAAATTAGATCAATCTGGTGCCCTATGCGAGATTTTCTGCCAGATGACATGGGAAATGAAAATATTGCTTGCAAGTTCATGGTTAAACATAATGCCACCAATTAATGTGTTTCTTTATTTGCTATGGACACTTTATAACTGGGGATTGAGATTAGATGTCCACTAGTAAGCCGCTTTCTACATTTCTGTTGAATGCAGGATGAGATTGGTCATGTTATTGGGCATTCAGAGGTAACGCTCTCTGTAGATAGCTAACAATCTTTGCATGTAGCAGTCTGTTCAAGATAAAGAAAAGAAGAAGGGAAAATTCATGACAGAAGTTTATTGGGAAAATAACATGTGTTCTTGGTGAATTACATAGGTTCTCTTTCTAGTTATAATCCTAAGACTTTTTTCTTTCTCTACTTGTTCTGTTCCCTCGATATCGGTCCTTTTGGTCGGCCACTATGTTGTCCTTGTGGTTGGTGGAGGTGAGCACCTTCATCGTTGGGCAACTTCTGTAAGTCCATTGTGCTGTTTAGTATCCAGATTTAACGACACAATGGAGATTTCAATTTATTGAGACTGGTCTTAGAGTTACCCTTGATCAGTCGGTAAATTGGTGAAATGAAAGTCGAACACAACCCATTGTGTCAGATTCCAGGTGATTGGTATGATCTTTAGGCTGCATGCATTACTTCTTCTGAAACCTTTCGTTTTACATGGAGAAAATAGAAGCAAGCTACGGAACAAACAATCTTTTACCTTGAATGAATGTGCAGTGGCCATCAGTTACCCTGACAGTGATTATATAGGATCAAATCTGCAATGAAGTCACACAATTAACTTGGCAGAGCTATACATAGGTTAGTTATTAGTATTTTGAACCCTTAGAGGGCTATAGTTTCCTTGTGCTTTGCCCCAGGAGGAATTTGTACAGTGTTGGGAACTTGTGCATTAGAGATTATGATTTCTATAGCTTGCAGAAAATCCCTTTCTGTCGGTCTTTCTTTAGACCCCCTGACTTTTGAAATCAGAAGAAACGCCTTTCGTTTCTGTGTTGCTGTTTTCATATTGATTTCATTTATAAACTCTTAGGAGCCTAATATTAGTATGTAACTACTAATATCCTGCTATTCTTTTCGGTTCCATGTTTTTGGAATTGGTCAGAGGTAAGTTGGATTTAGTATTCAAATTGAGATGAGGGTGGGATCCAAGGTCTCTCTATGTCATTTCTATCTACTTGCTCTCTTCAATTTGTATGACAGTCAAAGAAACACGTCTGAAAAACCGACTTTATTTCTGTGCAGACCGTTGCATGCGAGTCATATCTGTCGAGCCCGACTTTAGGAAGGAAATGTGTGCTTAATTGTTGTCTAGCAGTCTCGTGATAACTAAGAACAGTATTTGGTAACAAATTATACCTTTCTGACTTTGGCGCTTAGTTCTCCTCTATATTCGAATTATGCCTTTCTAAGAGCATTACGATCTGCAGCTCAAATGGTCTCTTATGAAGGCTGCAAGCTCTTTCAGTTAGCTTGCCTGTATCCAGAAATTTACTCTTCATCAATCATCAGCAGGCTACTTAAGTGGAATCGTAAATTCGTGATGTGTTAGTAAAAGTAGATGTTTTTGTTGTCCTATCTCAAACATGGATATCCAGTCATCACCTACTCTTTTCATTTACAGGAAGTGATCTTGGAATCTGAAAATAGAACAGCTACATCGGAGAACAAGTTTCTAAGGGTTAATCTAATTGGAGATTTTGGTTAGATACTATAGCATTCATTCTTTTGAAGACCATTACGGCATTACCTCGTCCTTCTGTGACAGGTATTCATTCTTTCTTCACTAATATTTTCCAGTTACGGTATTCAATTTCCCTCTGTCCCTTCTTTATCATTTTCTCCACGCCTCTGCAATGAAGTGAGCTACACTGGATCGCTGTAAACATTAGTTCAGGAGCAACAATAAGAGGTTCTGATGAAAACAATTGAACGAATCATTTGAGTTTTGATGTTGTGTCCTGAAAGCCATCTTAGCTTGTTAATTTCTTATAATTAGGGAACCCATATGAGACACAGATGAATAGGCTATTCTCCTTTTTAAATTTCTGCTCTACCTCTCCATTCTGTAGAAGCCATTTTCTACCACATTGTTTAAGCTAATATTTGGAAGCAAGTGAATGTTGGATAAAAAGGGAGTTTGAACTTCTGTTTAAAGCATACCTTTCTCGGCCTTTTGGCTAAGATCAAGTGTAGTATCTGTTCTTATCAGTTTAATATCTGATACGTGGGCCAATGGTCCACACGATATTAAATTAATTTTTTTAGGGGGAGAAGCCCACCGCTGGAGCTTGCTTCAGGGGCTTTTCGTGTGTCGCCCATGCGTTGCACTACTGCACGGGCCTGGCGCACCCCACCAATTTTAGTAAAATATATTTAGCATGTTCTGTTCTAGAGCCCAAAGTAAAACGAATGCAGTTAAACGAAGACGTGGAACAACATTGCTGTTTCTATATCTCTACGTCGAGCTTGTAGTTACTTCTCCTGTCATATGTATATGCTATAAATATGAAGCAGCTCATAGTTGATATGTGTTGTGGAATGAGGGTTATTGTCACTGACAAGAACTGGGGAGGAATTTTTCAATGTGGATGCTTGAGAGAGTAAAGATTAATGCTGGATCCAATAAATTTGGCACAACTTATGAGACTTTCAATGGAAAATCAGATTTTCGTGCCTCGCTATGATGGAGTTGCTTGCATAATCAGTTGTGGAATTGATAGAATTGAGAGCAGATGGCATAGAGTTTGTCTACCTCGTTTTGTTCCTGGCACAATGTTAGAATTTATGCTGAAATTTTCTTTTAGTCCACACTTTTTCGTCTTCACATCTGCAATATTTTTCATCGTCAAAGGTCCAGATTAAGGTTTTTTAAGGCTACCACAGTAATGTGATTGTAACCTGTAACTACAATTTATAAAAGGTACAACATTGCTGAAGTATGACTCATAAAACTGTTGCCTTTATATGTGTTTGGAAGTTCATGAACTCTGTTTAATATGCATGTATTCTGAAATTTCCATTTACAGGATCCCAGGGAAAATTGTGGGGTTACAGTTCCCACATTTGAAGCCCTAACTCAGTTCGCAACTGCTATTGTTACCGCTAAGAATACAGGGAAAGTGGAAACATCATACAGTTTAACGGTAGAATCCACCCTTCCTCTGCAGTTATTTTATCATGCAACTCACAATACTTAATGGGAACTGTTATTTTCCCATTGTTTTAGTAAACTTGCATTATTCTGAATTGAAATCCATTAACAATTAGTTCCCAGCTAGACTTGGCCAATATAATCATATCTTATTTTCTCCTGGTCGAGTAAGTTCCTAGTTGAAGATAACCTGGTTGCTGCGTTGACAAATTGCTCCATCTTGCAGTGTGACTGCTCGAAAGTCGTTTCCCTTATGGAGGTACCTTCAAAAGTTCCAGTCTTCTTCCTTCATATGACTCATAACAATCAAAAGTTTTGTGAGCATAACTCTAGCATTCCTTCTTTGAGGATATTTACCTCGTGCTTCCATGACAGGTATTCATTCTTGCTTCACTTAAATTGTCCAGGTATGGTATTCAATTTCCCTCTGTACCTTCTTTATTATTCTCTCCATGACTCTGCAATGAAGTGAGCTATACTGGATCATTGTAAACACTATTTCAGGAGCAACAATAAGTGGTTTTGATGAGAACAATTGAACGACTCATTTGAGTTTTGATGTTGTCCCGAAAGCCATCTTTGCTTGTTAATTCCTATAATTAGGAATTCCTATAATTAAAGAGAAGAAAGGTGAGTAATTACCAATCCTACGTCTAAGGTTTAAGGAACGGTAATTGGGTTTGCTGCGCTATGAGCTCTCTCTTTTTTGACAGGAAATTATGAGCTTTCTCGTTTCTTTATTTCTGCTCTACCTCGCTATTCTTTAGAAGCCGCTTTCTACCACATCCCTTAAGCAATATGTGGAATGAAGTGGATGTTGAATAAAAGGAGAGTTTGAACAACTGTTTAAAGCATACCTTTCTCGGCCTTTTGGCTAAGATCAAGTGTAGTATCTGTTCTTATCAGTTTAATATCTGATACGTGGGTCAATGACCCACACGATATTAAATTTATTTTTATAGGGGGAGAAGTCCACCACTGGAGCTTGCTCCAGGGGCTTCTCGTGTGTCGCCCATGCGTTGCACTACTGCACGGGCCTGGCGCACCCCACCAATTCTAGTAAAATATATTTAGTTTGACATATTGCAGTTTCTATGTTTCTATAACGTGCTTGAGTTTCCTTCCGTTGGTTATATGTAATATGCTGTAATATGAAGCAGCTCATTGTTGATCTTTGTATTGGAAGGAGGGTTCTGGTCACCCACAAGAACTGGGAGCAAGAGATTTACGCTGGATGGTGTTGAGTTCAATAAAATTGGGTCACTTAGGAGGCTTTCAATGGCAATCAGATTTATGTGCCTCACCATACTGGAGTACTTGCATGATCAGTTGTGGAACTTCTGGAATGTTAGTATCCCCTAGTCTTGATTCCTTTCAGTCTGATGTTCCATAATCTCCTTCTGTTGCTTATGCAATTTTTAATTTTTATCAAGCTACTGACCTGTTTCATCTGAGATTTGTCATCGGGGACAGGCTGATCAAAACCAAAATGTTTGCTTCTCGCTTTGTTTCTGGCGTGATGTTAGAATTGATGCTGAAATTTCCTTTTAGTCCACACTGTTTCCTCATCATATCTGCAATGTTTTCCTTCATCAAAGGTCCATCTTGTAGTTTGGCTGCTTGAAAGGCGTTTCCCTTATCGAGGTACCTTCCTTCACAAGTTCCACTCTTCTTCCTTAATACGACACATGACAGTTAAAAAATTTTATGATCATAACTCGAGGGCTGATGACTCAGGAGCAATTCTTCATCATGAAACCAAATGAAGTCGCTACTCAATGATTTAAACTATACCCAACAAATGATCAAGCTGCAAGTTATGCATGTTCAGGTAATTACAGTACCAGCAGTGTCCATTATAAAATTTTAGTTTATCATGAGTACTAATGTGAGGTAGCATCCGGTTTGGATTCTTAGTGTTTCTTTTTAGTGCAGCTGTTCTGAAGCACTCTAATTTCAATCAAGTGGACCGAGCCAATTGCCAATTTTATATGACAGCTACTACTATAGACAATGGGTCTCAGCCTCTCAGGTTTGCCTAGTTGATTAAATCTTTGTTCGTCCATCAATTCATTTTCTTAGCTTAGTTCCGTAAGGCGTTAGATATGATCTGACTTCACTGTAAAAAGTCTGAAGTATAGGAACTAGATTCTGTGAGTGCTAAAGTGAAAGGAATCAGTTCCATATGCGGTTCACTTACGAAGTAGTTCTATACATGTTTGGGAATTTTAGTAAGAATGAGACTCGATCTTATCAAATGAATTTGATTAATGTGGTCAGTGCATCTATCTTTCTAGATATGTGATTTCCCTCTTAATTATATTCATCAATCTGGAACACTCTTAACTATATATTGATCAATCTGGACAGCATGTGTCAATCCTGAAAGTTTGTCAATTTAGGTGAACTGAAGCAATTGCATGGCATTTTCACATGACAGAGTGATTCAATTATAAAACTTTTGTAGATTGGTCCCTTTATACCACCAAAGACAGAACGGAATCGGTTCCCGGAGTCTATTAAAATAATGCGGAACAAACTGTGGGATGGTTTGTTAGACTTCATCATGGGAAGAACTTGCAGGTACATAATCTGGAGTGAGATGTAGTCGAAACATATATTTCTTTTATGTGGAGTATATTGAAGACATATGCAATCTTGCTGTGAATGCCTCTTGAGCAGATTTATCTGTCGAGGATCTCTGGAACACATTTGTTAGTAGTCTTTCATGGTCTTTCGTATTATATTTTTGTCTGATCTTAAAGTATTGAAAAACCAACTATAATTGTGATTGCAATGCTTGTGCTAATCTGACTTCTACATCAAAAAGGTTTCTTTGATCCTCTTTATGATTGGTGGGAAGATCATCTTGGGCATGAGAAGCACCAGACAAGAAATGTGCAATTATTCCTATATCTATTGGCTTTGCCTGCGCTGTGAGCTCTCTCCTCTCTTTATTTCTACTCTACCTCACTATTCTTTAGAAGCCACTTTCTATCTACCACATAGCTTAAGCTAATATGTGGAAGGAAGTGGATGTTGCATAAAAGGGGAGTTCGAACAACTGTTTAAAGCATACCTTTCTCGGCCTTTTGGCTAAGATCAAGTGTAGTATCTGTTCTTATCAGTTTAATATCTGATACGTGGGCCAATGGCTCACACGATATTAAATTAATTTTTATTGGGGGAGAAGTCCACCACTGGAGCTTGCTCCAGGGGCTTCTCGTGTGTCGCCCATGCGTTGCACTACTGCACGGGCCTGGCGCACCCCACCAATTCTAGTAAAATATTTGTTTACTGCGTTTTTTCTTGTAATTGCAAGCTCTAAATTGCTGAACTGGATGCCAGTGTTGTTGTAGGACGTTACTGTTTCTAGGTATCTCCAATGAGTTTGCAGTTGCTTCAGTTCGTCATATGTATATGCTGTAATCTGAAACCTTTCATCAGGCTACTGATCCTTTTCAGCTGAGAAGTGTCATCGGATTCAATCTGAGGTTAGCATGCAGGTGCTCATACGTTCTCCATCGGAATAACTGAGGTTCTTACCACAAACCTATTGGTAAATTAAGAGCAGATGACATAGAATTTGTCTACGAAAGGTTTGCTTCTCGCTTTATTTCTGGCATGCTGTTAGAAACTTAGAATTGATGCTGAAGTTTCCTTTTAGTTCCCACTATTTCTCGTCGCTTTGTTTCTGGTATCATGTTCGTTCTCTTAGCTTATGAAGTTCCATAAAATCATATTTGGAACGTGGTAGAGATGATCTGACCTCACTGTGAAAAGTCTGAAGGAACTAGATTCTGTGCGTGCTAAAGTCGAAGGAAACAGTTTCATTTTGGAAATGAATTGAGAACTTGGCTTGGGTAAACAGATAGTTCTATACATGTTTGGGAAATTTGGGCTCTGTTTCATAAGAGTTAGTTGCATTTCTGATTGAAACTGTACTTTATGTGTCTAACTAGATATTCTCTTTCCACATAGAGCAGCCAGTAAGCACAAAACCTCTTTCGTCCATGGGAGTTGGAGCCACTGATCTGCAATCATGGTATAGAAAAATAAGTTTTGATGCTAAGAATGAGACTCGTAACCAAATGAACTTGATTAATGTGGTCAGTACATCTATCTCTGTCTAGATGACTTATTGTGATTTCCCTCTTAACTATATTGATCAGTCTGGACTCTGGACAGCATGTGTCAATCCTGAAAGTTTGTCAATTTAGGTGAACTGAAGCAATTTAATGGCATTTTCATAAGATAAACCTCAAACTTGCAATGTTCTAGGATGATTTTGCTAATGATGAGTATCATCTTGCTGGTATTAGAAGGAAATGCGATGGCTTCTTTGATTTTAAATGCCACATACATTATATATGCATGAGTCGGATGGTGATGTTTGGTCTACTTCTAGCTATTTTCCTGACAGCTGAAGCCTTTCGTATTATTATTTGTGTCTGATCTTAAGAATTGAAACAAGACTTGAATATTTTGACGTTAACAACGATAACAACTATAATTGTGATTGCAGTGCTTGTGCTGATATGGCTTCCACATCAAAAAGGTTCCTTTAATCCTCTTAGTGATTGATGGGAAGATCATCTTGGCAATGAGCTGCATCGGACCAGAAATATGCATAGACGCTACAGTCATGTTGAGAAACACCATGATCATACACATTGAGAGTTCAGCTTTTAGGAATGTGGAATGGCAAGGGACGCGGTACTTTGACAGGTTGACAAATGGTGAAATATATGATCACCCAGCTCAATTTGCCATCTTGATCAGAGAAAATAGTTGGACTTGGTTGAATCTTACTCGAAGTCTTAGAACGGATGATGGCAGAATAACTTTATCGTCACATTTTCCTTCCTTTGTCTTCTTAAACACCATTGCACTCAGGGGCAAGAAATTAACTGAGCATCCAGACACTTCAGGGCATTTGGCGGTGGCATGAGATTTTGTGTTTGTACATAATTTACAAATGTCCAGATTGCGACTCTTCTACACTACTAGATCACAAAGTACAGGTAGAACAAACTTTCTCTTTCATAGTTTCATTAACTGGCAGAAAGAAGAGGAGGCTGACCTGCTGATCTTTTTAGGTGGAAACCGACGAAATGTTGTCCTATACCTCTGGTTTACACTTTACAGTTGCCTGATGGATATCATGTTCAAATCCTGGAAAGGGATACATAACGTAATGTGCAGAATAACACAGGATAAAGGCGGTCTGCCTAGAGAACCAGAATTACAAGAATTTTTGTCCATGGCCTCTTACTGGTATGGTGGTTGAACCAACGGGCATAGCAGTGGTTGAACCGACTTTCACCTTGACCAGTGAGACTATTTGTCCATGAGAGGAGAAGAAGGGTTGGTTGGAAGTTGGAACCTTGACTCTTGGATTGGTGGGCCGCGAGAATTTCCATATCTGGTTCAACTGGTTTGGCCCGACAGAAGTTATTAAAGCAGGCGTAATAAATGGGCCCATAGAGTGGTCGGGCCCAATAAAACATATTTATAATATTCAAGACACTTTCTGTGAATTATCAATGGTTGCAATTGCATGCACCAATTTGAAGACTGTGTCCGATAAAAAAAAAAATTTGAAGACTGGGAGGATTTTATGCAACACCATATCATCTTATTTTCTTCTATGCTTTGTCCCCCGCCCGAATGGCTTGTATATGACAAGGATTTCGATATCGTATCGAAAGTTATACCGGTAAAGTCGGTGATATGCTATTATATATTGAAACTATGACTTTAAACCATCTCTTTTATGACACTTCTAAGATAATAAATAAAGGCAAAGGCGCACAGAATACAAGATGTGAAGGGCTTCATGACAGCCTTTGTGGTAGGATTCCTACCGGAGACAGCTAGCGGAGACCAGCACTGGCTGGACTGTCCTTAATACTTAAGCCAATCCCCATTGCTTCCTTTCCATCTTCCGGCCAAAGAATGGGCTTGTAGAAGATCATTGAGTTAAGTATTTAGGGAGGGTGGATCAGACCACTTACTTCTTAGAGAGTGACGAGGGCTAGTGTGATGTAAGCTAGCGGAACTCGCGAAACCGGACACAAGGGCTAATCAGAATCCAACCATCTGAAACCGATAAAATCATCAATCGGTTTAAGTTTAAAAATAAAGAATTTTACGATCGAATACGATTTCACAAACACGGATACAAATACAGGTGCTAAGCCTTGGGTTCAGACTTTTTCCACATCGATGATCGGGCTTAACATTTGCTGACAGCTGTAAATAGGTACAAAAATTCAATTTCATTGCAGAGACCGAAAATGCCAACAATTAATCCAGCGATTAACACATACGTACGCAACCCACCCCCCAATCTTAATGACGCACCCACACCCATTTTCCACGTGCATGAACAACAACAACAAACAACGGCCACTACATATCTCATCCGCGCATCGGCAGGCAAATACTGAACAAACACACAAACCCAAGTACCCAACCAATTTATCGATCTCGTCAAAACTATACATCTCATCCGCATCCGCTATGGCAGTTCCCAAGGCGGCGGCCACCGTAATCATGATCGGGATGATAACAACAACAATGTTGGTGCAGGGCTGCGAGGCCGGTGTGGTTTCGGAAGCTTTGTGCAGCGGCACCCTGGACCCGGCCGTCCCTTCATGCACCAGAAAACTGGCCGCCGAACTCGCGGCCGGCGGGTACGGCGGTGTCGACTACAACGAACGAGAGCAGTGCTACGTGAATCCCAGCACAACCGTCTACGCCCAGGCGACATGTACTAGTAGTACTGCCTGCGGGGAATGCTTGAGCGAGATCACCGCCCAGTTGTTTAATTCCTGCTCTGATATGGCCGTCGGGGCTCAGGCCCACAGCTCCGGTTGCTCCTTTCGGTACGAGATTTCTCCTTTCTAGCTAACTACGTACCAACTTTGTAGAAAGGGGAAATGATCTTATGCTCGCAGCTAGCTAGCTAGCTACTTTAACTTTTGCCCTACTTTAATTTTTTTACCTACCTATCAAACAAGTTGTAGCGTGTTTGAAGAAAGGAGAACGTTGAATAAAAGCTTTGGACTTTATATTTGTGCACTTCAGATTGTATGGGGAACAAAGAGTTTACAAAGGGGTTTGAATTCTGGGATCTTGACTGACTTATGATTCAGCTTGCTCTTCATCACCACCAGAATATCCAACTCCACCTAAGTAATAATTATCTATTTTTTTTAGTTACCTGAATAGGAATAAACGGTTTGATTTACGCGCGCGATAAATGAATGATATGGTATGAATATTAATTATTTGACGTGAATATATGAATATATTGTATGTACAATTTTATTTCTGGAAATGCATGCCCTCCTAGCGTGGGGATTCCACAAAGTCGAGCTATAAATCGTCTCCCATACAGCAATTTAGGCGCTATTCGGTCTGCTTCGCCTTCTGGAACATGCATGGGAGGTGAATTTAATGCATATGTTTCGAGAGGGCAATGTGGTGGCCGATTAATTGACATCGGTTACTGATAGTGGTACAGCTCATAGACCGGCCTCAAAGTTCCATTTTTAAAGTACTTATTGTATTATGACATTTATTGACTTTCATATCCCGCGACTTGTTAATACATAAAGATTAGAGCGTTTTTAGTGTTGTATTTTTGGAAGAAGAAAAAAAACGTCCTCCTAACTAAATGGGCTTTATTCATGTATCATGTATGGTCAACCAACTTCAATTCCCTGACAAAGCTATATGTTTATCACTTCAAGAAAAAGAGAAGTATACACTAAAGGAAAAATTGTCATTTAGTCACGGGAAACCTATATTTAAGAATGTGTTTTCCATGAATTTTAGTCACGAAGAAATTTAAGTAATATAAATCCCTATGACTAATTATACAGCTCACGAAAAATATGTACCCTAACTATTTATAAATAGTCACGACATTGTATTATTTGATAATTTATATCTATTAATCACGCAATAAGCGTCATTAATACCAACTTTTGGAGCATAAATCTTCAAACAAATGTTTAGTGACGAAATGTACACTTTTGAAGATGGTGTTTACCGTCATTAACTATACATGTTTAAGATGTTATTTAATATGAAAAATGACTCCCATTACTAGTTGCCAGTTAGTGGTCTCATGTAATGTAACTTTAGCACCACATTTATAGTGACAACAATTACCGTGCTAATTGCAGTGTCCAATTGATACAACGTCAGGCTGCGTTATGTTAAAAGTACTAAAGCATTTATAACCATGTGATAACTAGTATTGCATATTGCATTTAACACATTTCATGTCCTGAGGGTCAATTACCGTCCCAACCCAACATTTAGTGGCGGGCCTCCTAAACGTCAACAAATCATCGTCATTCTATACATATTTTCTGATGAACCGATCAAAAATGGACCACCCGTTTTCCAACTAGCTAGTTTTCATCCATAATCCATACTATAAAAATCTAAGAGTCGTCATATTAATTTTCAGGGTTAATTGCATAGTTAGTCACTAAGATTACAAAAAACGTTCAAGTTTGGTCACTCGAAATATTTAAATTCATTGGTGGTACTTCAGTTTACTAAAACCGTTCACGTTTGGTCACTCTCCGTCCAAGTCTGTTAACTTTTGCTTATGTGGCAGTCAACTCTAAAAGTTGACCGTTAAATGTGTGACGTGGCAATTAAATAAAATTTATTTTTTAAAAATTTCCACCTCATTTCTAAATATTAAAAAAATATATAAAATATATTTTTTATAGCCAATTCTCGTTGCCGTGATTAGTTAAAACCCCCGCAATCACCTACAAACCCCTCAATCACCCCCACAAAAGTCTGAATCTGAGCAAATTGGCCTTTCACCTTCATCTAACAAATTCACGCAAACCAAAACCAAACCTTGATTGGAATTGGATCACAAGAATATTAACAAACTATGGATTTTGACTAACTAATCAAGGCAAACATAATTGACCTCAGAAATGAAATGGAACTATTGCATTTAGAACATAATAAGACACTCGTAAACTAGCTAACAGGGGAAGAGTTGCTGCCGACGACTCTAGCGCCGGAGGCCATAAAGGAAAAATCTTTATCCTAATTCTCTGTATAACCATGCTTGAACGTCCTAGTTGTTGTTACTGCTGTCGCTGCTTCCACCGCCATCAATCTTCTTCATCCTCTCTGCCTCCTCCATTTCTGCTTCCTGAGAAACGATCTCTACATCCATTGTAAAGCTCCAATCATAGCTGCAAAGCTCACCTCAAGGAAGGTGTCCGCCTTCCCATAATCAACTTATAGCATACAGATAATCTCGCAAGTGATGCATATCATTAAGAAGCGGTGATCCGCAGCATTCCGATCGAATTGGGGGAACTCGCTACAGCCTGCATCAGGGCGATCATCGGCAGGCCGGAGCAGATCCGGAGCTCGATCACGTGGATCCGCTTCTCCCCGGCGACGTTCTCCATCAAGATCTGGACTGCGGCGAGCTGGGAGGCGGTGTAGAACGGGACTCTGGTCCGGAACTCCATCGCGCTCTTGTCCGCGAGCGTCACCGTCATGTCAGATATATTCGAGCGGCTTCCGATGATCGTCGTGTTCCAATTCGCCGCCGCGGCGGGTCTTCTGGACCTCGATCCGCTGGCGGAGGGCGCTGCAGAAGTAGTACCCGACCCGCTGGATCGGGTTGCCGGCTTGGGAAGATAACCGGGTGCAGAGGTCGAGCACCTGGAGTGCGAGGTCGAATTTCCCCTTCCCGACGTTCTCCGCGCACTCCATGAGCTCCACGTTCTTTGATTCCTCATTGGTGAGTCTGGTGAGGAGGTGAGCGACGTCGATTCCTTGCGCCGGCGGAGAAAGAACAGGAGAGAGGTCCGTTGGTTCTTAATTTTAATAATTTATATTTTTTAATATTTAGAAATGAGGTGTAAATTTTAAAAAATAAATTTTATTTATTTAATTCTTTTTTAATTGCCACGTCACACATTTAACGGTCAACTTTTAAAGTTGACTGCCACATAAGCAAAGTTAACGGAGAGTGACCAAACGTGAACGGTTTCATTAAACTGAAGTACCACCAATGGATTTAAATATTTCGAGTGACCTAACTTGAACGCTTTTTGTAATTTCAGTGACCAACCATACAATTAACCCAATTAAGATCACATATTTTGTAACGAAGATTATATAATTACGCGGCCGGCCGGCCAATGGAGAACAATTGTAGCTAGCTACCTACTAACACTAACCGCACGCAATCTCCAACGGTAACGTCGTACTTTTGTCCTCGATCGGATATGATCAAATTAAACTAATGCTATATTGAAACCTATTTTCCACGTGCATAAAATACGTACAGCACCAGTACCCCTATATATAACGTGGACATGTCGTCTTCATCGGCAACAGTACTTTTGTTTTGGCACTAACAATGTAACATACTCGCTAAGTGCGAGGAATGCTTGCTGATTCTCCCCATGGTATTTGTTCAATTGCAAATCCTATGTGACGTTGAATATGCAATTGTAAAAGAGATTGCATCAATGTAGTGGCCACTTGCAAAGATGTATATTTGCATTAAATGAAATTGAAAATGCAAGCTACTTAAAATGAATAGAAAAAATAAAAAATTTGTTTTTTCTCTTGATTATTTATTTATTTATTATAAACCATCATATGTGCAATTGCAAGTGAATTGTATTGCTATAGGTGGAATGAAATAAAGATGAGTTGGATTGCATAAAATTTTAAAAAAAATCATAAAAATACCATATGCAATTGAATTTGCAATTGCATTGATGGAGATGCTCTAAGGAGCTCTTTGATTCGTGTACTTATGATGCGGTCGGCGGTCAGATCAACGACACTGATAGCTCCTTCAGGTACGACATGGTTCCTTTCTACTTGTAGAAAGTGGTTAGTTTTTTTTTTTTTTTGTCATAGATAGATCGTAATAGATAGGGTATTACAATGCGATGAAAGTGAAAAAGCGGTAGTCAACCAAATGGGTTGCTACCGATGCAAGGGCCAGTTTATGCCACGCAATGGGCAGCCCTGTTAGTACTACGAAGAGCAAAAACAAAAATGAAAAAAATGAAAAAAAAAAGGTCTTCAACCTCGCACTTCTTCAAGCACTACGCCACCTCGATCATTATTAACATCATTCTCCATTGCTCGACGTATGATCAATTGGGAATCACCACAAAAACACACAATAGATTGGCCACGATTTAAGGCTCCACAAAATTTTTTGCTTACCATTAAAAAATAAGAGAACAAATAAAAATTTTGGAAAATTAAAACGTGCCTGTCGAGAGTTGTAACCGCAAAAAAAACCCGCAGCGCAATAACCTTGTCGGAAAGACTCGCCGTAGGAGCCCAGACCGCCACTCCTTTAAAATCCCTGTAACCGCAACCCCATTTACCGACGAGCAGTTGAGTTCCATTGAGATCCGAAATCGACCATCGCCGATGAAGCGCCAGAATTTTCCAATTCCCTAAGAGAGACAGCTCTCCTGTTGGACAGTCGGAACCATATTCGCATCACCCAAATGCTCCACCAAGGCCATGAGAGATGAGCAGACCGTGGAGGAGATGTTTCAGGGCGATTAAAGCGCCAGACGAAATCCCACCACCAAGACGGAGAAGGAATCGGCAGCGAAGCCGCACAGAGGCGGTTACAGAGCGACGATCCCCGATGTGTATCTTTTTTCCCTACGTAACAAAGGAAAGCTACTGTTTCTTGAAGCGGAGTCTCCAGATACGACGTCTGGGATTCAATGGCTGAAGTGAAATCTGCGAGGGTGTGTGACCAACTGACCATGCCGGACTCGGGGACAGAACGGAGGGTGGGAGACAGTTTCCTTATGGTTGCTTTGCTTCTTTTAATCCATGAGCCTTTCCGTCCACAAGTTACGAAAGTGGTTGTTTTACCACTAGAAAGTGGAGAGGACAGCCGGAGTGGGGAAAATCATCGGGTATTTGAGCAATAAATGAATTTTTTTTTTTAATGATGAAAATAATGAGGTGAAATTTTATAGATATTTAAATTTTTGTAGTAATTTCAGTGATCAGAAATGAAATAAAATATTTTTAATGACCAAATTTTGATGTTTTTTAGTAATCACAGTGATCAATCATTCAATCATGCCATTTATCCAAATAATATGCCTATGGGAATAGCGGTTCTCTCTTGTATGAGAAAAGATTCAAACAATGCTCACAATAACAACCTATCCAAGTTGACCAAAATCATAACGTTAATCTAGATCCATACAAGGGCCTGTCAAGGGATCAAGTTAAGACAGTACCATTTACATTACCCCAAAACGAACGATTTTCTTAATCGCTCACATTAAAAGTCAAATGCAGAAACTGGAAACTGGCTTTTCCGGTTTCCCTAATCCCTAAATACTTTCCTTCGAAACAACCTGGGAGCTGGTTTTTTCCTTGGCTTGATAACCCGTTTCCCGGGCTTGTCACCAACTGCTGCCTCCAAGGTCTCCTTCTCATCCTTGCCTGCCAAACCTTGTTTCTCAATTGGTGCCAATATAGCCAAAACCATCTCTTTCGATTCATCAGCCAACTTGGAACGTCTTCCACTGTTTCTTCCTCTGGCTTCTGTTTGGTGCTCTTCTTCTCCAACTGCTCCCTTATCCTTCTCGTGTTCGTGAGGATCTTGATGATAGTTGTGTGCTTTAACAGCGAAACCATTCGCTTTCATTTGATTCTTAACCACTGTTCTTCTACCAGTGCCTCTTCTTGCTTTTGGTTGGCTTTCTTCCCCGTCAGCTGGATCATCGTTCTCCTCATGCTTCTTGTCTTCCTTGACCTTCTGTCTCTTCTGTGAGGGTGGAACGACCTCCGTTTCAGTTGCTCTTGTATTTTTCTTAGCATCTGCATTGGGTTTTTCACCAGCGGAAACTGATGATGTTCTGAAAATGTAAACCTGCAACCAGGTTAGAAGTTCATCAAAACCTTTAGCACAATACAGTAATACACTACAACTACAAGCCAAAGAATATTTGCAGTTTATAAAAAATAATATGATACAAGTAGTGAGAAAGAGTAGGCATCTACTGCAACAAGAAAAAAGGGGACTTTACTGTGAAGATTTTAAGGTTTGCCAGCAAATGATAAGCACACACAAGCCTACTTGCCAATTTCCACTGGCAAAGGATTGAGGGCACTAACCTAGCTAAACAGTAACCAAGTTTTAAGTGATCTACCTTCCCAATGCAAGGGAAATGGACAAAACCTCAGTTAATGAAAGAAGCATATGGATTTTGCTTCATTTGTAGGAACGGGGTATCCATAATAGGGAGGAAATCAAGTTTGAGATTTGGATGTAAATAACATCTGCACTACAGGAATGAATCCACTAAAGTTGGCAGCCCTAGACACATAGGAGCCCAACCAAGAGATACAGCCATACAGGGCAGAACAAACTAAGGGGATACCAATTATCAAGCATAGCTGCCTAACCAAATAAGGATTCACAACGGATAGATGAACCACAACAAAATTCTTCATTCAAAAGATTATGCAAATACTGATCTTGCACTTTGGAAAGAGTGGTGGCTCAAATCAAAATGTTACCTATCCTAGAAATTCGAGCGACAAACTGAAAGGAAAAGGCGATACACACCTTAAACCTTTCTGGCTCAACCAATTGAAAAACTAGAGCATCACCATCATTTAGCTTATAATCTATTGCAAATGCCCTCCAGCCACCGCTAAGACCAGTCCTTTTAGCTAGGTACGTGGTCTCTTGTGTTGAACCACTCTCGTGCTCCAGTATCAGGGTTGAGTCCCATTTAGGCAGGATTTTTTTGCAAAACAGAGAAGGGAGACCCTGCACAAAGAAAATTGCATATCAAACGAACCTGATTTTATCACGACTGACTAGAAAATAACCAGAAGCAATAAGCACATAATGGACAGAGAAGCAACTCACCAGCCAAAAGCAGCTATAAACATGAGAGCGAACCATGGATTTGACAAACGTGGGATGGCAAGAGGGCAGAGTTTTCTCAAACTGTTCAGCAGCCTTACGAGCACGCTCTCGCTCTTCATAAGAAGCAATTACGACTTCTTCAAGAGGTCTTGCCAAATAGCTGAAACATGCACATTATGGGAAACTAATTATCAAAGAACCAACAGAAATGTTACACATTGGGTTTCTTGGGAGAAAAAATGTGACAGAAACGAATACGAACTCTGTCCAAGATGGGTTTAACCGAGAGCCGCGTCCACCGCGACGGCGCTTAGGGTAAAGATCCAAATCCGCCTGGAACTATAAACAAAGAAATCAAACCAGAACCACATTTCAATCTCCTTTTTGAGTATGAATCGCCAATAACAACGATAAGGAAGTGATGCGGGGGAAGAGGGATGAATTGTGAATCAGTGAATGATACATACATCATCGACATAGGACGTGACTTGAGTTCGAGAACGAGAAGAACGCCTTGGTTGAATCCCCTCTGAGACAGTGTCGGACTTCGACCTCGGTTTTGGATGACGCTGTTGCGAAACCCCCCACATTTGCACACAAATCAAACCATCGAAAACAAAACTTAACCATGTCGCGATGCAAAGCAAAGCAGATTGAAGCTCTGAAAGCAGGACCAAAATGCTATTACCTACCCCTCCCACAAACAAACAAAAAAAACAAAAGAAGATACCTTTGGATTGGGAGAATTGGAGGTTTTAGAGAGCGATTTGGAGAGATCGGAAATTCCCAAATCCTACGAAATGAGAAACAGAGAACCCATGTGAGAGCGGTGGTAAAACTATAAATGGGTGGAAGAAGCAGGAGGGGCGAATGCACCTTAAACCGCTTTCTGTTCTCCTCGACGCGTTGCTTTCTAGCCTCCTCGTAAGTGTTGCCGACGGTAGCTACCGACCCCATCGCCATGCGGAAGCAATCGGTGGTTTGTTTGCAATTAGGGTTTCCGGCAGCTGGAAATAGTACGGGGCATCTGAAATGGAGTAAATAGAGAGAGGAGGAGGGAGATGTCGAATTTCGAGACAGCTGCTCACTTTTCCATTCTCCACCACCGCGCTCTTTCCCCTTCCAATCCCTGCAGTGCCCGACTGCCCGCCTTCTGAAAAAAATTCAAAGCTCTGTTTGTCTGTTCTTTCTTTAAATTTAATACAAACATTTTTTTAATTTCCTTTACATTTCTTTGGGTATGGGGCCGTATCCCGTATGGGCGAGCGGGAGAAAAATCGTGCGATCGTGGCGTAAGTAAAATGGTCCACTCAACTTACATTTAGTGGCTATTTAAGTCCCTCTACTTTTTTTTAGTTGGGAATGAGTTTACGTGGATTCTTATACGGTAGTTGAGAGAATTTTTCATCCGAATGCACTACCATGTGCAATCTTTAGAGGAGTGATTACGGTGACTACCTCTCCATCACCATTAGGGTTGGCAACAAAACTCGAACTCACGGGTACCCACCCGACCCAATCCGGTCAACGCGGGTAAAATCCGTGTTGACGGGTTTTGGGCCGGGTTTGGGTTTAAACTCGTTCACTATTCACCGGGTTGGGTTGGGTTTGGGTTTAGATAAACCCGACCCATGGGTACCCGCTCGCACCCATATAGTTAATTTTATCGGTATATTTAATATTCTAAACAATAATCTTATTTATGTTTGTGGAGACATGTCTAATTTTTTCTTTCAAATTGTGTAGAATGAAGTTGATGTTATCGAGTGGAGAGTGAAGAAACTTAATTAAAAGGAAGAAGCTTTCAGTTAATCATGTTGTTTATGGATAATTTGTGATTTGCTTAAATTTTCTTGAGTTTTCTAGATTAGTGTTGAACAATTTGTATAGTTAATTTGTGATTTGCTTGAATTTTCTAGAATGGTGTTTTATATATGGATAATTTGTATTGAGAGATTGATATTTGACTTTAATTTTGATAGGAACTTGTTACTGTAAATTTTTTACGACAAAAACCCGTGGGTACCCATGAACCCACGGATACCCAGCGGGTTGGGTTGGGTTTGAGTTTTTCAAACCCAATGGATTTTACCCAGGTTTTTTTCACGGATAAACCCATGATTCGAGTTTGGGTTAGGAAAAACCCGACCCAACCCGACCCATTGCAATCCCTAATCACCATCCACCTCTCAATTATCATTCAAATATTCTGTGATCTTTGATCCAGATTTAATCAGAGCAATTTTGGAAATGACACACACAACACAATCATATCTTTGATAATGCAAATTAGTAATGGCAGGACAATTTCACTGCTTTACACAAAATGGATTCTTCGATTACATCCTTATATCCCTATGTATAAATTAATCCTCAATTGCTACTAGGGGGTGGAGACTCAAAGGTGGCGGAGCAGGGGTGATTTGCCAAGGGGAGGGTCGGTGGTGTGATCTAAAACTTAGCCAGTGGTTTGACCCAACAACTTGTCGTGCCATCAAAGCAATTCTTCTTCCTCATCACGATGTGGAGGATAGGTTGATCTCGCAAGACACGAGTGACGGGATTTCACTGTCAAATGAACCTATCATTTTACAGTCTTGTTTGATAAACACGATGGTGGGTGGCAATCCACAACTAGTTGAATGGATAAGTCGAGTTGGATCTGCTTGTGGGATGCGCATATTCCACCCAAATTAAAGTGTTTTATGGCAAATATTCCACCGGATCCTTCCAACGACGAAAGCCCTAATTGAGAAGGAAGTTCAAGTGCTTCCAAGTGTCCGGTTTGTTGGGCTGAATCGGAAACAAAGGAACATTTGTTTCTTGATTGCCTAGTGGCAAGGGCTTTGTGGGATCATCCGAGACTCGAATATCTTGGCCAAGGTTTGCCTCGTCACACTTGTTCGTTCTTCCTTAAAAAGTTGACGTTATTGATACATCAAACTCAGTTGTTTATGGTGGTTGTTGTGGACCTTTAAAGGATCTGGCGGTCACGAAATTAGGTTGTCTTTGATGTGGGATGGGGCAACTAAAAGTGAGTCTGACTGGACATGAGGACCGATCATCATGAACCAATGAGGGAGGGTCATCTTGGCTAAAGGGGTGCAATTTCCTAATATTGATGATCTTATGGTTGTCGAGATACTCGTTTGTTGGGAGGCTATTCTCTGGTGTCTGGCAAAGGGGTTTACGTAGGCGAGGTTCAAAGGATATGTCAAAGCCATCATTTATAAAATAAATCAGTCAGATACCGAGATAATCGGATATGGGTCATCCTCAAGGAGATTGTGCCAATTTCGATGTTCACACTGGGCTTAATGTGTTTTTTGCAGGTCGAAATAGTAATTGGGTAGCCCATTTGGTGTCTATAAATGTCTTTTCATTATACCTAACTACGTGCTATTTCTTTGATTTTCTAGCCTGGTTAAATTGCATAATGTAAATTATCTATTTTCCGAATCAATATATATGATTATCTTTTGTAAAAAATAAAGACTTAACTCTCTCTCCCTCCCTTTTCATCTTCTTCTCCTTCTCCTTCTTAGACTAACTCCAACCCTTGCTTGCAAATTTGGAGAAAGTGAATATTTTGTCTTTTTTCATCTCCAACCCATCAAAAATTTAGCTTCCAAATTTGGAGATGGGAGTGTTGGGGTGGATAGGTAGCAGCTGGAAGGGAGAAAGGGGGCAAATATAGCAGCCGGAAGGGGGACCACGCGTGCGGCCCAGGCGCGCCTCCCGCGGTTGGGCCTCGCCTGCACGCGTGGTCCCCCTCTGCTGCTGGCTTTTTTTTTCCTTCAATTTTCAATTTGTTTGGGTGGTTATTTGTGTGGGTGTGTTTGCGTTTTAGTTTGAAATGGGTAATATAGTGACAATAAAACGGTCACATTGCAACGGACAAATTTTAACGGCTACAAAAAGTAACGGCTACAAAAAAAATGACTAATTTTGAAGAAAAAAAAATTATCTCGGAATTAAAAAAAATTACATCGAAAAATTTGTTTTCACAAGTAATAACAAACTATAAAAAAATTAAAGTGAATTACAAGAATGATATTGTAAATAAGTATGGATTATGGAAATTAAATCAAAAAAAGATGTGGGAAGCTAAATTTAGAAGCCTATAGGGTTGGAGCAAAAAGGTGTTTTGGGGAGGCAAATATGCACATTTGAGAGCTTGGGAGGCTAAATATAGCTTTTTGTGTTGGAGTTAGTCTTAGTGGATTCTCTTCCCATTTTGGCCGCCTCTCTCTCTATCTTTCTACGACCACCAGACATCTCTCTCCCGTTCTCATCACCGGCATTTCTCCTCTAATCGTGTCTCTCTCCCTTTACTCTCTCAGTCTTTGCATTATTGATAATATGTAGTGTCAATTTCTATATGATCTTAAAATATATTACGATGTTAATCTATTATTTCAATTTTAGATTTGGTCGCGATATTACATAAAGTATCATTTTTTATTGCATTGACAGAATGTATGGATAACAACTAGTAAGCCGATGTCGATCCAGCATATTCCATATACTAATGAGGAGGGTGGCGTAGGGTGAACTTGCCCTGCCTATAGATAAGTGATGAACAAACTTGTAAGCCAGCTATACATTGCAGTTGCAGGTCAGCTATATATACACTGTATCAATGTGACCCTGTGTTCCACCGTCTATCACTCTATATCATAACGACTAATCTTATGTCTATATCATAACTAGGGGTGGCTATACGGTCCGGTCCGGTTAAATTGGACCAAATTGATCTGGTCCCAGTCCGTTTTTTTCGGGAATATAAGGACCAAAGATTGGATTGGATACACTCCGGTTTTGTTCCGGTCCGGTCCCAATTTAATTTTGATTTTAGATTGAGTTTGTGGGGATTTGAGTGTTGGGTCTCTTATCCGGTCTTTATCCAGGTTTTTTACCTCAAATCTAAGCCCGAATATGAGATTAGATTGTTTGCTATCCGGTCCCAATCCGGTCCCAGTCCGAGTTATACGGTCCGATTTCGGGTAAAACCAAACAGTCCTGGACCAAATTGCCAGCCCTAATCATAACGACCACTCTTTAGATGCATTTATTTTTTATTCTCGTATACCGTTTTTTTTTTGCCATAGATAGGGAATGAAATAGATATTACAGGACGCTAGAAAACCAGACGCGACAGTCGACACAATATCGAGCTGTCGATGAAAGGGCATTAGAAGCCACTAAGTGGGCAGCCCTGTTGTACAACCTCTGCGTAAAAGTACAAATAAAGAAATTAAAAGACACAGACGCCAAACAAATCTCTTCCAAGATCGCTCCACTTGTCGCATGCGCCACATCACTAGATTGAATCATAATGGATGTATACTTGTATGGTCAAGGGAAAACTACGTGCCCCTGCAAAAACAAACAAACACACAAGCGCCCATAGAGGAGGACCACTAAGCTCCACCGAATGGACTTAAACAAGCCATTGAGGCTTAGTCAGATACTCCGAATCAAAAGCTAACAAGGTCAAAAGAAAAACATTTTTTATTACTTTTTTTTTACAATAAAGTTAATGAAAAGTTTATAAATACGAGCAGTTAATGAAAATAAATTAAAAGATTTTAGAATTATAATTCTGGAAATAAATATTAAAATTAGGGAGGAAAGAGAAAGAACAAGCGTATCTGAAACGGATCGTAGTTGGAATCGCCTCTCGATTTGTAACCGATGCTCTGGAATAGTAACCGTCGGACCCCAAAACTGAAGCCTCCTAAAGTGTAACTGCCGGCCGTCGGGATTCGCATCGTCGGAAGCAAACTTGGGGACGCCGGCGTAAAGATCGTCGCCTTGCGGGTGGTTGATGATGGTCCCGGGCCTGGGATTAAGCTCGCTGTTAGCGATATCGTCGAACATGAACACCACAATTTAGTATTTACATTTTGTAACTTGTATTGTTATTTAAAAAAAACAAAATTTCATGAATTATTGCTCGAGACTCGAGAGTTGAGACTTGAGAGGCTCATCATTCATGGGCTAGGGGAAAGCCCATTGGGTTCTTCTGGAGTTGTTAATCCAATATATCTACCGACAAGACCTTTCCATTATCTCGACAGTCAGCCCGAACCAGCTTTCTCTCAACCGCAAGTAATCCTTCGTACTTTTCAAAAAAAAAAAAAGTAATCCTTCGTGGAGTCATACCATTGGGTCGCGCACATCACGACGAAATATCTCCACCACCGCGACGCGGCCGCGGAAAAAAGAAACTTAAAAAGCACAAACGTATAATAGCGAGCAGAGCACCGCCCCCCGACCAAGCGGAAACGAACTCAGTCGACTTCGACACAGTTGCTCCTCCGCGTCTTTGTTCTTTCTTCTTCCTTCATATTCAAGCCTCTAGTCTGGCCGGAGTGTTGAGATCACTTTTCCATTCGACGTTTCTGCACACACAAACAGAAAGAGTAAAGCAGAAAAGGAAACTATTCCGACGCCTGCGCATGAATGGAGAAGACCGCCATGGCCGCCGCTGTTTGGATGCTCCCATTGCTACTGGTGCTACTTCAGTTCACTGAAGCTGCTCAAGAAGGTTTCGACGTTCGCCAGCATCTCTCCACCGTATCCAGGTAAACCGTGAAAAAAATTCTTCCGTCTATGGATAGCTTTGAGGGGATTGAACTTGTTTGGATAGTTTCACGTCGGTGATTGTTCGTATTGGAGAATCAACTAGGGGATCAGAAGTGTTCGTAGTCGTTGGTGTAGAATTTTTAAATTTGTAATTCCTCTTCGTGCAGATACGGTGCTGTCAAAGATGTCATCGTCAACAATACCTTTGTTCCGTCCAATGCGGTTGATGGCTGCACTGCAATTCACTTGAACCTAGTGGTAATTATTATTCTAACTCGCTGGAATTTCACTGGATTCACGATTGTTGTGTTTGCTTAGAGAACGGTGCATATTTTGCCTTATTACTATTCACATTTCCGATGGTTGAGCTTCTGCAACCCCTTTTGGACTTCAATTGCATACTGATCAGCACTATATTGGCGTTCCAAATAGTACAATGAAATGTCGAATCTCTGAGTTGTTGTTTGATTCCGTTCTATTGAGATGGTTTGATGATGTGTCCTGGCTTATGGATATACTAGGCAAGACACGGGACTCGTTCGCCAACCAAGAAGCGAATGAGAGAGTTAGACAGGTTGGCTTCTCATCTAAAAGAGCTGATAAGTCATGCTGAACATAAGAAGTTGTCGTTGGAAAAGCTTCCTGCCTGGATGCGGAGTTGGGAGTCGCCATGGAAAGGTAAACTGAAAGGTGGAGAGTTGATTAGTCAAGGAGAAGAGGAATTGTATGATCTTGGGATGAGGACTAGAGAAAGGTTCCCACAGTTGTTCGAGGAGCCATACCATCCGGATGTTTATGTGATCAAGGCTACACAAGTGAGTTATTTGTCTAGTCCAATACAACAAGATCGCTTCCACTTTTTAAGACTTTGCTGAACTACTACATGTTATGATCAAATTTGAAGTTGATGATACGGAAATCAATCCCATTTTGCTGACTGCTTTCTTGCCGTTTTGACGTTTTAGGTTCCTCGGGCATCAGCTAGTGCTGTGGCATTTGGTATGGGGCTATTGACCGGGAAAGGGAAACTTGGACCAGCAAAACAAAAAGCCTTTGCGGTTACCAGTGAAAGTCGTGCAAGTGATTTGATGCTTAGGTTTTTTGATAGTTGTCAAAGCTACAAGGTGCATAGAACTTCTTTCATTTTTTACATTTTACAGTAAACTCATCTTTGGTCATTTATTGATCTGCTTGGCTGACTAAGCAAAAACTTAATTTCATATCGAGCAGTTAGGGTGGTGAGTAATTGAATATATGTTACTGAAGGGTTCTTCAGAGGGGCATATGCGATCCAATTGATTTGTTGATTTCTGAATGTAGGTCTATAGGAAAAACAAGGAACCCGCTGTTGGCGAGCTGAAGGAACCTGTCTTGGATAAAATTACTGCTGCCTTAGTAAGCCGTTACGGTTTAGAATTCACTCGACAGGATGCTTCTTCTCTCTGGTTTCTTTGTAAACAGGTGAATTTTTTGGTATTATGATGCAAGCTTTCTGGTCCAACTAAGTTCCTTTCTGATAAGTGCCATTGGTTTGGTTCTGCTTTATCACTAATATGTTTTCCCGCTTGTGGCATTGGGTTCACGATTTTCCAGGAAGCTTCCTTGTTGGACGTTACAGATCAAGCTTGTGGGCTTTTTAACCCTTCAGAGGTAGCTTTGGACTTCATTACAATTCATTTTTGAACCTCTTTCCTTAATATCGTTAGTTATCAGAATGCTCATGAACTCTGTAATTTTTTGTTCATCGACTGAGCACTGAAATTCTAAATCTGCTATATTTGGATTTAAGCTGTGCTTACTAACACAATACAGCTGTTTTCTATGTATCTACTCTTAAGCATTATTGATTAGTTTAAGAAAATAAGTATGCTATCTGATCTTAGAAGTTAGAAATAGCCAAATACTTTGTTCTCCCTAGCTGTGGGATCTGACGTGCGAAAGATTGCAGATTGAATTGTTGGAGTGGACGGATGACTTGGAGGTGTTCATGCTGAAGGGTTATGGTAACTCAATAAACTATAAGATGGGAGTGCCATTGCTCGAGGACATTGTGCAATCCATGGAGCAAGCTATTAAGTCACATGAAGGTACTGTAGATCATTATAATTTTATTTGATAATCAGGGAAGCTTTTCTCTGAGGGCATGTTGTTGGATAAGATTCTTAACTGAAGGTTGAGACCTGAATGCATATATGCTTGTGGTGTAGGGAATTTAGATAAACTCATTTGGTTTCCTCATAATCTATGTGTGACTCGGGTCTCTAGCCACTAGATGTTGTGGACCATGTTAAAGCTATTGAACTTGATAGATGTCGACAATAGCAATGCCAGTGATGACATATGCTAACCTGTTGAGTATCCATTTAATCTCTGCTGCTGAAAAAACATGAAGGCTTTAACGTAGTTTCTGTTTACTATGTCCTTCCCAGATAAGTTTCATAGATGTGTTTTAATTTCTAAGGTTTCATGGAAGTATAAGATGTAGCTTGCTATGTTTGAGATATATTAGATACCAACATGTTATTACCACCAAATTTATCATGCTTGGTCAATGGCCATATTGTGTTCAAAATCATAATTTGATAAACCTTCTACTTATTTCGGCATCCATTGCTTGTAGAGAAACTGCCTCCTGGAAGTTATGAAAAGGCAAGATTGAGATTCGCACATGCCGAGACTGTGGTTCCTTTTTCATGTCTGCTTGGGCTTTTCCTTGAAGGACCTGGTAAGTCTATGTTCTGTTGTTGGTCTTTCTATTTCCCCATTGTTTGTTCAACTAGATTATTATCATATCTGTCAATGTTGCACGTTCTGCTGAAAGATATTGTTCGTCCTTGACTTTTGAAAATACGTGTCTCGATCTCTTCCAGAATTTGGAAAGATACAGAAGGAGCAACCTCTAGATCTCCCTCCCATGCCTCCAAAGAAAAGCAACACGAGAGGCAGTGCCGTGGCACCTTTTGCTGGGAATAACATGTTGGTCCTACACAGTTGCCCGGCAACCTCTTCTTCTAGCAAGTACTATATCCAAGTCCTCCACAACGAGCGTCCCATCCCAATGCCAGTAATGTCTCCCTCTCTATCATGCTTTGCCCCCCCTCTATATGATTCTCCACATCCTTGTCTTCTTTATTATCAAGTTCTAGTCCGAATTCGTCCACACTTTTGGACTAATGAAAAATTCAATCTGATTCTTGTACAGGGTTGTGGTGGTTCTGACGTATGCCCATTTGAAGAGTTTAAGGTACTATGTCTTTGTTCCTTTAGCATTTGCTACAAAGTAGGACGCTTATTTTTTCTCAAGCCTAAACAAACATACCCATGTCTTCCAGCTTCCAGCGTTATGCAGTAGTTTTCTTCCTTTTCGTCTCTGTTTCTGAATAGTTTTTATCTTTAACAGGAGAGGATAGTCAATCCTCATCTGAAACACGACTACAATGCACTCTGTGCTGTCAAACCAGAACCACTGAACGAGAGATCCGTGACCAGCAAGTTATCAATACCGTTCCGTTGGCTCTTTGGGTGGGGAAGAGATGATGATATGGATGAACTGTAATTTATCTGTCAAGAAGCCAGTAGAGGAAGAAAGAGAAGAGAAGTTTCTTGTGTTCTGGTAGAGTTCCACTACACGCTGCTGCCATCAAGGGATATTATGGGCTGACTGACAGTCTCACTCTTGCTTCTGATGGCACTCTTTTCGTCACGCTGCCTGATCATCTCACGTTCCTCCATTGAAGAAGAAGCACTGATTGTAGGTCAGATTTTGGTACATCCCTAGTTATGTTTGTTGTGGAAGTTGGAATCTCCAGTTCCTTTTGAAAACTTTTTTGTAGTCTTCGCAATGAAGCGTGGCTTCACGAGAAAACCAAATGCAAGTTCTTGTGCTCTGTCAATCGTTAGTCGTTAACGATCCATCTCCAGGCGACCAACCTTGGGATGAGTGGACTTTCTATCACACGACACGAGTCCGATTTTGCCTTTCATTTCTTCTCCCTCTACAGTCTACACCCTCGTGATGTTCCACAATTCTCCGTGTGAGTGGCCAAGCGCTCCTACAATGGGCAGGTTCGGGCGAGTATTTCGATACTCATACCAGTCCCGTGGCAGGTCGGGTATAGGTCAGGTAATCCATCACAGAATGCAGGATAGGGCAGGTCAACCCATATGGGTATGAAGTTTGAAAGAAAAATATTAAAAATATTCATTTTTATTAAAAACCAAGAAAATAACTAAAATATGATAATTGTAGTTAAAATTATTCGTAAAATTGAGATTCTCACTTATCTACAACTTCATTATAGTTAAACATGATATAATAAAAGTAAAATTACATGCAATTTAGGCAAAAACAGGTGAAAACTGGAGCGAATCAGTACATGTCAGGTCAAGAAAAGTACCTATGCCCGCTCTGATCCGCTCCAAAACAGATCAAACAAGTAGAGTAAACATGTCATATCAAAATTGTCATATTGGGGCCTCAGTATGACTAAGAAAAGGGATGGGCACAGGAAAATCACCCATTCGCTATCATTAACCAAAATGATCACTTTGAAAATTATTATGGAACACTGAAAAATTAATAGCATAAGATTTCTTTGTTTTTTTTTTTCTTCCTCTTAGCGATTAATTATTTTGTATAATAAAAAGAGAGAAACTTTGACATCTAGCCCGTCTAGCTCAGTTGGTAGAGGGGTTCGAGCCCCACGGTGGGCGTAATATTTTGTTTTTTCACAATTTTCGTTATGTACGAAATTTATATTTTGTTTCTGACTTCTCTTACCAAATTGGTCGATATGTCCGAGTGGTTAAGGAGACAGACTCGAAATCTGTTGGGCTTTGCCTGCGCAGGTTCGAATCCTGCTGTCGACGTTTTTTCCCCATCATGTTCGCACTTACTTGGACTGGACTTTCGGCCCAAGGTCAGCCCATCTTTTTTTTTTTTTTACCTTCGCACCGCCTCACTCTCGGGCCTCGGCCCGCAAGACATTCCCCTTTCTTCGGTCCATCAAACTTCCTCCAGTTACAATTTACAAAATACAAGGGAAATGGAAAAACAAAATTACCAGCAAGATTTCCTTTGGAAGTTCGTATTCAGCTGCCTGCTTGCCCCCAAAACCCTAACCTATCAAGAAAAAATTCCCCAGCTCCCTCACAGCTAAGGCAGCAAAGAATATAATTCCCCAGGTACTTCTCTCCCAAACCTCTTCTTCCGAATCCTTCTCCGTCCTCTACTGTCGCAGTTCCTAGCAAGCTTCAGCAGCAGCCATGGCGGGTCCGAATTTGGAGTGTCGCATGTACGAATCCCGGTACCCGGAAGTAGACATGGCGGTGATGATTCAGGTCAAGAACATCGCCGACATGGGTGCCTACGTCTCCTTGCTCGAGTACAACAACATCGAAGGTATGATCTTGTTCTCCGAGCTCTCCCGCCGCCGGATTCGTAGTGTCAGCAGCTTGATTAAGGTCGGCCGCATCGAGCCCGTGATGGTGCTTAGGGTTGATAAGGAGAAGGGATACATTGATTTGAGTAAGAGGAGGGTCAGTGAAGAGGATATTCAAACATGCGAGGAGAGGTACAACAAGAGTAAGCTTGTTCACTCCATCATGCGCCACGTTGCTGAGACTCTGGGAATTGATTTGGAGGTAATGCTTTGACGCTAAGCAAGATGTCAATTCCAATGTGAATTTTACCTTGTATTATTTGGATAGTTGAATCTGGTTCAGCAAGTTTGGTGCTGAAGAATTATGCTCTCAGTGGAGACAGTTCAGGGTCCAAGGTGGGAATTTTGGTTCCTATCTTATTTGTTAGAAGAATTGTTAAAGAATTGATCTTTAGTGGGATTGTAGACTCTGGGAGGAGATAGTGTAGAAAATTTGCTCAAGTTTGTGATTCTGCAGTACTCCTATAATTATGGTATTGGGTTAGCTAGGATGGCCACTGGATGCTTTTCCTTTACCCAAAATATCCTGAGTAGCATTCATATTAGTGAAGAGTTATTATGAGGCTTGTGTTACCATCTTTGACAAGCCTTCCCCTCTCTCGCTTTGAAGAGAAGTTGAACTATGTTGGTGCTAGTGAACTTCTTCATTGTCATGCCGAGATGCTACTGGAATTTGTGTTGTTGTGAGTTATATTCTTGATATTGGTTGATGGCTTTATTGTATGTATAAGCTTCTGCATATTTCAGCCTATCATCTTTACGGGTATTGACTGTAGTCCATTTAGCATATAGCCTCACCTTTGAATTTAATATATGATACTTGAGAGATATCCATTGATGGCTTTTCTTGGTGACAATTGATTACAGTTTTGGGGTGGAATTTGCTCTCCACGTTTACTGTGCCATTCTCATATGTACTTGCGTAATTGTCTGCTTAAGTATCTTGATGACTAATGATTATACATTTACTGTGACTGATGTCAGGAGCTGTACATCCATATTGGCTGGCCTCTGTACCACAAGTATGGTCATGCTTTTGAGGTGAGGACATAAAACAATAGTTGCTGAGGCTTCTGATTATTTCACTGAAGGTTGTGCCTAAAACATTATTATCACGCAGGCATTCAAAGTCATTGTGACTGACCCTGATACAGTTCTTAGTACCCTTACCCGTGAAGTCAAGGAAGTTGGTCCTGATGGACAGGAGGTGAAAGCTTTTTGGCATAGCTCCTTTTTGTGTGTATTTTGTTCAGTTTGGTTCTCTTCTTTGTACTCTCTTTCCCTTGAAGTCTAATCTCTGATTTTGCAGGTAACCAAAGTTGTTCCAGCTGTAACTGAGGAAGTGAAAGATTCTCTGGTGAAGAACATCAGGAGAAGAATGACACCACAGCCTACGAAGATACGAGCTGACATCGAAATGAAATGCTTCCAGTTTGATGGTGTCCTTCACATCAAGGTTTTTGTCTGGATTTTGTATAACTGGTCATTTTCTCTCTCTGTTACGTTAGCTGCTGCCTTCACTAAAATATCCAATGGATACTTTATCTGTGAAGCTTATAAAATTGCTGCAACATATTGCAGGATGCAATGCGGAAGGCAGAAGCTGCTGGTAATGATGATTGCCCTGTGAAGATTAAGCTGGTGGCTCCTCCTCTTTATGTCCTCACCACACAAACTCTTGACAAGGTTAGTTTCTTTCCTAATGTATCAAAATGCTGAGAGATCCCTTTTACTGTTTTGTTAAGCCTCGAGTTATCATGGGTGTTAGTTTGATACTGATTTTACGCTGGCTTGTGCAGGACCAAGGAATATCCATCCTCACCAATGCCATCACGGCGTGCACTGAAGCAATTGAAGAGCAGAAAGGGAAGCTTATAGTGAAGGAGGCCCCAAGAGCGGTGAGTGTCAAAACATTTATCACTAAATCCCACCTTTTGTGCTTTTGTGCCGAATGGGCTGATTGGTTTGTTCCACAAACTTGTCTACTCCCTACTTACTCAATTAATCTACCTGGTGTCTCGCAATCCAGGTGAGCGAACGCGACGACAAGTTGCTGGCAGATCACATGGCTAAGCTGCGAAACGAGAATGAGGAGGTGAGCGGCGATGAAGATAGCGAGGAGGAAGAAGATACCGGAATGGGAGATGTGGATGTAGAGAACGCCGGTCCGGGCATAACCGAGTGAAAGCACTAGTAGAGAGAGAAGGAAAGAGGGTCTATAGGGGGGGTTGTAGTTTTGGATATTCTTACATTTGATTTGAAGTACGGCCCTTTCCTTGAGTTGGTTTTTGTCACGGGCTCCCTTGAGTATCTGCAGCGGGTTGAATAGTTATACTATTGCTTTTGTATGGCCAAACTGCCGAAGTCATATTGACCTTTTTCTGGCTGATTCCCGTTACCAGATTACTAACTGCTGGGAAACTGGACGTCCTTATGGGAAGATAGTAGCTCAACCGAGAGCCTTGTGCCCTCAAATCAGCGTTCGTTCGTTCATGGTTGGATGGTATTCGGTGCCATCGGTAGCCGAGTAACGAAAAAACATGCTATCAGTGATGAAATCAACAGTTCGTAAACTACTTGTCTTAAGATGAGGATGCAGCCTCTCCTGAAGGTAAACCTCAATCAATGCAAGTGGTATCTCAAACTTCAGCCATAGTTTTGTATACATGTGTTGTTGTGAGTTGTGACCATACAATAGAAGTTGGCTGAAATTAGCAAAGACACTTTAAGTAGTTTTTTACAGCTTCCAAGACACTTTAACCATATATTATTTCTTTGAATATCCACATTGTAATGTTATCGAAAATTTTCAAACAAATATATCTCTATAAAAGCTACTAACATCCATAAAAATATACATATTATTGTGTTTGTATTTCTATAATAATAAATTATTCTTTTAGTTTTCGTTAAATATAAAATAAAGGTGTTTTGCTTTTATAGACGCAAATTATGTACTATGTATAATTCGATTTGAATGAGTTAATTCGAGTTCAGTAGTCATCCTTATCCTTGCAAAGTGCATCACCACATACTCACTTACTAACTTGAGGGTATCCCTAACTTGACATACAAGCAAGGTGGGTTGACCCGCGGGTCGACCCACTTTGAACCTGACCCGCTAAGAAAAACGGGTCATTCGCACCTGCCGGGCCGACCGCTACAAGGTACCGGGTTGGAGGTCAAATTGTGTCATTTTTTTCTTTGGTTTGCGAAATGCGCCTATTTTCCGATTTTTCTTTTTGTCTAACTTAATCTTTGGAATTTTAAGTTGAACATTTGAATATTTATGTTATATAAGTGTGTGTGAATTTTCACTATATGTTGGATCTAAGTACGATATGTTATTTTGGTGTAATATTATATGTTATAAGTCATATGCTAGATAAGATTTGATATAATTTATGAGGATAAGTACAATATAATGACTTTTTCTATATTTCTGGGCCAAACCGGGCTAAAACAGTTGACCCATTAACCCTTGACCCACTAGCTCGACGGGGTACGGGTCGGGTTGACAACCTTGCATACAAGTAATTTATTTTGCATTTGAAATAAGACCGACATTTTCTTTTTTCATAGTTAAGACCGACACTTTTAATTAAAGAGAGATTTGACATTTTGAAGATGGCAGATAATTTGTCAAAAAAAAAAAAAAATTTGAAGATGGCAGATAATTTGTTGTACTTTGGGTGGGAGACAGACAGTGTTGAAATGTAATGTATTAAAGAAAGAGATGTGGGTGGTGGGGCTGCTGCTGCAACGAGTAATTGCTCCGCGCTGCCATGCCCATTCTCGATCTCGAGCTGCAGCAGCAGCTGGGTTCGGACTTCAAAGTTAAGCTAGTCATCTTCACCCACCGTTACTTACTATTTATTTTCCCCAAATCACTATACAAATACAAGGGGAAATGTAGGTTCACATTTTCAAAATTATAATACAACAAACGGCTTTGAGAATTTTTTAGGCGATTGATATATGATAGCCCATTGTATTGTACACAATTATTATAGGTTAGAAGTAAATTGATCAAAAGAAATAATTTACTAATGATTTTCACATGTAATATGAAATTACACATAGACTAAATTACGAGATTTCACTGATATATTACTCATGTGGTACGGTTTAGCAAATGATCCCGCCACGATGGAGCATTTGGTTTTGAGGAAGCAGATTTCAGCATGTGTGGTGTTTGCAGGAGATGCTAAGGTGATCTTGGACAAGGTGGCAGAAAAGATGGTGCGGGATACAGATGGTGGTGTGATTTTAGAAGAAATTCAAGTGTTTCAACATTTTAACATTTACATTGTCGGTCGTAGTCGTAATAAGGTGACCTGAAAAGTCATTTTTTTGTACCCTAATTTTCTAGAATTCGATATTCATCTTGATTATTATCAATCACGAGACACTTTTGTATAGTCTTGTTTCTTTTCTTTTTTTTGGTAAAATGTATAGTCTTATTTCTTGATAATACTAGTTATCCTACAATTTTTTTTTACCGAATAACTCTCTTTTGTAAATACACCAATAACTTGATTTGCGGGAAAAGAAGAAGAAGAAAAACAACGCCCCTGTTTCTTCTCCTCCTTTTTAGCTCCACCTTTCTCTTCCTTCTCTCTCTTCAACCTCAGAGACGGAGTCACACTCCCATCTCAATCAATCATTCATTCATTCAATCTCACTTCCTCCGCTTCACTTATCCCTTCCACCTCTCTCTGCTTTCGCCTCCAATCCCACAGCACCGCCGTCGCCGCCGGCCCGCCGCGATGTCGCTGGCCAGATTGATGAAGGAGCGGACCTTCGGATTGGCCTTGTTCCTCTTCCTATTCGTCTTCCTCGTCTCCATCACCTTCTTCTTCCTCTCCAGCGGCAAGACCGTCGACCTCCCTTACTACTTCTCCCTCTCCGATCGCTCCGACGTCTCCGCCGATCCCGGCGGCGGCTCCACCGATGCCGATGCCAACGACGCCCCCGTCCCTCCCGGCAAGGACTCCCCGGCTCTCAAGGCCAGGAAGTCCAACTTCCCCACCCCGCCGGCCCTCGACATTGCGTGGCGGCCCTGCGAGGGAGTCATGGCGGTGGATTTCATCCCCTGTTTGGATAATACTGAAGCAATCAAGCAGCTCCAGTCCAGAAGGCACATGGAGCACAGGGAGAGACACTGCCCTAAACCGGCGCCCCTCAGGTGCTTGGTCCCTCTCCCCAATGGATACAAGCGCCCTCTGCCTTGGCCTAAAAGCAGAGACATGGTAAATCGATTCATTCTTCCAATGATCTAATTTAGAAATCTGCTTTACGGATCTAATTTAGGCCGAGCTAATTGATGAACTAACCATGGTCGAGGTAATGGGAATGATGATCGGAGTTTATCTTAATTTCGACGAGAAGTTACTAGTAGTAAAAATAGTTTTGAGATTGAGATCTTCTAACTGAAGTTGATTCCAGAATTGGTATGGCGTCTGATATACTTCATTTAATTCTGTGTTCGTAGATATGGTACGACAATGTCCCACATCCTAAGCTGGTGGAGTACAAAAAGGAGCAGAACTGGGTGCGCAAGGAAGGGGATCACTTCGTATTCCCTGGAGGCGGGACACAGTTCAAAGATGGCGTCTCCAACTACGCCAGCTTCATTCAGAAGGTAGAGTTAGTTATATTGTAACAAAAATGGAATATGGTCAAATTTGGAAACTTCCAATATGTTGTTGAAGTTGTGGTGTTGGTGTTGTTGTTGTTATGGGATATATATCAGACGGTCCCAATTATCCACTGGGGAAGACAGATGAGGGTGGCTCTGGACGTGGGTTGTGGTGTGGCGAGCTTTGGCGGATACTTGCTCGACAAGCAAGTCCTGACGATGTCGATGGCACCCAAGGATGAACACGAAGCTCAGATTCAATTTGCGCTCGAGAGAGGGATTCCTGCCATCCTTTCGGTGATCGGGACGCAGCAGCTCGTGTTTCCTGATAATGCTTTCGACCTGATTCATTGCGCTCGTTGCAGGGTTCACTGGGATGCCGATGGTATTGTAGATCCTGATCTTTTCGCTTCCATTTTCCATTCTGGTTTTCTCGAGCAAGTAATTCAATAATCAGGTTTGCAGGTGGGAAGCCGCTTCTGGAGCTCAACAGGGTTTTGAGGCCTGGAGGTTTCTTTGTATGGTCAGCCACGCCTGTGTACCGGGACAATCAAAGAGACACCAAAGTTTGGAAAGGTCAGATTCATGCTTGAGTCGGTTTGAAATGCATCAAAATTCAAAAGGCGTTAATACGAACTATATGTTCGTTAATTACATGCTATTACAAATATCACTGACAGTACCAATCGCTTTGAGGCTACTTTTCTCATCCGGTCTCTGCCTATATTACAGCAATGGTGGCTTTGACTGAATCTATGTGCTGGAAAGTTGTGGCCAAGACAATGGACTCGACAGGAATAGGAATGGTAATCTATCAGAAACCAGAGAATCCTTCTTGCTACGAGAAACGCCCACAGAATAATCCTCCTTTGTGTGACCAGAACGATCAGCACAGCGTTTCATGGTAAAAGAGAGAAAGAACCTCCAAAAAGAACTCAAAATTTATAAACAGAATGATTGGTGATTTCTAATGTTCTATGGCTGGCTTCGTTAGGTACACACCTCTGCGAGGCTGCATTTCAAGGCTGCCACTAGACAAAGAAGGCAAAGTCATTAAGTGGCCAGCAACATGGCCTTACAGGCTCAGCCGTCTCCCTGTTTCCATGCCATCGGAACTTGGAGTTGTAGAGCAGTACAACGCAGATAACAGACGTTGGACCGCTCTTGTATCCGATACTTATCTCATGAAACTCAACATCAGCTGGCCTAGCGTTCGTAATATCATGGATATGAATGCCGGCTATGGAGGGTAAGTAGTAAGAAACATGCCATGTAAACCCATGAACCCCGACCTATCTGCCACTTGCAGTTGCATAAGTACCCATTGACTTACACGATCAAAATATGCTTGGACAGGTTTGCTGCAGCACTGATCGATCTTCCGTATTGGGTGATGAATGTTGTTCCGGTTCACGAGGAAGACACTCTCAACATCATCTATGACAGAGGGTTGATTGGAGTTTACCACGATTGGTGCGAGTCATTCAACACCTATCCCCGAACTTATGACCTTCTCCATTCCAGCTTCCTCTTCAAGAGACTCTCGGAAAGGTAAAGCTATACTCCCATGGCTTAATCAGAACCAAATTCTTGTTGCTTTCCTTGTGATATTTAAGGTCTGAGATTTCTCTTTGCAATCTTCAGATGTGACCTGATAGATGTCGGGGTAGAGATTGACCGGATAGTGAGACCTGGTGGGTATCTTCTGGTCTTTGACACCATAGAAATGATCAACAAGCTGACTGCAATATTGAAGTCGCTACATTGGTCGGTCAAAATCCATCAAGCTCAGTACTTGGTTGCCCAGAAAAATCTCTGGCGCCCCACCAGTTGAAGCCAATTACAGCAGCACTATAGAATCAATCAAGTCTAGGTAAGCTCAAGTTCTGGCAATCGGTGGTAAAGTAATAGGAGAGATGAGGATCTTCGTAGCTAAGACGTCTATATCTGCAATACATTTCTTTATTCTTTCATCTACGAATACCAGTTCTGCAAGTGTAGAAATACCACAGTTAGAAAAGAAGAAAGCATGCACTATACGTCATAGCAACAACGATCAAACAGAGGACGGTTCAACACGAATGCTCATGTCCTGTAAATGTAAACCAACTCTGTTGTAGAACTCCTGATTTTGCGATACTAGAAATAATATAGTTGCTACCAAACCTTCTCTATGATATACTTCCAATTCGTGCCTCAACATCATCGTACTGTGACGAAATGAATGCTGCAATTTGGCCACATTATCATTGAAGCTTCAACAACAGCCTCAATTTACATACAGTGAGGTACACACAGAGGAGGTGTCGTTCTTCACAAGCTTGCCATCAACGGCCGAAACCTTCCAAATGAAGCAACCACCAAACTCACCACCTCTGCAATCCAGCTTCTGGTTAGTCACCGAACCACCACTGAGAACATCATGATCCTTCACCTCCATCCAACCATCAGACACCTGCTTATTGTACACATTCGTCTCGCCTCCGCCATCATCGTGCCTCTCCAAGAAAGCGTGGGAAACATTCGTGATCGCAAGATAAGTATCCGGCTTGGATCCGGGCAGAGTTGCAGAGATCATTTTCATGGGATATCTTCGTTTGATCTTCACGTGGCAAACCGGGCAGCTTCCCAATTCGTTTGTTACCTTAACTTCTTTCTTCACCTTGACCCTCTGGTTCACCGTCTTCACAGTGCCGTTCCCTTCGAAGCTCATAATGTTGTGGAACTTGAATTCTTGAGAGACGGCGGTTGTGTAATTGCCGCCACTCCATTTCACCCATCCAACCAGAAGGGTTTCTCTTTTAGCTTTGATATGGAATTCTCCATCAAGCATTTGGAATTCCTCCTCCCGGGTGATAGACGAAGCCGGATTGTCGTACACCGTTGACTTAGCTATCACTTTCGACGACCCGCCGTCGAGCCATATGTGGAGATTCGCGTCAACGAGCCAAAACGAGATCCCGTCGCTGACACCGACGCCGATGGTGTGGGGTTTCCCGTCGAGAACGAGGCCCAACACCGGGGACAAGTCGAAATCGTATGATGGGAGATTGAAAGCGCCGATGGCCACCACCGGATTCCAGAACAAAGGATTAATCCCGCCGGTGAAGACCACCGGGAATGGAATCTCCGATCCCAGGACCCTCCCGTCGAGAGTGACGAATACTTCCCTGTAAGCTCCATTGCCTCGCTCGGTGGTAAGATTATTGACTCGAATGTAGGAATTCGGCGGGTTCGAGTACCAGAACTCGTCGTTGCCGTGAAATGAGACGTACAATTCCAGCACCGCCTTCCGCGTATTGAGAGGGAATCGGACTTCCTTGAAGTGAACATCAGATTCGCTGTTAATCACAAACCAGAACCCTTTCTTGTAGCCGTCGGAGGAGGAAATCGGAACTATCAAATCAGCCGGGGATTCGTTTGCCATCTCAGTTTCCAACCTACCCTCGTCTTTTAGAACCCTAATTTCGCCGGTTCTGAACGGAGCCCTCACGGCCTCCGCCCTGTAGAAGAAGAAAAACACATCAACACGGTAGACGCCGGTGTACACGTCGTTAACGATGTTCTCGAGCATCATTGTGAGCCTGAGATTCTTCTTCTGCAGAAGGGAAGCATACTTCGTGATATCCTTCCGGACCTTCCAGAAGATTCCCTCTCTCGTCGGCTCCGCCGTGCTGGTCCGGAGGATCTCCGCACCGCCAAGCCACAAGCCGGAGATCCGGTCATACTGGTCCCCGCGGGAGGTGGCGCGGAACTCGAGCACCACGTGAGACCACGGTGACGGGCAATTTACCGGCGGATTGTAGGCGGTGGTGAACGGTGGCTTGCCCATTGTGTTGCCGAAGGAGTGCTTGATGACGTGGAGCGTACATGGTTGCGAAGGAGGGTTCAGTTTATCGGATGAAAGAGGATTTGCTAGCTCAATGTACTCTTGCAGTTTGCGAGATGGTTTGGAAATAGACGGAGGTGACGACGGCTTCAGGAATCGGTCCGGCGAGGTCGACGACTCAGTGAGTTGAAAGAGCAGAAGCAGAAGAGCGAGGAAGAGAAATGATTGCATTTTGTGAGAAGATGTGTTAGGCTTGAGAGAGTACAGATCTTCTCCTGGCATATAAAAAGAGTAGTGGGCTTGGGCTACGCTAGGCCCAATTTTATTACATGCCGGGCTTGTTTATAAGAGCCTGCACCACGTCATCGTGTAGAAGAGCCCTCGCAATGCTCAGCGGAGTGGAGCCTCCGTTGCTCACGGCGTTAACGTCGGCCCCACGCTTGACCAATGCCTCCACCGTCTCAACTCCGCCGGCAACCGCAGCCAAATGCAGCGGCGTGTGGCCGTCGTTATCCCGGGACTCAATATCCGCCTCGAATTTCAGGAGTAGCGCCACCGTCTTCTCGAGCCCTTTGATGGCCGCCGCGTGCAACGCTGTGAGACCGTACTGATCGCGATAGTTCACGGCCGCGCCTCTCCGCAGTAGTGACTCCAGGAGTTGGAATTCCCCCCGCCGCGCCGCCGTCAACACCATCTCGCCGCGCTCCAGAGCCTTCAAGACCTCCTCCTGTTCATAAGCGACTCCAGGTATCGTTAGAACTTAGACGTAACTAATTTTTTTTCCCCGGCAGCTATTGGATTTTTCTAATCGTCTCTACTCTTACATGTCCGTTGTCGCGGGCTACATCGACGGCCGAGCGGCCGCAATAGTCGGCGGCGGTCGGGTCGGCGCCGAATTCAATTAGCGTCTCCACCATTCTTCTGTTCCCATTCGCCGCCGCTATATACAACGGCGTCCTTCCCTCTTTGTCTCTGTGATCAACGTCGGAAACCCTCTTCACCAAATCCGACACCTCCTGCATCCGATCCGAAGCCGCAACCACGTGTAACTCGTTCCAGCCCTTGGATTTCCACTCCGAATCGGCATCTGCCTCAACCGGCTCGACTTTCAACCCGGATTCGAGCAGCAGATTCACCATATTGTCCGGGTTAACCAGCTCCGCTGCAACTCGGAGCAGCGACTCAGATTCCCCTCGAGACAACTCGGACAGAACAGACCTCTGTCTCTTGATAATATTCCTCGCGGAGTCCACGTCGCCGCACCCGACGGCGTGACGGAGCAGCGAGGCCCCCACAAAGGCAACTCTGAGCTTGAAATCGACGGTGGAAGGCAAAGACGAGAACCACTGGCTGAGGAACTCTGAATCTGCAGCCGAGTCGGAATGGTACGGCGCCGTCTTAATGAGGATTCGGTCGGAGTGAGAGCGAGGGAAAGAGGAAGGGTAGTGAGTTTGGGGCTTGAGGACAACTCGGAAGGTTGTAGAGGATAATGGAGGGATGAGGCCCGTTGGGGGACTGACCAGGAATTTGTGTGGGGAAGAGGTCTGTACTTTGAAAGCAATTGGAGCTGTCGGTGAGAGGGATTTCATGGTCACATTGGCTCGGCATTTGGAGTTGAGTGTGAATTCAATTCGTACCTCCGTGTCTGATATCTCCACGAGCTGTTCCGCCATTGTTGAGCTCTCTAATCGAAGAGTAGCGAGTGTCGGAATGGAAGGGAAAAGTTGGTGTTGCCTGCGGAAATGTGAAGGAAAGGATAGCAGCACATGGTGGGTCTTCCTGTTCCTGGACCACGGCAAACTCCCGGAGATAACCATTGGTCAGATATTCTTTGAGCTGGAGGTGATAATGGGCTCTTGACTGATGAGAATGGCAGTTTAATTAGGGCTTGGAGCCCATATTTGACTCGGTTTGGGCTTTTATTTTGATCCGTCAGGATTTTTCAACCTTTCCTCGTCTGTCTGTTCAGGAGGAAAGAAAAGAATGTCTTCTTGCCTGGATTCTGGAAACAAAAATGAAGAAACGAGGGAGGAGGAAGAGTGGGAAGCAAGCTGATCTTGTGGGCCCCTCTTACAAATGCACAAAAGTTCTGATCCTCTCCTCTACGAGCTTTGCTAGCGTAACCCACAGGTGAGTCTTGAGGTACCCAATTTGCCACCAATATTATACACATCAGGGTACACGTGTCAGCTGCATTCCCATCCCATCTATGCCTTCCCTTGTGACGCTATCTCCATGCTCTCTGCTACCTGGCCTACTGGCACTATGGTGAGCTATTTGTACATAGCTCAGCACCTTTTCCGTTCCAACGGACTTCAAATGTCCAAATTCGAAGCTTATTAGAAACTAACCAATTCTCTGGTGCCAGAATTCTCTCCTCCTTCATCCGCCGCCGTCTGTAAGCTAGCTCCGCCACAGCAAAGGAAACGGAAGGAAGATGTTCTACTCTCACCAGCTTCTAGCTCGGAAAGCTCCCCTCGGCCAGATTTGGTAACGATTCATTGATTCTCTCCACGTTCAGTTTATGCTATATTGTGATGCTCGCTGCTTCAATGGAGGATTCCGATTATAATGGCGTCGTTGTTTTCACTTTTTCTGATCAAGGATGGCGGCGACTCTGCACGCCAAGATGAATCGGAAGAAGCTCAACATGATCAACATCATCAGCATCTGGTTCAATCATCCTCTTGCCATTTTATCCTTCATCCCCTCCTTCCTCCTGTTTAAGTATACTGAGCTCTGTTTGTTTGCTTGTTTCTGTTTCAACAGTGAGGAGATTCTGAATCCTGCAGCTCCAATGGCGCTTCGGCTCTCCGGGATTCTAATGGGTGCTCTGCTCTGCTCGGCTACGTTTCTGTTTGTTTGTTTCTCGTTCTTTTCGCTTGACGACGAAACGTTTTGGTTGTTTTCTTCAGGTGGAGTGGTGATTGTTTATGAGCGGAAAGTGAAGCTGCTATACGGTGAGGAAGTCGCTCCTATTCAGAATTATGATATTTACTTCATTTTTTTCTTTTCCGCAACTTGGAATTTGAATTTTCGCTATTATCGTTAACAATCTCCGGTGGCTCTTCTTCTCGTTTTTCTCCCACAGAGGACGTCACCCGTTTGCTGGTATCCGAATCGAACTCTGAATCCGTTCCGCTTGCGTTACTGTTTTTTTCCTGGCTTCCCTTACCGTGAGCTGAATATTTCCTGTGATTCCGCCGGAAACGCTGTTAAGGTTGAAATCAACGAGGCATGGAAAGTGAAACCAGCGACGGACCGTACCCTTCTTCCGAAACGGAAGTTACAGGCCAAGTTCGTTTCGGTTCTAAGATATATCTGCTCTCTTCCCTTCTTTTCCGTGCCATTAAAAGCTAATCGAAAAGAGTGTCTCTCTATTGCTCTGCAGGAAAGAAGCTGTAACTCTGCCGGAGGTTCAGGACGAGGAACTCCCTGATATCGAGCAGTCTATGAACTTCTCGAGCTCAAACGCCACAACGCTTCCTTTCCAGCAGACGTCTTACTTCGCAGTGGTAAATCATCTTCCCGTTTTTTTCCATTGCTGTCTAGACCGACTCAGGGACTAGTGACAGATGAAGGCGTTTCTGGCCGGTATAAATTCACATCAATTACCTAGCTGCTGTTAACTAGTACATTTAAGGGTTGAACTAGAAACTGTTTGTGCTCTGATTTTGTGGAGTTACAGGAGCGTTTTGACTGTCTTTAAGTCTTAACTACTCTAGACTTTTTCCTACTCCGCATATGGCCAGATGGATTTCCTATTTTCTCTGTATTTTAGCTTCAAGATCAACTTCTCTTGTAAAATCTATTTTTAGTTTTACCCTGCAAATTGAAAACATTCGAAAGCCGTGACCCTGTTACATCCATGGATAAGGTCAAAATTTAGAGGGAACACCAGGATCTTCGAATAATACACATGGGCATCATACTCTTAGTATCAGTGGGATATGAGCTCCAAGGCTACGATATTTTTCTGCTGCTAAATGTAGACCTAACTTGGTTCTTCCTGTAAACTTAATTATACTTGCAGCAACTAGACACCTTGGATGAGACTTACATTAACAATGACACCGTGGAAGACGATGTAACTGGCAATAAGCATCAAGGTTTTGCTTTCCTTAGTCTAACTTTATAGTTTTTATCAAACCTGCAAATGCCAATGAACTAGTGGGGTTAATTTCTTTTCCCTGATTTTTGATGTGTCCCTTCAGCTGATCCGGACAACATAAAATTATTCGAACGCTTTGATTCGTGTCAAGTAAACACAGATATGTATGATCGGTTTGAAAGGTGATTTCCCAACCCATTTAGATCTTCAGTTTAAAGTCTTCTTTTCTGGCTTCTATTAGTCCATAAGTTTGGTTGTCTATACATCCTATTCCTATTGTCTTTTGTGCATGGTGATACAGATTTGATATTGACGGAGAAGGGGACACGCAGATGATCGTGACTTCAGGAGATCTTCCAACAGATATCCATACAACTGTTATACCCTCACCACCTCGTCAAGATGAAGATCTAGGAGGTCTGCTTGCCAACAACCAAATGCTTCCACCATGTGATCTTCATTTGCTTACATTCTATTTTCTTAATGTCACTCTGATTGTCAGCAAATGAACCAGGAATTCCTTTCACCGATAAAGAAATCCCTGACCAGCAACCTGAAAGTCTTGTCAATCAACCATCTGAAGAACACAATGAAGGCAGACAGGTAAATTAAACAAGAACAAGCTCCAGGGTACTTGTCTGGTGGACAAATTACACCTAAAAGTGTACATAAGCTTAACAAAAAGAAATGGACAATTTGATATGTTAACTACAGATGCTAGCAAATAGAAGGAAAAGAAGGAGACAAGCCGCAAATTGGATGGACATGGAAAAAACAGTCATACCCTGTGAGCTATACCAGACATGGCTTCAAAATGCTTCTGACATCACCTCAAGGAATGACAAAAAGAGGAAGGTATGCCCTAATATCGAAACAATGGTTTAGCCTCAGGGCAGTCAACAGATTGCTAAACTTGAGGTATTTACCTACAGGAGGTGAACAAAAGTATTATGTCGAGGATGAAGGTGGCTAGTCTGATGGAGCTGCCGCCTATGGTACTTGTTGATGATTTATCAATCAATGCAAACAAAGATATCTACTATCCAGCTCCTCTACTCTCGCTGTGGACAAAAAGCACTCAGCCTCCGCATGACTCTCCATCTGGTGAGATTATTGCACACACTTGCCTGACTTCTTCGGATTTTGCTTTGGCTTCTCCATTTATGAAACTCACTCATACTGTACTTACTGGAATCAGCAAGGGCAACCTCACATCAGCCTCCTGAAGCTTCAAATTCATCCCCACAAGATGCAGCAGCTCAATTTGAAGATACATATGTAAAGCAACTCATTTGACGACAACTCATGTTACATTTATAGTGATCTTGAGCCCTGGTTTTGAATCTCTCTCTGATCCACTAGTGTTTTTCGAATGTGCAGAACTTTGATGATTATCAGAGTGGAGATGGGTCTCAGTCAATTGGTATCCCCTTCGAGAAGCAAGTAGCCCCCGTCGTTGGCAGCAGGAATGTCTTGATAGGGAACTTGGAAGCCGACCTTTTTGGTGATGAGTTTGGAACCAACCTTGATAATAACAACAACAGAATGGGAAGGAACAAAGAACCATCTGTTGTCACCACAACTCCTGGAAATCCTGGTGAGTTCAGCTCTGTCACCTAAATCCTGGTTTTTCTGTTAATGCTCAATCCATAAACATCGTTGGAAGTTTCCACAGGGAAGGAAGCAAGATCTGTACCAAGTTCAGGTTCTGGACATAGTGTTCTGCGACGTCGATCTGAGATCAACTCTGGGCAGTAAGCTAAATGAAATCCAAGTTATGCTCAAGTACCAAGTCCAAGTTTTGCCTTCTTTGTAATGAGTCCTTCCATGTATCTTTTTTCCACTCGCTCGATACAGCCAACATAGTGGAAGCAGCCTTCATTCCATTCCCGAGGACACATCATGGCTTCCAGATCCAGATATCCTGACGGTGCACCAGAAGGACCCAGCCCTTGATCAAGGTGCGCAATGGAGCATAACATGTAGTTTCATTTAACTACTTTGTGTTATTGCTGCTGTAATGGCACTCATTTTTCGGCCCCTCTTTTTTTTTCCCCCGTTATTTCTGCAGAAGTGCTATTGGAAACTGGACCTACACAGACTCAACAACCCTTCGCCACCTCCCAGCCAGTTGACGCCTTGACTGAAGCCATCCGAATGTGTGGCTAACTCCATTAACAACCCTTGTGTGTGTTTGCTTGTGTATGGTACTAGTGTGAATGTTTTTTCCCCTTATATTTGCAGGCACCTGAAGACTCATTTTGAAGGTCCAGAAGCTCCAGAGTACGAATCACTCAACAATCTTGCCACTGGAATGAACCGTAAACCAGCAGCTCTCTTGTTCTATCAAACCTGTGGTATGAATCATGAATCCCATTCCAGTTCAAACTAACAGGAAAATGTATCAGAAGTCAGATCAGATTCCGAGCTGTTTTCATGAATGATGGTGGGTCAATATGCTTTGCTTTCCTGTTTTTCCAGTTCTTGCGACACGCGGCTGCATAGCAGTAGATCAGAAGGCGCCTTATGGCGATATTCTCATCTCTAATCGATCAAAGATATGATAAGATCATCAGCACATTAAAGGTCCAACATCAGCAGCTGCTTCCCATTATTAGTTGGGCTGTTCATCTTTTTCAGGACACCAATAATCAACATCAATATATCGTGGTTTTGTTTCTTTTGTTATTTTGCAGATTATCATTATTTGTTGGGAGAACGTGGGCAGGTAAAAAGGAAGGAAGGAAGGACACACACTTACTCATCAACTATAGATTTTGATGGATCACCAGCAGTCCCTTTGGTACGTTATTAGATAGATCGAGGAAGTTAATTGCTCAATTAACTGGCTATAGCTACTACCTAGCTACCCTTGTTTTGGGATATAATCATTACAACTACGTGGATTGTTGATTGATATATGTATTATACAGATTATCTATTTTTTCCAAAACAAATTCGTTTACTGTTGTTGGTTTGGACCAACAAACTACTCTTGTCATTACTCTTTTATCCTCTTTCTTCTATTATAATTACATGGTTCACATGGATGATTCATCAAATCACGATAATATGAAAGTCACCATAGGGCATAGCCAATACAAATATAAACCAAAAGTATTAATTATTTCTTATTTTTTTACTATTAATTGGATTTTCTTAATAGAGTTTATTCCGACTTTTATGATTTTTTACCTTTTCGAGATTGTTATATCTTGACATAAAATTTAAAAGATATGTATTTGATTCTTGATTAGATTCAAATTGACTATTGAATTCACCGTTAAACATTGATATTTTACCTTTGTTAATGCGAGACTCCAGATATATTAATAATGAATAGACCTTTGACATTTTTTTCTTCCTTTTCTCATAATAATTGATTGCCGGTGAGATTCAAATTGACCGTCAAATCACTGACCAAAGATTACCATTTTTCTTTGATATAGTTAGACTAATGACCGATTGTTCACGATTTTTCTTTGTTATCTATTTATGACCTTTCAAAAGAGTTCTCGATTTTATTAAATGTTTACCTTATATTAACAAAAAGAAAACGTTCCTGATCGGAAGTCATAATCCTTAAACCCTATTCCATCAAAATTATTCTTAGAAAAAGATTTCTAAATATTGCTAGATTATGTATAGACTATGTATCTTTTTCTCATACCACCTAAATAACACTCTTTTAGCAACATCATCCATATTTTGATTGACCTCAATAAACAAAGGCATTATGACATGACATAAGCTAATGTTAATAATAAAACCTAAATCCCCCACTTCTCTTTAATACATAAACCCAAAAAAAAAAAAATGCCCCCACCATTTTCCCCCAGTTTTCCCTTCTCCCTATAAACCAGTCTCCCGAAGCCCACAGTCCCCCAAAAATCCCCCCAATATCGAAACCAGCTCTCTCTCTAAAACCTAACCAAGCAGGAAAAAAAAAAATTCCCTTCTCCTCCTCCTTCCGGAATTCTCTGCGAGACTCTCTCATGTGGCCAGAGTGGTTGAAGTCGCCAACTAGGGTTCCGCCGCCGTCTTCGAATTCGAATTCGATTTCTATACCAGCGCACAAGAAGAAATTCTCTTGCTCCTCCTTCAAGGACATCCAAAACCTCATCTCCGAGCCCGACCATGGCGGCGAATTCGGCATCGGCTCCTCCGATCCTCCTCCCATTTCCTCTCCCCGAACGCCTTCAATCTTCCACCGCGTCCGGATCTCCACCTCCGTCCTCCGGTACCTCCGCAAATCCCTCCCTCCCGCCCTCCCGCAGCCGCCTCAGCTGAAGGAGGCGCAGCCGGACTGCATCGTCCTCTACTTCACCAGCCTCCGCGTCGTGCGGCGGACGTTCGAGGACTGCTACGCCGTCAGATCGATCCTCCGCGGGTTCCGAGTCCCGATCGACGAGCGAGATTTGTCGATGGACGGGAAATACCTAGGCGAGGTCCAGGAGATCCTCGGGACCTCCGGTAAGGTGGCGCTGCCCGTGGTTCTTATCGGCGGGAGATGCATCGTCGGGCTCGACGAGATCAGGGAGCTCCACGAGAGCGGGGAATTGAAGCAGATCATTGCGGGGCTGTTTCCGCCGACCGCCGTGGCGGCGTCGAACGAGTGCGATCTGTGCGGAGGGCTGAGATTCGTCCTGTGCGAGGAGTGCAGCGGCAGCCACAAGATCTACTCGGAGAAGCACGGGTTCCGAAGCTGCACCGCGTGCAACGTCAACGGTTTGGTCCGCTGCCCGGATTGCTACAAGCCTGCCCGCCGCCGCATGTCCATCGCGTAGCGCCGCCTCCGATGACTAACCAACCGACTGCAGGAGAATCAGGTGGTGGTGGGTGGTAGTGGATTAGTTCTATTCTAGAGACTTTTCCTTTCTTATTTTTTTCCTTATTAACATGGGTGAAAATTTTAGGGGAAAATGGAATCCTCGGTTTGAGGGGTGGGATTGTAAATTTGTTAGCAAGGCTTGTTTGTTTGTTTGTTTGTTGGTTCGGCGACTTGGCCTTCCGGCCGGGGAGATTAGTTCTCTGGTGAAGTAGAAGATTTTAGACAATCGAGTTTGCAACAATTGGCACCGAGTTATTTTCTTGTTTTCTCATTTTCTCAATGATGATAAATGATTAATTGACTTTTGTGCAGCAAACGAAAAAAAAAATATGTTGATATTCGCATGTTTACTTCTTTGACAATTCCCTTCAAATTGTTTATCTATTTATAAATGATAACTCAAATTGAATTTTGAAATATATTTTGATAGATGAAGTTGAAGAGCTAAAATATAGATGGAGGGTGAAGTGGTTGATGGAGTTGTTGTTGACTGTTGTAATGGAATGTAATGTAATGGTGATTTGAGGTGTGTTTGGCTCTATTGTTTGGATGTACAGTACACGCAAGAGAGTGGGTCTAGGCGTAATCGACACGGGCATATGGGCATGTGAGGATAATAAAAACGTTCATTGTCGGCTTAGTTATAATGCTAACAAAAAGAAATTTCCAATCAAAGAAATCTGTACAAGTACGCTTGCACGCGGCTTCTAACTTTGAATCCATCCACAGCTCTAACGCTCATGGGCGTTAAGACGTTCTAACGTGATTCACGATCATTGGAATGCCTATTATGTAGTTTCTAGATGTTTTTTTTTTTACAGTAAGTTTCTAGATGTTGATGATCTTTTACAATCGTCACAACTCATAACAACTTGATAACAGTATTATCGATACGATTTCAAAACCTCACTTATCTTTACTATCTTAGCATTGAGCGAATTTTAGAAAACGAATATAAAACTGAAATCGGATTATGGTGCTCACAAATCATATATAAGAATATAAGAATGTACTCATTGGATGCACAATAATCAGATAAACACGTTGGCCATCACGTGTCCTGCTGAAAGACTGAAAAAGCAAGAGCCCTCCCCACCGAGCTGCCACAGTTGCCCTTTCTTTTCATAAAGCGCTATCTGATCCGTGTCGTGTGAACGTCGGTCATGAATCATGATAATGCACTGCGTTGGGGAAGCAGGAGCTTTCCTAACAAGCAACCGGTTTGGGCTTCTCTTTTGCTGAAAAGGAAAGGCCACTGGGCTGCTGTAGAAGTCGTGGGTTACTTGGGCTTTCTTAACTGTATCTGGGTTGACGTTTGGGTCAGCGACAATGGGCTTCAGGCCTTCCTTAAACCCGTTGAGTTGTGGACTATGGACTGGAATGTGGGCAACCAATGAGTTGAGAATGTCCATTTCAAAATGAACCTTGGTTGAGGGACTTACATCATCTCCATGTCCATATTTTTATTGCCACGTCAATAATTAAGCAAGTATCTCATTCAATAATTTTCAACCCCTACATCTCTAAAATCAATAAGTAATTTTTATAAGTGCAACTTATTCAAATTTATTACTACTTTATATTAATTAAAAATTTGAAAAAAGTAATTGAAAAGGAAAAAAAAATCCTAAGTGACATCTCTTACAATTGCTAACCAATTGTAAACAAAATGTCTCTAAGGTAATTTCGCTCGTTACCATTCATATTTTTAAGGATATGCTTCGAGAGATTGAAAGTAAGTAACTTTTTTTAAGCTGCCAAATGACATATTTATAATACAACCACTTTATATCCGCAAACAACCAAACTAATATTAAAAACCCCCAAAACAACAGGAAAATGTAGATGGCACACTAGACAAATGTGTGCAAATTAAGGAATAGAGTTGGGCCACATGATGATACATATGTAAGCCCTTGAAACAAGGAGGGGAGGGTGGGATGGATGAGGAAAAAAACTGTCAGTTTGGAAATTATTTGATTGGAAACTTCAAAGCAGCAGCTCACAAATAGCCAACAACAACAACAACACATTTTCTTTCTTACCAAATGTCCCATTGATCAATCTCAACCAAATAGCGACGTTTTGAGTTATTATTATCATAATAATAACAAGACGAGTAATCCTTTCAAGAACAGGCCAAAATTCAATATGCCAAGTGGTACTAATATTGCCCACAAAGATTACACCATAAGATAAGAAACCTAGTTTTTGAAAGGCTGAGATTAACCATTTGTACGTATGTACAAGACTTGGTCTTTAGTCTTTACTGTTTTTTTCTACCTTCTTGTTTCTTTTCCATCTTATCATTATTATTATTATTATTATTATTATTTTAGTGGGAAATTTGCTTCCTATGTCTCTGTCGCTTGTGCCGGCACTTCTCCTCATCTCTCTTCGTACAGTTATTTATTTAATTATTATTGTCATAATTGACTGCTCCCTTTTCCCACTTCACGCAAACGCCGTGAGATTGAGTAATGACCTCGACTTGTGACCTTAGATCTGATAAATAACTCTATCCCAAAATAAGGAGAAAAAAAAAAAAAAGGTACACCTAATAAACTGTTTATCATCAAACAAGGAACTGTTCATCATCACATTCATTTAAAAAAAAAGGACAGATCAACTCCCACATTGTCAGAGGAAATGACGGTCTATTGAAAAAAAAATGTGTGTGGGAAATTTTGAGGGTATAAAGTTGATTAGAGTTAAGTTGATAAATGAGAAATTCAAAGGATATTCAATCTTTTTTTAAAAAAAGGTATTCAAAGAAAAAAAGAATATACTGTTATTATCTATTAGAAAAAAAGGTGTTTCACACAACCAATCACACATATATGGACACACGATATCATCACATCGTCATTATCTATTAGAGTTTCAGATTTTGATTGGAAAGCTTATTCCACCCAAGTTCATGAAACAATAACTTTGTAACAAATAACTTAACAAACAATTACATCAAAGCAAAGAGGAATTTTACAATGCTTTAAAGCATTTGTATTTTAGTTTTTGCCTTTATGGTACAATTTGAAGTTTTTTCCTATACTCTTTTGTAAAATCCTTTTATGGTACAAACTAAAGTTGTACCACAACATAAAGATCAAATTCACTTATGGTACAACTCTAACTTGTACCTTTATCGTTGTGATACAACTTAAAGTTGTACTTTAAAGCGCCAATATTTTAAAGTATAGTAGAAAATCTCCAAAGCAAGAGGACACAGTTTTATGTCCAATCCTAAGAGTGAAATATGTACCTAATACTTGGTATCTTTATAAGAAATTTTTGCCCAACGCAATTGAAAATACATACTAGTAATAGACTGCAGTGGTGTACATGGGTCGGGTGGTTCGGGTTTAGACATTTTAATCACCCGATCCATGCACTACGGTTTGGGAGATATGAAACCCAAACCCACCCAAAAAAATCTAAACCCTACGGTTTGTTTCTAATTGGGTTGGGTCGGGTTGGCGATATTTTTAAGTGAAAACCCAACCCAACACCAAATATGTAATTATTCTACATCATAAAAATATTTTATAACAAATTAAAAATTTCAAACGAATAAACCGAGGTGAAAGGTATCAAAATTCACAAATATTGTTTGAAGTTTAATAAAACTTGATTTACTTCAACTTATGTCTAGTTTTTTTCACGACATTTGTTGAAATAGACTAAAAAGGTTACAAATGAACGCATCCATAATATGATATTCTTTTAAAATTGTACAAAAGAAAAAAAAATTACGTGAATCATAGCTATATTAAATATATGTCTAAAGTTTAAGTCGAAGAATGCATTAAATTAGTGAGACTTTAAGAGAAAAACATGGCGAAATATCTTAATTTTCTCATAAGTATGACTATATATGACATAAATATTTTTTTGGATACGAACTCATACCAATAATTGGAACACGGGTTGGGTCGGGTTCTACGGGTTGTGTAATCCAAAATCCAAACCCAACCCAAAAAAGGCGGGTTGTACAAAAGAAAACCCTCACCCAACCCAAAATCTTCGATTTAGCAATAAATACGGGTGGGTTGGGTCGGATTGGACGGGTGGATCGGTTTGCGGGTGTGTTTGTTCACCACTAAGCACCACTATAGTATTTACTCTTTTTTTTTTGTGGTGATTTTACTCTTTTAACTTTACCAAAAGCAGCTCCCGATAATAAATTTCACAATTTCCTCTATATTTGCCGGAGTGAGTGATTGAGTGGATTTTTTTTTTTACAATAAATTGAGTGGATTGATGACGCGTTTTTTTAAACATTAATATTATTATTATTCTAGAAATCTTACTTTTTCATTTCCAAAAAGTTTCCTTTGGTCTACATTGGTAGATTGGGGTTGCCTGCGACTCCTCCGAACCCAGTTTTTGAAACTCTTTCCGCTCTCTCTCTCTCTCTCTCTCTCTCTCTTGCGTCCTCCTCCAACCTAATTCCCAGCCACTTCCAGAGTTCCCACCAATCTCCGTTCACTTAACTCGGCCGGCGACTCAGCTCGTCCCGCTCTCTCGGCTCAACTTCCGGCCTACTCTCATGAACTTGCTGACTTCGTGATGACAATGATGATGGATAAGAATTGGAAATTCCGCCGGTTTGGAGCTCCGTTTCTCAGCTTCTTTCTCTACTGCCACTTGGTTCTCTTCTGCTTATCCTCCGCTTCGTCCTCGCTGCTCGACGGCGAAGGTATGCCGGCGGCGATTTCGTCGATTTCTCTCTATCCTGGAGGCTGGAAGGACACTGCAGCTACTCTGTTTCTTCTAACTGTTTCCCATTCTTGGCGCGTGTTGCAGGTTTGGCTTTGTTGAAGTTCAAGGAAAGAGTGGTGAGCGATCCGTTCGGCGCGCTGAAGGATTGGAAGGATGACGGTGGTGGAGTTCTTGATTACTGCTCGTGGTTCGGCGTTGAGTGCTCGGCTGGAAACGTTGTAGCCTTGTGAGCCTGCTCTTTCTTTCTTTTGTTTTCATCTGCTCCATCTTAAATTTTTTCAGTTGTTTTCCCCTTTTTCGCTTGGGATTAGGTCTGAGAAGTCCTCACTTTTCTTTCACACGCTGTTTGGTGGCCGAGAAAATGTTGAACATTCTTTTTCAGGAGATAACTATGCATGATTGATTGTGTGGCGCCTAATAATGGGATCATAATTATTTATCACACCTTATCTTTCTGTTTATAGCAATCATTGCACTTTGGAGAGAATTTTTGGAATTAGGGCTAAACTTATTTGGTCAGTTGATTGCTATGGCGTTACTAGTGAATTTATGTGTTTATTGATCCTACATCAACTGAAAATTATGTGTTGATGGATGAGTCCCATAACGCCAGAGATTTGCAAAGCCAACAGATTTGGGTTTAACAGTGGGAATTTGTTCTCAGGAGGAACTGCTATTATGGGATTATGGTTTCTTAGGTTTCCGCTTAGTATGTTCTTCCTCTTTCATGGTAATATGGTTTTGATGAGTGTATGTCCGCGTGCAGGAACCTGAAAGATCGTTGCTTGGAAGGAACACTGGGATCTGAGCTGGGAAACCTGGTCAGCCTAAAGTCCATGTAAGTGTTCCATAACTGTTCAAGAGTCTTTGCTGCTTCCCTTTTAGCCCTTAGCATTACTGATTTGTGTTTTTGCTGCAGTGTTTTGCGCAATAACTCATTCTCTGGCTCAATTCCGGAAGATATTGGCGAGCTGAAGGAGTTGGAGGTGCTCGATCTTGGGTTCAATAACTTCAGTGGTTCGCTTTCTTTGAACCTTGGAAGCAATCGGCCTTTAATGCTTCTGTATGTTGCTTGTGTCTGCAAAGTTCTGTTTTGGCTTTAAGGTTTCATTGGCCATCTATTTTTTTTCTTTCTTAACTGCTTTTCATTGTTGTTTTCTTTCTTCTTTTCAGGTTATTGGATCATAATGGTGTTATTAGCATCATTTCACCTGAAATTCATCAACTGACGAAGGTCTCTGAAGTTCAAGTTCATGAAGTTGAATTGCATGATTCAGCTAAACCTGCATCTTCCCATAATAAAAGGTACTTAGTATGGTATATCACGTGGTAAACGGAATCAACTTCAATAAATTCTTTTGTTCTTTATAATCTGGACTCCTTTCATGAGATGATGCCTCACCGGTTTTAGTTTCTACTTTTTGTTATGTGTGGCAGGAAATATGCAGCTCACAGGAGACTTTTACAAACAGTTGGTGGAGTGAATCTACCACCAGTGTCATTAACTCCATCTACCCCTTTCTTCGACCCTTATGCATTTTTGCCTCCACTGCCCTCTGTAGCTCCATTTCTCCCGACTCCAAATGCAGATCCTCCATTGCCTCCTTCTCCCCCTGCTACCGATTCAAATGATTCAATTCCACCACCCCCAGCTGCTTCTCCAAATTCTACTGAAGCTTCTCGTCCTTTACCAACTCCTCCACTATCAAGTAGTCCCAATTCAACAGTTGATAGTTCCCCTTCCAGGAGTCATACCTTTATACCAATTGTTGCAGCGGTAGCTGGGGCCACATGTTTTCTCCTTGCTATCTTTGGAATATATCTGTGCAAAACCAATAGGGCAGCTGTCAAACCTTGGGCCACTGGACTCAGTGGGCAGCTTCAGAAAGCACTAATAACTGGTAACTCAATCCTCTTATTGAAAACCTGATGCGAATAAGAATGTCATTAACTGATTCATTGAAAACTATATAGAAGGGCTGAAGGGAAAAAAAAGTAAAAGGAAAAAAGAGAAGGAATGCCATGGAAAGTTGTTGCATTAATCACGTAATGGAATTACTGTCCAAACATATATTTTGAGTTGTGGAAGGGAATCTTGTTGTGCTTATGTCACGATCCTTGCTAGTGTAGCTGCTGTGAATTTCTTAGCTGATGGTGGTTTGCTACCTTACTGCCTTTGTAATAAATTGTACCGTGTTGCTATTTCAGGTATACCAAAGCTGAAGAGAACTGAGCTTGAATCTGCCTGCGAAGATTTTAGTAATGTTATTGGTTCTTCACCACTCGGTATGCTGTACAAAGGCACTTTGTCCAGTGGGGTTGAAATAGCGGTGGCCTCTGTTGCATTAACCTCTTCCAAAGATTGGTCACGAAATCTGGAACTGCAATTCGCAAAGAAGGTAGCTTTCATATCCTAGTCGATCATGCATCGATTCTTTTAAGTGTCTATTCCCTCATCTTTGTCTGTTATATGTTTCAGATTGAGACATTATCAAAAATCAATCACAAGAATTTCGTCAACCTTCTGGGGTACTGTGTGGAAGAGGAGCCTTTCACGAGAATGATGGTTTTTGAATATGCTCCAAATGGATCACTCTTTGAACACTTGCACAGTAAGCACCAGCTTTAGCCGAAACAATTACATCATCACTTTTTTGGATGGTCTTCTTAACCACTTTTTGTTGGTTTTGCTAGTTAAAGAGTCGGAACACCTGGACTGGGCAATGCGGCTCAGAATCATGATGGGTATAGCTTACTGCCTCGAGCACATGCACCAGCTGACCCCACCGATCGCCCACAAGAATCTCACCTCTTCATCCATCTCCCTCACCGAAGACTATGCAGCCAAAATCTCCGATTTCAGTTTCTCAAACGACATAATCATACCACCTCCTTCCTCCGGGATGGAACATTCCGAGACCGACACTGAGCTGTCAGCTGATATTCCATTCCGGGCAAGCAACGTGTACAGCTTTGGCGTGTTGTTGTTCGAACTCATCACAGGCAGGCTTCCTTACTTGGTAGACAATGGATCGCTGGAGAACTGGGCAGCAGACTACTTGACGGGGGACCAACCCCTTAGGCAGATTGTGGACCCCATGCTCGACTCTTTCGAGGAAGGCAAGCTAGCGTCCATCGAACAAGTGATAAAGGTTTGTGTTCACCCTGATCCACTACAAAGACCGACAATGGCGGAAATCACTCCTATGTTGAGAGAGGTTACTGGGATAACTGCTGAAGCAGCGACCCCGAAACTCTCTCCTCTTTGGTGGGCAGAGCTCGAGATTCTGTCTGCCGATGGTAGTTGATGAAAAGTAAGCTCTACCAAAACCCTCCATTTTCTTGAAGAAGGTATGAGCTATAACTGAATGAATGGATCATATGGCGGGGAGGAGGAGGGTAGGGAAAGTTGGTGTTTGTGGGTCTGTCTGTGTACCTATTCTATCTATTTTGTGCGTTAGATGGGAGGTGGAAGCCCAGAGCTGCTTGCTTGTGTATATAGAGAGCCAAGAAAATGGAAGCTGGATAAATGCTTTGGCACCATCTTGGTGCTTTGTGTGTTTATTAATTCTTTAACCCTCCACAGAGGTCTGAGATTTAGGTTTGTGGTGGCCATGAACACACATCACCAACCAAACCTTCTCTCTTTGTTTATATTCCTGGTTGTTGAGCATTTTTGCTTATCCATATTTTGTGCTCTTAACGTCCATCTGTCAAAGTAAGTTCTTGTTCCGAGTTGGAAGTCTTTGGTTGGCAGTCTCCATTCCTACTAGCCATGGAGTTATGTGTGAATTGACCAGGCTTTTCAATGACATCAGGTTAACTGGTTGGTTAAGAACATGACTTTTCTGAAGTTGTTTTAAGGATTTGGGATTTTCAGTTTTTGTTTTTCCTATATGGAGGGGTGTTTAGTTTTAACTAATGAAGAAGTCATAGGTATTGTTTTTTTAACTTCTTTCTGAGGAAGTGATAAGGTTGTACTGTTTATGTTACGCTAAATGGGAAAAGGGATTAAGAAAATACGACGCGATTTAGCTGTCATTGTGTGTAAAAGTATACTATGCGAAGTGATTTTCCAGTTGGGATGAATGAGATGGCATCAGCTGGCAGAGGGATGTTTGGAATGGTCAAACTCAAAGGAAACACGGTTCTGATGATTATTTTAGTCATTCAGTGATATATAGTTGGCAAGGAGATGGCATTTTTGGCGCTGTTGGTGGATGGATTCTTCAAACATGCTGCTACAAGGATAGGGGTGTGCAGAGCTCAGAACTGGACCAAACTAGGGAAGATTGTGGTTGAATAGGAAAATACATTTTTAGAACAAAGGATCGGATTAATAATATATTTGGTTTGTTTTGGTCAGGTTTATTTTTCTTCGATATTAATAAGATTCATAGAATCAAAGATAGAATCATATTATATTTAGTTCGATGTGATTACATCATCTGTTTGATTGCGATTTGATAGGCCCAACTCAGAGATAAAATGGAAACAACTAAATACACCAAACAATGCCCAATATTATTGAGAAAATAGCTAACTTAGGGGTCGTTTGGAAGTTGCGATTGTTAAATAGATGTATTGTTGAGAATGCATGTATAATATTATACATGTATGGTCGAATTTGATGCATTGTAGAATACAACGTTTGGTATGTGTGATTGTGTATGTCGCATCAGCTAAAAGCCGAGACAAAACAATCTCAACTCAACTATCTCAACAATCACAACTAAAAGTTGAGATATAACAATTACTCAAAATGAGTGATAATTTCTGTCACATCACAGAACAATCCATGTATTGTTTCTGCTAAAAAAACAAAAAAACAATGCATTGTAAACAATACATGCATAATGACAATCTCAACAAAACAATCGCAACTTCCAAACGACCCCTTAATTGACAAAACTATGACCTACCGCTAAACTCCTCCTCAACCAAATCAAATCAAATCAAATGTGGTATGTAAGACAATGTAATGCACATCAACAATTATTTCTTATCTAATAAGTTTTTAGAAACAACATTGTGTAAGGACTTCGTAGTAACTTTGCCACTATGTTTGGGAAGGGGTGTAAATGGAAGGGGGTGCAAGTTTGGAGGGGTAAACACAAGTTCCAAGGCGTTTACTCCCGTTTGGTTATTTTGTAACAGTAGGGGGGTGCAAAACGTGAGCGTAAATTCACTGTTTCGGCTTACCCCCCAAATTGGGGTGCAAGGGAAGGAAGGAAGGGAGGGGGAAGGGGGAGGAGGGGAATTATGAATTTTTAATTAGATTATAATTACATAATAATCAATATTATTAATTTTTTCTTATATCTATATTAGTGTAGAAGTTGTTTGGGGTTGACCGTTTGACCTAGAGAGCAAGTTTGTCAATGTTCGCCTCGTTAAATCGATATCTCTTAGTTGACCCGAATTTGCATTGAAAATTAGAGATAAGAAGCATTTGTTGAAAAGATAGAGAGGAACAGTTTAGTTAACTCGATTTACTTTAATAAGTAGTTAAAACTTACAGATTCGAATGTGTTTGACTAAGTTTGACCATATTCAATTTAAAGTTAGGCACGAGAACCCCCTTAGGATGACCAGTTACGAGTTGGATTTCGAGTTTCAAGGTTGCTCGACCAATGATTATTATTGTTGTTATAAATAATTATATTTGAGCATTATTATATAATAATTATTTTTATTAAAATTATTTTTATTATTATATATTGAATTTTCATGTTATTATTTTGTGATAATATTTTATAAATTGATAAATCTATTTTATAATAATATAATTACTTACTTTTTACTCTATTTGCACCCCCCTACTTTTTCATCCAAACAACAATTTACCCCTCCACTTACACCCTCCACCAAGTTGCACCCCCCAACAATTTACTCCTCAACTTGTACCCCCCTCGAACTTGCACCCCCCTTGTTGCCAAACATAGTATGCATGTTATGTAGTTTGGAGTTAATACTCATTATTACTTACATATACGGAATACCAATTCTATATTTATTATGTAAGACCTTTACATAAATGTTACTTAATCAACACATTACATTGAATACCTAAAGATAATTACAGGGAATGGATCAGGTCAGTAACCTTATGGTGAGTAACCATGAGTAACACGTCCACATCAGCATCCTCTCTCTTGGAAAACCTTTAATTTTTCCCTCTTTAATATTTGACGGACGATTTCTCATTCATTTTAAGTCGAAATTTAATTTTTTTTGCACAGTTAGATCAGATTAATTGTGCTCTTCAAAATGATATCCACTTTAATATATTTTTTGAACAAAAAAAATTGAGCCATTTTTTACGAGTCTATACCATATGGTATTGACTGGTATTGAAATAAAAGCATAACTATGGTTTGAATAAGTACCATGGTGGTATGAACAAACCAAGACTGTAGGATGATTGAATACATGATAGTAGAAGTATATTAATTGTCATTTACGACTTTTAACATTGTATACCACACAAACCACCTCGTACCAGGGTGGTATTGTCTGGTATTGTGTGGTATTTTTTGGTCCTGTAATTTGTTCACCCAGAAATTTGTAGCTCCAATAGATCATGATGAACTCGTCCCTTCTGTGCAAACGTTTTCAAAAACGAAGAAGATACCATACAATACCACCTCGTACCAGGGTGGTATTGTGTGGTATTTTTTGGTCCGGTAATTTGTTCACCCATAAATTTGTAAATCCAATAGATCATGATGAACTCGTCCCTTCTGTACAAACTTTTTCAAAAACGAATTAAAAACAAAGAAGATACCATATGGTATGCAGTTGGTACCGAGAGGCCAGAATTTTTTTTTTCTCAAAAAATATTGAAAATTGATCTCATTTTGTAGAGCACGATGAACTCGTTCCATCTGTGCAAAAAAATTTAAAATTCGAGTTGAAACGAAAAAGATATAAGTCTATTTGGACAACCTAAAAACCATAATATTGCTGGTACCCACTTTTAGCCATACTTAGGGTATGTTCTTCAAATCGCAGTCGAATCAAGATAACTTAAACTAACGTAGTTTATGGGATACGAAACTAGAAGAGAGAGATTGTGGTGTGAAGACTGAATCCAAGTAGCAAATCATTGGAACCTCCCCATCCTCCATCCCTCGAAAAAATCCTTACCCCATTCTGGATAATACCCAAAAGACACCAATCAATCAATTAACAAAACAGGGGAACCCTTCAGTCTCCCCTGCACCCAAAACACCGCTAGATGCCACAATTTCTTGGCAATCCCGTAGCCGTAGTAGAACAAGAAGAAGAAAGGTAATGGCCATCTCCCGATTCCCGAATCCATGCCGGATTGTACCTACTTATAAAGCAGAGCAGTCTCCACATCCATAATCAACACCAATCTTCCCATCAATCAATCTTCTCTGTGTCTTTCCCTCTGTTTCTCTCTGCCCATTTTCATAACCTGTAGAAGAAAGAAAAAAATGGCAGCAGCAAAGCACAGCCACATCCCCACAATCTGCTCACTCCTGCTCCTCTGCGCCATCCTCCCACTAATGGCCGCCGCCACAGCCCAACAGAGGAAGCCGTCCGTCGCCGTGGAAGGAGTCGTCTACTGCCTGAGCTGCAAGTACGCCGGCTCGGGGTCTCTGATCGACGCCACGCCGATCCAATCAGCCAATGTCAGCGTCAGTTGCGCGAATTCCGGATTGTACCAGATCAATCAGACCGACGAGCACGGCTACTTCTACTCGTGGCTCGATGGGTCCAAGCTGGGCCGCGGGGGTTTGGGCAATCCGATCCAGGCCTGCACGGTGAAGCTGGTTTCTTCCCCGCTCGGGGCCTGCAATGTGCCTACCGATCTTAACCATGGTAACGACGGAGCCAAGCTCCGGTTCGAGGGTAAGGTGGTGAAGTCGCCCCATTATGCTGTTTTCTATGCTGCTGGTCCCTTGGCGTTTCGCCCTCAGATGTGCGCAAATTGACCTTGCTGCTTGCACCATGGTTAATGACTACTTATTTGCTAGTGAGGTTTCAAGTTTGATACAAGCAGAGGCTAGCTATATGGACAAAGGAAAGAATAAAAGAGATGCAGATTTATGTGTTTCGTAGAAGATAGATGGAGGACTGTTCTGCTAACTCGAAATGAAATAGGGCAACAATAAGGATCTAGTGTGTGCTATCTGATAGTGGTAGACTACAGATTTGAGGCACTCTGTAGCTGGAGTACAAGGTCTTTGCTTCTTTTTGAGTTGTTCTTGGAATTAAGGTGTAATGAGTTGAGCAAATTTGACACTTTTGTAGCAAATTCCTCTATAACCAGAATGTTGAAAGACAACTTCTTTCAAGCAATCACTCCACTCGTCATCGTCTTTATTTTACTCGAGAAAATAACATGCTTTCTGGAAAGAATAGGTATGTTAAATAATATGAGACTTTGAGAGGGAAAACATGAAAAGCTAAAATGACAATATTATCATTACATTAAACTAGTCTTTAATTATGACCGTTAAGTCAAGTGTGGCATACACAATTACATAAACAAACCATTCATAGATTTCTGTAATTAATGACTTAACCACTTTACATAATAAGATTTGTATATTTTTATTATTGGCTTAACCACTTTACATAATAAGATATGTATATTTTCATTACGTGAAAAGACCTCATACGCATGACTTGAGTAATATCATTCTACAACGTAACAGTTATGTATACATTACATAATGGTTTTGATAATTTATTTAAGTTAATATTAATAACCAATTAGCATGTAGACCACAATCGGGTTACATAATACCATTATATAAGATCAACAAATTACATATATGTTAGGCAATGAACATTACAATATGTAAAATGTGACCTACAAATCACTATTGTTAAAATGAATTAATAGGCTAATGGGGATAACAACAAATTGAGACTTAAAAGTCTTCACAATAATCCTAATATTCCACAATTCGACTTCTAATCATATAATAATTTCTTCGGAACGGGATATTGTGCTAACTCTGCATGAGTTAGCATCATGCTAATTATGAGTTGTAGTAGTCTGCATCGGAGTTGTAGTCCTGAATATACGAAAAACGGTAACTACAACTGCAAAAAAAAAAAAAATACAACTATGATTACGTTGGATATGTAGTCCTACAAATGCAAAACACAACGACTACAACTGTAATAACAACGACTACAACTACTATAATTGTGCTACTAGCATGTTAGCAAGCTAACCGATCCCACTGTTATTGAATCAAGATGATGAGTTATTGAATCCAAGTAGGAAATCTTTGTTAATTACCTACAAGTCCAATGAACTTTCCTCTACACAATCCCCAACCCATTTTGGATAATGCCCTATGGACACCAAACCATCATTAACAAGACCGTTATTTTAAACAAAAAGGGTAACCCTTCAGTTACACCCAAAACACCGTTATTTTGATATCTTTAAGCAACGTTTAGAAATGACGTCATATACCTCTCTTTTTTTTAGTGTTAGGAGATAGAAGAAGAAGAGTACTGAATGTGGCTGTCTCCCCCGAATCCAAGTCGGCTTTTCTAACCTACTTAATTCTCCACCTCCATAAACAACCTTCTCTCTCTACCCCGTTTTCACAAAGCTGCCGAGAAAAACAAAAATGGCAGCCAACACCAACCATCTCCTTCTCCTCATAACCATCCTCCTCCAACTAACCGCTGCCGCAGCCCATCAGAAGAAATCGTACGTCAGGACTGCGAGTACGCCGGCTGGTCGTGGTCCTTGACCGACGCCACGCCTGTCTCATCAGTAGGGCTGTCACTCGGTCGATTTCGGTTTAACCAAAAATCGAATTATCGGTTATCGGTCAAACCGAGACCTCGACCAGACTGCCGCCAACCGACCGTCTGTGCGCCTCGGTTAGCCGCAAACCGACTGGCCGATTTTCGGTTTCGACTCGGTTAGCCGGCCAACCGGAAACTACCTATTCTAAAAAAAAACAACAACAAAACATCTGCACCACTCACTCCTAACCTAACCCCTCCGTTTTCTCGATTCTTCTTCCCAGACTCTCTCTCCCTACTCTCTCTCTCGATTCTCTTCTTCCTCTGGAAGGAAAATCGAAAAACCAACTCCGCCACCGAGATCCCGAAATCGCCTCCTCCCTCACCTCTCTCGTTCTGCCTCCCTCAATCGCCGACATCCTCTCTCTCTCTCTCTCTCTCTCTCTCGATTTTCTCCTCCAATCTAAAAGAAGAAAGCGAAGGCGACCGGCGAGGTTAGGAGGCGGCGACCGGCGAGGCGATTGGAGGCTCGGCGGCGAGGCTCGACTGTTGACTGGCGCGACTGGAGGCCCGGCGATGGCGGGTTGTTGACTGGCTCGGCGATGGCGGACAGTTGGTGTCGATTGGAGGGGCGATTGGAGGCTCGGCGGCGACCAGCGAGTGTCGGGCTGGCGGCTGTGCGACGGCCGACGGCGACGAGAGGGTCTGAGGTCTCCCTGCTGCGCGACGCGATTAAGGAAAGAGAGGGAGTGGGATGACGGAAGAGAAGAGGGTCGGGTGAATCGGGTCTAGGGTTTGGGGAGGGACTAGAGAGGGGGTCATTTTGAGGGGGGGTCGTTTTGAGAAGGGGGTCGGGTCGTTTAGGTTAGGCTGGGTAAAGGCTCGGTTAGTCGGCTAACCGCCGGTTTCCAACCTCGATTGGTCGGCTAGCCGAACCTTCTCCCCTCGCTACCGACGACCGACCGACGCCAATTAAGGACGGTTTTCGGCTACCGACGACCGACCGACGCCAATTAAGGACGGTTTTCGGTTAGCCGAAAACCGGTCGGTTCGGTCGGAACCATCCGGTTAACTGCTAACCGGAGAACCGTCCGCCAGCCCTACCCATCAGCTGGTGTTGGCATCAGTTACATTGCACATGATGAATTCCGGCGGCCAAGGGAGCGTCTACCAGACCAATCGGACCGACGAACACGGCTACTTCTACACGTGGCTCGATGGGTTCGAGTTGGGGGAAGCGGCGAGCAGCTGCAACGTGATCGCTGGTTTTTTCCCCGCTGGAGAACTGCTATTCGCTAACCTCCTGATTGTATTAAGAAATAGTAATATGAAGTTATGAACACCAAAAGAAACGAAAATGCTCTTAATGAGTGAGTAAAGCACTCTCCCAAACACACGATGAGAAGGAGGAGGGAAAAATTGTAAATTAAAAACAAGATTGAATCCAAGTATAAATCTAATCATTAATGTAACCCTCACTTTACCTCCCATTCATCATCAAAATCCCCAATTGGATAATAATGCCCAAAAGACATCAATCGTTAACATACGACAATAATTGAATAGGGAAAAAGAAGAAGAAGAAGAAGAAGAATAATGTGGGCATCACGTTGCTTACACCTACTTACAATTAGTAGTCTCCACGTCCATAAACAATCCTCCCATGGCGGATCCAAATTCCAATCCATCCATATATAAACACCACATCTCCCCCACAAACCCATCACTCAATCTCATCATCAACAATCTAAGCATCCATTCCCACAACCTCCAGACCCAAAAAAAAAAAAAAAATGGCGCCCACTCGCAGCCACCTCATCATCACCATCTTCTCCCTCCTCCTCCTCCTCCTCCTTCTCAACACAATTTCCGCCGAACCCCAATACCACCATCCCGCCGCCGCCGCCGCCGCCACAACTCCCCCGCCGAAGACACAATCCGACGTCGTGGTGGAAGGAGTCGTCTACTGCCAGAGCTGCCACAACGCCGGCTCCTGGTCCCTGACCGGCGCCAGGCCGGTCCCATCGGCCAGGGTCAGCGTCACGTGCGTGAACTCCCGCCGCCACGTGAGCTTCTACAGGACCTACCAGGCCGACGAGCACGGCTACTTCTACGCCCAGCTCGTTGGGCTCAAGCTCAGCCACGGGATTCTGGACCACCCGCTCCAGGCCTGCAAAGTGAAGCTGGTCTCTTCACCGCTAGAGAGCTGCAACGTGCGGACCAATTTGAACTACGGGATCGACGGGGCCGGGTTGCGGTTCGAGAGCAAGGTGTTGAGGTCCGCGAGCTATGAGGCTGTGGTCTACGCGGCTGGGCCCTTGGCTTTCCGGCCCACCGAGTGCCCTGCCCAAGTTGATGAAGATGACGTGAATCGTGGTTGATTGATTTTTAACGACCCTTCAATGTTTTTTTGACTTTTTGTTATGGGATTTTTCGGGGTTGGACTTGTGTTTTTTTTTTCTTTCCTTTTTCTGTTTTGAGTTGTGTATCAGGAACAAATTTTAAAGGCTATGCGGATGCAAGATATATAATTTTCTGATCATGTTGTACACTTGTACTGGTTGATTATTTCGTGTGAAAAACTAATTGGTTTTATCAATTTTTTCTTTCTATCAATATTAGTTATGTATGAATCTGCTCTTTCAAACGAAAGTAAATTCATTACAAGTCGTGAGAATTGAGACGTGTGACATGGTGAGATTGGCAAATGATAGGAATTTAGAGATTTAGAACAGAATTGGAGATTGAGATTGAGAATTTGGAGAAGAATAGAAAGAATGGGTGTCGGTCCGATTAGAATGAGAAGAGAACTTGAGAGAGAGGGTTAAGAGAGATTAGAGTTTAGGAGATTTCCTTAATATTCTTCTTGATTTTTCCAACTGAATACCAAAAGTACATAAAGAAATACTAGAAAATTCTAATTATAAACCTAATATGACTGAACTACTACTAACAATTTTTTTAATATTAATTCTATTAATAGTAATTATATGATATACTCTCAAAACTTACTATCAAACCAGCTATAATATAATGTTAAGAATCAATTGGCATGAATAATTCATGTTATTCGATTCGTTATTTGGAACCAACAAATAAACTTCACCTTCCAAAATAATCCGAAGATACTGCTGGTACGGCTTGTGAATTGTGATCATACTTTTATGTTTTTTAAAATACATCTGAATGATGATAACTTAAAATAAAGTAGAATTAGAAGCATAGGAAATGACTAAGAAAATCAGTCAAAGGGGATTGGATCCATGTAGAAATCGATAATGGAATCCTCAGTTGCTCATTCAACTACAAAATCCGTAACACATTTTGGATAATACCCAAAAGACACCACCAATCACTAACACACCATTAACAACCAGTAAAATTGAAAACTCAGCACTTCAGTTTCCCCTGTATCCAACACACTGCAAAATCCCATAATTTGGCCATGCTTAGTAGAAAGAAGAAGAAGAAGAAGAATGTGGCCATCACATCACATACGCGCCACAGATCTCTGAAGATTCCATGGCCGCAAAGCTCTTCCCCTACTAACTACTAAGTAGTCACCACGTCCACTAACAACCCATTCAACATCTCTTATGTATAAATACCCACAAATGCAGCTCCCATCTCATCAAACCCAAAAGGCATTTTCCAATCTTCTGCAGAATTAGACATGGCAGCCAACAACAGCCATCTCATCACCGTCTGCTCACTGCTTCTGCTCTTCGTCCTCCCATCAATGGCTGCCAAACCCAAGTACCACCACGCTCCCACAACCCCGCAGAAGAAATCTGACGTCGTGGTGGAAGGAGTCGTCTACTGCCAGAGCTGCAAGTATGCCGGGTCGTGGTCTTTGACAGGCGCCAAGACGATCCCATCAGCTAGAGTTAGCGTGACTTGCAAGAATTCGCGCCACCAGGTGAGCTTTTACAAGGCCTACCAGGCTGATAAACACGGCTACTTCTATGCACAACTCGACGGGTTCAAGTTGAGCCATGGAGTTTTGGATCATCCCCTCCAGGCCTGCACTGTGAAGCTTCTTTCTTCCCCTCTCGCAACCTGCAATGTGCGTACCAATCTTAATTATGGCATCGATGGAGCGAAGCTCAGGTCTGAGGGTAAGGTGTTGAGGTCTCCTCACTATGAGGCTGTGATCTATGCAGCTGGTCCCTTGGCTTTCCGCCCTGAAACGTGCTCAAACCATCATGGTTAAAACTTAAAACATGAATGACACCTTTTTTTTTTTTTTTTGGTCATGGGGTTTCAAGGCCTTGCCTTAGCATTTTCTTTCTGGTTTTCATTATTTTTGTTGGAGTATAAGATCTTCCTCGTGTTGAGTTCTCAATGTTGATCAATATCGTCTATCAGCAATTTGTACCCGCATTCAAATGAGTTGAATCTTTTTAGCAGAGTGTTAGTCTCTCTTGTCTTCCTGACCTCCTTGCATTATTCCCTATAACCCAACCCATCAATAGCCTCCAAAGTCTCTAACGTCCAGTGCCATCCCAAACAGCAGAGTGTTGATCTTAATAAACTTAAGACTTCAAAGCTTCTACAAGAGGCAGCAGTACAAAAGACAAAGGTTGAGAAAATGAAACTTCGTTTCAACAAGGAGAAGAAGCCACTTACCCTTATAAGGGCTAAAAATCCAGTAGCATCCCAAACAACTTGTTAATGTCATGCCTGTATAGTGAACAGAGTTGGCTCAAACAAGTCTGATCCCCTTGTATCAGATGATGATGTTTTGCTTTCTTGATGATGATTAACATCGACATCAGCTGGCAATATTGAGAACCCGCCAACTTCTTCTTGCATTTTCTTACCTGTCTGGTTTTGTTTATCATCAACAGCATCATCATCATCCTGCAATATCAACAACCCGCCAACTTTTCTTGCATCTTGTTCCCATTCTGGTTTTGTTTATGATCAACGACATCACCATCAGGCAGTACAAAAAAATACCACCATTTTGTTCTTGTTTCTTCACTGGCTGGCTTTGTTTTCCATCAAACTCATCATCATCGGGCAGTATAAAAAACCCACCACCACCAAGTTGTTGCTGTTCTTGTTGTTGTCTCACCGGCTGCTTTGCTCCCTTGGCCCTTGCAAGCTCTATGGGCTCCCCAAACATGTTGTTGATGTCTTCCATGCCTTGCTTCAAGTTCACTGTGGGATCAACCAACCCATGGTGGCATAGATTCTCCACTTCCGGTTCGTCCGAAATGGTGGACCCAACAAACCGACGAACCACTGTATCCTCCCTCCAAAGTTTGTTTCTTGGGGACCTCGAGCCACCTTCTTCAGATGCTGAAAGATCCTGCGGACATGTGAATACAAAAAGGGAGTCTTCTTCTTCCTCCTCCTCTTCACAAAATTCAGCCTCTTGGTGCATTTCATCGTCAATCAATATTTGAAGAGGCTCTTTCTTTCCTGCATTGCTCAATGGCTTGGTTCCACTGACCTCCACGTTGGAATCCACATAGACTTCAAACCCACCATTCCAGCTGCTGTTTCCATTTGATCCAGGACGGTTGGATTCCTCAAAAGGCTTCTTCACATTACCAGTCCTTCCATCTTGAATTTGTTTCCCTTCAGCTTTAGTAATGCATACGTTTCATTGTTCACATCAGTCCTCACTGCAGCTGTACAGGTTATTTATCAGCTCTTAAGGCGATCTGCATACGATGAAGGAACTGTTCATACGATTTTGCAACTCGTCAACAGGCTCAGCTAGGCTGGTTTTCCATCCAAAAACTTTCAACAACAATAGCAAATAGTTGAGCAAAAACTTGGTTCATCCACATAATCCATCTTCCCTCAATTCCATAAAGATTCGCCACCAAACTATAAATCAAATGGTAATTTCAATAGAATTATAGAACATAGAAACTCAGCTAGCTTGGCTTTCTCCATTGGACCAGTAGAAGAATAAAATGAACCAAGCACAAAGAAGCCCCTAAAAATCATCGATCTTGAGAAAGCAATAACGGAGGGTGGAGTTGAGTTACCAGCTGCAACCAAACTCGTAGGTAGCGACGAACCTTCTTGTAGCGCTCATCAGACTCAAATGTCTGAGCGCATTTGTGAAAGAAGCGAGGTAGCTTTTCTTTCAGCTGAGTTGGAGGCAGAGATTCCCTCAGTTTCTTTATCCCTCTGCAGATACGGAGAGAAAGAGCATACCGAAGAAATCAGGCACAGAGATATTGGGAAGTGGAGAGAAAGTGGGTGGAAAGAGTACCGGAGCCAGGGGAGAAGAGGATCCTTGCCGGAGTAGAATTTGATTTCGGAGGCGACAGAAGAGAAGATAACATCTGCAGCGGCGCCTGCATTGTTCCGGTCAGTACCTCAGTTGTCTCTGCCGAGACAAATGAAGCGGTGCTGCGGTGGTCGGTGGAGCCGGAGGAGGAAGACATTGATTTTGAATTTGGGCAATTTAGTACCTTTATTTTTGTAAAAGGCACTTTGGTACCTTTATTTTTCTCGAGTCATATTACTGCTTAACATTTTGTTTTTTTTAAACAAAACAAACTACTCAATTCGGTTCGGCTAAACCCAATCCGGCCAGGATTCCAACCTATTCAGGAGAGGAGTGTAGCAGTTGCAAACATCACGGCGAGGGGCAAAAAGGCCACGCCACACCGGCGAAAGTAAAAAGAAGTGCTTCCGCTGTAATTTCCAGTCTCCTCTCCCCTGCGAAAGCCCCTCTCTCTTACTCCACACCCATCGATGGCGAAGCCCGACGAGTTGAAGCCGGACCCGCCGTCTGAAAACCCTAAAACCGAAGCAGACGACACCGACGACGAGAATGGCGACGGCGGATACGAAGAAGAAGTAGAAGACACAGAAGAGGACGAGCTCGACGAGGAAGAAGAGGATGAACCCGAACCCGAACCGCGGGTGCGAACTCCACAATCGGCGGTGCGAATGCAACGGGCAAAGCTGGAGGGCCTCTTCCAGCGGCTGCAGACGCAGAGCGTGCCACTTCGAGTCCACGATGTGCTGATTAAGGGGAACACGAAGACTAAGGATTACCTGATCGAATCGGAGGCGGCGCTGCTGAAGAACTGCACTACTATGCAGGAGATTCTCGAGGTCTCCAGAGCTGTGAATTTCCGGCTGCAAGCGCTCGAGGTATTCGATTCCGTCAAGATCACGCTCGATTCTGGCCCTCCGGAGCTCCCTGGGACGTCTAACGTCATCGTGGAGGTTCAGGAGGCTAAAAGCCCCCTTTCTGGCGAAATTGGAGCTTACACAAAGGCCGAGGTATTGCCTCTTACAAATTGTGCCTCATATTTGTACGTGGTGGTTAAATTGATTGAGGAATTGAAGAAGCGAATTCGATATCATGTGGCATTGCGTCTCTATCCACACATTAGTGTGTAGAGGAATCACAGTTCCATTTTAGACAAATTATCCGAGTTTTGGCTCAGTTTTATCTAATTCAACGAATTTGCAACTAGTAGCCATACTGGAAAGCTAGGATTGAAGACTGTGGGATTCCAGTTTAGGACACCAGTTGTGGAGGGGAGAAGAATGGACGTGGTCTTTACAATTTACTTCTTTTATTATTTACCTGATGCTTGATATCGTTTGCCCTTACTCTGATGATGTCTGCATACCAGTTTCCTAAGGTGGTATTAAGGATAAATGGGAGTGCCTATATTTGCTTTTTATTTGTATTCGTTGAAATGCATTGGAGGACTTAACACACCAGACCACGAGCCTCTCGCCCTTGCTTCTGACCAGTCTTGTGATTTTCTTACTTGGAATTGTGAGTATCTTTGTGGAATTCATCACCTGTAATATGGATGAGGTGGAACAGATGTTGTGCTAAAGCAAGCTTTTTTATCTTGTCGTTAATTCTGATCGTTGAGAGATATCCTGGGTTTTGATTTGAAGTACACCCGAAATGATGAATGAATCCTGCTTCCTAGTTTTGCAAACCTTCTACTGGTACACACACCTAATATTTTGTCAATGCTATCTGGATTTTGTGCTGGTTTTGCAGGCAAGATCCTCGACTGTCGAAGGAACACTAAAGTTCAAAAACATATTTGGTCATGGCGATCTTTGGGATGGCTCTTTTGCATATGGTTGGGACCATATATCGGAGCTAAGTGCTGGTGTGCATTTCCCAAGATTCAGAGGATCTTCATTCCCCTTGGATGTCCGTGCATTCCTGCTATCCCAAGATTGGCTGCAGTTCTCTTCATTCAAAGAGAGGTCAATGGGCCTTTCTGTCGCCTTGCTCTCCTCGAGGAACCATGACTTGGTCTACAATCTTGGTTGGCGTACCTTGACTGATCCATCACAGCTGGCATCCAGGTCAGTAAGGAGGCAGCTTGGGCACAGTTTACTGTCATCTTTGAAATATACTTTCAAGGTTGACAGGAGAAATTCAACTCTGCGCCCAGTTCGGGGATATGCTTTTGCTGCTACCTCCCAAATTGCTGGCCTTTCACCGGATAGTCGGTGCTCACGTTTCTTACGCCAGGTGCATGATTCCCTTTCAACTATGTCCTGTGACTGCCTTATTTATTAATGTGCTTATGGGTATTGTGTGCTGTAACTTGTGAGAATGCACATATCGCTTTCTTACATGTTTTCTGGAGTTTTGTTACTCACACAGTCGCACTACATTCCATGAACTACAGACTGCCGTAATTTATCGGCTGGAGACTGGAGTTTATATTTCTGTGTTTACAAGAGTTGCTGTTTTGGACTTCCTTCTTGGCAGTACAACACTTTCTTTGTGGTTGCATTTCTTTTCTGCGACAGTATAATAGTTGGATTGGTGGTGCATCTTTTATTCTTTTCTTCGAGAAAGTGATCTCTTGTCATTACAACGAGTTGGTGTTCCCCCCTTCATGTAGTTGGTATTTTCCCTGCGAGTTCTTTGTTTTCTGATGGTAAAATGGCCTGCTCAGAAATGTGTTTTTTATTTATTTGCGTATCTAATTTGGGTTATCAGTTATTTCATCCAAATTTCTTTGGCCAGTCTGCTTGGTTCATCAGCTGATGGCTTAGTCTTTGCGGTGATTCATATTCTCGCTTAGCTTTTATGCCTCCAGTTCATCTTTAATAACTCAATATGTACTTCTTCAAACAGGAGGTTGATCTTCGTTATGCCATCCCGCTTGGAATTCTGAATTCTGCTCTCAACTTTGGGATCTCTGGCGGCATTGTTTTCCCATGGGGAGCTGGTTTCAAAAACATGCCCTCACCTCTGCCCGATAGGTTCTTCTTAGGTGGCAATTCATCTCCAATTAGCAGTCTGGGGGGCCCAACAACGGTATGGGGATACAGAACCAGGGGACTCGGCCCTACAGAGTCTCGAAGGCAACTGAAGAGCAATGATGGTGATAATGAGGATGCTGCGGATCCTGGAGTTGATTTTCTTGGAGGAGATCTTGCTGTTACTGCTTTTGCTGATCTTTCTCTCGACTTCCCGCTGAAATGGTTCAGAGATAGAGGAATCCATGGCCACATATTTGCATCCGCTGGAAATCTCGAGAGATTAACGCAAAATGCATACAAAGATTTCTCTCTGCAGAAGTTTGTGTCTTCATTTCGAACCTCTGTTGGTGCTGGGATTGTTGTTCCAATCCAGCCATTCCGCCTTGAGGTCAGTGCCCCGAATTCCATTTCAAGAGGCGTTGGAAAAGTTATTTTAACGAGCAGTGCCGTGAGAAAATCCAGTAATTAGACTCCAATGCGAGTTGCTTCACTAAATATGCATTTGATTTTGGTTGCAGGTGAACTACTATTACATGATGAAGAAATTTGAACAAGACCGTGGGAAACCGAGATTCGGGGTGACCTTCTCTATGTAGCATTTGGGAATCCACTCCAATTTGAGGTATGACATTTTGCTGGATTTGTGTCTGGAATTTGGCAATTAGAACCCCTCACAATCTCCAAAGCTTCATTAGGTTTCATTTCAAATGTAACGTTTGAACACAGACTTGTGGTAAGTCCACAGCTTAGGAGTTTTTTCCCCTTGTTTCGTTCTCCTCACGGCAGAAAGAGATGGACAGAAATAACATAAATTTATTGAGGATCCCGTGTTTGATTTCAAAGAGGATTTCATGTCACAGAAGCATCTGAAATAGATTCTCTATTTTTTATTCAAAAGAAGAACGCTCATTTTGATCTCTATCATCTCTTATTACAATGCGGTGGTCGAGATCTTTTGTTTAGTCGACGGGCAGTATAGCTTGGGTTTTGAATTTCCAGACTTCTTAACTGGAAAAGATTTGCAGCCTTTTACTTGTTCTTTGGTTTCCTAGCTTTGCCTCCTGATTCTCGGGTGCTGGTAGTGGACCATAATCGGATCCAGGGAAAGACCGGTTCTTGCCTGGTTAAACCTGGGCCGACGGTTGGGGGATGTTCACAAGGAGGTGTTGTATTCGGGAGGCTGCATAAGTCGAAATTGGCTGAAGCGGGTAGGAATGTTTTTATGTTGCTGGATTGCCAAACCAGAGATTGCAATCTTTGAGTGCACTTGTGTGCTGGTTCTGTACATTGCATGGAATCAATGGTTGTGGTCCGCGGACTCACGATCCATGTAAAAGCTAGTCCTTTCGAGTCTCCATGTAGAAATGCATTCTTGACAGCGGATCCTCAAAGCTGGAGCGAGCATTTCGCAGTTGAGCGACCCGAGATGAGACTTCGGAGCTGACACCGTGCGCTTGCTTATGCTACAAGCCAATACTACCATTGGGATTCCGGTTCCTTATGCCGTTGCTCGAATCGGCCCAGTCAAGTGACCGAAAACGGAAGGAAGGTTAGAGAAGAGAAACCGCCAATTCTCTCCAATCCGCGCGCCTCGTCAACGGCGGGCTGGGCCTGGGCCTCGCCGTGGACTAATTACTGGGCTGGCCGATGTCTCTTTCGGGGGAAATTGGACCCGATTATATGCATCTGACGGATTCATCTCAACCTTGTACAAAAGTCAACCCCCGCCCCCACCCGGCCATTCATTCATGCAGCCCAGCTAGCCGAACGATTTGGAAACCACAATTAATTAATGAATTTTGATGCTTAATTTCAAAAGTACGTGTGCTTATTTTCATGAATATTTCAACATGTGTTAATTACTTAAATCTCCTAACGTTTTGTGAGTTAGTAATGGATCATTATCAAAGTGGTGGTCAGTAAACACGAAATGAAATAAATTAAAAACCGAAAGTCAATCGGGGTCGGACCGTTTGACGAGTTCATAAGAGTGGAGTCAAATTGGGCAGCATGCAGTGGTTTGATATTATCAAAAGGGAAGGGAGGGAGCCTTTTACGCCGTCAATCAAATGTTGTAACTGCTGGGGCAGATGGAGTATAGTAGTGTAAGTGTAGTAGTGGGATACAGCTCAGCTCTTCCAATCGCTTTGGTCTCGAGAATGAAGGACTCCCTGCCCTTCTGTTATGGGGCAGGAAGAAAGTTCTGTAAGTCATTTGTCCCAACTGCAACGTTAAATTAGGCTTGCTGGGTGGCAGCTCTGCTTATACAGAGAACCGGGTCAGCAATTTGATGTAAGGCCGTCCAGTTTTGTTGGATGTTTGTAAAGAGATACAATACCTAAGATATCTCTCATTTGTCTACCATGTATAAAGTGAATTAGAAGCATTATTTCAAGAGAATACCGTGATTTGATTCAAGCAATGTGGTCCGAGACTTGGCACGATGAATAATTTTTTTAATCATTTTTTGTAATTTGACGAAATATTAAGAGTTAGATGAGGAGGATGTGCTTTCGATTGAGAGTTTAGCAGATTCTATAGTTTAGTTTGAGTACTAGTAGTTCAGTAATTTGGACATAGTTCACTCGTTTAGTCATGACTACAAAAATTTTAAGCAGAACATGATCTACATAACCAGGAGAATGAGTAGCAGTATGCGTTCATATATGTAATTCGATTAGACATAAAAATTATTTAGGCAATAGTTGTTAATAGACATTTATCAAACCATGTGAACTTTAGTATATGATTGTTCATTCTCTTATCTCTCGTATTTGATTGACCTTTATTGACACATATTTCATAACCAAATCAATCACCAACAATCTTATTATATGCAGCCATTTAAGTACGCGATGGTTGACCACTTCATCCCTCAATCATGAAATGTTCGAAATTCACCTTTATTGTATTCCATTAAAAAAAATTGATGGCGTATTCCATCAATATATTCCAAGTATGCATGAATTGTAATAATCACGAATAATAATTAAGCAATAATTATTAACCATACCTAATTGCTAAGCTCTTTAATTACCTATCGCCATCTAAAATTAAGAGTATTGGACAAAAGAATGAAGGTACGTATCCCCATCTTTCCAGAATCCTCTCTGCTGAATAATCAGTATTATTTGTTTAATTCAAATGTTATATAGGAGACAACAATAAATCAACACCTCGATATGTTTTTTTAATGAATGTAGCACTCAATTATAAGTCTTTGCTGTATAGTGTATACAAAATGAGATCTTGTGGGGTTTGAAACTATTAACTTAGGAATTAATAGTACTATATATTACTAACCTACGCAAACTATATTTACAGTTTACCTTCGCCATCATATTGATTATTCAATTAATTAGAACATTACAAGAATGTAGTAGCTAGTCACCTATATTTTACCAACCAAAAATTCTTTGTTGTGGACATTATTTCCTTCACTTAATATGTTAAACAAACTTAATTATGTATCTTTACCTAAAGTTGATAACCTAGCTGGAAAAAAATAAGGGACGAAACTTTATCAAGGATTTCAAATAACTTGATTTATTGGAATGCATCTTTGATTTGTTGTTTCTAAAATTTGAACATTCGACCTTCAAATTTCGAACGGCTACATTGTAAGAAATTTTTCATAGAACCTTAGTGGCCTAATATTATATGATATTGTACTAAAGCCGGTAATTTGAATCAATTCAATCAAATCCATCCAGAAAAAATTCGGCTAATAATTCATTCATTATAAGATTCAACTAATTCAATTCATCTAGATTCAACTGAATTACCGATTCATGGATTGTTACAAAATTACATATTAGTAACTACCGCTTTTATATTTTACAAAATATTCTTCAAAATTACATTTTGGTAGCTAAATTTTTTTAGCATGACATTTTATCACCTAAAATTTTCATGATTGCCCAAACTTTAAAAGCCACTGAGATCTACGAATCCATTTAATAGAATCAAAGAATCCATCAACTCGCCAATACATTTGCCACATTTGGACAATACTAATACCTCTCAAAGGTCACTTCAAAAGAATATATATAGTTCATGAACCAGAAATATCACTATTATTACTATGGGATCATATAGCTAGATATAGCAGCCCAACCTTTATGTTCCAAATTATATATATTGGAGTAAGTACTCCATTGTTACAACTTACAAGCTATGTGGAGACCATTGGCACAACTCATATATATATGGTCTGTGGAACGAGCTTTAGGCATGCATGGAGGAGGTGGCGTGTGTAAATCCTCCAAACTACAAACCCAATTTACACGCTGCACCAGGGAAAATTACGTATCGAATGGGCTTGAAGATATTTAATTTCTGTTAGAAGTAGTTGTTTTGTTCTTAGTTGTATTTTACATTTTACTGTTCCTCTTTGGGATCCATCACTGAGATTCTGTCTTTCTTGTATTAGGAACTGTGGATACGTGTTTTGTGTACTCCATTTGTACTTGATCTAAGTGGGGAAAAAAAAACTCAACAACCTTTTCTACTATATATGCTCTAAAGTATTTGTGGTTCAAAGTACAAATTGAACTTGTACCATGATGTGTATCATAAATTAATTTGTACATTTATGTTATAATACAAGTTTAGTTTTTTACCACAGTATAAATGTACAGACCGAATTTGTACCATATTGTCAAAGTTACAAGATTAGTATGTACCAAGGATTGTAAAACCGTATCAGAAGTTGTACCAGAAAAGCAAGTGGTAGAGTATTTTAGTCTTTAGTACGGAATTTTTTTTTAGTTGAACCACCGATATGATACAGTTTTACAAATACTTATTTGTACCGTAAATATATTTTTTAAACAAAAAAAAAAATAATGAGATGATTTGCAATGGTTGATGTGCATGCATATGATAGTATATATGCATACCACATGAATCTCGTCATCAATGGGATGAATGATGGATGTATGCATGGAGGACCGAAAATAATTTTGGCGAGGAAAACGACAGACATGCCCTTGAATATTAAAACATGTTGTGTGGGCAGATCCGCAATAGTAGCTTACTTCACGTATTCTCATGCACAAAATATATACAAATCAGATTTCGTTGATTTATACACACAGACGACATAGTCACACATACAGCGAAAAATACCCAGTACAATTCATGCAAAATTCTTCTTTTTAAAAATAATATTATACTATACATTTTTTACGGAATCGAAAAGGAACAATATTCTTTTTTAAATATATTTTCCTTAAAAAAAACAACCCTAAAAGACAAAGGTCCTGTTGCTAGTTGACTTTACCCAACAAATTGGGTTGTGTGTGTGTGTATGCTTTGATGTCGAATCTTTTCCGGCCAGGCCAGACCTAAAATTTTCCAAATCGTATTTGTTTATTGGTTTTCACTAATGGGGAAACTCACCAGCTCGATCTCTATTTAAAGGGAGGGGAAAAGATTTAGCTTAATTAGTTTCTTTTTTCCTAATCTTTTTGTGTTCATGTGTTAGACAATATTATTAGTTATTACACCATCTGATCAATATGTTCTATATTAAAATATATCGTTTTTTTCAATCTATATCTATTTAATTTTTATTTATACTGTTAAACCAATCTCAATATTTCCAAGTACTACATGTTATATAAAGAAAGGGATATAGACAACATTTAATTTTTCATCAGTAAATTCTGTTCCGAGAAATTCCGAACAAGTTACACGTTCGAATGTAATCTCCGCAACTTCTGTTTTAACCGATGTTCTTATAAATTTCGAATTTATTATAAGTTGGGTTTCATTCGAACACGTGGCTGTCGCGTAGTTGTTTTCTTCTACGTACCTTAATAGAATCACCAAGAAAAGGTAGCATTTCTTGGACGGCTTTGATTTCTTCCAAGAAGCCCGTGATGAAGATCGGTCGACGTGTGAAGGAACGAACGAATGTGTATAGCTTAGCTAGAAAGACAGGAAGCAAAGGAAAAGTGATGAAGAGGGGAGTTTTTTTTATAATCATCAGTTGGTGGTGGTTAAATGTCACTGAGATAATTAATTATATATATGTAGTTGGGGGAAAGCACGGGGATGAATGGAATTATATGTTGATTATAAGCATCATTATTATTCATTACTGTTAACGTACGTAGCCAGGAAATTGAAATGCTAGCTAACTAGAAAGGTTTCGTGCACACAGAATTTAATAAAATCATGTGTCAATGGAGGAATATTAGGTAGGGGAGAGGTGGGAAATTCATGTGCATGACTCGTCAACAACACAACAATAACCAACTTGGATACTCCATTCATTTAATTATATGATTTTTTCCAATATTTTTCTAGGTATTTCGGCATTCGATCATGCCACGGATTTACTCGAATCACTTCGATTATAGTAAAATTTTGCTATGGTTCTATTATGGAAAATGGAAATCGCAATGCTTGTTACGTAACATGTATTAATTTCACTGTAGCCCACGTAAATGTAAAAAAATGGTTATGTTCAAGTCAAGTAGTGATAACTGGCTAGCACCAAGATACTGATTCACATAAAATATCATTTCAACCCGAAACCCTAGATAACCCAATTCTTGTATTGATACGTACAAGACAATTGTTGTTTTATGCAATTATTCTAATTTTTTATATAACAAAAGCTTTAAACTGTCATTATACACATATATAAGTCTGTGGTAAGGGTTAAGGCCAAACGCCATAAAGTGTAAAGTTATTACGAAAATTATCCATTCCGCATGTGACTGATTAAACTATTACATTACTATATTTGTGTTTTGGGTCTCACATAACACAATTGTAGAATCAGCAATATAGGTTTATCTGTTATGGGTGGACCAAACTGAAACGACCCTTTTGACCAGTGTGTTTGTATGTGGTTCAGGATACAAGTAAATTGGTGGCCAGGCAGGCTAGCTAGCTAATGAAGCAAATGTTAATCATTACCTAATTACTTTCTTGATCGTGTTCGTTTTTCCAAGGTGTTAATTGTGGACCACGACATGACGTTATATATGAGGAAGTGCATGCAGTAGGAACAGTAGGAAGGAAAGAAGAAATGGAAAAACGGCATGAAGTCAAGGCTAATGGCAACCGTTTTCATGGTCCGTTGACTTTCGGTTCACCCCGAAACAAATCCATTCTTTTTTATGTACATGCATATATATAGTATCATGGAACCAGTTGATCCCAATAATTCGAGTTGTTGGAAGAAGGTTTTGCTGGATCTTATACAGGTGCACATGTATGGTATTTAACCACTTCCTTACAGTGCACATTCACTCGACTTCGCGAGCTAGCTAGGCACATATGTTCAGTTTTAAATTTTTCAAAGTATGTGGCCCAATTTGTTTTCCTTATGGTATTGCATGTTCACCCCCCGGTCACAAATGGGCCGAATGCCGACAACTCGAGAATTTCCTTGACGACAACATCACTGAATTGTGATGCTCATCAAAGAAATTATTCACATATATAAAGAAAATACATTGCACGTATTAATTATTTCGATAGTCCTATCTCTTCTTCCTATCATCATGAAATTAATCCTACAAAACTTTAATAAATTCATTTCACATTCATTGGAAATTGAACGTTTAAGGCGCATACATAATATAATCAAACCATTATCATGTCATCAATTCTGTAATGGCCGGATTGCACTATTATTATTCATTCAAACAAACAAACAAACAATGGCGATCGAATCGTGGCCCTAATTATACTAAGTCCTAGCTAGGCCAAAGTAGCGCATGTTGGTCTGACACTGTTGTCTCTCTCGCTCGAGAGAGAGGCTCCCTTCTTTCCTGTCCTAACGTGATGCCAAGTTGATCGATCGATCGATCATCACAACAACTCTCAAATCTATGGGGATAAGGAATTGGTGAGAGAATTGAGGGCCGGGGACAAAGAAATTAGCTAGAGAAAGAAAACCCATTTGGCCTTTTCCTCTCCCACCCACAAAATCTAAAAATTATCAAATGCTTAGAAACAAACAAGAACATGCTTTGCTATGTTAGACCAGGCTACAGTGAACAAGGTCACGCTGAGAGCATATGAACAGTGAGTCAAAACTACTACTTGAGATTAAATCAAATCAATGGTGGTGGTGGTGATGAATGATGATGATCAAATTCTTCCCACATTCTGCTGATTAGATGCATGGCCCGCCAGCCCATACCAAGGCCCACCAATTAATGACAGTAGTTAGCATATGATAATCTTGATCCATTTGATTAATTTGGATGATCAGTATTCAGTAGTGACTAATTAATGGCCAACCACCAAGCTAATCCATTCAAGAATATTGAATGTGATTTTAGTCTAAATAAAGTTGTAGTCTTAGTGATTGGATCAAGGTATTAGATCGACCTGAGAAATGTTGATTTAATACCTGGAGATGGTTTCCTTCTCGAACTTCATTTATTTCATCAAGTAGTTTCATTAAAGATTAATTAATCATTCTACCCAAAAGAAAACAATTAATCAATTTTACTTATGTATTCCTTTTCCTTTTTTTTTTTTTTTTGCTTCGAAATGAAGTTACAATCTAGTTGTATTTATTTTTCCTAATATATATAATTTGATGCGGAGGAATCTATTGGGATCTCTAATTTCAGTAGCACAGCAAAAATATTCAGTCTACTAACTCTAAGGTTATATTATTGCAACTGGTGTATCTAATTAATAAGTTCTATATGTTATTGATGGCCATAAGATCGGAAAATCAAGGGCTGGGATAAGTAATAATAATAATAATATTTTTTTTTTTTACCTGTGTGGAAATGGCAAAGAAAGGAGTGCCGTTATGAGATAGGGACAAAAGGCAAATCCGTGATTCTCGTTGGCATTATATATCTCATTTGTTCTGTAGAGAATTTCTTAATTGCAAAGAAGGGAAGTTGTCATTTTCTGCTATTTACAGATTAAAGATTATATATTGAGTGAGTGACAGGCCAGCAACTTCATTTCTCCATTGACCCCCAATTCCAAGCTCTCATCATCCTTCCATCATCTATTCTTCCACATCAATAAAAAAAATTCTATAATTTTTTGTGATTTTTTTTAGCATAGCCACAAGATGATTAATGCATGCTAACCATACCCATTGTTTGAAAATCGATCTCAGTTAACCAGATTTACAGTTTTAATTGCAAGTCTAATTAAGGTTCATCTCTGCAAATTAAACGACCTGGGTTGTTAATTACTTTAAATTCCCATGGACAAGTTGTGATCTTTACTCTCATTTGCACCATCAACAAATAAACAACGACTAAGGGGATATCCTACATAGGATCCGTGGTACCAAGTTGATTAAGAGTGGACAACTAACCAATGAAACTTGACATAACTCTTAAGTGCAACCGCGATCCTACCTATCTTATACAAAGACAAATTTAATTGTCTCGATAATAAAAGAAGATGGTAAAAGCACGATTCTTCAGAAACAATATAATAATGACATGAGTCGCGCCCTAGTAAACAACATATACAATGCACACATTTATTTTGTGTTACATGACCCTTGAGCAGTCTATAGGCATGAAGAGCCTTGACCTATAGAAAATGTCCAAAAGTTTAACTCATTTATATCACCATGAATGTCTTTAGAAACTACCACCCTTGCTCCCTTATTCCTCAATGCTACCAATTTAAATGCTTGCTAGCCAGCTAAAATTCAAATACAAGATTTTCACCTAACAAAGACCATATAATTATGAAAATGATTCTACTAGGTAGTCTAGAGATGATTTCATAAGATTTTTTTAGTAGGACTATGAAGTTTGATTGCATCAACATTGTCTTCTTTATATATTTAAGGGGGAATGGTCACTACCAAGTGAAGGATGAATTTGAGTACCGTAATAACCTAGATGCTTGATAGCCTAAGGGGTCGTTTGTATGCTATATTTGTAGGAGTTATTTGGTATCAAATGTCTCATTGCAACGAAAAATAAAACAAGTCATTCGCAAATGATTGATAATACTTTTCAATTATTTTCCATTCATGATTTTCAATTATTTCTAATAAAATAGTCGTTATAATTTTAGAGATCAGTTTCAAATAAATGTTACGTTTGATTGAAAAATGATATAATTAGAAACCGTTACAATTTTATAAAAAAAATTAACAAAAAATTATCATTAAAAATAAAAATTAGTATTATTATACATGGCTAATACCCAAATAATATGTTACTTGTTGGTTGCAAAATGTTTCATGGTTGGCTTTACTGCGATAGCAAACAAGAAAATGAAATTAATTACATGTAAGAAAAAAGTGATAATATTATACAAATGTTTTTTTTTAACTAACAACACATTTGAAAATGTTTGTATTGTCAAATATCTACACTTATCAAATGTTTATGGTTGGCCAAATAACTCATTTTGTAAATATACGTAGCAAACAACTCCTAAATGAAGTGTGGTACATGGATGCAGCAAAACCTCATATACATGGCTAGCTATGGCTTTTTTTTCTTCTTCTTCTTTAGGGCAAACCCTCATATGCTGACTCAAGAACTTGATCACGAGAAGAGTTAAATTCTCAACCTATTTTCAACTACATTCATTAATTAAAACGGCCTCATATATCTAAATGTAATTCTTAATTTAATAATAATCGACTGATGCACCATACATACATACACATGCATGGATGCACATGACTAATTGCTGCACCATGCATCGATCTCATTATATGCATATTAATTAATAATATAGTAACAATATAAAATATAAATCGATGAGAGAGAGAAGGTGTAGAAATGTCAAGGATTGGCTAGGGTTTTGTTTTTTTCAATTCCTTGTGTGTTCATATCTTCCTTTCCTTCCACCACTTGTTGCATCATCTACTAACTACTGTTGCTGCTGCTGCTGCTCCCACTTTTACTACCCTTTTTATCCTCTTTCCTCTTTTGTCTTCCAGAATATTAGAAATCTTCCTCCTCCTTCTCCCTCTCTCTCTTTCTCATCTCATTCCTCCCTCCTTCTCTTCCATTTCCTCAGCTTTCAGGTCAAAAACACCCAAAATTCTTCTCCACATCCAGAGAGAGAGAAAGAAAGAAAGAGAAAATGGGGAAACCCAAACAGTTCATCATTCCAAATTCCACAACATGACCCGATCCTCCACCTAGCTTGCTTGCCTATAGCTACCCTTCTCCTTTTTTTCCCTTACCTCCATCCTCCTTCGCCATGGGAAGTGACCATCTCTATCACCATCACAACCGCCATGAGCAAGAAGTGGTGGTGGTGGAGGAAGAAGGTGATTCTTCAAAGTCAAGCTACTACTCCAACAAGATCTTCCTCAGCGATGATGATGATGAAGAAGAAGAAGAGGAAGAAGGTGAAGGAGATGATGATATTGGTGGTGGTGACGTCGCCAGTAACAGTACTAGCAGCTCCGTTGAAGAGATTGGCGGCGGCGGAGGCGGCGACAACAAGGGTGGTGGCGGTGGTGGATCTGTGAGGAAGTATAACCGGTCGAAGATGCCACGGCTCCGGTGGACGCCCGATCTTCATCTCTGCTTCCTGAATGCTGTGGAAAGGCTTGGTGGCCAAGACAGTGAGATCTTCATCTCTCTCTCTCTTTGCCTTCAGTACTGTATTTCTCCAAATTGAATTCTTCACAAGTTCGAACTTTAGAACCAACAACCAACAAACCAACGAAAAAAGAAAATTAACAATTCCCCTTCTTCGCAGTCTAATCTTTGTAAATTTTCTTCGTGACAGGGGCAACGCCGAAATTGGTCCTTCAATTCATGAACATCAAAGGACTCAGTATAGCTCATGTCAAAAGCCATCTTCAGGTACAAATTCATTACTTTGACAAAATATACACTACATACGCCCATTTTTCTCCCCCACCTCTCTTCTGAATTTCTTTTCCACTGTTCTCAAAAGTCTATTTGGATTAATTGATTGGGTGGGATCCTAATTTCAACTGGGTTTTGAATTAATTTCTTTTTTTGAATTATTTTCTTTCTGTTTTGTGATTGGTTTTTCAGATGTTCAGAAGCAAGAAGCTTGACGATCCAAATCAAGGTATGATATAAATGAAGACTTTGATCTCATCATCTATAACCTGGGGTGGAGAAAAAAAAAAAAGGAAATTAGGGTTTCCCTTAAATTTCCTGGTTTCTGACTTTTGGTGGGTTTTCATTTGAATGGAATTTCAGGGCACCATCAAGGCCTTTTATTCCAAGGAAGGGATCATCAACACCATGTCTACAACCTAAGCCAGCTTCCTATGATTCAAAGCTTCAACCAAAGGCCTCCCTCAACTGGTTTCAGGTGCACAAAACTCCTTATCCTTAGCCCCCCAATAAATATCAACTAATATTGGAGCTTGAAGTTCACGTATTATGGATCTGTTTTTCGTACGTATGTATGTAGAAATGGAGATGGCGGAGCTTGGAGAGGGCACCAGATGTACGGCACAAGCTACAACTCCTCCTCATTCCTCAACAGAGCCAAACATGGTGGCGGCCTTTATGGAAACTACAGCAACAGCCACCAGTACCCTTTTCGAAGCAACAATTTCCCTTATAGTCCTTCTCTCAAAGGGATACTACCCTCCCAAATTGCTACTGATCCCATCAAAGCTCAAACCAACCACCAAGCTCTCGAGGCAGCAGCCAGCAAGCTCTTGTTCAATAGATCCAGCACCACCACGTGGCCGGCGCAGATCACCAAACCGATAACCAACACCATCGACTCCACCAAAACCTTCCATGAAACTAGAACTAGCAACAACAACAACGTTTATGGCGGTCTCAAAAGGAAGCCCACGTGGGATCCATCTCATGATCATGGTTCCAACAAGAAGAAATCGCTGGACTTGGATCTGTCCCTCAAAGTGAAGAATATGGTTGAGGAACATGATGGTGATGATGATGGTGACGAGGTTGTTGTTGTTGTTACTCCAAGAAGCTGCGTCGACGTGGTTAAGGAAGGTAAGAACGGCTATTATGGTGATACTACTAATGATGTTGTGGATGAGAGTAGCTTGTCCCTTTCTCTATCTTCATCCTCGTCCTCGAAGCCAGCCATCGGGTCGAAGGAAAGGGATATGTTATTGGGTTACATGAACAACTTTCGCGGCGGTGGAGGTTTTATTAGGAGTCGTGAGGATTGTAACACGAGTAGTTACGATGGTTGTGTTAATAAGCGTGCCCGGATGATGGCAAGTACTCTAGATCTGACTTTGTGAATGAGGTTAGACTATTCTGAGTGAGATCTTGAGGTACTTGCTTTTCTTCCCCGGGAGCTAGCATTGCGTTTGTTATTGTTTTTTTGTGTCATCTTGTACCAAGACTACCCAAAAGGAAAGAAATGAAGTTAAGAAGGTATTTACATAAGTTATATACATCTCCCTATAAGTTAATATCTGAGCTTTTGTTGGTTTTGTTGTTTGATTTGGTTGACCATAACATATGGGTACAAAGAGTGAGTCCGTTGGGATGGATTTTGAAGTTATTAAGTTTTTGGGTTGTGGGCTTATTTGTCATTTCAGTCTGTCTGTCTGTCTCTCTGTGGAAAGAGGAGAATCCATGGAGATAGATGCATGACAGAGCTAGCCAGCATTGAAGTGCTCAAAGGATCATGTGTCTGCTAAAAGACAGTAGTCTTCTTCTTTCTTTTCTTTTTTGCATGGTGTTTTTATACATAGATGTGCATATAAGTTAGTGGAAAAGACAGCATTTTTGTGTAGTCTTGTATGGTGCTAGAGATCTTGGATTAAAAAGTAGGTTTTTGTGTTCATCTAGGGAACATTTCGGGAAGTGACTGTTTGTGGATACATACAAGTTTTGGCCCCGATAGAAGACATAAACCTAGGTTGTTTTTATGTTGAGGGGAACATAAACCTCTGGCTAGGGTTTTTTTTTTTTAATATGAGGGGAAATGAAGAAGTTTTCTGCACATAGGTATCCTCAACAAGGACAAATGCTCCTTTTTGGGTCAAAACAATTGCACTTGGAATCACACAAATCCATCCATCGTTTTTTGGAACTAGCTAGCTAGTGATTTCATTAGTAGTCTATAATATGGCCAAGAACATGCATGCATATCTATGTGTTCAAAATTTCAACCCCATCTTGGTGGTTGACTATCTCAATTTGTACAACGTTTGAGAAATGTGAAGGGTATGTGAACAGTTTAGAATAAGTTATTGTGCATTTTCTGACTTATCGTTTGTATTGAAGTTTTTATTAATATGTTTATCTTAATAAGTCGTTAGATTGTCATTCAAAGGAGTCTGGGTGAGTGTTTTACTCATATTGTCATAAGTGTTCAATGAATCACATGTAGTTAGGTTTTCCCCCCAACTAGCTAGGTTTACTTTGAGCAACAATATTAAAGAGCCAGCTGCTGGTAGGCATTCCTTCAACCACAAAAGAGAAGGTGATATTGATGTGCATGCACGTGTGCTCTCCTCCAACTTATTGTGAAACCATGGCTGTCTTTCTTTTCTTCTGCCTACTTTCTCATGAGCAATGTGATTGCGTTCTTCATTGTACACACAACCATATATGAATGGAAGTTGAGCTCTTTAATATGTGGCAATTGTCTTTCGGTTGAGTATTCTGATTTTCTTTTTGTCTTGGTAATGACGAGTGAATGTTGGATTGAAGGTTTTTACCTACTTGATTTTTGTATACTCATTCATTAATACAGACAATTCAATAACCCTAATTTTTCTATGAGTGATAGTATGTAATATAAATAAGTCATTGTATACAAAAGACGATGATTACAAGTGTAAAAGGAATACGGAAGAAATGTTATTTGGTATCTAGCGTCTTCATCATACATGTCGGAGTATCGTTTTAACCTAAAAAGTTATTCATTTACAACGAATCAAGTGGATTTCAAAGACTAGCCCAACCATAGTATAAAAATTGGTATGAGTTAGGCTTTGTGATTTGAGCTTTTGGCTCGTAAGGAGGCGACATGAGGCCAACCATGAAAATAACATGCTAAACACCGTCAGAGGCAGATCATAAATTCAAACTGCATATATATATGAACTGTGTTTGATAACCATCTCTATTTGAAGTCACAGCCAAATCACTGAAAATACAAAGAGTAAAACTTTTCCAAAACTAATCGGATGAAGCTATATATCGATCTCAATCTCATCCACGGCCAACAAAGGGGCAAATTAATCAAAGTTGCTAATAAACCCTAAAGAAATTATGGGTATTACTGGTCCTAGCTAGGAGAGCTACAAAAGTCTCAATTGCTCTACTTCTTCCACTCCACCCCCCTTGAAAGAATTTATGAGAGGGATTGCTAGCTAGCTAGCTAAGACATAACCGCAGCAGTCACAAACCCCTTTGGAAACTTCATATATCTCGCCGTTGTTTCCATGGCTTCTTGAAAGCAGCTGTCAATTTGCTCTGTAATTCAACAGATGAATTTAATAAGGTTCATGCACCCACCCACCCGCCATCGATCTATTTCTACATATCGCAAATTTTCAACGATGCTACCGCCCGACAGCTTAATTCTCAGAATTAGAGTTACCTTGTTAGAATTGCCGTTTGAAGAATAGCTACAGGCTCGAAAACGACCACCTTGCCAAAATGACACACATCTCATTTATATTCAACAAGTCAAGCATCAGCCCTACCCAATCCAAGAATTTCCATTGACAAGTAAAGATATATATATATATAGACAAATTAAGAAAAATATCCATCCATATATGCCTTTTTAATTATAAGATTAGCCCTAACCTAATGCTTTTATTATAATTTTATTATTCATAATAAATTTAACAAATCCTCCGGCTAGCAACTTCTCATAATAATAATTCCCATTAATTAGTATGTGGAAGTCGTTTTCCACGCAACAAGAAGATTCCAATTCCAAAGGCCAATACGTACCGTCCAAACCCTAGAAATGACTCTTAACTTAATTGCATTATTATTATTATTCTTGTGCTAGCTGAAAATGAAGTGTTGGAAAATTATGCAAAAGTCTGTTGGGCCTTTAGGTTGTACCACATAAAGAAATTTGTACCATTATGTTATGGTATAACTTTACAACTTGAAGTTGTACCATCACATAAAGGTACAAGTTCAAATTGTACCATAAAAGAATTTGCACAAAAACTATAGGTACAATTTAAAATTGTACCATAACATTAAATGTACAATTTCAAGTTGTACTATAAAGACAAAAACCTATAGCACCAATGTTATATATCATTGTTAAATTCCTCATAGATTGACCACTCGGACATGGGCCTTCAATTGATTTAACCTTCCAATCAGGAGTGTGCAACAATTTTGGTTGTGATTGGATCGGACCTTATCAGAATAATTTTGGTTTAGAAAATTTAAAATATGAGGACCAAAAGCATACCGATAGGATAATTAGTCCGGTATAAATATTTGAAAAATATTAATGTAACCGAGCATATTGATTAACTAATACTACTTAATCAGGATGATAAGTTGATTAGAAAGAAACTCTATTGTTTTAACTAAAATATAGAATCCAAGACATTTGAATTACATATGCTCGATACCACTTGACAAGAAAAATTGGTTCGATACCATTTGAACCATATTAAAACAGAAGTGATAGTCAAGAGCCAATGAGATTTCATAGTATGATGAGTGTTATAACTTGATGAAATCCCATAGTAGTAATGACAATAAGTATATGTCATTTTATGAACTACACATTAGATATTTGGTCATAGAAAATTCTGATGTTTAACAAACCACATACGATCATTATTAAGATTTTTCCAACAATCATAGAAACAAGAAGACATATAATTAAGGCACCAAAAATCACCAATTGAAGAGGAATTGTTTTAACATGGGAAGTTTTTTTTTATATATAGAAAACATGGAAAGGTCTTCATAATTGAAAGTTGAAACTAATCACCAACAAAGAATAAAGAACAACACTTCACGAAAATGACTTTGTTCTCTTGTATATGTTTGGTTGAATCTCATTTGAATCTTCGATTATCAGTCAACACTTTCTGGCCACGGTTGATGAAATTGGGGGAGAAATTAAGAAAACACAAGCTTAAGGGATTATAGTTAAAAGACTTTGTTAAGGACCGTTTTCTTGATAAAGTCCAATAACACAAAACAACACAATCAACCTTGTCGATTATCATATTAGGCGACGGGGGAGTTCAAATCCCTAATAAACAAATATGCTTCAAGGGAGAGTGTATGCGTAGCCGCCAATCCTTTCTTTTTCAATATTGTCTCTTCTTGCTGTGTGAATGCTTTGAAAAAATACCTAGCTAGTCCCAAAATTTATATTATGTTGTTAGTGTCATGCATATGCAAAGGCAAAACACTTTTGGGTATGGTGATACTCCTAGGTCACAATCCAAAACATACGTGTTTTTTGTGTATGGATCTTATCTTATGTTTGACATAGCAATTAACAACATGTTAGTGCATCTTCTACTGAGTACGCAACATATAATCGCCGCTTTTTTAGTCTTGAACGATGACTATTTTGTATGATTAGATAGGGTTAGGGAAGAATGTCTTTTGGAGAGGACTTCTGGTAGGATGATATAGAACCTGTTCATTGGTAAGTCCATTCATTGCCTCAACAGCCTGCAGGGCTTTAGTAGGATAGGCTAATCAGGCCGGCTCTGATTTGGAAATTTGGGCTGAAACCTTGCTGGACCCGAGACTGCACGGGGGAAGCCCAACTTCTGAACCCGGTTTCAGTAGTTGCTTATTCGGACTGAAGCCTCGCCATATCTAAATGAGGCTTCCATAGGGGAGTGCCTATGTGATAAAAGGCCGGTGGGTCCGATGAACCAAAGGCAGGCCCATACATACTTCCTACATGGATGTGGGAATGGGCCAAAATTAGAATTAGAATACAGAAACAGAAGTAACACTTCAGTCTGATGGACTAGTTGTTAATATCCTTTCTAAGGTGGACGCGTGTCACAGCTGTCCAATAGAAAGCGGTCGTATGATTTCCTATTTCCCCAAAGAAAGCCGCTTGCTTTGCTTTATTCCCCTCAGCGGCTCAGCCTCGGTATATCCTCCAAGCATCTCTCGGCTTTATCCCTCTCCCAACTTCCCTACTTCCCACCACTTCTACACCCTCCTTCCATCTGCTTCATCCGCCATTGCTGTTCGTTTCTTCCAAATTCCCTTTCTCCTCCTGTTATTTCCCCCCCTCAACAGCTGTCTTCCTTGCTCCTTTGTTTTCCTCGCCCACCGTCGGCCGTCGCAGCCATGGCGACGGGCTCCGGCGCCGGCAACGCAATTCGCAACGGCGCCCTTCTCCCCTTTCCCAACTCCAGACTTCTTGCCATTCCGCCTTCATCTGCAACCTCTCTTCTCCTCCGGAGGCCAGCTCCTCAGCCGTTCTCGTACGTTTCCTTCTCTTCTTCTACTTCTTCTTCAGCAGAGCAGCATCCCCCGCCATCGCATCGCGTCTTCCGGCACTCCCGCGTCTCCACCGCGACTGTGGAGTGCGATCCTTCAGCTCCCGACGACTTCAATTTCCAGCAGGAGATATCTCGACTCAAGGCCCTGCGGGCGAGGCTCGGCGATTGCGGCGGCAATCTCAGGGGGAAGCTTCTCGTCCTGCAGAGCGATTCCCGGGTGAAGCAGTTCTTCGGCTTCAAATTGGGGAGGTCTAGGGTTTTGGAACTGCTCGATTTGGACTCCGAGGACTTGTTCTTGCTTAAGAGTTTAGTCGCTGCTGGTCAGGAACATGTGCTTGGTTTGGAGGCGGTGGATGGTAATGCCGAGGCTGGGAGTGGGAGGAATTCTCTGAAGACTGCTCTGTATACTCTGGCGGAGATGATCGAGAGGTTTGACTTTGGAGGTCCGAATGGTAAGCGCTCGTTGGAGAATAACGGCCACGGCGTGCACGTAAGAGATGAGGAAGTTAGGGACCTGAAACGGCTGTTGAAGAACTTGAGGGAGGTTGAGAAGTTCTATGATTGCATTGGAGGGATCATCGGGTGAGTTTCGAATTCTCTTTTCAATTGCTAGGTTCACAATTGAGAATCATATAATAGGAAAAACTGAAGAACTGCCATTATCTTTGGGGGGATTTACAGATACGAGATAATGGTGCTGGAGCAACTTGCCCATTCAACTTGTGAAAAGCAGACTACGAATTGGTCCCAACAACTAGAGGACGCCATGAATTGCCAGTGTTTGGAAATTCATACCCCTAATGGACTTGACCTTTCAAAAGATACAGAGTATGCATCTCAAGCTGCACTATGGGGAATTGAGGTTAGCATCTCAAGTTTTTTTGCTTTGCTTTAACACATGGGGGGAGAAGATGGATTTGGGATACCACATTTTGTTTGGTATAATAAGATTTTATCCTATTAGGGTTTGCCAGACCTAGGAGAAATTTACCCCTTGGGTGGCTCAGCGGATCGTCTAGGTTTGGTAGATGCTGACACGGGCGAATGTCTTCCTGCTGCCATGCTTCCTTATTGTGGAAGGACATTATTGGAAGGCCTGATTAGAGATGTTCAGGTATGAAAACTTTGTTATCAAGCTGCAAAGGAATTACTTGTGACTTTGTTTGTTGCTACTTTCCTGGAAGCTTGTTATATTGAACTGGTGTTGTAACCTGCATGTAGGCTAGAGAATTCTTGTACTTCAAGATCTATGGAAAGCAGAGCATCACACCTGTCGCTATTATGACAAGTTCAGCCAAGAATAACCATGAGCGTATCACTTCTCTCTGTGAAAGACTTAAGTGGTTTGGAAGAGGTCGTTCCAATTTCCAACTGTTTGAACAGGTTTCATAAACAGCTTACATATGCCCTGTTTCTTGCCTTGGTCATTCTGTTGATTTTTATTAATTGTTGAAATATGACTTGTGAAACACCAGCCTCTTGTTCCTGCTGTTAGTGCTGAAGATGGGAAGTGGCTGGTTGCTAAACCATTTTCACCTGTATCCAAACCTGGTGGCCATGGTGCGATTTGGAAACTTGCTTACGATAATGGCATCTTCCAATGGTTTTACAATCATGGAAGAAAAGGCGCCACTGTTCGGCAAGTCAGGTTAGATTTATTTTGTCATCTTGAAGTATTTGGCCTTCATCACAAGAACAAGGTTTGACATTTTGTTTGAACTGCAAATTTTGCAGTAACGTTGTGGCTGCCACAGACTTGACGCTTTTAGCACTGGCTGGGATGGGCCTACGACATGGGAAAGTATGTTCAGTGGTTGACATCTTATGTTTATGATTCTTTATTTTGCATTGCTGTTGTGGAGGTCCGACAGTTGTAATAAGCTATATATACCTATAATCTTCTTAGCTCATGTTCCTTGCAACTTTTGACTGGAATACCACAGAAACTGGGATTCGCATCTTGCAAGCAAAGCTCGGGAGCTACAGAAGGAATTAACGTCATTGTTGAGAGAATGGATCTTGATGGGAAATGGGCTTATGGTTTGTCCTGCATTGAGTACACCGAGTTTGATAAGTATGGGATATCAAACACGCCCTTTTCTTCAAACAGGTAAACATTCATTTGCTATGATGCAATAGTAATTTTCAGCGTTACTTCCTTTTGCTATATGATCAGAAATATTCCAGAGTTGCTTTCTCATTTCATATAATCAGAATGGTGTAGCATCACTTTCGCTTTCTTTTCATTTTTTATAAACAGTATGTGCTAAGTTTACTGCTTTCTCGTGTTTTTCAGATTGCAGAGTTTCCCCGCGAACACAAATATTCTTTATGTGGATTTACCATCCGTGGAGTCGGTAGCATCAAGCAATGATGAAAGATGCTTACCTGGCATGGTACTTAATACAAGGAAACAAATTGTGTATGAGGACCAGTGGGGAAATCGTCACAGGTAAATGCTGCCCCTGTCTTTGAGTCACCTTCCTTTTCTTTTTGACCTTCGGCTTCTCAATCTCAGGTAGCTACTGAGTCTTTTCTGCTGCGTCTGATTGACGAATGGAATTAATTTTCATTTATTAATTGCAGCGTCCCTGGTGGTCGCCTAGAATGCACGATGCAGAATATTGCGGACAATTTTTTGAATACGTACTTATCTAGATGTTACGAGGTTGCGGAAGGTAAAAGTTCTGCTCAATTCGGCATCCATCCTTCCAGTATACTCATCTCTATACTGGAATATTAATTAACTGGGAGCATATATCTGCAGATGAGCTGGATACATTCATTGTCTACAATGAGCGTAGAAGGGTTACATCTTCTGCTAAGAAGAATCGAAAGCATGCAGAGACTTCTTTGCGCCAGGTTACAGTCTTATTGCGTTCAGGGACTCTGCTTCTTCCATTTGTATAAATAGATTCAGGATCTGGTTTTATGTCCTTGGCTGAATTATGTTACCTGACTGTGAATATCATTCGTTTTAAACTTCAAGCCTCCAATAGTATCTCTAATATTTTCTTAATGGAGTGCTGAACAAAGCGAAAGATTGAATTTGTGGTTGAAGTTGTAATCTTGTGTGTTCACCATTATAAAAAAAAGTTGTAATCTTGTATGAATCCCTCTGTTTTTTCAGTTTGAGTGTTTTGATTCTTGTGCAGACTCCGGATGGTGCGTTGCTGGATACCTTAAGGAATGCCTATGATATCCTCTCGGAGTGTGATATTGAACTTCCACAGGTACTGCTAGTATTTGAGTCTGTCTCGCCTTAAATAATATAAGATTTTATATTGTTTTTTACAAACTCTTGAGTCTTGCCCAGGGTTTTGAAAGTCAAATTTATGTGGCTTCCCTTCATCCTTTTTTTTTTTTTTTTGGGGGGGTAGGTTGAAGATGATGACAAATATGTGAATTCTATTCCACCATTTCTGATTCTGCTGCATCCAGCTCTTGGTCCACTTTGGGAGGTCATGCGACAAAAGGCAGGGTTATAACACATGCTGGTTTTGTAGTTTACTGCCATTAGGCATTGCCTGGTTACTATGAATCAAATTCTTAATTTGTCTTTTGCTCTCTCCCAGTTTAAAAAAGGGTCGATATCGAAGGGCTCTGAGTTGCAAATTGAGGTTGCAGAGTTTTTATGGAGGAATGTTCAGGTTTGAATCGATCTCCAATTCATTCGAAATTCGGGGCATGAATTATTATACTATTTTATCCTTACTCGTTCAGTCTTATCCAGATTGATGGAAGCTTAATAGTTATTGCTGAAAATGTTATGGGATCAACCAGAATGGATGAAGATGGTGAATCGATACTACATTATGGTCACAGGTGAATGATTACTTTGACACCTTACTTTCAAGGTTTATGGATAGCTTCCAAATATTGCATTTTCAAGTATCTTAGCCAGTCTGTTTGTCTAGGTGCGGAAGATGTAGGCTGGAAAACGTACACATTGTTAACAAAGGGATTGATTGGAGTTGTGGAGACAATGTCTACTGGAAACATAGTGTACAACGGATTGAGGAGTTTAAGGTTGTACTTCATGGAAACTCCGAATTTGAGGCCTGCAATGTGACCATACAGGTTAAGTTCGCTTATTCTCGTAGTCAAGCAAAATTATTACTTGCAGTGGGCAATGGTTTTAGGGACGACCCTTGTTTGGTGAAGTCTGATATTTAGCCCTTTCACTTCTCACTCTTCTGCAACTTTGCCCTTACTGTTTCAGGGAAATCATGTTTTTGAAGTTCCAGACGGCCACAAGATGAAGGTAACCTCTGCCGGAGCTTCAGGTTTAGAAGTGAAGCTCGACCCTATAGAACCTAACAAGATTGACAGTGGAAGCTGGTTCTGGAACTACAAGGTGCAAGGCACACATATCTTGCTGGACTTGGTCGAGACGAAATAGACCGATTTACTCGTAAACCCCATCCTGTGTGAATCACAGTTCACTCAAAGGGACTCAGAAGAAGGATCTTGTCAGCCCTTGCTGCATTAATCAATTTGGTTGTAACCTAAGTTAAACCATTTGCACACACCAGATCCTCATTGTAAAAAAGAACTTAATTCTACTTAGAAGAGCCTTGTATTTAACCTTCTACAGCTCACAATGTATGAAGCTGTTTGATGTATTTGTCCATCCAATTCCTGTATCTTTGTAACAACAGAAAAGAACCAAAAAAGAAAGTTGGTAACATGTATAAGATTACAGCAAATTCACAGTTTCTCCATCTAAGAATCAAGTCAATTCCCCATGTTTACAAAATGCTGCGAATGAGAGCAGCATCGATTCAACAACCTGAGCAAAGCATCAGCCTTCCGCCGCGCCTTCAACGATCCATCACTCGACAAGCTCTGCAGACAAGGAATGCTTCTAGGGTTCATCAGCAGCCTTCTGGCCACTTCTTCACCACCATCTTTACACAATCCCAGCAGCAGGGTAATGGCATTCTCCTTTCCTTTCGCCGATCCGAATCGCAACAGATCAACAAGCAACGGCACCAGAATCCTGTTCTTCCTCATCTGTTCCAACCCCTCACCGCAACCCAGAAGCAATGCCAGAACCGCCAGCGCATCATCCGTAATCCCGGCCTTATCATCCATCAACGCCTCGATCAACAACGGCACGGCGCCGCCGCCGACAACCCCTGCCTTGTTGGCATTGTACACCGCCAAATTAAACAGCGCACTCGCCGCGTCGCGTTTCCCCGCCGTGGTTCCTTCCTTCAGCAACCCTAGCAGCGCCGGAATCGCCCTCGGCCTGCCGCCGATGCTCACCTTGTAGCCGTCAATCATCGACAGGCTGAATATCGCCGCCGCGGCATTCTCCCTGGCTTCCATCGTTTTCCCCGTTTCCAGCACCGTTATGATGCTGTCCACGGCACCGCCCGACGCCGTTATCAGGACCTTGTTATTGTCGTAGATCGACAAATTGAGCAGCGCCGTGACGGCGTTCTCCTGGATTCGCGCGTCGCTGGATCTCAGTAACGACGTCAGGAACGGAATCGCCCCTGCCTCCGCGATCACCCTTCGGTTGTCCATCCCGGTTTTGGCCAGCAGCCTCAGCTCGTAGGCGGCCTGGTTCTGTATCTCGGTCGAACCCATAGCCAGCTTCCCCACCAGAAATTCGGCCGTCATTTTCGCTGCTTCGGCTGCCGATTTCGTGACCGAGATGTGGTCCACCGCACCAGCAGTGGACGAAGACGACGTCTTCGTCTTGCTGCTGCTGCTGTTGTGGTACGTCTCGGGCTGCTCCGACGAGTGATCGTCGAGCAGCGAAACGTTGTTGTCCTGGCACCATTGATGGACCAAGCTCTTGAGAGCATAGTTAGGGATGAGTGCCATGTGAATTAGCCTCTGCCCGCTCTTGGGGCAGGTATGGTGCCCCGAATTGATCCAACGTGCGATCGAATTTCGATCGTACGTGTGGCCAGAGGCCACGATCACCGGATCGATCATCAGGTCGAGAGAAATCGGGCAACGAAACTCGTCGGGAAACTGTGGGGAAGAACAGGATGAAAGGTCTTGAAGTGTTCTTGATGAAGTACTGGAACGCTGCTGTTGGCTTGTGGAACAAGTTTCCTCTTTTGGAAACCCACGACTGTCTACATCAAGTTCAACCATTGATTTCGAGTACGTTAGAAGCGAAACAAGGTTTCTAATGTTGGAAACAACGATCAACCCACCGGTTCCGGCCTGATTACGAGCTTCAGCCTCTAATCTCGAAATCTCACCCTCGAAATCGACCGCAGTTTTCAGCCCGATGCTGACGAAAACATCCTTGACCCTCACGAAATCGAAAACCCTGTCATTCTTCTTGGCAATAACAGAACAAACCCTTTCCTTTCTCTCAATTTCCTTGGGATCGACGAACAAGTCCAGCCTCTTGACCTGCCGGTGGAGAAGCTCCACCTGTTCTCTAGTATCAGGGCTCAACCTCAGCAGGCTGAGAGGCAGGATATCCAGAGCTCGACCCATGTCCTTGACCAAGACATGGAACTGATTCGACACGAATTCGGTCCGAATCAGCTGCCACATCGAGCTTGATTCTCTGCACTCCTGGATCAGGAGCTTGATCTTTCGAATCACGGAGTATAGCTCAGTGAGGCAGAGGATCGACGACGGAGGGAGAGGGGATCTGGAGGAATTGTCTTGGATGTCCTCGAAGAGGGAGGAGAGAAGCTTGATTCTCCTGATCATGGTGGAGATGTTCTTTGACTGAACCGGTGGAATGTTCTCCATTGTTGTGACTTCATTGGAGAGGTTGATCAGAGATTCGAGGAGCGGCCCTGTGGGCAGGAAGGCAGAGGTAATCATGGTTGAAGGAAGATTAATGCAGCAAGCTGGTTGATTACATGAATGATTGTGTAGCACAGAGAACCTGAGAAGTGAAGGTATATGTATGAATCTTTGTTCAGAAAGAAAAAGGGGAAATATGAGAAGACATTAGATGACTGGTTCTTCTTTGTCTTGGACCGTTTGGAGTATTGTAACGACTTGAAGAAATTGTCTTCATCGATCAATGTTTACTAATATATTATCTTGGTCCAATCACCTTGAGAATATTAATCAATTATAATTCAGAAGGAGACAAATTTGTGAGCACAACAAAAATCCTCCTTACCAACTATAGAATGCGAGCAGGGGTTTGCAAATCGAAATGGGTTGCTTCACGCCGGATCAAATCGAATTGGGTGAATATTTGATTCAAACTGGATTGAACTGTATATAAATGTGATTCGGATTTCAATTTTCACGAATTTTTTTGATAATTACGGGAAAATAGAAGAAACCGAAATTCAAGTTGGAGGAAATGTACTTTGAATTTTATTTTACTCTTTAACTTTTTTCTTCCATCCGATTCTATCTCGATTTGGTTGATTTCTGAACCGGTTTGACCTAAATAAAGCAAATTATACCTGTAGAATTTTAGAATAGTCTTTGAGCTTGAGGTAGTATTATATGTGCAAGTGATTAGGAGAACCAACCATCATTCCTCTTCACAAGATAATAAAGAAATGAATTGTTTTAAAAACTTGCATGTTTTTTGACGGTTTCTTCTTGTACTCAATGTGGTTGGGGACTAGGGCCGATTTGGAAGTCGTGGGCTGCTGCCACTTGGAGAGCACCTGTGGGTTTGGTTTCCTTATATATAATAAAATAAATTATTATACTACTCCCATTATTTTTTATTATCTTTTTTAACCATTCAAACCCTACATTGGAATGAAACCTTATGCATTTTTTTTTTTAATTTCCTCCAAAGTTAATTCCGCAGTTGGATTGTTTAAGGTGTAGGCATGGGGGGGACGAACCTTAGGTTGGGATCACTTCCTAAATTTGGAGGTTGTTTGAACTGTTGAAATTGTCAACTTGTTGCCTCTTGGCATTTATTGGGGTGCCTGATCATTTGGTCTTATTAATTTCTAATAATGTGTATTTAAATAAATATATATATATATATATATATATATATATATATATATATATATATATATATATATATATATATATATAGTAGGCATGTCTAAGCTATGAATTGAGTTTAAGTATGCAAGGAAGTGGTTAAGAACATCGTAACAAGTATGTGTTCATGATTATCGGATTGATGCAAGCCGTAAACTGGCAGCAAACGTTTGTAGTTTTAGTGACTGGATAGGACAAAATACCAAGGGTATGGAGATCCCCGTATTGGCAACTCATGATTGTCGAAGAAATTGATCAAGATCGTTACTATTTTATATCATTTCACAAACCATCTGGTCTCAATAATTTGACTTGTTGAAAAAAGTTCGGGTATGAATCTTGACCACTTCCTTGCATGCTCCTCAAATAAAAGCCAACTTATAAATGTGAAAAATTTGTACAAATCTGTGTGATTTAGAACATTGATTAATATTTTGGGTATATATATTTTGAGTTATTTGATTTGGCTAGACGGCCAAACAAGTGGACGACGACCAAGCGATCATTTGTCGTAGCAATTGAATAGCGCGACTTTCGACTGATGGTATGTGAAAATGAGGGCTGCCTTTCGTCCAAAAGGAAAAAGAGTGTGGTCCGATCCTCTTGTTTCGCCGTCTATATATACAACAAATTTGCCACCACGTTGATGTTAGGGTTTTTGAGATAACCTTCATGATGGGTATTGGTAAACCTTATCTCACTTTTTGTTTTCTACAAATAAATAATGCCAATTTCTTATGGATTCACATCGAAGATCAAGAAAGGGCATGCAGAAGATCCAATCGAGTAATTAACAAATCTAATGTATGTATTTTTAAAATAAATAAAAACAAATCTAATGTATGCTACTTTGCAAGAAAGCGATTCTAGCCTCGTGTGAACTCGAAGATGTGTTCTTTCAAAAATAATTTCACTCTTTCAAAAATAATTTCACGCTCGAATTTGTGGCTAATTCTTGATTCATATACTCATCAAAATACAAGTTTATTTCGAAGTATAGTGTTGATGTGACTTGAATCGGACTATCAGCCGCTACGACTGGAATAGTTTGTGTACGGGCTCAATGTTATTTGGGTTCGGGGTTCTAGGCCTGGTATGTAACCGTTGCCTTTATCATATTGGATTAGGTTTTTACCCCACATGGAGAAGTATAAATACTTCTCATCTCCTCTGTAATCTCCTCGATACAATGAAACTGGCTCTCCTACCCGTGGACTACCTAACACACATTGTGTTAGTGAACCACGTAAATCGTGTGTCGTGTGCTTTCTGTTTTCGTTTTCTTACTTTGTCGATTTCAGCGATTTCCCTATCCGTAGCAGCGCGGTTATAACATATAGGTTGGACTATATTGTATAAGAATGGAAGTTAAAAGTTAACTGATAAGATATTTTGAAAATAGTGAGTGAGTTTATAGTTATACATGTTGTATTTGGTCAAATTTAGTAATCATTGACCAACATATACAAAGCTATACTTGAAGGTTTATGTTACTTCATATAGAGTATACACCCATTGTATTGTGCCCTTTTTATACATGGGAATACAATGTTTATTATGTTTGTACAATATTGGTGGTTTGTACGCTCCACCTATAAAAATGATTGTATATATACTATGCACTCTAATCTAGAATTAGCATTTAACTATCAAGTTATCAATTTTAATTGCTCGTATAAGCCGACTATGATGATATATTAAATAATACAACTAATACATGCATTAGTCATAATCCCTCATTCTAACCCTAACTATACTCGTGAACCTTAAATAATTTTCATGCAAATTCATCCATTTTGTTTGAAATTGTATTACAATTAATTATTGAGATCGTTTTACCGTGAATCACATTGTTCAAATGACGACTATTAAACAAGTGTATAACATGCATTAAAAAATGAATGGATTAAAACAAAATCGATAATACTTATCTTCCATTGGTTTATTTTGTAAAGATACATATGTCTAGTGCTGAAGTGGTGGGCAAAGTTACAAGTGTCGAGTTAGGGATGGTGAATTCAGATCGGACTCAATAATTTTGTGAGTTCATGATCAATACATCTTGCAATGAACAGAAGAATGAAATGAAAGTTCAGAAGCTATAGATAGGCAGCTAGCTATCTGATCATAGCTCATACGTGAATTAGGGCTGTGGAAAGGGTGATAATATGAAGCAAACTTATTGATTGTGGTAGGAATGTTAGGGTAATGATTCTGATATGAGATAAATTTTGCTACCGATTTTATTAGGATGGTAATTATGTTACACGACTTGATTTATTTGGACTCATTTTATACTAGTATTATCCGTCGCACCACGTATTCCTTTTTATTTGAATTATTTTATGATAAGAAACAAATGATAAAAAAAAAAAACAAATGATGCATCAAAATTACATGAAATTCTTTATGACGAGGAGGCTGAAATCAAGAACAAGACAAGTCTGATATTCATTTTTATCATGAAGAATTGATTTTAGAAAAAAAAAGTTTGAGAACCATAAGAAAAGGTCTAAGATAGAATTTATTCATGAAATTTCTCTCCCAAAAGTACATATAATTAATAATATTTTTTGTCAGCGATACTATTCCTATTATGAGATCATTATTGCTGAAATTAGTGTTCAAGTATATGACGTTCAAAATAATAAATCTTCTAACTTAAATTCTCATCTATATTTATAACATATTTCTAACACTTTCGAATTTCGATGCTGTTTGGTAAAAATAACATTGATTATGAACCCAATTGAATCACGACAACATCAAAAAAGTGAGTTGCTTCGACATTATTCATCTCTTACACAATTGCCATGGGAGCATCCGCGCATGCATCCAGGCATCCAGCATTTTTTTTTTTAGACGTAAGGTTGGTCGTTTCATTAGTACGAAACACGGTGTACAGAGTTACAATAACAATAACGCTGAAAAGAAGGAAAAGCCAACTGAAAAAGAGAGCTAACCGTGGGCCAACAAAGGCCCGAAGCCAAAAAGCCCGAACCCTGTCTATCTTTCATCTTCTCTCATATGAATTTTCTCCTCTTTTTTTTTTTTTTTTTTTTTGTGTGTGTGTCTGGCTTATGTATACCAGCAAGTGACAAAGCATTTATGTGATTGTTTGATTGTTTACGTGCGAGACAAAAGTAACTATTTCCCCAGCGTAAAAGAGGTAAAAAAAAGATTTGACCCAACAGAAAAGAAGAGGTAAAAAAATGCAGGGGCTGAAGAAGAAGAATTGGGTTTTACTCACTCAGTACTCCACCTTCTCCAGTTCTCCTAGTGGAGTTGCTGTAACTCATTGGCTCCACTTATTTGTTGGTGTAGAGAGAGAGAGAGAGAGAGAGAGAGAGAGAGATTCCCTTCATTATCATCAAGTAGTCATTTCACTTCAGTCCCAAAAGGATTGCCCTTATTGTGTCTGGAAGTGGCCAACTTTTGATGAGTGAGAGGGGCAGTGCTTGCCCTTTTCCTTGCTCAAGTTTCTTTCTTTCCAATGGAACTGCAACCCCAGCAAGCAAATTGCAATGAGATATCCCATCCTTCAATTTTACTTGTGGGTGATCCATCATGTCTCATCTTGACACTTCACCACCAGATATGGGTCTTCCCCCACTCACCACTTCCCTCAAAACTTAAAAGATAAGCTTTAGGTTTCAGAGACAAAAATAAATTTGGACCTGTACAGGTTTCAGAGACAAAAATAAATTTGGCCCATACAGGTCTCGAACCTGTGACCTTCGCGTTATTAGCACGACGCTCTAACCAGCTGAGCTAATAGGCCTTGATGTCAATATTGAGTGAAAAACCCATTATATAATATAGTTAGACTACAGTCTACAGTACAATCCTATTGATTCAATCGTGTATTTGTTTGTCAACCCAATTGCCACACGCTCAGTCTGATTGAGTGGTTATATAAAGGCTGGTTGGCGGGGAGGCAAGCCTAGAAGCACGCACATAAAACTAAAAAAGATAAAGCTATTTGGGGAATGTGGGTTTCTTTCTCTGCGAGAGAGGAGGGCCGCAACATCATGAGAAATCATCATCATCAAGAACCTCGATCAAGCTCTTCATGCGCAGCTTGCAAGTTCCTCAAGCGACGCTGCACTTCCAACTGCATCTTCGCTCCGCATTTCCGATCCGACGAGCCCAAGAAATTCGCCAAGGTCCACAAGGTCTTCGGCGCCAGCAACGTGAGCAAGATCCTGACTGAGGTCCCAGAAGAGCAGCGGGAAGACACGGTGAATTCCTTGGCCTATGAGGCCGAGGCCAGGCTCAGAGACCCTGTCTATGGCTGCATTGGCGCCATAGCCCTGCTGCAGAGGAGAATGGTTGAGCTCCAAGTCGATCTTGCCCTTGCCAGGGCTCGTCTGGCTCGGTGTACAGCTTCTGTTACTTCTTCTCTGCCTAACTCTGCCTCAGCTTCCATAGCCGGAATGGAAAATTTCGGTGAATGTGAATTCCCGGTGTCCTGCGGTGGATTGATTGATGGGTTTGGCAGTAATGATAATAACCAGTCGGAGTGGAGCCAAGATGGACCCGCCGGCAGCGATTTCGGGCAATTCCCATATATGTTCTGATGTCGTCTTCTGCAGTACTGTTTATCTCCTTTTTGTATAATCCTTGAAGTGTGGAAATGAAAATGCAGGGGACTCTGTTTCTTGATCAAAAGAGAGTTTGTTCTTCTTCTTCTTCTTCCTTTCCCATGTATCCTGTAAAGCAGAACCATTGATGTGAAGAAATTGCTGCTCTAAAACTGGAAGTCAACATAAAGACGGAAACGGATTTCTCTCCCTTTCGTCGGATTCATAAGTAATTCCGATGTTCATGAATACCCAACAAAGAAGAAATGGTAAAAACAGTCAAGTGGCCATCACAATTCACAATGCCGAGCATTGGCTAATGATGTCGCCTCATCAAGTCCTACCCCACGAAACAAGCAAGGCCACACCCCGCCGGTTCACTTTACGTGGTGGGCAAATAGGAATCCAAAGATTGTCAGCTTTTTAATTGTTGCTCTCATCTCAGAAAGCAAGTGGTGTCAGCTTCCAGAGTTCACTTTAGGGTACGTTTCAGATATTTCTCCTTTTGGTCTCAACCACCAGCAATTGGGAAGAACACTGTAGAGGAGTTTGCTAGCAACTGCAAAAGAAAACCATCCATTTTGAGCAAGCTCTGTAGCTTTCACCACAGATGAAATGGTAAAAAAAAAAAAACTGGGGATGACTCTGTATCTCCATTTATGCAGAGACATAATTCAAGGGGACACCAAGATCCAACCCAAGAAATATTGCTCGAGGTGAAGGGAAGGTGGTGCCTTTATTGCAATAACAGCCTACATTACAGACCCACTCCGAATGGGAAAGCAAAGGAATGCCATTAACAACAGCAGCTGCAGTAGTAGTACAAAAGGTACACAGTGAGGGCTTTTATCATCTCTGGGTTATATCAAGTGCAGAGAAACCCGGTAGCGGAAAATAACCTGATCACATGTACAAAGGAGTTAATCGATGTTAGAACTTAAAGCCATAAGATACAAAGAGCAGTCATATCATTCTCCACCCCAGACTTCGATTGCAGCAACAGGAGTTCGATGATTCCTTCTCTAGAGGTGTGGTTAGATAAAACCAGCAGATGTGATTCTAGTACTAAATTCCTCCCTTGTTCCCAATTAAATAGCATCCAGTTTGCAGGAATTCAGTCTCCACCTGCAAATGTAAAACTCAAGTGAGCATCAACAACCGAAATGGTAAATTGGTTCTCATCAAAGATCACACCTTTCATTTCTCGCAGTCCCTATCTCTAACAATGGCGCAATGATGAATGTATGGTCAACTACTCCACTCATCACTCAAGTGTGCTTCTAATCATTGTTAATGTCAAAATCTGAAGGGTTGACCTTTAGCCCATAAACAGCAGGCTTGGCAAACAACCACCAAACCGAAGGACCATACTACCATAGTCAGTTTCCTAGATTCATGAACTGTTCGTCAACTCACTGCTACAATTGGTAAAGGAAGACGAAACCAAACAGGGGGAAACAACTGTAATGGTAGATTGCTGATGGAATTTTAACCTGACCCAGAAGCGTCTTTGGCTCGCTTCTTCAGTGACTTCTTCTTTTCCATCTCCAACTGTGCAGCCATAAACATGTTCATCCTCTCAAACTCAAGCTCCTTAGTGAATTCCATCCGCTGCTTCTCCAGCTCCACCATCTGAATTTGCTTCGAGCTTTCCACTTTCTCGTATATCTCCACGAATTTCAGAATCGCCCTCGCCAATTCCCTACAGGCAGCTCCATCGGAGCATCCCACGTCCTCCATCCGGTGCTGCTTCTTCACCACCCTCTGGTCGAACCCTGCATCGCCGTCCCCGCCGGACCAGCTTGAATCCGACCCGCCCGACAGCTCTTCGGCAGCCTTAAGCAGAAGTGATTTAGATTGGGATTTCGATTTGGATTTCGATTTGGATTTGGGTCTGACAGTTAGGGTTACACTGCCGGCGGCGCCGGAGGCCGTTGTGGCGGAACTGATGAGGGAATCGAGGCGGCGGTAGAACTGCCACTTCGACGGCGGTGGTTTGGCCTTCTCGACCTTGTACTTCTTCTTCAAAGTGTCGATTCGGTTCTTGCACTGGATGTCGGTCTTCTTCGATCCGCCGCTGCGCCGCGAGTTGACTTCGTCGGCGACTTCCTTCCAGTCCTTCTGGCGGAGATTTCCGCCTTTGACGCTGACGTAGCGATCACCCCACGCCTCGATTAGCGTATCCGTGGCGCCTTCGCTCCAGCAGTCTTCCCGCCCCCCGCTGCCGCCGCCGCCTCCGGTGCGGGATCGGGAGGTTGAGGGTTCCATTTTTAGGAGGAGGAAAGGAGTAGCAGAGAGATCAAGTTTGCTAAAGTGCGCTGGGTTGTCGGCCGGTGTGCGCAGGATAAGAGGGAAAAGATTCGATTGGAAGGAAGATAGGGGAAGAAAGAATGAAAGAGTGAAGGGAATGGTAGAGATCTGACGGCCGCCTACTGTTCCCGGCGGTGACGTCAGGGACTAAACTAAAGTGCTGTTTGGGAGGAAATTAATTTCCTAAAAGTATTAAAAACTCCAGAACCCTTCCCTTAATAGCAATTACGTATCCATCTTCATCTATCAAATTGCCTTCAAGCGGGAAATCAAATAAGTGTTTTTTATATTTCCAATTTTCCGTTTTTTCTTTCCAAAATCCTAAAGGGATCTATTCTATGTATGTAATTTTGCTAAATAGGAAGGAATGGCAGAATTATCCATTACCAATATATGGATATTTTTTAGAAAATGTAACTGATATCATTTGTGGGTGGATTTTCCTGGAGCCCGTAGAAAATAGAATTGATGATTTTTGTGAAATTTTTGTATTTTAAATACTTGCACATCACTTATCGACTATGCAACAAGTATGTTCTACATCATCTCCCTTCTCCATTTTAAACCTTCATATCACTCATGAGTTATGTTTATCTCTTAGACCAAAATCTTGTTCATTCCTCTTCACTTAAATAAATAATGTATTAAAAATAAATTCAATAAAAAATGACATTTTGAGAAAAAATTCCATATGTCAGTAATTGAAAATATTATTTCAGGATCGTGCATGTGAGCTTTAAACCAAAAATTTAGTGAAAATGCCAAATCATGGATTTTACTATTTATAACATTTTTTAACTATAATTTGTAATAAAAATACTACATACAAAATTATAAAAAAATATTATCAAAATAATATGTATATAATACGTGTTGATTATCTGGTATTTAAATGCAAATATCACATTTCACAAATACACGGCCGAACAAGTGAACAACCTATGAAGGTTGACGCTTGCCACGTATAAGGCCTTGGTTGGACGAGCACCAGGCCCAACAATGAAAGTCCGAAATTGCAACGAAAGCCCACTTATGATGCACTTGTTGGCGAAAGAAGAAGAAATAGGAAAATGGATTAAAACTGGAAGATAAAATGAGAAAGCCCAAATAACAACTCTCTAGGACATCGTTATGTAGATCCACTTATGATTTTGAAATAAAACAAACGCAAAATAGAAAATACACGTATAACTTTCACAGTTGTAATAAATATAGTTATAACTATCCGGAAACACAAAATAATCACTTCCGTCCATTTCTTTAACGATGTTAATTAACGATATGACTATACTGACAAAAATATTGACCTGACCACATTTTTTCAATGAGCGTCCACGTGGATTTAAGGAAAAAGGTCAAAAATAAAATATATTTTTTGTAATGCTCATTTAGGATTCCGGAAAACCCCAACTTCGATTTAGGGTTCCGGGAGATATTCAAATCTGCGGCCACCCCTCCATCCTCTTAAGCTCCTCAACCACCTCTCCAACTCCTCGACCTTTTATGCATCCATTCATCCATGCCTTTCTCGCTAGGAACGCCCAAACTTCCCTCTCAAAACTTCTGCCAAGGCCTTGGAACAATGGAACATAGCTTCTTCTCACCAGTCAGCGCTGGTCACGGTGTCTGCAATATTGATGAAGAAGAAGCCTGTCGATGATGCTGACGCCGACCTCAACTCAATTGCTTCCAATGGAAATGGCTAGATTTGTCACACTATCATATAATTTTCGGGCTATTTTGTGTTTTTTATAGTTATGACTATATTTGTCACAACTGTGAAAGTTATGACTATACAAAAATAAAGAGTTAATCTTTGACTATATATATAGCCGGCCTAAAGGTTATAGGTTTTAAGGTTGTCAATCAGGTTTATACTGATATAATGGATTGGTAAGGATTTTACTAGTGGTACAATCGATTCATTTTATTTCTACAAAAAGACCCTCGTTATAGTTTGGCCCGAACTATAGACAAACTTTCTACTTTGGCCCGTGGTATCGGAAATTGCTATTCTGACATAAACTATGTAGCATACTTTCTTATTTGGCCCAGAGGTGGGTTTGACCATTAAATTAGACGGTCAATCGAGTTTACCGTTAGTTAAAAACCTCACTTGCCACGTCAGCTATCAGGAAATAAAAAATTACTTTTTATTTTTGAATTTCTAAAATTAATTAAAAATAATTTGGAGAGCTCTTTTAATTAATTTTTTCGTTTATTATTTTTATTGTTAGAAAATAAACAAAATTCGAAAAATTCAAAATTAAAAAATTAATTTTTTATTCCCTGATAGCTGACGTGGCAAGTGAGGTGGAACTTGACTAACGGTCAACTCGGTTGACTGTCTAATTTAACGATCAAACCAGCCTCCGGGCCAAAAAAGAAATTAATTTTTTATTCCCTGATAGCTGACGTGGCAAGTGAGGTGGAACTTGACTAACGGCCAACTCGGTTGACTGTCTAATTTAACGATCAACTTGACTATATTACATGTTTAGTATATTACATGTTTTGAGTTTGACCATTTGGTCGGAACCTTCTAGCCTAACCTTATGATACAAATTCAACTTGCACCCGAAAACACAACGGGGCTGGACTATCCAGGTGCGAAGAACCCCGGAAGTTACTGCAATGAGCAGAAATCTCACTCACCGGCCTAAACGACAAGCAAACACTCGAACGCGAGAGCAAGGGATCACCCAACGAATGGACGAGCCCCAAGGATGGATTGAAAGCTAAGCAGTGGTAATTTGATAGATTTACCGGTGGAAAAATAGGGAGGAGCATTGTAGCATTCATTTTCATGTAGGTACGTAGGTTTATATACAACCTTGACATACATATATACTTGGGCTATGTAACTAGGGAATCGGCGCGCAGCGGGACAAACTACATTGCACACAACACACGTTACCTGGTTGGACCTTTTTCCCCCTGCAGGCTACACATGACAATGGATGCCGCCAAAGATCGATCATGATGATGGAAATCGGACCGAAATCTCTGCTTATATCAAGGGAGAAATCTTGATCGAAAAGTGCTGCTGCGCCTGCTACTCGATGTCGATAGATCGATACATATAGTGACCACTTTTAAGTTGAAAAGGCATGCCGAACGTGCAAACGAAATTCATCAATCCTTTCCCCTGTTTTCTCCATCATCTTATCGGAAAGTGAATTGGGCCAACTAGTAGCTTACCTTTCCTTACAATTCACACCACGATCTGCAGCATGTGATGCATTTCCTGACTTTATTGGAGTCCTTCCATCAAATCTACAATCCGATCTTTAGTAACCAAAACGACAAGAAGCACAAAGCCAACCCAACTACCCCTGCCGGCCGGCCGGCCGTAGTAATTGGGTTTGGTGATCATTGTCCGAAAGATCTTTTCGTCATCAATAGTCATCTGTACAGTGTTGATGATGGCAAAGTTTCTGATCCTCAGCCAATCTCTTTATGTTATGTCTGTGATCAAAATGGGACAGTGGAGGTGGCTGAAATAGTGCATTTTATCGGATATACGGTCTGGTCTGTATCATACAGTTTTCCAACTCTTAACACACCCCTTCAAACAAAAGCCGACCCCTATGAGGTTGGAATTTGCACAGGCAGCTCGAGATACCATACTTAACATAACGGACGAGGGTGTTCGAGATTGGATTCGAACAAAATATATCTCAGTTTCACAAGAGACTGTAATATATCATGTAAAGAATCAATTGGTCTCAACTTTCGACAACTCAAGTTATTGAAATCCACGATTAATAATGCTACTCTAACTACTCATACACTAGCCAAATTGCCCAACTGTACTATGTTGGCCTGAAATGGACCACTTGGACGGAAGAATTCGATTAAAGGGACAAAGGACTTGGCTGGCTGAAGAAAATCTGAGTACGGCACCGACATGAAATAACTAGGCAGGCTCACATTTCCTCCCCCGCTGTCCAATCTCAGGATGTGAGCATATTTGTATCCATTCTTCCACTGTTTCTCCTTGCCAAATGCCAACCCAATAATGAACCGGCGGTCGGTCACCATCATCTCAATAATTCACATTTTATTCAACTAAATTAACAATTCTATAAATCCATTGGATCATTTGACGAGCCATACTTATGCATTTGAAGATAGTGAATTACAGTATCAGATCTTACTAAACACCAGCATTTTTTTTTTTTTTTTTGTAATTGGAGGGAGATCCAGAGAACAATTAATGTCTTAAAGTTTGTTGCTATAGGAGACTAACCAATGATACAAATTGTTACTAATTTACTTAAAACAAATAAATAAACTAAAAGAATAGTCCACAAATTAACCACTTGACTCACGATATACAATTCAATTGTTTCAATACTAGACCAAATTATTATCATATTACGCTTTAGGCGTTCATTAATTCCAATAGCCTATTAACAGAAATTACCTACTCATAAAGAGAACAACAAGTTATATAATTAATTAAGAATAGTCCGGATTTTTATTCAATTGAAAAGAGGATTAGAGACCACGTTTAAAGTCGGTAAACTCGTCAATCCAAAGTGAAAAAAGTTTCTCGATTAAGCATAGAAATTAAGTAAAGGCAGCAATCATATCATCCATATCAAGTCGCCGAACAGACAGAAAGCAGAGGTCCAAGCTGTTTTGATTAACCTTTTTTTCTCTGTTTGTTTCCGTAGAAAAATATTTCCCCCCACAATAAAGTTATGCCCGGAGAATCTTGGCACAAATCTTTCACAGTTGCACCCACACACCCAATCCCATAAAATAAAAATAAAAATCAATCAACACAAACAAAATCATTATTATAATGATTACGACGACGAGCGACACACCACCACAAAACACTCTCCATATTCCCACATTATATACCCCCCAACCAAAAAACAAACCTCTCCCTCACCATTTCCATAACCTTTAAACCACACATTAATGGCTGCCAATCCTTCCGTGCAAGTCAGAGAGGCCACCGTCATCAAACCCGCCGCTCCGACGCCGTCCCACGTCCTCCCTCTCTCCGCCCTCGACTCCCAGCTCTTCCTCCGCTTCACCGTCGAGTATCTCTTCGCATTCAAACCACCGCCACATCACCAAAATGTCGACATCGCCGATCGAATCAAGTCGGCGCTGAGCAAAATTCTGGTCTCTTACTACCCCTTGGCCGGACGGGTCCGGCCCAGGCCCGATGGTGGGCCGGGCCTGGAGGTGGTCTGTCGGGCCCAGGGCGGACTATTCGTCGAGGCGGTCTCGGACTCGTTCGAGACCGCCGAATTCGACGGCCCGCCCAAATCGGTCAGGCAGTGGAGGAAGCTGCTGTCGTTCCAGGTCCCGGACGTGCTCAAGGGGGCCCCACCGCTGGTCGTCCAGCTGACGTGGCTCAAGGACGGAGGCGCCACGCTGGCGGTCGGGTTCAACCACTGCCTCATCGATGGGGTCGGCGGGTCCGAGTTCCTCAACTCGTTCGCCAGGCTGGCACGTGCGGCGGGAGCTGGAGGGAGCGATGTGGTGAATAATCTAAAGCCCAAGCCCAGGCCCATTTGGGATCGCCACCTACTCGACCCGCCGGCCCACTACCCGCACTCAGTGAGTCACCCCGAGTTCGCTAGCGTCCCCGATCTCTGCGGATTCGCCGCTCGATTCTCCAGCGACAAGCTCCTCACCCCGACCTCGGTGACCTTCGACCGGCGGAGTCAAAACGAGCTGAAACGGCTCGCTGCCGGACCGGGATTCACGTCGTTCGAGGTGCTGGCGGCGCACGTGTGGAGGAGCTGGGCGAGGGCGTTGAGTCTGCCGGAGAACCAGACGCTGAAGCTGCTGTTCAGCGTCAACGTGCGGGACAGAGTGAGGCCGCACGTGCCGGCGGGGTACTATGGGAATGCGTTTGTGCTGGGGTGCGCGCAGGCGAGCGTGAAGGAAATTGTGGCGGAGGAGAAAGGGCTGGGAGACGTGGCAATGCTGGTGAGGAAGGCGAAGGAGCGAGTGGACGGGGAGTTGGTGGAATCGGTGGTGGAGGAGGTGAGTCGGGGGAAGGCGCCGGACTCGGTGGGGGTGCTGATAGTGTCGCAGTGGTCGAGGCTGGGGATGGAGAGGGTTGACTTTGGGATGGGGAGACCGGTCAGCGTGGGGCCGGTTTGCGTGGATAGGTACTGTTTGATGCTGCCAGTTCACGGTCAGGCGGACGGCGTTAGGGTGACGTTGGCTGTGCCTAACAGTGGGGCCGAGAAATACGAGTATTTAGTCAAGAGTCCATGTTCCTGATGATCGGATCCGCGCGCGGCCTGCCAACGGGGATTTTGCCGATGGGGCCTTTGGGTTGACTTTTTCTTTTGCTGTACATTGTGATTTCACATTCTTTTCCGATGATGATTTCGCTATTTTTGTTTTTTACTTCTTTATTATTATTCCGTGGCTAATGGATTCTAATTTTCTCGGGTAGAGAATCAAATGGGCGATGGGCAGATCAATATGAAAAGCGAAAAATGTATTGGATTTCGTTAGATTGGACAAATTAGCGGAATGGAAGTCGATAATATAATTAGGGCTAGGAAACGGCGTGGTCTGGCAGACCATATATACGGTCTATGGTCCAGATCGAGAGGCTGAAGTATAGACCACAGACCAGACCATAAACTATACGGTCCGTTCTAGACCATGCCTGTGCGGTCTGGTTCGGTCTGGTCTAGTCTATGTAGACCACAGTAAAAAAAATTGAATAATTTGTTTAGTCAACCACACAAAAATTGAACCAATAACCAAGAATAATAATTGTTATTTGCCTTAAAACATTAATCCTAACATGCATGCATAATTTTGATACCCTAAATCTTAGTACATAACAAAGATACAAAGTAAAAGCATCCCAACTTGCACCATAACGTCATACACATTAACATAATGTTATATTGAGACACGATTATCTCTACTCTTTGGTTAAATATAGTTGTAAATGAAGGAGGGACGAGATTCACAAAACTAAGACTTGGGTGTCGTTGTGGGAGTTGGGAGAGTGGTCGAATGGGCTGTTAACACGTATTGACAAGTCGGTTAGGTCCACGGTTTGGTCCGGTAAACTGCGGTCTAGACCAGACCAGACCAAGAGATCAAAACATAAAATAATACAGACCATGGACCAGACCAGACCATATTTAACGGTGTACGATCCAGACCAAACTGTGCGGTACGATTTGGATCACGGTTTTTCTAACAGTCTGGTCTATTTTCCCAGCCCTAAATATAATGTGGTTCAACCGATAATATGTAATGGATAGACCAAAGTAATTATTATGTTTGTATGCTGTATACACATGACTAGTACTATACAATCTTCTGTTTGACGAAATGAACTGATCAGATAACCAAAAAAATTATCCATATCATTTTAAATTTGATACGGTGATGGATGATGATTGGGTTAGCCTAGGGTCAACAGCAGTAGAGTTGTAAAGTTAATATCTTTACTTATTTTTTCTTTCCTTAGTTAGCTTTTGGACCCTTTTTTTTCATGGTCAAAGCACGTAATCTGATCCTTGATGAAAGGGATTGCTATGATCTGATGACCATGTTTCCTTCAATCAAGTTACTTTTTTTCAGGTTTTCCTTTCCACGGGTCACTTCGTTTGCCCTATTTTCGTCCTTTATTTTGTCTTCCCATGGGGCTATCTTCGTTTAAATGTAGAGTTTGTGAAATCGTATCAACCGGTATTTTTTTTAAATAACTCTATGTTATAGTTTAAATTGGTATTTATTTTAGGGATAAATATTTGAACATTTGTTAATTTATAATTTCATTACAAAATAACAAATTTTTTGTTGTACCACATTCGATACAATATTATAATTCTTGTTAAATGAATAATTAACGATAACATTCCAAACAAGAGCAATAACACGGTACTTACAAAGGAAGAAGCTGCTAAGGAGGACAAAAAGAAGACTATGAGTTGCCGAAACTTCAACATCTTTGTTGATGAAATCTCGATTTCCGTTATAAACCACATGACTATAAATATGAATCGATCACTCCCATGATTTTGTCGGATATTCATAATATCCAGATAGTCTTTTATATACACGGATCTTCGTGTTAACGTGTAGTAATAATTTGTAAATAATAACATTCGTCACAGATTCGAAGATCAAAGCTAGCTAACACCAAATCGATGTCATTCAATAAACCACGTTAGGTAGATCTGTAAACCATATGCTGGCGGTTCATGAATCTATATATACTAATAGCGATCAAACTTGCTGGTGGTTTCCATGGGAAAATTTAAGAAACAGGATAAAAGGATAGCATAGACGAATAATTGTGTGTTGGGATATAATTAGCAAGTTGAGTCTTTTCTGTAGAATTATTGGGAACCATATGGGTCGTGCGTTTGAAGAAATAATTTTAAACAATAGGGAACTGTTGGCTAATCAAATTATAAGCCATGATAATGGATACGTTAGTTTGAGGGGATCTTTTGAGTAGGATTTTGCCAACTAAATAAGTCGAAGCTTCCTCTCTCTCAACTAACGCTTTTTTTGTTTTGTCAATGCCATCGCCCATCAGCCATCCATAATACATTTTAATATGTAATTTAAGGATGAGTTGGATAAGAACATAGGCACAGAATCACATTCTTTAAATAATTGTCCTTCAAAAATCTCAGGTGTTTATCCAAATTAAATTAGATAAAACAATAAAATCCTTCCACGAGTGAGCTATAGTCTATAATAAGCCTATATATATTTAACTAGTGTTGTGAGAAATGAACTAAAGTATGAATAAGAATAGTGAGCACTTCTCATTTTATTGGTTTAACTCGTATTAAACTGTTAAAAATTCGTTACTATAAGTAGACCTAAAATTAAGAATTATAAACACGGCCCATCTAACATTGTGAATCTACATATATTGTATATGAGTGTTAAACAAATTATTCAATAATCGGTTGTCAGTTTTGCTAGCAAAACTAATCGAATCAATTTGTTCTTCACAAAATTCATTGCAACAAAAGATAATATGGTATCACTAAAAAAAAATCCAACTAACATGATTTTCTTTAAATATGTTGGAAAAAAGCTATTGTAACCTGTAGTATTGAGAAATGCTCTCAGAAATACTATCACTAATTCACTATCATATAAAAGGCATCAGGTTTAAAGAAATATGATGATATGGCAATTATTAGAAGAAAATATGTTTTACGATGATATAGATAATATGTTACAAAATTACATGAGTTAGGAGGAGTATTATCCAATATCCAGTCAAAGGCGTATGTTCCTCTGCTTCAGTGCTTCGACATATCCTTCTTCTTCTTCGAATTTTCATATCATGAACTGTAATTTTTTCTCCTCCTTTCTGTAGCTCAAAACACATTTACCCTCCTCCCCTTATGTTTGGGGAACAGGGTAAAAGTAACCCCTCTCTCTCCCTCCTTTTCCCTTGGCCGATCAATACTCCTTCCCCAAGCAAGAGAAAAAGATGGTAAAAGTAAAGGCTACTGCAAGATTCTGGTCTCTGGTGTCTGTGATATCCCTTCAGTCAATTACTTGTAGTTGCAGTCTCTATTCCAGAATTGGGAGACAAAAGAAGATGCTGGAAAGTGGAAACAGTACTCAGTAGCTACCAACACCATCCTATTAAAGTTTATATGTATTTGTTGGGCTCAGAAAATTGTCTTGTGTCTGCAGTTGGCCGGCCAAGCCCAGCTGGTCGGTTTGGAGTGCTCTGCCTACGTTTGTTGTGAGTTAGAGGCACATGGTCTGCCATCAACTGCGTGGCTATCCCACATGCAGACACGTCATGCTCTTCATGCAATCTTAACCTGCAGTGAGATGAAGAGGGGCCGATTCTCTGTTTTCGGCCAGGCCATTGAGAAGAACAGATTCTCTCGGATTCGAAATTAGACCGATGGTGGGCTTAGAATACACCAAGCCCAGCCCACTCTTTAGTAAAACACCAACCAGTGTCCGATAAAAATATCTATTCCAGTTTAAGATACATGCAGCTCCCATTAGGTATATAGTTATAAATACTCCATTTAATATATGAATATACATGTTTTTATATTTAAATATTCATGTTTTTGTTATTGTCAAATTGTTTATTTTTTCCTCGTTCGTTGATAATTATCATACTAAACACGCATAAATCTATGTAACACGTTTAATATTATACATTTTAAACATTATTTAAACATTTATTTATTTTTCAAATAATGAATTTTATATATTTTTTTTGAATATTGACATACCATTAGACGCACCATCGGTTGGCTTAGTTGCAAGCAATCTGGCGCGAATCGTTGTGCTATGCTCTAAAGTATATGTACTTTGAAGTACAAATTGAACCCACAATACATAATGTTAAACATACAAATTCAATTTTGTACCATAATTTTTTTTTTTTTTACTTTTATGTTATGGTACAATCTCAATTTGTACCATAACACAATGTACAAATTAAGGGCGTAGCTACTACTCGCTATTGGCTTAAAAGGGGTTCCATATAAACCCTATTATTGATATTTGAACTCTAACCTAAATTCTAGTCGTCGAACCACTTTCAAGTACTATTTTTTTATAAGGGTTGTGTCGTGTGTGTAAATTTTACCTTTTGATTTCTATATCAATATTTAGAGCACTTTTACTATGTTATATAGTATTGGTGCTTTAATGTACAACTTAAAGTTGTACCATAACATTAAATGTATAAGTTTAGGTTGTACCATAAAGCAATTTGTACCATTATGTTATGGTACAACTTTATAACTTGAAGTTGTACCATCACATAAAGGTACAAGTTCAAGTTGTACCATAAAAGAATTTGTACAAAAAGTATATGTACAATCTGAAGTTGTACCCATAACGTAAATGTACAATTTTAAGTTGTACCATAAAGGCAAAACCTTATACCACCAATACTATATAGCATTGTAAAATTTCTCCAATATTTAATGTGTTCTAGTTTGTCAAGACGAATAAGAGGTACGTAAGTTAACAACACTAATAGTCTTAAGAAAAGTTGGGTTCCCATTTCCCACTGATATATTGTGAAACTATGTATAGTCTGATGTTACCAGTTGTTAATGCAAATACAATATAAGATCTTCCGCGTTAAAATGATTGATCAATCTTCAAATTAAAATTAAAAAAATTGTAAATAACCTTGTATCTTTGACAATCAAATACGTTGACTAATTTCTTTTAGTGAATCCTTGTAAAGTGAAATTTTGCCTATGCCACTAATTATCATGATCTCAAATCTCATCATTTTAAACATTTGAAAATACCTATCTTCATGTATTTCAGAGCTCTTTGATGTTGGGGTAGAATATCGGGAAAAGGCAATGAACCTTGGCAAGTACATGAATTCTCCAAATACCATGCATCTCAAGAATATAATACTAACCTCCAAAACCACGTCTAATAAATTCCGGCTCCGGGTGGGCGGGAGGGGAAAAGATGGGTTTTGGGTTTATTGTTTGCTGTCATGATTCTGTGGTACGGAACCGCCGGCTAGCTCAGCAGCTCGTGCTGTTTCTCTGTAAAACCGGCCGGCCGCAATTTGTCTTCGAGCCTGCTGCTGCTGCAGCTGCAAAACAGCTAGTGCTAGAGAATAGTTTTTTTTTTATCATTGAAAGGATCGACGAATCTTTTTAGTTACTTCGAAACCAAGGCGGCGGCAGCCCTGACTACTGTCGACGTCTCTCCCTCCCCCTGTGGCTCCAATCTTAGTAACGAAGCAATGAATTGTTGCAGAAAGTAAGACATAGGTGTTGGAAGAGGACACTGGCAGTTTGAAAATAATATAGAAACAAACAGGGATGAGATGATAATGGGTGGACTCATTAGATGTTTGGGTAATTCGATCCAATGGTTAGTGTTGGGGAAATGGCTCGGCCTCATTCGCTTCATCAATCGACGTGCCTATTATGACGCGCCAGTCAGGGCACTCACAACGTCCCACTCGCGGAAGATATGTCAGGCCACACATCAACGGTAAGACAACATGGATCACCAAGAGGAATGGAAGCGCGCCAACACCATCAGCGCTACCGCCATCATTCTCTCTCCTTTTCTCCCTTCTCTCTTTGGCCTTAAACCTTGTAAGCTTGTGATAAAGGAAGGAAAGAAGCGGAGGATTTCTTAACTATACTCGCACCTCACTCTCTTTTGTGTTTAACTCCTACTCTCAGTTAGACACAAACGGTTAGAATTCAAGAATATTGTATTTGGCAATGTTATTCTTTTAATGATTTTAAATTTGGTTCAGTAGAAGTGAGACTAATGTGGATCAACTCTTTTGTGGCGGACTCAAACGAGTGTATTTGAGCCTAGATGATTGTACAACAAAAAGACAATATTATATTGACCAATACCTTGAACCCAATTATACTTTTTAAATAACCATGAACATCTCCATACACACTCCGCTTGAGTGATGGCAGAGCGAGACCAAACCCAAGAGTTCACCTGTTTGAGCCATTTGAGCCCTCTACTAAGATCCCAATTGGTGCCGCCGGGAAGACCATGAAAGGCCTCGAGGGGGGTCGAAATTGGGACCTCACACGTCCAAAATGAGCACCCAACGAGGATAGACCAATGGGGCTATGAGACCTTTGACAACCCAATTATATCTTTAATGTTGGTGTTTTCACATTTCTTATTGTTTGATAACAAAAAAAAAAAGGTAAGAATTAGAAAATTGGATATTCATTTTTAATTTCTTTTGGGTATCCAATGATATGAGTACAATTTTGACCTAATTTAAAAAATTTGTATGCTGGTCTACCCAAAAATAAAATTATCCAATTTTTATTTGACTAGTAATAAATTGAGTTTGTCAAATACCTAAAAATTAGATCTTTTTGCCAATCCCAGAAGTAGCCTAGAAAAGGAAGTGGAAAACAGGGAGAACAAATAAATACAGGACAATAAAGAAAAAATTGCGTCATATATCCAGCTGCGCCCCTGGTACGTATGCGCAGAATTGAGACACGGTTAATTAGCTAATTGTCCACTTCCCAGCACTGAGGTCTGAGGAATCCGAATCCATAGATTCTAAAGAAATCTAAGCCACAAGTTTTTCTTCTTTGTATAACAAGTATCTGGTCTCGGGTTCAATGCATATGTTCGAACTTGGTTTGTGGGGGTGGGGGTTCTTTTATCAGGCTGCTGCTTTGGGCTTGTGCTTCTTCTGCTGCGGCAGAACTTAGAAGCAACCACTAATTAGTAGTGGTGATTTTACAAATTCCTCGTAAGTTCGAATCTCGTATTTCTCCATATATAAAGGATTAGTTTGGGATAACTCCATCTCAATTGGTGTCTCACCCACAACTTATTGACTGTTGCTTTTTGTGGGACTCTCAATTGGTCATCAAGGATGTGACATCAAAGAAGGCTTCACATTCAACAGCGGGAGCCATACTAGAGGATGTTCACTCTCTCCTTCCCTCCTTCCTTTTAGTCTCGTGTCTTTCTGCTCCTCGGAGCTTCAACGGAGCTGCCCACCTCGTGGCAAAACAGACTCTTTTATTGGGAGTCCGGTTGCATACGGACTACCGTTCCTTTTTAGTGTCTTTCTTGTAATTGTGTTGACCGGCCATGCCCTGGGGGCTTATCTTGGATAAAAAAAGGTCCATGTGTATTTGAGAACACATAGTCAGTGTAGTTGAGAACGAACCAAGAAGAAAACGGCTTTGGGATGTCAAGTTATCAAAGGCTAGTGAGTTGAAACCGGAATGGAGGTTGATCCACCACGTGATTAATAGGTCCGTGCGTGGAAAGTATAAGAGCAAGGGTACTCTGACTGCTCGAGACGTTACATTCGTTCGTAGCCTGCATAATTCTCAGACCTTACACCTCGATTTACCGAGTCTATCCACAATGAAGAAATATGAAAAAGATCATCGACTTGATGCGTTAAATGGGTGGAGCATATATCAATTGACTTGCTCGTTATTTCGGAGTAGACTTTTGGGAGATTGAATTTTGAATGGACTCTAGGACCACTCATATTTCCTTCAAAACCCTCTAGCCACCACCGTAAACAAATTTATTTGAGGCTAAAGTCGTCTACGATCAACAAATGATGATTATTTATTTTCTTTTCATCTAATTGTTGAGTTGAGCATAATAGAAGTTCCAACCATAATCCCCTCATGAATCGTTCGTTGAAGGTATTTACATGAAGTTGATTGTGGATAGTAAACGTTCATTCTGAAATGTTGAGATAGCATAAATTAGCTAAAATACATCATAATTTCCAACGGCTAAATCATAGCTTTGCTCCTGGTAGGCCGCGCTTCATAAATTAAGAGCATGTATATAAATAAACACAAGAAACAAACAATATAAAGTGAATCAAAACATTCTTATAGCTGGTGTAAGCAAATAGTAAACCAGTATAATGAAATCAAATGCTAAAATAACCAATGATGCATAACAAATGAGTGAAATGTTGCTAAATGTCGGAGAGAGGAACACTATAATTGAGGTCATTAGTCATCATACCCCCCGAAGAACCCTGAAGGTTAGTACTTATTGCATGTGAATTCCTAGTAGATGAACAATGAGCACATCTAGAATAAGAGGTATGATTGCATTCAAATGGTGAAAAGTCACAACCTATAAGATTAATGGTTGAGAACGGTATAATTACATATCGCGCGACAATTCTGCAATTACAGATTGTGGAAGGAAGTGGCACACTATAAATTTTGGGCGATACCTTTGTAAATTGTAACATAAATTCACATAAAGTTGATGGTGATCGATGAACCTACCGCAGACAGAGACAATGACAACGACAACGGATATATCTGAATTTGCAGAAGTTTGAAACGACACAACACCTGTTCGATCGATTTAGTACATCGGTTATAGTCCATATCAATACACTTATAGTACCGCCACGAATTTACGCGCACATAGTAATCGTATACTTGATTCCCAAGTAGACTTGATTTCACACTCAAAAATCACAGACACAAAACAGAAATAGAAAAACCCCAAAAAAAAAACACAAATCTTTTCAACGAAGGAAGCATTTTTGTAAAAGAAGCTATGGAGAAAACGAGTAAATGGGATTTCAAGATTCCCGATGACACACCCCCAAAACTTGCAAGTTGCATCGCATGCATTGCAGCCAGCCAACCGTCAGAGCACCCTGTGTCGCTTTGCTTCGTGCACAGGGCAAACAAAAAACAAACAATAAATTACAGCACCCGAATATATATATATATATAATAATATCATTAAACTCAAACATATAAAGCGAGAAGAGCATCGCATGCAGATTTTCCAGATCCGCAGCAGAAGAATGAGTGGTTTTTGAACAACACCCCCACCGCCCTCTCCCACCATTTACCTCTCCTCCTTGAAAAAACACAGCTTTTCCTTTTCTCTTCCCACCATAGTCAATCGCCCAACCACACAACGAGGCCCGCCCAAATCCATCAACTATTTTAAAATAATAATGGAGGAGGACAACAACCACGAAAACCCTAATACCAACAACCAACCGGCACTCAGCAACTCCACATCCTCCCCTCCGCACCCTTCCTCCCCCTCCGCCGGCTGCTCGAAGAAGGGCGGAGGCGGGGGGAAGTCCGGCGGGAAAGGAGGCCCCGACAACGGCAAGTTCCGGTACCGGGGTGTCCGGCAGCGCAGCTGGGGGAAGTGGGTCGCCGAGATCCGCGAGCCGAGGAAGCGGACCCGCAAGTGGCTGGGCACCTTCTCCACCGCCGAGGACGCCGCCCGAGCCTACGACCGCGCCGCCCTCGTCCTCTACGGCTCCCGTGCCCAGCTCAACCTCCAGCCCTCCTTACCCGCCGGCTCTTCCTCTACCACTTCCACCGCCTCCTCTTCCTCTTCCTCCTCCCAAGCCGCTCGCAACTCCTCGGCTCAAACCCTCCGCCCCATCCTCCCCCGCCCCACCTCCTTCGGCTTCGGCGGCTTCTCCCCTTACCCTGCCTACCACCCCCAGCACCTCCTCCACAATGTTGCGCTGCCCGATACGACGACGCCGTCCTTACCGATCCCTTTCTCGTTCCATCACAACCCGGCGACGAGCCACTTCCAGCACCTCCCGAGCCATCCGATGATGGGTTCGAGCGCGGCGGGGACCACAAGTACGACGACGTATGAGGATCTAGGACATCAGCAACGTCCTCAGGTGGAGGGGCAGCATTGTCTTTACGACGACATAGGCGTGCTGGCCGGGTCGGTCGGGTCGGGGCTGTCGATTTCGAACAGCGCGGCGCAGCCGGTTCATGTTTCTGGGACGGTTCCGGGGCATCAAGACCCGGGCTTGCATGTCGGGCCCGGGTCGCCTGAAGGGTCGTTCTGGCCGCAGATTTCGGGCGAGGAGTACCCGGCGCCGTCGATATGGGACTACGGCGACCATTCCTTGTTTGACTTTTGATCGATTAGGTGCCCCTAAGGGCGGTGTGTGTATATATAGCTATTATGGCTGGCTAGGTTACTTTTGTTTCCCCGATTAGATTTGCATGCAAAAGCAGTGATCTTTTGACGGTGATTAATTAGGATATATACGTTTCTGGGGAAGCGCTGTCCGTCGAGATTGCCCGCCCCACACAGGTAAGCTGTTTTGAACTCTCTCTCTCTCTCTCTCTCTGTAAGTTTTAGATTTTGTCATGTATCTGAAGGTGGTGGTGGTGGCGGTGGCGGTGATGATCAGATACGTTTTTTTTATATTGTTACTTTTTGCTTAGTTAGGGCTTAAATCTTATTTTGGGGAATTAATTTTGGGCAGGGGATTAATGGGAAGGGGTTAGAAGCAGATTTTATTGTGATTAATTGTTTAGGGTTTTTCTTTTTCTGGTCAAAGAGATTAGTTAGTTTTTTTGGTTTCTTTATTCTGTAGTCTCTTTTTGGGTAACTGGAAGCAATTAATTCCTGTCCTGGATATTAATTCACCGTCCCCTGCGTTGGAACTCTTGAGTATTTGGCTTATCAGAAGGAAGGATATGCCTTTTGATTTCCTTCTGCTCTATCTCAGTTTTTTTTTTAAGAATATGTTTCCTGGTTAATAATTTTGTTTTCCTTCCGCTAATTCGTAATATTACCATTCTGAATGTTGAAATTCGGCTCTCGTGAGGAATGGGTAATTAACATTTTTAGGGTATTTGGCAAAATGGAGGACTAATTTCTTCATTAGTTTCAAAAAAAATTTCTTAAAAATGAAAATGAACTGATAAGAGTAGGGAAATGGTATTATATGATTATAGCTAACCTCCGAGGGTTGGCTAGTGATAATGTGGGATGAGAATGCCACACTCTAGGTTCTAGCTTGTATCAACGAGAAAACTGTATTCTAGGTTTTAATATTATGGTCAACAATAAAAAAAAAACTATGACATCCATTTTTGACACCTTCCATAACAATTCAATTAAGAGATCATAGATGGAAATTCAAGCTAGTTGATTGATTCATTGTTCCTCCTCCTTGAGCCTCCTCATTTGAATCAAATTTAGGTACAGAATAGATCATATGATATTCGTGTACGTTGTTTTTTCCGTGGAATTGAAGCTCCGTTGTATTCACATATGCTGACCTCTGTAGTCTGCCTAGTAAGGGTTGTACGTACGTCTCGTTTTGACTATATTCAACGGCGTAGTGTGCGTACAATACGTTGTCGTTTATCCTTTTTGTTCCTTCTCGTTTTGGCTATATTCAACGGCGTAGTGTGCGTGCAATACGTTGTCGTTTATCCTTTTTGTTCCTTAACTAGCTGCTTGTGAATTGCATTGAGCCTCATTTTCCACACTGAGCCCAAAACTTTTGACTGATCAATGGCTCTATTACATATATACTCGTAGCAGAAGAAACAAATCGTTATTACTTTTCCGCGCCTACGTACGTTGAACAATTGAACTGGAACAGAAGAAACATGGAAAGAGAACTGGAACAGAAGAAGCATGGAAAGAAAATTACTACGACAACTAGACAAGTGATGAGAACTGAGAAGTCTCTAACTGAAACAGAAGAAACATGGAAAGAAAATTACTACGACAACTAGTTAGAGACTTCAAGATTCTGAGCAAGTCTTGTTTATCTCATTATGCAGTTTCATGACCAATGTACGTAGTGTCAAAACGACCATTCTACGTAAAAACGTTTTGGTGATCTCGAAATTTAAAAACGCGATTTGAACTAAATCAGTTATGAAGAACACACTTATACCTAGAATCGTTCTGGTAAACTAACACTATATTGCTCATGACTTTAAATATCAATCCCATATCAATCCATCATCCAGCAGCACTTCCGATCATCATCCCTAGCGTCCAGCTGCCATCAATTCCTACTGATTGTATCCTTCCATTTCATGCCCAATTCTTATGAGGGTTAGATTCTTATTTGTCATTTCCTAAGGGCCGGAAGTGTCAGAATAACGCGTAAGGCTATAGAGATCCACGCAAGTACAAAACAAAACATTATGACTTGAAGCACAAACAAACAAAAACAACAAAATTGCGTAAGGCCATAGACATAGAGTTCCATACATATATATATGGAACGAAATATTTAATCACGTGCGAATTAATAAGTGCTATGTAATGTAAGTGTAATATGTTCACTAGTTTTTGTCTTTGGTAGTGTGAAATTTTCCCAGAGAAGTTGCTTCTCCCCTACGGAAGGTACTGATAACATGTATGGGGAATTTTTGTTATTTTGTATTGCCATTGCCGATTGCCGGCCCAATAAAGTCCCCTCGTCGGATGCATGTATTCCTCATTATAACTAAACTTAATTCGTTTTGAGATTACTAGTTGTGTCAATATAGCAACTAGAGAGTCAATTTAATCAGTTGATCATGAGCAACTTATTAGTTGGCTTTTCCATTACTCATACAGTGATTTGAGACTCATAGTATTTTAATAAATCAAATATATGTCTCATATATAATTTAGAACCTTGCTACAGTGACTTTCAATTCACTGTGAGTTGTAGAAAACAGTCAATCGTTTACAATAACAAGTCAATTAGGTGACACAATTACGTTATTTCAATAGGGCACCACCAGTACAAAGGAAAATAACGGACATATGCTCCAGCAAACGAGACCGAGTGATGCATTGTTTGAACTTGAAAACCTTGCATGGTTTCATGAAAAAGTTTATCTTATCCATGAAAATGCAACACATGCTCCAGTACTTTGTGGAAGCCACCGGATGAAGGTTGGATTCAAGTATAAAGCAATAGAAGTTGGACTGCCTCGAAAGGAAATGCATTAGCAGGAGGACTCTTAAGAGATAACCGGAGAGCTTTCACTTCAAATACGAGCACATGCTCTATTACAAGGGCAGAATTGAAGGGATCGGAGCAGGTAAAGGTCTGGAAAATTACTTGGCAAAAAAGGACACAAGAATTCCTCAACAGCAATCGACATAATCAAGAACTGTGCTGATACGGATCACAACCATGGCCTTGTCGCACACAAGCTAGGAGAGCTTCTTAATTAGGAGGGATTAGGTAATTAAAGTCAATCATATTTATAGAGAATCGAACTACGTCACTAGTTTTTTTTCCTCTATAAGGGTCGTTCTGTTAATTTTGGCACACATCTATTCAATGCATGTGTACGACCTCGATCTTTGTAATTGACTTTTGTGTGACGCTCCGGTTATCAAATTCACAGTATTGGAATATTTAGACATGGTTGAAACAGAGAGCAAATAGAAACACGAAAACACAATTATCTTATTAAGCAAAAATTAATACATCAAGACAAGTAATTGATCACATGTGGATTTCTTGAAATCGATATCGGACCCCGAAATCAAAAGGAGTATGTCTCGTACCTCATCGCGCACCTACCATCTCTGATGTCAATGCCGTAGGAGCGGGCGCAGCATTTGTTTATCGCCGAGAGGACGTCGTGCAAACACTGGTAGCAAGTATAGTCGTCGAAGCTGCAGTGAACCCTAGCGTAGAGACCCACCGTCTCGCCGTCGACATAAGCGATCACGCGGTCGCGGTTACCAATCTGCTCCGCATAGACATCAACCTCGAGATGAGTTTTGAAAGCATTCAGGCAGTTGTTCAAAGCGGTCTCTTTCTTTGGGTTGAAGTTGGTCAAGTTCCAACTGTACACGAAATCATCTTCAAAGGCGTCCACACCGATCATCATCACTAGCGACGAGACGACGATTAGTCCCCTGACAATTGACATTCTTCTTCTTCTTCTTCTTCTTCTTCTTCTTCTTCTTCTTCTTCTTCAAATGGTTATGATATGATAAGCTTACATATATATACTATGTGGGAAGCACATGTCAATTGTCATTTCCCAAGGGCCAGGAACTATCCAGACGAGAGCGTAAGGACATAGAGATCATGTAGGTACTGCAAGACAATATATAGCTGGAAAACAAACAGAAGTGGCCGGAGAAGATAACCTACAAAATGGAACGGGATTATTTATTTGATCACGTGTTCAATACAAGGTTTGAACAGTTCGAAGTTGTTTGTTAGTGTTTTTCTTTGGTTAAGTGAGACTTTCTAAGACTCTGCTTTTTTGCTAGGGGAAAATGATGATGTATATATAGGGGATCGATCGATCGATTTTGTGATATTCTTAAATGGGGCGGCAATGCTAGCCGATTGCCGGCCGGCGCCGCGGCCGGGCGGCAATGAAATTCTAATCGTCGGAGGTATTGGCCAATGGCCACCGCTAGGATTTAAAACAAGGACAGTATCACCTGTAGACTGTAGTTAAGCTTAAAACAAACCTATTGGGAACTGACAATCCATTCATAGTGAAAACGAAAAAGAGAACGGCCACATGGAAAAACAAATTTATCTCTTGGAACATCTAGAGATAAAACACCTAATTTAAGCGTATTTTTTCATCTATCTACGTAAATTTCAGCTTATTCCCGCAAAATAGTAGATTATTCACGCAACCAATATTGTTTAGTCACACAATTTGATATTTATTCACGCATATTAGTATTTATTCAATCCGTTATAAAATCAAATTTTAAACTTTGAAATATATCAAATTGAACGTGTAGATTATGATAATACAATACATTTTTAATACAACTCTGCTCCTCAAATTGATCTGGTGCCTTTTCAACAAAATTGAATCATGGTGTAAATTTTCTTTGTGCTGCAAATACCAATACCCAATAAATTGTTGGAATATACGAGTAGACAATCTTGTATCCACTCCAATACATCCATATTAATATCCAATTAATCCAATCTACTTAAATCCAATTCATTTGATCCATAATTTATTGGATTGATGGATTGTTGTCAAAGTACAGTTTACGGCCTATTGTATGTTTTACAATTTGGGTCCTGAAATTCATTTTTTTAACAAAGCATACCATTGGATTATTACATTTTGGTATACAAATTTTTTATTATGACATGTCAATATCTAAACTTTTCAAAGTTTATTTATTTGTCCAATGTTTAGATGTCACTTGGATTCATTTATAACTGTTGGAGCCTCCTTGATCTCCCTTCTTTACTCTGTCCGCTTTGCCTACGTGGAATTACCTACACACAGAGGTGGGCCTCGTGGCCCGTTAGTCCTCCAACGATCAAGTCAGCTTCTTCTTTTAGAGAGAGAAGTAATTTCCCTAAAAGTGTAGTGAGAGAAGCCAAATTGAGTAAATGGTTACCAACCACACTATTTATAACTGTTCATCGTTTATCTTACCGTACGGACTTCCACGTCATCACCATATCGTTTCCTTGCCCTAGGCGCCTGGTCTCGCTGTTCTCCATGATGACATGTGCCAGGCGCCTAATGAGCAATCAATCCTCATCCCTGTTTCCTTAGGCATCCCAACCAATGCGCCTTCTCGGACATGACTGGACGGGCCTCTGCCTTCATTCAACTGATCCTCCCTAGTCTGCCTAGGGCTGGTAAACGGTCGGTAACCGGTTACCGGTATACCGGACATCATCACAATGCCACCGTTTGCCGATATCGAACTTAACTCGGTATACCGAATCCCGAATTCATACGGTATCGGTTATTAGCCGGATACCCGTGTTGCCGCTGGCCCATTCTGCTACCGTGCTTCATTTGTCTGCCCTTTCATTCCGCGACATAGGAGCTGTGACGGTGTACACTGTACAGGAATGGTGGGGAGGGGACGAATGGTGAATGATGATTGCATATGGGTTGGGGTTTTTCATGTGCATCAATTGACAATTATCATAAAAATTAAAAAGTTTGAGACAGCGAAAGCAACAAACAATGGAACTTGGTTGCTGCTCTCCTCTGGCACAACAAGTCAATAAACAAAGTCAACGAAATATTATGACCTGAAAAATATGAATCGACAGAGAGTAGAACGAACTGTGGGGCTGCTAGGTCGAGCGGGAAAGGTCCGGCGGCGGCAAGGTAACGGAAACTGGCCCGACGGCGACGGGATCGACGGAAAAGGACCTAATAGAGACTGGGTTGCTGGGTCCTGGGCTCGTGGGACGAGGGTCGAGCTTTCGCCGACGACGGAAAGGATGAAGATTCTGTTTCTGCAGGTAGCTATCGGGCAGCAGCCAGCGTTTGTTGTCGAGGATCGATTGTGAGGCGTGCCTCGTCGTACTCGTACAGCAGATGGCAGAGAGCGATAAAAATTGGTATTGGTATTAACTAGTATCTAAATTCTAGTTAATCAGGCAAGGTTGGAGTCTGGGAGAGGACGGCGGGTTGCGCAGCGCCTTTGCCGTTTGCCCTTTCAATTCCGGTATCGGGATACCGAAATACCGTCGGTATTTTACCGAGTCCTTGTCGGTATACCGAAGCCAAGCAAGCCACATCCGAATACCGTAACTTACGTTAACGGTTTTGTCGATAACCGCGGTATCGGTACGGTTACCGGTTAAACCGTTAGCCGCAAAACCGTTTACCACCCCTAAGTCTGCCCTTGGGTCTCTTTAAATGGGCCCAACTCCTTTTTGGGCCCTCTCTTGGACTCCCTTTGGGCTTGTCACACGTACCTGGCTCTTTGACGTGCTGTAAGTTTTTCCCCCATCTAAATACCCCCAACAATAACAATCCATGAATCCACCAATTTATTTGATCAAATCCATAAGATCCATGAATCCAATTTGTTTGTCACCTCTACAAGTATAATATATATCAAACTTTTAGGACCTATATATGGAAGCTCTTCCTCCCCTTGATCGGCGAGTTCTAAAAGTAAAAACTTATAGTTATCTGTCCATGATCGAAAAATAGTTATAAGGAAACTAAGCCAACTAACAAAGCTTAATACAATAAGCTCTAACACAAAGACAAAGTGTTGGGAGAAAATCAAAGATGTTGGAGACTCATTTGATAAAATTATCGCAATTGAGGGTCCAAACGCCAAACTTAGCATTGTTGACAATAATTTGAAACCTTCAACGATTCTAGATCCCAAACCGTTTTGCTAGAGCAATGGAACAACATATATACTAATTGAGTTGTTTTTATCAGAAAGACAGAAACTTAAAGAGTATTATTTCATTTTACTCATCTTAGCTACAAGCTACCATATCAATCTATTCGATCAACACCCCAAAATGGGGAGGCCAGAGAAGTAAAAAAAACAGAGACAGACACCATAGAAAAGGTTTCTCATACGAAACCGTCGACAACCAAACCACCGTCCTCTCAGCCTATAAATCTATAATAACTCAAAAAAGAGATCGCCTTCGCTCTGAATCGCCGCCGCCGATGATCCAATTCGGTTGATTCATCTCATCATAACAAACCCTAATAAACGTCGTACCTTAGTTGACACGCCGTGGCATTGAACCGAGCTCCCACCCGCCGAGGACAGGCGTCGAGGACTTTCTTCGCACCATCCTTGAGACACTCGGCGCAAGTCGCCTTGGACACATTCTTCGTGCAGGCGCCTTTGCCGGACATAACCGGGGTGTCTATTTCTGGGAAATTGATGACCTTTGAGTAACCTTTGGTTTTGATGACCTCGTCGCCGAGCTCTTTCAGCACGTGCCTCACGTAACTGTCGGTCGGGTACACGGTCGTGTAATTGGTCTTGTTGCACGTGACACCCGCCGCCGGGGCCACCTTAATCGACGGAGTTGGAGATTCCGCCGGAGACATGCTGTCGTCGTCGTCGTCGTCAGCGTTATTGACGTGGATGGACCCGAAGACGATGATGAAGAATACTGCAGACATTTTTACTAAGCGACCCATCTCCTTCTCCTCTGTTTTCTGGCCTCCCCTGTTTTTTGGACTTGCTCTGTTTTTCTTTTTCTAGTTGTGATGGCTTGCTTGTGTTTCTCACCGACTTCGGGAGGCCTTTTATATACCAAGTTGAGAAAGGAAAGATGTCATTTTTTGTAGTTTTGTGAAGGTGGCAGTGTGCTGAACAGTTGAGCTTACTGAAACGCAACGAAGAGCTCACAGTCACAGCTTGCAAAAGTGGAGGGCGAGGGGAACTAGAAGGATAGAACAGTGAGATTTCGTGGTGAACTGAGTTTATGGGTTGTCAAGATTGGTGGATTTGGAAAACGACAGAGTGTAGAAGGTACAAAAAAGTTTTGGATAAAACTTGCAAACTTGATGCTTACAGGATTTTCTACCCAGGATACTATATCGTTTGAATGAGCAGCCAGTGGTTCATAGGCTACAGTAATTAGATGTCGAAAAAATTATTTTAAGTTACCCAAAGCAAGACGACAGCTTGCAAATGGGAGCAAAATACGTAATCTAATCTGTTCAATGATCAATCACTACTAGGCTGGGAAAATGGTTAAAACAAGAAAGCAATATTTTCGGGGCAATGAAAACAAAAAAGAGGATAGAGTTTGATTTTTTTATTAAGATTTTTTTTTGGTAGGGAAAAAAAAACGCATTACGACTCAGCCTACCCTCAGCCTAGAGATGGCAATGGGTCGGGTTGGATCGGGTTTTGTCAAACCCAAATCTAAATTCATGGGTTTATCCGCCAAAAAAACCCGGGGTAAAACCCGTTGGGTTTGAAAAATGCAAACCCAACCCAACCCGCTGGGTATCCGCGGGTTCATGGGTACCCGTGGGTTATTATGGTAAAAAATTTACAATAACAAGTTTCTTTCAAACTAAAAGTTTAACATCAGTTTTCTCATACAGAAAACACCAATCTAGAGCATACAAGCAAACCGCAAATGATCAATACAAATTGTTCAAAATTAAAGATAAACATCTATAAACAATAAGATTAACTGAAAGCTTCTTCCTCGTCAACTATGTTTCTTCACTCTCCACTTCATAATATCAACTTCATTCTAAACAATTAGAAATAACAAATTATACATGTCTTCACAAACATAAAGAATATTAGTTGTTTAAGGAAGATATATTATTTAAATATTAAATATATCGGGAAAGTAATTATATATGTGTGGGCGGGTACCTTTGGGACGGGTTTACCTAAACCCAAACCCAACCCGAACCGGTGAATAGTGTAGCGGGTATAAACCCGAACCCGGCCCAAAACCCGTCAACACAGATTTTACCCCGTATTGACGGGGTTGGGTCGGGTGGGTACCCGTGGGTTCGGGTTTTGTTGTCATCCCTACCTCAGCCCACAGTCCGGCAAGACAGACAAACATGAGCTGGGCCAGATACCCAACCATTTTAATAAATGCTGTTCTGTTCATCTTGGGCCCATTCGTCCTTGACCCACCTGTTCGCCTTGTCCATTTGTTAGCCCACAGCCCAGCAAGACTAGGGTTTCACTTCTAGCGGTATATAAAGGCAGGGAACCCCTACTCTACCTTCTTCTCCGTCAGTCTCCTTCAAACAAGGGTTTGTTCAGGCGGAAGCAAAGCGAAGAAGAGAACCAGAGAGAAACCCAGCGTGCTTCATCACCATGAGAGCCAAGGTAAGCTTCCACTCTCGAACGCAACCAACATTTGAAGGAGTACATGGTCGATTCTTCCTATTCGTTGCTGATTAAATCCTTTTTGTTTCTCTCTTTATTGGGTGGTGCTTTTTTCCAGTGGAAGAAGAAGCGTATGAGGAGGTTGAAGAGGAAGCGCCGAAAGATGAGACAGAGATCCAAGTAGTCTGCTTCCTTTCAATAAACGAAGTGGAGCGTAGCGTATCGATCTAGGTGGATTTCTGCATTTCGTTTTTTTCCCCCTTTTCCCTGTTGAAAACTCTGTTGCTAGTACCGAGTTTGATGTATTGATTTGAAATTTCAGTTGGATACAATTTTTGTTTCTCGTTCGAAATTAGTATGGTATTGTGCCCCTTGTTCTGCTTATCCATTTGTATGGTTTATTGCGTTATCTTTCTGGAATTTGTTTTGGTATACCGATGATCCATATGTTTGTCCTCGATCTGGATTCGCGGTAGATTTCTCTGGGATTCGATTCCATTAATGGTTAATTTGAGTTGTATTCTACGGCTGTTGAAATGTGAGCTTTAAGGTAATTAGATGTTTTAGTAACTTGTTGCGGAAATGTGGCTCTAAGGTAATCGAACTTTGGCAATGCTCCAAGTTTACAGTGTCAGATTCTGTGTTTCCTGCTGTTTTAATTGGTAGTATGAATGCTGTGTATTTCTTGGTTATTGCCGTGCTGACTAGTGATTACTATGTCACCCATTGTAGTAACTTAGAGGTGTGTTCTTCAGCAAGTTCTGCTGGCTTTCTATAGATTCCATGCTCATTCCTATTCTGTAGGATTTTGATAAGCTTCTTGCTAGTCCAGTTGTACTCCACTGTACTCTGCAAACCAATAGTAGTGTTTTTTTGTGTTCTTCTCGTTTTAGTTACATTTGTTTGAGCTGACTGGTTGCTGTTGTATTATTCTTGGCCATTGTTTCTGGTAGAGACTTGAATCTCTTTACTGTTTTAGCTATTGTGGGCATGTGATTCTGCTTTGTTTAACCAGTTATTGCTATTAATAGTTCCCCGTAATGTGATTGGGGAGTGTAGATGGAACCCTTTTGAAGTCTGCAAATTTTTAGTCACCCATGAAACGAAATCTTGACTTTGCATTGGTGAAGCTTTTTTATTAGCTATTGCATTCTTGGTTAACTTGAATTGAGATATTTTGTCCAGGGTAGAAAGATGGAGATTGGTGTTATAAAATTGGTGAACGTTCTGTTCTTCGGAACTTTTTAAACTCCCCATGAATCAAATCAGTGGTTATACATTGTTGTAGGCGTAATCCGAATTTGGTGGTTGTATTTAGAGCGTCAGAATGGCGCAAGTGTCTGGTGATTTATTTGCTACTTTGCCTTTGGCGTCCTATATTTCACTTCAATTATGTGTTCAGTAACACTCGACCATTGAAGGATTGGTAAACGTCTTTCTCATTCCAACTCCAACTTCAAACTGACCATAGAACTCAACGATCAGCCACCATAGCGAAGTTCGTGAAAGCGGGATAATATCTTCAAACGAATTGGATGATTCTGGTTGATGGATTTTGCTCATAAGTTGCCCTTGTCACTTCGTCGCTCTGGTCGATGGATGATTCTTTTCCATTGTCGGGCAAAGCGATGAGCAAATGCAATCCTCTAGTTTTTGCTCATCCTCTAGTTTAAGACAAGTAAGTGTGGGGAGTCAATAGACTCCAATGACATGCGATAGGCGATCAAGTCGAGGATCGCCAACAATGGTTTTCCGAGTGATCCATAGCAACTGGTTTTCAATGTGGCCTAGATGGATGGTATAAAACATTTCAATGTGGCCTAGATGGATGGTATAAAACACCTTATTTGCTTGTATGGTAGGCGAGGTGGCAATTTTGAATACAATCTATGCACTATGCACTCCAAACTTAATTAATCCAATTGAATTGTTGGGTTTTTAGATTGAATTCATAGATTGTTAGAAAATTAGAGCAATACCTCTTATTTTTTATATTTTATATTATGATACTTCAGTTTTCATGAAAATACCACTAGGAACTATGTCTCCATACCTGAAATTTTTAATAATGACATTTTAGTACCTAAGTTTTCATATTGGTCTAATATTAAGATGTCAATTTGATCTCATATCCACGAATCCACTGACCCATTTTTCACTTCTAGAATGCACAACTACAACGAGATTGAAAGAGGCATATGACTAATATATTGCAAGTTTTCAAAATAATACAGTTACACGAGATTGCGAACGGAGTAACTGTAAATCTGTCATCAAATTTATTACGCTCAAAAGTTATCGTTCCATATTCTCTTGCCGAAAAAACTCTATACATAAGCAAGATGGGATGTCAAGGGCCGGGCGGGAATGGTTCATCCCAATAGGAAGGGAATGTGGCATTAAACGTTGGTACTGATTACTTTACATAACTTCTAGAAAACCGATATTCATTTTGAATGAGACATTGAAATTTAAGTTGTTATCATTTTTATTATATGTTCTTCCATCTTAGATAAGTTTGACGTCTAAGATTGATATGTATTTAATTCAACTGTTCTTTTATAGTTCATTTTTGTGATTAGTAATTACCATAAAAGATATTAACTTAAATCTCGCCGCTAATGTCACACTCGAGTGGGAAAATCGTAATGAAAATAAGCTATAAAAAAAATTCGTGGTAAAAAATAAAAAGAATAGATAAAAGTCCAACCAAAAACCGATAAAACAATGTGCCATGCTGTTTCCGCTTTCTACAAACTCAGACCTTACACATCCTTAGGACCCACGGGCTTAGTTTCAGGCCCAATAACAAGCCCACCATCATGCGCTCTTAATCTGTCCACATAACTCCTAACTTCCTCCGCTATCATCCTTTGCATGATTCCCAACAAACAACTCTCCCCCACCTCCGCCGTCTTCAACCACTTCCCCTCCTCCTCCACCTTCTTCACCCGCCGCCTCCCTCCGTCGTCCCCTCCCACCGCCGCCGCGGCCTCTTCCTCCTTCTCTCCCGCCGCATTAACTACCCCCTCCCCCGGCGGCGACAGCGTCAGCGAAGTTTCCGGTCCGCCCGTAATAATCTCCCCTCCACCGCCCTCACCCATCTTACCATTCTCATTACTTTTATCATCATTATTATTATTATTATCAATATTATAAATAATATCATTATTATTATTGACGTCATCGTGACGCAAGCAGATCTTCTTATTAACCCCGGACTCGCCCTCCGACTCGGCCAACGCGTCCTGCAGACACGGCCGCTTCATCACCGAGTTCGACTCGGACGCGGACGACGAGGCGAGCTCCTCCCCGGTCCCCGCCACGCGCTTACGGCGGAGCGTGGAGTTCCAGTGGTTCTTGATCGCGTTGTCGGTCCGCCCGGGGAGGAGGCGGGCGATGGTGGCCCACTTGTTCCCGTGGACGGCGTGGGCCCGGACGATGACGGCGTCCTCCGACGGAGTGAACGGCCGGTGCTGCACCTCCGGCGACAGCTGGTTGCACCACCGCAGCCGGCACGATTTCCCCGACCGGCCGGGGATCCCGGTGCTGATCATGGACCAGTTCCTTGGGCCGTGCTGCTGGACCAGCTTGACCAGGGTGGCGTCCTCCTGCGGGCTCCACGACCCCTTGACCCGGTCCAGCGACGACGACGAGGTGGCGGCGTTGCCGGTGAAGGAGGAGGCCATCGGCGGCGAAGGAGAAAATTAAAATGGAGATGGTGGTGAATTTTTGGGGGAATAATAATGGGTTTGTGTGTTATATATATTGATCGGAGGGAGGAGATCGAATAACGGTTGAGGATGGAGAAAAGGGAGGGGGGAGGGTTTGTTGGCGTGAACCGTAAAACCGCTAGCTTGGGGAGGATGACATAACGACTTTGGCTCGGTTACATGCGCGTGTGCGGGGGGAAGTTATGGAATGGAATTCTTTTATGTGTATGTATATAACCGACTGAAACGGAAAGGATGGAGGAACAAGAAGAAGAAATGGATTCATTATTCATTGCTCAAACTAACTGTCCGGCTCTTGGTCTCTTCTCTAGGCAGGGAATATAATATACTCTGATCGTCTAACAGTTTCACGTTGCAAAATAGATTTCCAACCTAACCGCAAAAATTTCCACACATTTTAAAGATGAAGACTCGTGAAATTAATTACAACATTTGTATTTATGATTAATATATATGTAAGTAATGTTAATGGTAATTAAGATGTCATATGCAAGTAATGTTAATGTTATTAGTCAGCTTGGTCCTAAATGAGACGATTTATATATAAATATTTATTTTACCACTTTTTTTATGTGACTGAGCTGGAAACGGTATTTACTGGATTGGGCTTGATTATCTTTACAAACGTCGGCCCAAAAGGAGTCCATACTTTTCAAGACCGGCCACTATGAAACTCGAATCTGATAGTCCAATGTGTACAAGACTACAAGTGTACATTATTAGTTCTGGCCTCTGGGATAAACGGTGTGATCTGGTCCAAACCGGATTATATATACGCTCTATGGTCCAGACCGAGAGGTTGAAGTATAGACTACAGACCAGATCACAGCTTATACAGTCTGGTCCAGACCATGCCTATGCGGTCTGGTTCAGTCTGGTCTGGTCCAGATAGACCACACTGAAAGAAAAATGAATAATTTGCTTAGTCAACCACTCAAAAAATTGAACCAATAACCAAGAAAAATAATTGTTATTTGCCTTAAAACATTAATCCTAACATGCACGAATAATTTTGATACCCTAGATCTTAGTACATAACAAAGATACAAAGTAAAAGCATCTCAACTTGTACCATAACGTTATGAACATTAACATAATGTCAAATGGAGACACAATTATCTCTACTCTCTGGTTAAATGTGGTTGTGAATGAAGGATGGACGAAATTCTCAAAATTAAGGTTGATACTTGGGTGTCGTTGTGGGAGCTGGGAGAGTGATCGAGTGGGCTATTAACACGTATTGACAAGTCGGTTGGTCTACGATTTGGTCTGGTAAACCGCGGCCTAGACCAGACCAGACCAAGAGATCAAAAATTAAAATAATACAGACCATGGATCAGACTAAAACATACTAAAAAGGTCTAAAGTCCAGACCAAACTGTACTGTATGGTTTGGACCACGGTTTTTCTAACGGTCTGCTCTATTTTCCCGATCATGCGAAGAAAATGAATTCGTATTAACGTAACGTGGGTAAGATATGCCAAAGAGGGAGCCACGTAGCTCGCTAGCGACAGCCATTAGCCACTCGCCAGTGTACAAAAACTGAAACAGTAATCGACTTTCTCTAGCGCATGCTTTTGATTTGCTGACTCAGACCTCAATTCACGGCGGAAGAGGTTCCCAAAAAAGAGAGAAAAGAAGAAGAGACCCGTAATGTCAATTCACTCGGCGGCCTGAAAGAACCTCTGCCGCTTGCTCCTGATACGGTAGCTCGTCGGCACCGAAGCCGCCGCGATTCTGCTCAGTACGACGTTGAGCGAATGCTTTATCGCCATCACACACACTTTCCCCTGACTTCCGCCGCCGCCGTTTTTGGACAGTATAAGGATGCTTTTGATTCTCCCTCCGACGCTTGTTATGTCGGCCCTCACAATCTCCAGCCTCTGCCCTCTCACGACACGTATGAGCTCCGACATCACCTCCGGCCTGTCCTCGCACGAGACGCTCACTCTTATCAGCAGGCCGGCGCCGGCATCCTGGCAAACGTCGACGGAGATCTCGTCCACTTCGGATGGAATGGTTAGGTTTCTCTCCACTGCTTCTTTCGCTTCCCTCTTCAGTTCTTTCACCTGTTCGATCGCGCTCCCCAGCAGCGCCGCCTTGTCCATCTGATTCAAAATTAAAATCAAAGATATGTTCTTTGGAGGACGAACATCAAAACCCATCAAGGGATTTGGGTTTGGGAAACGAATTCAGGGGAAATTGAAGGAAATTTACTTTGTCGGAATTAGGGATGAGTTTCCTGAGAACGCCAAGTTGTGTGTTGATTCTGTCTCTTCGGCGCTTCTCAGCTTGTTTATGGCTCCTTGAACTGGAAGCAGCTTTTTCTTCGATGGATTCTTGGCTGCCGACATCGCAGTAGTTTTCCGGCCATGCAAATGGGAAACATTCATCTCCCTGAAATGCGGTAGAGGCAGAGGCAGAGGCAGAGGCGGGAAAGTCTGCTTCCTGCAAAGGGGCTGAAAATGGCTGTTCAGGAACAGATTGCCAGCTGCTAGAGTACTGAAATTTCATCTCTGTTATTATTATGAACTTTCCTTTCTAGCTCTCTCTCTCTGCCTCACAAGTCTACTAAAGGGAAAAAGGAGCAGAGTTTCCTGGTTGAATCAGAACAACTGACTCCCATACGCAACAAACAACTGTGTTATATGGGACTAACAGCAGCAGCAATAATATGTGACTATGAGTTGTTGTTATCTTCATAGGTTTGATGGTGATGGCTGGGAGGAGTTATCTTTTCAATTGGGTCAAATTTGAAATCATATTTCTGGCCATTTATGCCTGTCATTTCAAAGTCTAGAGGAAATTTCTTCCTCCTCATATTGACAGTGTGTTTTTGCTGTTTATTTCAGGAGACACACAAATCTATTTAGGGATCTTACAAGTATTTGTTAGATTGCTGTAATCTTTAGCATTAAGTACTACACTACTTGGTGCTTCTAGGAAACCTGTACAGTGAGGAGAATTCTGCCTACTGCTGTGGAGGGCGATTAACGCATGCTAACGTTGTTGAATCATCTGTATGTGTGTTTCTAGTTGTTGAAAGTAACGTTATTGCGCCGATTCGTGGAATCGAGAACAATCCAATGAGATCAACAAAGACTGGACATCCCCAAATCAGCAGCCTGGCACAGTTGGTTCAACACCGCGCACAAATTTTATCAGGTGTGTTTGAGTTTGAGAACAGCAGCATCCACCATAATAAGGAATCCAAAGAGGAAATCCGAAATATGAATTGGCATTAATACGTGTGAGAGAAAAGAGAATCTATGGAGCGTGCTTTAGCTTAATGATGATCACTGCAAATCTATCTATGCTTTGGTAAAGATAAAGGTTTAGTGTGATCCACTTAGAACCCCACAAGCAGCAGCTGAAGCTCATGGACCTAATGTGGAATTTTCTATACGCTGTATATTGAAATAAACAAAGCTAAAAGGTCACTTCTATTACTGTTTTTATCTTATATATGAATCTTGAATGAAACCGAAAGATGGATAAATCTTTGAAAGCAAAAGCAGCCATTCATTATTTGGTTGGCTTTGTTTGTCCACATCCCATATGATATGGGTTTACTTAGAGAAAGGACTGTCCTGGTTTAGTGTCCTGTTCAACAGAGGAAGAAAAATGGCTTCGGCCAGAGAGGAGAGGGAACCCTACCAGCACACAACAGAGACAGTGGGGACTCTGATGAACCATACAAGATGGGGGTTTAAAGGCTGGATACGACGTTTGATCAATACCCTCGTTCACGTTCCCTCAAATCTATTGGTAGATTCTCTGTGTGGTGCCAAGAAGACCAGAGATTTTCCCATTCTATTTGAATTTTAGACAAAGGATTTTGAGAACTCATACTGAAAACGTGCCACCATAGAAATGAGTAACCATTGTTGAATACCAATTTTACAGAGAATACCCATATAGAATAGGATCAACCCAATTTAGCCTACTATGCTGATAGTTGTAGGTGTATATCTTGTTTGATCGTTCATTTGCGCATTGAATATTAATTTTAGACCGAATATCCATATAGGATATGGTTAACCCAATTCAGAATATCATGCTGATAGTTGTGGATGTATATCTCACGTGATTGTTTATTTGTGCATCTTCAGTCCTTAGATTAATAAGATGGTATTTTTGTACATAACCCCTATGTATTGATTTAATGGTTGAAAACAACATGTACGAGTTATGGAACGACAACAACAAACCGTGCATATGCGCTAATCAGAATTCTATCACAATTTGACGCAACCTACCATCATTAAGCCATCTATTTGAATGAAAAATATCATCCCGATCCATGTCATAGTAACAAAAATTATTTCGAATTCAAATCTAATACTAAAGAACTTCATCCAGCCTTTTGGATAATCTTTCGAAAAATGTTTGATTCTAATTATGAAAACATGATTTTCTCCTATTTTTCATGGCTGTAACTGGAATGGTCTGTCATACTCCTCATTTCTGAAAAGATTTGAGTTATCATCCGAATGATCAAAGATTGAACCATATAGAGTTATTTCCCCACAATTCTAACCACTGAATTTCCAGAAATGTGGCAAACAATGGCTACCAGGTCAGCCAACTACCATACGCTAGTACATAGCTTCTGTCCTTTCCCCTGCTGCCACAAAAATGAAGAAACCTACCCTAACACACCACCAATCTCTACTTTCTGTAACATGCTCTCAATGCCAAATGAAGATCCAATAGAAGTAAAAAGCACAGAAGAAAGAAAGAACTGCACATGGAATGGAAGCAAGGCAAGTATTGCTGTCCCATATATTACCCATCTTCATCAAGCAACTCTTTGTACATATACATAGCACGCTGCACATCTGTATGTTTCTGTCTAAGAACACAAGAAGCTTGAAAGTTTCCAGATCATGTAAATTACTACAGCACCTGAAACTACAACTAAATAATTCAAAACTCGTTGAAGTGAATGGCACCAACTTTCCAGACGATGAAAGTGGTAGCAAACATGACAGTGCTGATGAACACAAACGAGAAGGCAATTACCAGCAGATCATTACCCCCCGGGAAGTCAAACGTCCACCCTGGATTCGGCATCCCTCTTTTAGCATCATCCAACATGTTCGTTGGTGCTTCAGGGAGTCTAGACCTCTTCTTGCCCTTATCACTCTCCCTCAAAGCATCAAGCACTTTCTTCCCCATGTCTGGCTTGGTTGCTTTCGATTCCGGGTACCGGCTGAGAACTCGGGCAGCCTTCAATCTCTCCCTGGCTGTTAGTGGTGATGATCTTTTGGGCCTTGGTTGTGGTACTGGTGCTGGCTTTGGAGGTTGAACTTCTTCAGAGGAGGCTTTCAATTGCTCATTATTGGGGACTGGATCATTGAGTTGGTTGGTGTCCGTGGCAACTCGATCGCTATCTGCAACTGATGGAATCAAACGTTGTGGCTTCGAGGTGGAGCGAAATGGTGCGAGTGAGTGCGACAATGCGGGCAAAGACACGGCAGGGGATTGTGAGTAATGCTGTCGGTGCTTGGCTTGCAGCTTCAACAAGAACAACCCATTAAACAGCTTCAATCAAGAACACCAGAAAGGACCAAAAAGCACTGAAATCGCATTAAATTACACCGGCAAAAGGACTCCGAAGCAAACTGAAAGTTCTCCTAAATGTTTACTGGATACGAATCGATCAATTTCGAAGGCTTACTAGAGGAATTGCCATGGCGAACTTTGATGGGTTAGTTTGGGAAGGAAAGTGGAGCAGTGGAAATAGGGTGAACAAGAAAGCTGAAGTAGGCAGTCCATGGAAGAAAATATACCGTGGAGTTGAACCCAATGACTGAATTCAGGGAAACTGCCATGGTGGGTTTGAGCGTCGGAGCGGGGTTCCGGTCAAGGCCCAACCATAGGCGGCGGCGGGCGACGGGCGACGAAAGCACCGACGGAGCGTTTTTGGTTTGGAAGGAAGGCTTTCCTCTGCTTCTGGGTTCCTGGATTTCTGTTTGTGGCGAGATAATGGATGACGTGTCATAACCAGATCAGGGAGCCGGAGATGGACTTATCTTTTTTCAACTCCCACTCGCTATTCCCAGCGCGTCTTCGAACGGTCTCTCCTTTTTTTTTTTGGTGATCTATCTGCATTTCTACTCAATGACCCGTTGGGCTCCGTCATTGGGCTCGATTCGGTCCAGCACCAACTGTGGTACAAGAAGAGAGGAGGCCTGTCGAGCCAGCCAGGCCTCAGTTAATTTGTCAAATATGACAACTTTTCCCAACTCTGGTTTTTTTTTTAAATACAATTTTCTCAACTCTCTGTTAATACCAAATGGAAGATAGTATGAACGTATAAACAAATTAAATTAGTTTATTTAATACAGTATTTAAAACTTTGTTGGAGTGTTCCTATTAAGTTTAAGTGTTGATAAGATAGATTTATTAAACAAAAAAAAACATGAAATTATACGAGGAGCTATTTTTCAGGGTTGCAATTTGTTTCTGTTTTCAATAAAGCTAAAATGTCATTTTACCTTTAACCCCTAATTCCTAGCCATCGAAATTCGAATTGTGGCTAGCCTAAATGTCTCTAAATCTTGGGCTATTTGCTTTTCTACTGCATGTATTAATTGTGTCCGAAAGCCCGAGGCTTTTCGGCCTACAGCGAGTATTGAAAAAAAGGACTTGGCCCAGACCAAGTGAAGGTAAAAGGAAGAAGAACGCAAGACTTTGATCACACGTGTATTCTTCCTAATTTCTCCTTTAACTTTTTTGAAATTCAACCCTCCCTCTTTGTTCAAGAATGAATATTTACTCTATTGCAAATCTTGCTATACCATCACCAAGGAAATGGTTGCCAATTACTCAGACAGGACATGGCGGGCCATTTTAGAAATTCCTGTATCTAAGGTGCCGCTTGCTGATAAGCTGGTGTGGCGGGAGGATCCTTCTGGGGTTTACACAGTCAAGTTTGGGTACAAGTTAGCAGAGCGTTTATCCCGTAAGTAGGGAAGTGGAAGCATGAGTGTAGCTCCATGGATCGTGGGTAGAGGTCGCAATTTGAATCCAATCCACCAATCAAATCAATCAATCCATTAAAAATATCTACCTAATCCAATTCATTTAAATCCAATCCATTTTATCCAAATCCAATTGGATTGGTGGATTCATGGATTGGATCCATGGATCATTGGCAAATTACGGTTTAGTACTTATAATTTTTATTTTTTACATTTTGGTACCTAAAATTTAATTTTTATACGAAAAATATCATTGAAAAATTACATTTTGGTACCTAAAATTTTTCATTATGACATTTTAGTACCTAAATTTTTTACATTTTACATATTGGTCCTTGGTTGAGGATGTCATTTGGATTCATGGATAATCCACCAATCCACTTGATCCAATCCATGAATCCACCAATTCATTAGATCCAATCCATTTGATCCATGGATCCACCAATCCAATCCACCAATCCATCAATCCAATCCATTTGCCACCTCTAATCGTGGGTTGTGGATCACAGTTTGGGAGTCCCCGATTCAGTCTAAGTTGAAATTCTTCGCTTGGGAGCTATTGCAAAGGCTCTTGCCTACGATGGAAATGTTGCGGGTGAAAAAAGTGATAGTTCTACCTCGGTGTCCGGTGTGCTGGACAGCGGAGGAGAGTGCTGAGCATTTGTTTTTGGAGTGCCCAGTGGCTAGGCTGTTGTGGGAGGAGGCCGGATTGGCTGCGGATTTGCAGTCATTGCCGACAGTGTGTCTTCTTTCGTCGCTTTTTGATGAGAGATTCGTCCCATCCGCGGGTGGTGAAGTTTTTTTGCATGTTATGGAGGATTTGGAAGGCAAGGAATGAGGTAGTTTTTGAGGATAAGCACCGCTCCAATCGCTGCAATAGGAAGGAGGTGACCATCGCTTGCAAACCCCAAGTTTTAGGGTGATGGCATTATCAGTTGTAGAATATAATAGTGCCGTGAAAAGTAAACCAATGATCTTGCACAGATATGTACTGATACATGATGCCAGTAGAATTGATTTTGGAATCATCATTATATTACCCTTTGAACACAACTCCGATAACTTGTCCTGTATTGTTCCACAAACCATCTGTCTTTCCCCATTATCTGCCTTTTCGTCATTGGAATCACACCTGAAATAAACTCGACAAGAATACAATTTTACGCAGTAATTTTACTCGGGCTCGGCTCCAATCGAATGATTAACCTAATGGTATGGGAAAAAGCAAGTTTTGTGTAATCCAACTATCCAGGTATTTTCCTTTTCCTGTTTCTACAGTTCAACAAAGTATGTAAGACAAGCTATCCAACTCGAAGGGGGTTGCTTCATCAAATAGCTTGCAGAAGGGGAAAGGGAGATGAGGGACGAATTAGGATGCAAAATACAATAACTCAATCGCTTCTACTACAGTTAAGATCACCTACTCCTACTCCCTCCGTTATCTCCAACTGTGTTAAGAGTTAGTTAGTTCAGAGTACAGGTCGAACAGCCGCTTTGAGATCTTCATAAAATCGTTGCTCTGAAAACTGGCCTGCCCTTCTCCTGGCGGCTCCAGCCATCTTGAGCCTCTCAGTTTCTGGCATCTCTATGACTTTAATTATGGCGTCTGCGTATTCTTCAACTGTCTCGGCCAGAAACCCTGTCTGCTCCCCTTCTTCCTCTAAAACAATGTCCATTTTCGGGCCAGCTGAGTTATGTGCTGAGAGGGCAAAATTTTAGGAGCAGGTTGAGTTTAATATGGTAGCTTGTTAACAGCAATAGACACAGAAAGGATTCAACTTTTGAACGAGAACAATTTTGACTTACCTATTGGTATAGCTCCTGCAGCCATGTATTCAACTACGCTAATGCCGAAGTGCTCATCTGTCATAGAATGCAACCCTGCAACTGCACCTCCCAGTAGTTGTATTAAGTCCCTGCAAATCTCCAGAAATATTGGCACAAATGTGAGCATGAACACCAAATTCAAGAGAAGATGGCTTTGCTCAAAACAATTGTTTAGTAAGGATATCATGTTGATCTACCTTAAAAAGATGCAATCCATTTAAACCACCTACTCCTATTTCCAACATCCAATAGACCCTAAAATAATGATCCATCAAATAGACCCTAAAATAATGATCCATCCAATAGACCTCTGTGTCAAGGTCCAGGAAACAGAATACACAACTCTACAAACATACATTAAAGTCAAATGAAAGTTGATTCCAAATGGGATCATGGAAAAATTAGCACTGACCTGTACATCACGTTCTTATGGAATTCCACATCCCCATCTACCTTCAGTTCAACAGCTTGATCCTTTAACTTCTGTAGTCTCTCCTCATCTGCTTTGTTTCTACAGCTACCAACAAACTGTAGCTTTGGTCTTGGCAGCATAGCATCCAACCTAGTAATGGCAAGTGCGAAGGCCTCTAGTTGCAGAGGATGCGCCTGATATATAAAAAGCAAGCTCCTCAATGTCAAATACGAACCCTAAAATCCGGCCCTAACAATGAGCCACTGAAATTGCAAGTACCTTCAGCTCACAAATGTCACTCAAATATCCCCACCTTCTCTGGGCGGAACTGAGCAACAGAGATGAATACTGGAGTAGTTTCTGCTTGCCTTTCCAGTGGAAGCACCTAAGAATGTAGTACCGGAATAAAGCTATAGTCCTAAACCGGAAGAGATAGCAAACTGATAATGGAGCGAGAACACAACAGTTGACTAATTTACAAACACTTAGCAAAGCGGAAACCTGTAGCCCAGAAGTATCACAAGGTGGGTAGACTCGCTTAATCCGATCAGGAATTCGCCACAGCTTCTCGATGTGAGACCGAGTCCAGGAAGAGTTCACCATAGCTAAATGTGCACATGACCCTACAAACCCATACAACCAGCTGAAGAACGTGTAATAGACTAGCTTACACCGCGATAGCCAACCACTGCACCACATACAACTGAGTTCACAAAACTTCCCACAAATGAACCCTGACCAGAATTTTAAAGAGAGCTTGGAATTTCTTTACCTGCGAGCGATCGAGGCGTCATTGTTGTACATGGAGCTCCGGCAACGAACGCGAGAGATCATGTCCAAGCTGATCGTGGGGTAATGGGTATAGCAGATGACTTTGCATCCGAATAATCGGGCAATCGGGTAAGTGAAAGCGTACCCGCTGGTGTCGAAGTAATAGTGAGGAGTGAAGCTCGATAGAGCTTCCCAGGAAAGCAGAATCGATCCCAAGCTCTGGCCGATCATGGTGAATCGAGGGTATGTGGACTCCTCGACCCATTTCCTCTTGTAGAGATGGACCGCCTTCGGCGCTCGGAGCAATTGTACGCCGAAGCGATCGGTAGCGCGGGCGGCGAGGGATTGAGGGGAGGCGTCGTGATCGCCAGTGTAGACGATGCAATCGAGATCGGGGATTTCTTCCTGTATTGCTTTGACGGCGCACCAGAGGACTCGTTCTCCCCCGCCGCCGTCGTTGGTGTATGGGTGGAAGAAACCGACCGCCCTCTTCCGGTGGCGGCGGGAGTTAAGGATTTGGGAGGCGAGGAAGGTGGAGATGGCGATGAGAAGAGATGTGAGTAGAGAGACGGCGACGAGAATCCCGCTCGCCATTGTTGGGTTTACAGTGAAAGATCAACTCTAGATTTTCTAAGTAGTCCCTTGTGCTCGTTTGCGTTTCGTTCAGTTCTGCTTGCCGTTTAACACTTCTCTTCAATACGTTTTCCGCAAATACATGTTTTCGTTTTGCTAGGGGCTGGGTTGAAAGTTGGAGCTTAACCTCAAATCACCAATTCGGTTCCGGTTATTTCCGCAAAACAGGAATGGTTGAGTGGCTGTGTCAAAATTAGATGTTGAAGGAGGAATTTGATAGTCTTATCGTTTCATCATTTTTTTTTAAACTACACATATTATCTATTTGTAAATCGAAATCAACGTGGGGCGATAATTACCTCTAGACTATGCGCGATTTTCTCAATAAGTAAACGTTAAGTAAATTCGAGAAATTGCAACATTGTCGACCTCTATCTCACCAACGAGACACATGCATACATTGAAGAGTTTAGAGGGGATGACTCCCGTTATCAGAGAAGCATTAATAGCTTTAACGTTGATGAACAATAATATCATATTTGCTCACAATTTTCCGTCACTGGAAAACACCATAACATTATCTTTTGATAGTAGGTGAACCGAAATTTGAAGGGGCAGTATTCTCGACAATATACTCCTGAAAGCCACAACGGCCAAATGAGTAGGAGAACACAGGAAATGGCAAATCATGGAACTAAACCAAAAATCGATTACAAATGGGACCGTCCTTGTAATTGGGAGTAGAATCACTCCGAATACTTGTATACCGAGGAACATCCTAAACAATCATGGAAAAGAAAAAAAGACAGCATAGCAAAATGAAGATAATACAGGTCCCAGAAGATTGTCAAGTAGAATTCTCACACCAGCAGGAGAGAAGAAAAAAATTTGCCCTTACCCTAAGAACAAAGAATATTACAACACTTATCCACACAAATTCGAGATATTTGAAGGGAGTATTTTTTACAATACACTGCTGAGTCCTGAAAGCCACAAGATCCAAATGAGCAGAAGAACAAAAGCAATGTCAAAAATGGCAAATTATGGATCTAAATCAAAATCATTACAAATTGGACTGTCTTTGTACTTGGGAGTGGAAACACTCCGAAAATTTGTATACGGAGGAACATCCTAAACAATCATGGAAAAGGGGAAAAAAAAGGCAACATAGCAAAATGAACGCAATACAGGTCCCAGAAGATTGTCTACTTGTATTCTCCCACCAGCAGGAGAAGAAGAAAATTTTTGCCCTTTCCCTAAGAACAAAGAATATTACAACACTTATCCACACAAAAGAAAACCAAAACTAAAAAAAAGAACCCTCACTGAAAAGAGTGGCAAATTATTATTCCAATTTCAGCTTCACCTTTACCGCGAATTCCCAACCACAATGCAAACATCAAAATCCCCACCACCCACCCCCTACATATGAAGGCGCCAAGAAAGCCATATGACAACCACCGAAATAGCAACTCCCGAATGCCTCCCTCTTCAAATGGTTCTGTTCTGCAAACAGCAAAGATAACTCGGAGCTAATTTCTACAAAAAGCGCGGCCCCAGTCAAAAAATCAATAGTTTCCCATCGGAGGCATTCCGAATTGCGACATTGGAGGCATTCCCATCCCGCCCATCTGAGGTGGCACGAAACCGCCGGGCATCCCTGGCCCACCCATACCAGGCATTGGAGGTGCAGGCAATGCAAGGGGAAGCAACTGGGCGTACATGTTCTGCGATGGTAAATCAACCAGTTAGAGAACTCGAATCATTTGAGCTTCAGAAGACAATCTCCGGAAGTTACTGGGTAACTTAAACTCTCTGCAAGTTGAGATTTACCTGTTGAGCAATCACATCCTTCTCTTCCTGTTCCTTGGCCTTAACTTCCTTCTGAGCCTCAAGTTTGTCTTTCACAAGCTCGTCAACTTTGCCCGTGTATTCACGAATGAACTGCAAGGAAGAAGCTAACGTAAATACGGTGAACCCTGATCAATATTATACAGTAGTCATGTCGATTTCCTAGCCACTGCAAATACCAACCCAACCACTAAACGCCTGCCTAATCCAATTCCAGCATACTGCTGGTTGGCTATGATATCTGTATGATTAATATTCAGTTGGGCGATGGATTACCGAGAACTTTAGCACATAACGTTTGTTTAGTCTTGCATACTCCGGATCTCAAGTTTCAGACAAAACAATCCAGAAATTGATTTGAACTACTATACTAAACCATGAACCAGTCAATCCATTTGTCACAGGTAGGTCTCACAGAGATCAAAGAAATTGAAGGAAAGAAACCGAGACCACCATACCTGTAACAGGTATGGGAAGGCAAAGTCGATCATGTTATTCATCCAGGCAAGTTCAAGAGCAACATCTGGCCGAACCAAGTCGTAGCAGACAAAGAGACATGAGGCAAAGCATTCCTTCTTTCCCTGTCGGTGAATCACGATATACAAGGTTCAATGGTAGGCAACGAACAGACCAAACAGTTAGATAGAAAATTATTTATTTCTCAAGAATGAAACAACAACCATATGAATGAATGTCACCTTTTCGATGAAATAAACAAGCAATTCTTCAGCAAGTTCACGATCACCAGATTGTGAAGCAGTCTCCATGGCATCTTTATATAGGTTATCCTTCTTTGACAGTGCAATCGACTGCTTCCATCTGCCAGCCTTCTTGTAGATATATGCGGCAACTCGCCTCATTTCAAGGAGCTCGTGCTTCTCAATCTGATATAGTGCACAACAAGGAGTCCAGTTAGAAATTCATAACTCACAACAACAAAAAGAGGGACAGAGTATAAGGCAAAGCATCTCTCACCTTCTGAGCAAGGCCAATCTGATCGAAGTTGTCATGTAAATCGATTGATTCTCTTAATCTATCATAGTCCTCTTCCTCCACATATATCTGATTCAAAGCCTCATTAACAGCAGACACATTGTTGCTCTGAACAGCAACCATATATGGCTTGACAAGAAGCAAGTGCCCAGCCTGAAAACACAAAGAAAAATGACTTCAGCATACAACCAAGGAACCAGGAAATAAACTAACATTTAATCAAATGCAATACGAGCAAAGACAAGTTAACAACCTTCCGCATGATGTCAACTACACGAGTATGGTCAACACGGAGAGCCAATACATTTAGCATATCATTGATAAGATCAGGATGTTCTTGCAAGTAAAAATGCACCGCCTTGTAATATAGCTCCACATTGGCAACCTTGACCACAATATCCTTGAACTGCATGTGGTCCCATGCCTCAGGAGAATGATTCATTACAGTTGCAGCAGCATTATCGAACTCGTCATATTGGATGTACAGATAGGTGAGTTCCTTCCAATGCTGCTGTTCATCACATGCTCTGATGAGTTTAGGAATATTGAGACGGGTTGAGAACAACTTAATATGCTCCATAAGTTTCTCATAGCGGTATCTAGCATAAAGAACTCCCAACTCAGTGAAGATGCCCATATGTGCCCGTTCCAATCCAAGACCACTCTCCATCAGAGATATTAATTCATTGAAGTATCCTCTGTTCTGATAATACTCACTAACCTCTTCCAGATCATCCACCTGAGCGTAAACACGTGATGGGGAAAAATAAGAACCATTTTAAACAAGAACCAAACATGCACTGAAAAGTGGGAAGGTAAAGACAAACTATACATACCTGCACAATGATATTCAAACCACACATTTGGGCCAAGCGGAACTCTTCAGCATCAACACAAGCAAAGCACACTTCCTTCCATGTTTTTGCACTGTTGGCCTTCCGTGCTGCATCCACAGCACCTTGGAACTGTTTGAGCTTCACAAGGGTGCAAGCCAACTTTGCCCAGTTTGATATGAAGGCAAATATTATTTTTGCGGCCTCGTACAGAGCATCATCAAATAGACGATCACCAACAAGTTGGAGATTAGCCACATTTGGCATAAGAATGAATTCCTCTATTTCGCTTAACCTATCAATCTTGGCATATGCAAAAATGAGCTCGCTGTCCACCTTAGGCTCTTTGGCTTTTTGCCTAACCATCAGAAGGTACTTCACCAGATCATGATAAACATCTGCCTCCTCAGCTGCACGAATGACCTCATGAAATTGAGTGGCATCATCTGCACGGATAAATGATTCAATTGCATCAGAAACCAACCCCTCCCTGAGTTGAGCCTTAGCAACTTGGCTCCATACAGCATCTTCTTCAACACGGAATGCAAACTCGACAGCCCGGTCAATGCTCCTGATGTTATCCAAGAGAACATTCACAGCCTGAACATTCAAATTGAACTTCTTGAAAATTGCATACGCTTCTTCATAAAGTTGGGCTTCAACTGCCACTTCCCCAACAGCAGGACCATCGAAGTTATCCAATCTGTTGATGTAGTCCATAACCCTGGAGGGATCTGCCTTAATTGCTGTCAAGATGAGCAGGTTTTGAAGATTGAAGTTGCCACTGAATGCTGAATTTTGAAGAACAATCTTTTCAAGAAGCTCAATCAACTCGTGCGGAAGGTCAGCAGTCATGAACGCCTTAACAGCAGCAGAAACCTGTTCTGGGCTCTTGCTTTCAGGTAAGGCTGTAGAAACAACTTGGTCAATGAGCTGCCGTCTGTACTCGTTTTCGGGATTAAGAACCTTCTCCCAAAGATCAGAATCCATCCTTTCAACAACATACCTGTAGTCAAAATAAAGAAACGTCACGGATTTTAAAAGTGCCTACAAACCAGAAACAGTTTATTGAAAGTGCCTACATATCATCCAGAAACAACAAACCTGGCTTGTAATTTAAACAAGGAGTTCTTATTTGTGACATTGATAAGTTCATCATCACACTGCCCTCTTCGGTAAGCCACAACAGCCAGGGTGGGATCACGTTTCTCACAATACTTACCAACGACCTTGGAGTCGTAGTAAGGGTTGGTTGTGAGGAAGTGCTCTGGATTGTTGTTGCTATCAATGATGATCTTACCCAGTGCATTGTGGACATGCACATCTTGGCTTCCCTCACTTACAAGGTGCTCCAAGAACTGAGTAAGCAAACGAAGCCGATTTCTGCATAAACAAGTAAAATATCAGGATTAGAAAGTAAAAAGACAACACAAAGCCAGAATACCGCAGTTTGATACATACCTCT